TCTTATTTTTTATAGACAGGGTCAGAATCATACATTCCACCAGCATCAAAACACAATAGATGCATGCACCTCCCCAGTTTGGTGGGGTTCAGGGACAAAGGACCCGTTATCATGATACACAATTCCTGGGGCTGGAGGCTCTGCACTTAGGATTGGGCATATAAAGTCCAAGAGCGTCTGGTATTATAAGCAAATTGTGTAAAATTGCCAATCTTACAGACTGGGGTTGTTTGTGAGAGTGAGTGGGATAATAATTTTAGCGCCCCTGTGTAAAGGCTTGGTTCTCCCGCACAGACATGAGACAACTCCAGTAGTAATTATCTCAAACTCATAAATCACTGTGGAGCTCAGTCTTCGGCCTGTTCATCCCAGCTTGCAGTTGCCGAGCCCTCCAGCAAAGAAGCCCCCACTTTGGCTTTCTTTTCCCCTCTTCTCGCAGATTCTCTCGAGCCTACGATTTTTTGAACAGGCTATTTCGGGGGCTCTGTGTCAGAGCTCAAACCAGAGATAACAGTCTGTGCCCCCCCCCCCGTCGGCACCCCCTCTTCCTGCTCCTTGTTCTTTGCTCCTGCTGCTGCTTGGCTGCTCCTCCCCTGCTTCACATTCCAACCGAATCCCATCTCTTGCGTTCTCAGGCTCTGTCACCGGAGGCACGAGAGCCTTGAGATTCACGGAGCTGACACCCTGTAATTTTGTCCGTCCCTAAGCTTCCATGGAGATACTGTGGTACAACCTTGGTGCAAATTTCAAAATAAGTACACAAGGCCAACAAAGAGACTCAGAGGTTTATAGTGGCACCAGCTTTCCTGGTCAAGAGTCCACTTTGTCAGACTGCAGCCCACAAAAGCTTAGGCCATAATACATCTCTCAGCCTTTAAGGGCTGCAAAAGATGAATCAACAGAAGCGTAGTTCATCTATGGAATCCATCCTACAGGAGACAGTGAGAGCCAGCAACTTGGATAGCTTGAAAAAAAGGATAAAACTGACGTCTCTGCTCTGCCCTCGCGGTCCTAGGCAATAATGTGGCTTTTGGATGGAGTCCGGCACGTTTCCCTGCGCCCCACTGGACTCCCGTGGATAGCTCTCCGTCAGCTTCCTGTAGCAGAGTCGTCGCAGCGGTAGAAAACTTGCAATGTGTGTGTAATAAATCAGACTGCACACAAGCTTTCTTGCTTATCTCCAACAGTCTTTAATCGTGTAGAAAAACATCATAAATCAGCCTGGCGAAAGAGCGCACATCTTGCTGCCTCGCTGCAAAAGCGAAAGAAAAAAAACACACAGAGAAACACTCCCCTCTGTGAACATAGCCACGCCTCAGAATGTGAGACGTCACTCAGAACTGTTTAACCCTGTAAGTTCTGATTCTCTTCACACCCCCTCTCGTCTCGCATCCTGAGGGAAACTGTGAACACACATCTACAGACCTCTTTGAGTTCAACTCCCTTTGCATTGCCTCTCGCCCCTTTCTGGCATTTGTCTCAGGCAACCGTTGAGCCTCCTCAAAACTCCCAGGTTCGCACTGTGCGAAACCAACCCACGCGCTGGTGACCTGAAACCTCTCAGGTGGAACTCCCTTTGTGGTGCGAGTGGACCGTCTGAGCACAATCCCAGGTGCTCCTTCTGACCCACTGGGGCCAGCAAGTGTGTCCTCTACATCAGAAGACTCCCCCTCTGACTTACTACGTCTTCGAGCCTTCTGCACTTTGCTAACAGGAGACGAAGGCTCACTCTTGGGCTCTCTTTTAACAACCTGTGGAGATGCCCAAACCTGTTCTTGACCCTGTTCAGAGACTTGGTCCTCAGTAACAGGTTCAGCCTCTGGCTCTCTCCTCAGAATCAGACAGACATTCTGAGAGAACGTCAGGATTCGCATGGATCCTTGACCAACCATTCTGCTCACAGAACTCAGCATGTTTACTGATCAGAAGCTTGGTCTGATCACCTTCTGGATATGCAAACCTCCACCCCTTTGTCGCAGGTTCATATCCACAGAAGATCATTTTCTGGAACCTCGGGTCACCTTTCTTTCTTTGAGCCTTTGGCACAGGCACCCAGGCCTGTGAACCAAACACACGGAAGAAATGCAGCTTCGGCTTCATTCCGTGGAGCAAGAAATACGGGGTGTTACCTACCACTGAATTGTAGGACCTGTTCATCGTGAAATTGGCTGCCCTCCAAGCCTCGCTCCAAAAACTCTGAGGCAAACTGGAGTCACACAGTAGAATCTCTGTTGCTTGAGCCAGAGCTTTACTCCTGAGCTCCGCCACGCCCCTCTCCTGAGGAGAAGTAGCACCCGTCACCTTGTGACGTATCCCCTTCTGACGGAAGAAACTGCAGAGCGGACCCAGTAAACTCTGCACCTCGGTCACTCTTGAACCCCTGCACTTTGGTGGAGAACCATAGTTCCACTGCCACAACCCAATCTTTGATCAGTTGCGCTGCCTCGCCTTTCGTTCTCAGCGAGAAGCACCAGCCATTTTGGCTAAAATCATCAGTCAGCGTCAGCACAAACCTGGCCCCGCCCAGACTCGGCTTTGGCATGGGCCCCAAAAGGTCTGTGTGCACAAGCTCAAAAGGTTTTGTTGTTACCCTCTCCTTTCTGGGATAACTGCACCCTTTTACCTTTGCCTTTCTGCATGCCCTACAATCTAGGGATCGGTCACATGTTTTTATCCTGCACCCTGCTGTGTACTGGGGCAACTTTTGGATATCTTCCCAAGACCCATGTGACATTCTTTTGTGCCACAAGTGAGCACATGAATCATGAGTGGGAACGTTTGCACACTTTGCCTGTGCTCCCTCAGCGTCCCCCTCATCCTCCAGAGGTGTCTCCAGAACAAAGAGATTGTTCTGACATGCAACACTGACGAGTTGTCTCCCACCCCTGGAAATAGAACAGACATCATTTTCAAAGCAAACCTTGTACCCCTCCTGTAAGAGACAAGATACAGATAAAAGACAGTGTTTCATCTCAGGCACAACGTAGACCTCCAGCTCTGCCTGCAAGAAAGAAACAAAAACATTTGCCACGTTAGACAAAGGCCTCTGTGACCCATCAGCAAATACAACTGTTTTTCCAGCTGAAACAGCTCTGCAGTTCCACATTTCGATACCAGGTGTCGCTGTTATCAGGTGATGGCTGGCTCCAGAGTCAATGACCCAGCGCATCATTCTGTCCTCTCTGGAGTTGTCCTTAAGTGTTGCCATGGAGGCAGTTAGGTGATAAGGACCGTCTTCACTCCCTGAGTCACGTCCTCCCTTCGCTTTCCCACGCTGGTCTCCTCTCCTGGACTGGCTGCCATGGGAAACGACCTTGGAGACATCCTGCCCGGCCTCTCTGGCTCTCTGCGGACAGGATCTACGCAGATGGTTAACTGAACCACAGACAAAACATTGACGAGTGGAAAAAGCCTGAACTGTGCCTTCCGCTGGCCTGGCCCCCCCCCCCCTGCAACCAGATGGGCTCCCTGTGCCAGCTCGGCCCTCTCTGACACGGCGTTCCTGTTCGTCACTCAAGCGTCCTGTCACATACGCCAGAGTAAGATCTGCGGGATTCATCGATTCCAAAGTTAGACACAAATTGTCATAACTTTTGTCCAAAGAGCTGAGCAAAATATAAACTTTCAGTTCCTCAGAAAAGTTAACTTGCAACAGCCTCAACTAGTTGAAAACAGAGAGCATCTCAGTTACATGCTGTCTGATGCTATCACCTGGATGCAGCTTCATCTCAAACAAGCGTCTGGTAGTGTGGATCTTTGCCCCAGCTGTGGTCCTGTGGTGCACTCTTTCTAGTGCCTGGTAGGCCTCATGAGCAGTCTCCAGCCCCTCTACCAAAGGTAGCTGCGAACCCTCCAAACCGAGCACGATAGCTCCCAGGGCTTTGTGATTTTTTCTCTGCGAAGCATGGGCAGTTGCAATATCTGCTGCCGAAGCACCAGCCGCCGCTTGCTGTGGAGGCCCTTGGACTGCCTCCCACAGACCCTTGGCTACCAGCCATGCCTTCAGCTTCCTACTCCACTCCTCCCAATTCTTTCCGTTCAATTTTTCGAACGGGATGGCGTACGATTCATAGCTGTCTGCCATCTTCTCCCCCGGGGCTGAGCGTACTCACGTAACAGCAGCAGCTCCTCCGGCACCCGGTCCTCGGAGATCTGATCCTCCCAGTGAGCTTCACTGCCTCAAACGTTAGGCAGGACTCCAGCTGGCTTCAGCTTCCCCTCAGCTGGCTTTCACACACACCTGCACGACTTGGCAACAGTTTCAAACGCTTGGCTGACCTCCATAACATGTGGCTTTTGGATGGAGTCCAGCACGCTTCCCTGCGCCCCACTGGACTCCCGTGGATAGCTCTCCATCAGCTTCCTGTAGCCGAGTCGTCGCAGCGGTAGAAAACTGTTGGAATGTGTGTGTAATAAATCAGACTGCACGCAAGCTTTCTTGCTTATCTCCAACAGTCTTTAATCGTGTAGAAAAACATCATAAATCAGCCCGGCGAAAGAGCGCACATCTTGCTGCCTCGCCGCAAAAGCGAAAGAAAAAAAACACACAGAGAAACACTCCCCTCTGTGAACATAGCCACGCCTCAGAATGTGAGACGTCACTCAGAACTGTTTAACCCTGTAAGTTCTGATTCTCTTCACAAATAACGCTTCTTAATACTAGTTTCTGGAAAGCACCGGAAGGCAGAGAAGACTCTTGTGCTCCAGTCCTGCTTGCCGGTTTCCCACAGGCATCTGGTTGGCCTCTGTGAGAAGAGGATGCTGGACTAGGTGGGCCTTTGCCTAATCCAGCAGGCTCTTCTTAGGTTCCAATATATTGCAATATTTTTACAGTTAAATGTAGCACTTAAGTTTTACTTATTTCACGAAGGAGACACTGTTACTCGAGCCTGAGATCATTCACTTGAGAAATAAAAATAGAGATGTGTCTAATAAACCAGTTCCAGCATAGATCTGTATTATAAAATGATGCTGCCTTATTAAGTTTGAATAGAGTGATCATGTTTTGCTCTTGCCACTGTCTCATCAGCTTTCGTAAAATTTGGAACCGACAGAGGATAGCGGAGAATGAAGGTGTTAAAATGAGAGAAGGTGCAGATTGGGATTGACATGTGTTCAGCTCCCTTTTTGTCTTTCTTGAAACTCTAACAGGATTCTCTTTCCTCCCAGACTCCCAAACAGGTGAGGAAGATGAAAGTCAGAATTCTATGAAGCCACATGAGAATTTATGGGGGGAAACAAAGAAATTGAGGATACAACAAAAAAGTCGCAAAGGAGAGAAACTATTTGAATGTACGGCATATGGAAAGAGCTTCAGTGAAAGTGGAAAACTTAGAATACACCGATGAACTCACACAGGGGAGAAACCATTTGAATGTTTTGAGTGTGGAAAGAGCTTCAGTGATAGTGGAGCACTTAGGATACACCAACAAACTCACACAGGGGAGAAATCATTTAGATGTATTGAATGTGGAAAGAGTTTTAGCATAAGTGGAGCACTTAGAATACACCAACGAACTCACACAGGGGAGAAACCATTTGAATGTATTGAATGTGGAAAGAGCTTCAGTCGAAATGATACACTTAGAATACACCAACGAACTCATACAGGGGAGAAACCATTTAAATGTGTTGAATGTGGAAAGAGTTTCAGCCAAAGCGCAGCACTTAGAATACACCAACGAACTCACACAGGGGAGAAACCATTTGAATGTGTTGAATGTGGAAAGAGATTCAGCCAAAGCGCAGCACTTAGAATACACCAACGAACTCACACAGGGGAGAAACCATTTAAATGTATTGAATGTGGAAAGAGCTTCAGTACAAGTGGGAAACTTAGAAGACACCAACAAAGTCACACGAGGGAGAAACCATTTCAATGTATGGAATGTGGAAAGAGCTTCAGTGGTAGGGGATCACTTAGAATACACCAACGAACTCACACAGGGGAGAAACCATTTAAATGTGTGGAGTGTGGTAAGAGCTTCAGTGATAGTGGAAATCTTAGAGTACACCAAAGAATTCACACAGGGGAGAAACCATTTGAATGTTTTGAGTGTGGAAAGAGCTACAGTCAAAATGAAGCACTTAGAATACACCAACGAACTCACACAGGGGAAAAACCATTTAAATGTTTTGAGTGTGGAAAGAGCTTCAGTGATAGTGGAGCACTTAAAATACACCAACGAAATCACACAGGGGAGAAACCATTTAAATGTATTGAATGTGGAAAGAGCTTCAGTACAAGTGGGAAACTTACAAGACACCAACAAAGTCACACGAGGAAGAAACCATTTCAATGTATGGAATGTGGAAAGAGCTTCAGTGATAGTGGAGCACTTAGAATACACCAACGAACTCACACAGGGGAGAAACCATTTAGATGTATTGAATGTGGAAAGAGTTTTAGCATAAGCGGAGCACTTAGAATACACCAACGAACTCACACAGGGGAGAAACCATTTGAATGTATTGAATGTGGAAAGAGCTTCAGTCGAAATGATGCACTTAGAATACACCAACGAACTCATACAGGGGAGAAACCATTTAAATGTGTTGAATGTGGAAAGAGTTTCAGCAAAAGCGCAACACTTAGAATACACCAACGAACTCACACAGGGGAGAAACCATTTGAATGTTTTGAGTGTGGAAAGAGCTTCAGTGATAGTGGATCACTTAAAATACACCAACGAACTCACACAGGGGAGAAACCATTTAAATGTATTGAATATGGAAAGAGCTTCAGTGATAGTGGATCACTTAAAATACACCAACGAACTCACACAGGGGAGAAACCATTTAAATGTATTGAATGTGGAAAGAGCTTCAGTACAAGTTCGAAACTTAGAAGACACCAACAAAGTCACACGAGGGAGAAACCATTTCAATGTATGGAATGTGGAAAGAGCTTCAGTGATAGGGGATCACTTAGAATACACCAACGAACTCACACAGGGGAAAAACCATATAAATGTATTGAATGTGGAAAGAGCTTCAGTGATAGGGGATCACTTAGAAGACACCAACGAACTCACACAGGGGAGAAACCATTTAAATGTATTGAATGTGGAAAGAGCTTCAGTACAAGTGGGAGCCTTAGAGTACACCAACGAACTCATACAGGGGAGAAACCATTTAAATGTTTTGAATGTGGAAAGAGTTTCAGTGAAAGTGGGAAACTTAGAATACACCAACGAACTCATACAGGGGAGAAACCATGAAAATGTATTGAATGTGGAATATGGAGCACTTAGAACACATCAACGAACTCACACGGGAAAAATCACAGATACTTTAATAAACTGCATAGGTGTTTTTTACCTTTCCTTCTATGCTTCCTTGCAATACTGATAAAATCAAACCACGCCAATGCTTTCAGCCCCAGAAGAGGAGCTCCCCTTGGTGTCAGGGGAGGGGTCCAAGGGAGCATCTGAAGCCCTGCCATTCCTTCTGTCCCTGGCCCCTTCCCCTCCTCTCTCTGCCATCCCAGGGCCACTCTTGACTCCACAGCAGGAGACTGGATCTGTCTGTGATGGTGAGATGTCCTGGCCGGTTGAAGGACCACTTCCTGTTTTCTGCAGCTCCATCCTTCTTTCTCATGCAAGGTGGAGTCATGAAGCAGGCAAAGACTGAGCACACTTAAGGGTGGCGCAGTGGGTGGGTGGGTGGGATTCTGCTTAACCTTTCCCTGTCTGCTCTTTTTTGGATCCAAATCCCCACACAAAAAGGGGCTTTGTGAGGGCGCAATCAGTGTTAAGGAGCTGCACTGAAAATCATTGCTTTGTGACCGTAAGAGGCCCTTCTCAAAAAAAGAAGCATCAAGAGAATTTAAGCTATAGAATTTAAAACAAACATAATTACAAAAAAAGAAAGCAGTCTGGTGCCACATTGCATAGGAGTTACTTTAACACACTCTACCTGGGGCTACCTTTAAAAAGAGCTCAGAAACTTCAATGGCTCAAAGAGCTGCAGACACTTTGCTGACCAGGGCTGGCTATAGGCAGCATAGGACTCCCATATTAGAACAGCTCCATCTGCCTAATTGTCTGTTTCTGGACACAATCAATGTTTGCACAAGAGGAAGATCGATTTGGAGTGCCGCATTTTCAAAAAAGATGGACACACGACTATTTCTTTGTGGAGCTGAAAGGCATGCCCGTGTGCCTCATTTGTGGTGAGGCCCTCTCCGTCCTGAAGAAGGCCAACCTGCAGAGGCACTACAGGACAAAGCACATCCAGTACAAGGGAGTTCCAAGGGCAGCTGCGCCTGGAGAAGGTCAAGGCGCTGAAAACAGACCTGTTGGGTAACCTGTGGCCCCTCCAGATGATGTGATATTGCAACTCACGTCTTCTTTAGCCGTTGGCCACGCTGGCTGGGACTCATGGGAGCTGGAGTCCAAGGATCTAGGTCCACACATGCCGGGGACAATTCAAATCCCTCCTCAGTCGTGAAGACGATTGGGCGACTTAAAGCTGGTCACCATCTTTATGGAAAACCTCCCTCGCAGGGTTGCTGTGTGCGTGAAAGCAATATATCTTGTGGTGGGCTTGATGAGGGGAGTGTGGAACAGAAATGTAATTCATAGGTAAGAAGACAGGAAATAATTCTGAATCTGACTGAAAATAAAGGATTCTTTGTCTCCAAATTGCATATAGCAAGCACCTGTGTTGTTGAACTCTAGCAGAAGTCTGGTTCCTCAGCACTCTGCACTCTCTCTCTGGAAACCTCCAGCTGTCAGGTGACAGGAACCAGCCAATGCCTCCCAGTTCAGAAACAGTCTGCCAAGAGCTGAGATTGGAAGTGGACAACCAAGGAAACTTAGGGGAGCATTTTCATTTCCATGCTTATGAATATTGAATTGAATCAATTCATCTGATGTGTTCAAAATAGTAGAGAAAGTTTTGACAGGAATTCGGGGAACTAGGAATATTTTTAGTTCCATCTGGGTTGATGGATCAGCAAATAGCTAGAGAGGATTAAGGGGTGGGGGCGGGAATCAGGCCTTGTTTCTCATGTGACAGATAACCGATTCCACAGTTCTTAAATGTGACCATTTGCGACACAAGATCTACCCACCAGGGAAGAATGGCAGATGAAGGTGATGGACTATATGGAACTGGCGGAATCCGAGACCAGGGAGAAGAGTTGGTGGAAGAAGATTGGAAGAAATTTAAAGACTATTTACAGAAACATTGTAAAATTAATGAATGTTAGAAAGATATTGGAATGAACTTATGTGGTTTTAGCAGAAATGTTATAATGGATTAGGAAAAAATAGACTGTTAATTGGTGAAACGAGGGAAAGTAAAGTTATATCATATTATGATAAATTACAGGACAAAAATTGTAAAAGATGGAAAGGATTTGCTGAAATAGTTAACCGAACTAGAATACAAAAAAAGGGAGGTGTGAGGAGGTCAAGAAAACAAGCTAACGAATGATAAGTTATAGGAAGATTCGATGTGTTATTTTTTTAATGGACTTTATTTTTCTGTTTTTGTATTTTTTCTTTTTTTTCTTTTCTTATTATGATGTGTTGTTTTTGATGTTGTTTAATATGATGTTATTATTTTTTCTTTTTGTAACCTTTAAAACCTTAATAAATATTATTAAAAATAAATAAATAAATGTGACCATTTGCTGCCTCCCAAAATTATGCTTAAGCCTTTCCCCTCCCCCCCAAAAAACAACAACAACTCAAACATGGTAGCTGGTCTTGTCAAACGGGCCAATATAAGGTTCATTCGTTTATTTGTGTCCGACTCTTCATGACCCCATGGACCAGAGCACGCCAGGCATTCCTGTCTTCTACTGCCTCCCGCAGCTTGGTCAAACTCATGTTCGTAGCTTTGAGGACACTGTCCAACCATCTCGTCCTCTGTCGTCCCCTTCTCCGTGTGCCCTCCATCTTTCCCAACATCAGGGGGGTCTTTTCCAGGGAGCCTTCTCTTCTCATGAGGTGGCCAAAGTATTGGAGCCTCAGCTTCACGATCTGTCCTTCCCCTGAGCACTCAGGCCTGATTTCCTTCAGAATGGATACGTTTGATCTTCTTACAGTCCATGGGACTCTCAAGAGTCTCCTCCAGCACCATAATTCTTTTTTTTAAAATAAATAATATTTATTAAAGTTTCAAAGAATTACAAAAAGAAAAAGAAAACAGAAAAAACAAAGTACAGAAAAATAAAAACAATTAAAAACAAATCAATCTTTACAAGTCTTTCATTTACTGACCTCCTCACACCTCCCTTTTTTGTATTCTAGTTCAATTGGTTACTTCAGCAAATCCTTTCCATTTTTGCTTTTATCTTAATGATATATCTTAATATATTGTAACTTTACATTCTCACCTATTCATGATCTAATTTTACCTAATTCTATAACATTACTGCTAAAACCTCATAACTTCATTCCAGCATCCTTCTAACATTCCTTAATTTTACAATGTTTCTGTAGATAGTCTTTAAATTTCTTCCAATCTTCTTCTGCCGACTCTTCTCCCTGGTCTTGGATTCTGCCAGTCATTTCCGCCAGTTCCATGTACTCCATCACCTTCATCTGCCATTCTTCCCGGGTGGGTAGATCTTGTGTCTTCCAATACTTTGCAATAAGTATTCTTGCTGCTGTTGTAGCATACTGTCAGGGGCTCAGGAGCAGAGGCACAGGGGAGAGAGGAAATGGAGAGCGAAGGGGAGGAATCTGAGGGCAGCGGAGGGGAGAATGACAGTGACCCGAGAGATTCCATGAGCCTCTCCAGCGAATCAGAAGATTCCCAGAAGGGAGCGCCGATGGTCAGGGCAAGGGGGGTCCCAGGGGGGACGCAACAGAAGCAAAGAGCCAGAGGGGACTCCCAAAGCAGCAGTGAGAGATCAGGACCAGCTTCCCCACCAGAGCGCAGTGGGGGGGAAGAGTCCCATGTGTCAGGGCCAGCGTCTCCTCCAGCAGGGAGAGAAGATGGGTCAGGGCTGACCACGCCTCCAGCGGAGAGTGGGGGAATGGAGGGGAGGTCAGGTCCAGCTAGCCTCCCCGAAGGGGGAAGCAGTGACGGGAGCAGTATAACGATCAGGAGGAAGGTGGCCGGCTGGGCGCGCGCGCCAAGTTCGAATGTACAGGCGCGCGGGACAGCAGAAAACCCGGATTGGGAACCAGGTCCCAAAGCCCGCCGGAGGCAGGGGGAAGACTCAGGGGACTCAGCGTCAGAAGAGTCTAGGAAGGGCAAAACCCCAGCGGACAGGCGGACCCAGAGGAGGAAAGAGCAAAGGAAGAGGTGGAGCAAGGCTAGAGTCTTAAACTGGTGTCTGGGGGGCGGAGATTCAGACGGAGCTTCGGCGGTCTAGAGTTTCAGACGTAGAGCTGCGCGCCGCGGCTGTGAAAGCTAAAATGAACTTCAATAAAGACTGTTTTATATAACAACGAACTGGCGTTGGTCCTTTGTGAGCTGGGACCTAGGGCAGCTCTGACACATATATTAAAAAATTTATATCCTTTAACACCAACTGGCCGACCATGCCCAGGAGAAAGGCCTCTGGTTTCTTCAGAAAGGTATATTTAAATACCTTTTTCATTTCATTATAGATCATCTCCCAGAAAGCCTTAATCCTTGGGCACGTCCACCAAAGGTGAAAGAATGTACCTTCAGTCTCTTTACATTTCCAACATTTATTGTCAGGCAAATGATATATTTTTGCGTGCCTAACTGGTGTCATGTATATCATTTTCACAATATTCTCTCTTAAGGCATTACATGCCGTGAACTTCATACCTGTGGTCCATAACTGTTCCCAGTCAGCCAGCATAATGTTGTGTCCCACATCTTGTGCCCATTTAATCATAGCAGATTTCACCGTTTCATCCTGAGTGTTCCATTTCAACAGCAAGTTATACATTCTTGACAGAGTCTTAGTTTGGGGGTCTAACAGTTCTGTTTCCAATTTTGATTTTTCCACCTGGAAGCCAATCTTCTTGTCCAAATTGTATGCCTCCGTTATTTGATAATAATGAAGCCAATCTCGCACTTTGTTTTTTAGTTTTTCATAGCTCTGCAATTTTAATTTATCTCCCTCTTGTTCCAAAATTTTGGCCATTTAGCCTCCATATTGAGCTTTTTCTGAGCCTTCGCTTCCATTGGTGACAACCACCTTGGGGTTTTATTTTCAAATAAGTCCTTATATCTTATCCAGACATTAAATATTGCTTTCCTGACAATATGGTTTTTAAACTCTTTATGTGCTTTGACCTTATCATACCACAAATATGCATGCCACCCAAATACATTATTGAAACCTCCTAAATCCAAAATGTCTGAGTTTTCAAGAAGCAGCCATTCTTTCAGCCAGCAAAAAGCAGCTGATTCATAGTAAAGTTTGAGGTCTGGCAGGGCAAATCCACCTCTTTCTTTTGCATCAGTTAGTATTTTAAATTTTATTCTGGGCTTCTTGCCCTGCCAGACAAATCTAGAAATATCTCCCTGCCACTTCTTGGCAATACATTCATTTTTATCACAGCAATACGGCCTAGCAATGAAAGCTTCAGATTTGACCATATTTCTAAATCCTTTTTCACTTCCGTCCAGCATTTTTCATAATTATCTTTTTTTTTATTTAAATTTTATTTGAGAAAAATACACATATCATACTACAATACATATATATACTTACGAAGAAAAATCCAAAAAAAAGAAAAGAAAGAAAAAGAAAAAACAAAGAAAAAAGAATAAGACGAAACACAGGACATAAACACTGACAAATAATAAACTTCCGTCCAACTCGGTCTTGGATTACATATCCTTACATTACTTCTGCAGTAGTACTAACATTAGCATTATACATCGAAGGTATTAATTATCGTCTACTGTTAAGTTGTTAATTCCCGTATTAGTCTCAAAATAATTTAAAAATTTAGTCCATTCATCTTTAAGTTTCACTGTATTATTTTGCCTTATTTTTTGTGTTAGTCTCGCTAAATCAATATATTGATATAGCCTCACTTGCCACTCTCCAATCGTGGGTAAATCAGGAGATTTCCATTTTTGCGCTATTAGAATCCTCGCAGCGGCCATGGCATATTGAAAGAAGGTTTGATCTGATTTTTTTATTTCCTTGCCAATCATACCTAAAAGGAACATCTCAGGTATTTTGGGAAAATTATACTTCAAGATTTTTTTCAATTCATCATGGATTTGTCCCCAAAATTCCTTCACTACATCACAGGTCCACCAGATATGGAAGAAAGTCCCAACCTTGTCTTTGCATCTCCAGCAGGTGTTGTCAACAGTTTTATACATCTTTCCTAACTTTGCTGGGGTCAGGTACCAGCGGTACATCATTTTCTCTAAATTTTCTCGAAGGGTTGCACACGCTGTAAATTTCATACCTTTCCTCCAAAGTGTCTGCCATTTATTATATTCGATATTATGTCCGAGGTCTCTGTCCCATTTTACCATCACTCCCTTCACCAAATCCTCTTTAGTGTCCCATTCCAATAATTGTTTATACATTTTGGAGAGGAGTTTATCATTACTCTCTAAGATTTCCATCTGGAATCTTGATTTTTTTTCACTCATCCCCAGTTTCTTGTGCTCACCCCACAGTGCATTAATCTGATGAAAATGTAGCCAATCTTTTATCTTGTCTTTCAACTCATCATAAGGCTTCACCTTCTACCCTTCTTCTGTCTTGACTAAAAGATCCTCATACGTCCATCTTTCACCTGACATATTTATTTTTTTTATTTTGATGATATCAACTGGGGAGAGCCACCAGGGGGTACCTTTTTCAATCAGTTTTTTATACCTATTCCACACTTCCAGTAATGAGCCTCTAACTATATGGTTAGAAAAACCTCTGTGGACCCCACCTTTCTCCTGCCACAGGTAGGCATGCCACCCAAACCTAATATCGAAACCCTCCAAATCTAGCAGATCTGTATTCCTAAGGATGGCCCAGTCCCTTATCCAACATATGCAAGCTGCCTCATAGTAAAGCCTTATATTCGGGACTGCAAAGCCACCTCTCTCTCTTGAGTCTGTTAGGTATCTGAGCTTTATTCTGGCTCTCTTCCCCTGCCATATAAACTTGGACAAGATTTTTTGCCAATTCCTAAAGCGGGTGGTGCCTTTAATTATCGGGATATTTTGAAACAAAAACAATAGTTTCGGAAGAATACACATCTTAATTGCTGCCATCCTCCCTGTCCATGAAAGTTTCAGCCTGTGCCAGGTGTCCAGATCTTTTTTTATTTCCTGCCATACCTTATTATAGTTATCTTCAACCAAATTTATATTTTTCGGTGATAACCAAATTCCCAAGTATTTTACTTTATTCACAATTTTAATACCAATCTTTTGCTCCAGCTGGATTTTATCCTGGTCGGCCAGATTCTTTATTAGAATTTTTGTTTTCTTCCTGTTTAATCTAAATCCTGACAATCTGCCAAAATCCTCCAATAATTCTACCACCCTGCTGGCACTGTCCACTGGATTCTCCAAGGACAAGACCAGGTCATCGGCATAAGCCTTCAGCTTGAATTCTTTCATAATTATCTTTGAATAAATTCACATTCTTGGCAGTCATATTAACCCCCAGGTATTTCACTCTCTTAACCAATGTTAAACCTGTCTCCTTCTGAAACCTCTCCCTCTCAGTCACTGTTAGATTTTTCTCTAAAACCTTAGTTTTTAACTTACTCAACTTGAATCCTGCAACCTGACCAAATTCTTGAATCAGTTCCAATACTCTTTTAGTACTAGATTCTGGCTCCTGTAATGTCAGTACTAGATCACCAGCAAATGCTTTCAATTTGTACTGTTAGGCTCCGACTTGTATACCGTTAACCAATTGGTCCCTTCTAATCATATTTAAGAGAACCTCCAGGACCGATATAAAAAGCAATAGGGAAATTGGGAACCTTGTCGTGTTCCCTCCAGCACCATAATTCAAAATCATCAATTCTCCATCGATCAGCCTTCTTTATGGTCCGGCTCTCACTTCCATACATCACTACTGGGAAAACCATAGCTTTAACTATACGGACCTTTGTTGGCAAGGTGATATCTCTGCTTTTTAAGATGCTGTCTAGGTTTGTCATTGCTTTTCTCCCAAGAAGCAGGCGCTTTTTAATTTCGTGACTGCTGTCACCATCTGCAGTGGAGCCCTAGAAAGTAAAATCTCTCACTGCCTCCATTTCTTCCTCTTCTATTTGCCAGGAGGTGATGGGACCAGTGGCCATCATCTTCGGTTTTTTGATGTTGAGCTTCAGACCATATTTTGCGGTCTCCTCTTTCACCCCCATTAAGAGGTTAATTCCTCCTCGCTTTCTGCCATCAAGGTTGTGTCATCTGCATATCTGAGGTTGTTGATATTTCTTCCGGCAATCTTAATTCTGGCTTGGGATTCATCCACTCCAGCCTTTCGCATGTTGAATTCCGCATATAAGTTAAATAAGCGGGGAGCAATATACAGCATTGTTGTAAAGGTAAAGTAAAGGTACCCCTGCCCGTACGGGCCAGTCTTGCCAGACTCTAGGGTTGTGCACTCATCTCACTCTATAGGCCGGGAGCCAGCGCTGTCCGCAGACACTTCCGGGTCACGTGGCCAGCGTGACAAGCTGCATCTGGCGAGCCAGCGTAGCACACGGAACTGTTAGGATACTGCCAGGGAGATAAAGTCCATCTGAGCCCCCATGCCGGCTGCCGGACGATCCATCGACCTCCCGTAGATTCAGTATCAGCAATTAGCGACACGAAGCCTAAGAAATAGCTTGCCACATTCTTGGGCTGGTGCACACTCTGTCAGCAGAATTCACACAGCAAAAGTTGCACTCAGGAGAGTATCATTTAGAATGTTTATTCAGCGTTGGTCAGAACAAAGAACAAACATGACTGCCTGCTAGCGTGTTCTGGCGCAGAGAGAGAGAAAACGAAAGCAATAGCAAACATAAACATCCTGTAAAAGGAAATGTGCAGACTCTGTGACTCACAAGCCTGCTCTCTCTTAAGGTGGAACGGAAATATCCTAACATCCTCCCCCTTTCCGTGTAACCTGTAGTACCTGTGGTTCAACCCAATTGCAACCTCTGTACGTAAACCTTAAGTTGTTCTCTGTTAACAACCTTAGACAACAGATCAGCAGGAATTTCATTTCCTGCCATGTAGGACACCTGAATCAGTCCTTTCTGAATACACTCTCTTGCACGATGTAGCTTAATCTGCAAGTACTTGGTTCTTTGCTTGCAACTCTCTGAGTTCAGCAAAGCCAAACAGGATCTATTGTCTTGATACACTTGTATAGGACATTTCACAGTAACCCCAATGTCCTTAAACAGTTGCATCAACCATTCACAATCCATGAGTGAAAATGACAAAGCATTGAGTTCTGCTTCACAGGAACTTAGGCTCACTGTCGTCTGCTTTTTGCACAGCCAGTCAAACAGACAGTGGTTGTACATGTAGCACACTCCAGAAGTGCTTGTACCATCCGTGGTGTCACTTCCAAAACTTGCATCTGCAAAGATTTCAAGACCTCCAGTCTTCTGACTGGTGAACCTCAGCCTGTAGTGCATAGTCCCTTTCAAATAGCGGGCTATGCGCTTCAGAGCTTTCCAATCCTGAACAGTAAAATTGTTAGCATGTCTGCTAAGCAGGTTAGTGCTTACAACAATGTCAGGTCTTGAGCAGTTACAGATAGGCAGCCGTGTTGGTCTGCCATAGTCAAAACAAAAAAAATTTTTCCTTCCATTAGCACCTTAAAGACCAACTAAGTTAGTTCTTGGTATGAGCTTTCGTGTGCATGCATCTGTGCATGCATGTGTGTATCTGAAGAAGTGTGCATGCACACGAAAGCTCATACCAAGAACTAACTTAGTTGGTCTTTAAGGTGCTACTGGAAGGTCTTGAGCATCTAGCAATGAAATTCAACTTGCCTAGAATGCATCTGTACAGCGTAGTGTCAGAAAACGCTTCAGCAGTACCATCTACCTGGTAACCTATCACCATCGGTGTGTCTGCTGGGTTTGCATCAACCAAATTCAACCTGGTTAATACATCAGCAATTTTCTGTGTTTGGTGTACCAGAAAATTACCTGCTTGGTCCCTCTCCACCTGCAGAGAAAGATAGTTGGATACCTCACCAAGATCCTTCATGTCAAAGTGCTCCTTCAGTTGAGCTAGGGTGCTTTGGTAAAAAGCCTGATTCTTCCAAAACATCAAAAGATCATCAACAAAACATAAACAATACAGTTTGTTTTGCCCCTCCTCCTTGACAAACACACATGGATCAGCTTTGCCCTGGTGAAAACCTAGAGAAAGCAATGTCTCAGTGAGTTTTGTGTTCCAACACCTGGCACTCTGCTTGAGACCATATAAGGATTTCCGCAGTTTACAGACCATTCCCTTCTGTATCTGCATTCCATCAGGTGGAAGCATGTACAGCTGCTCCTCCAAAATCCCGTACAAAAAAGCTGTATTAATGTCATGATGGGAAACATGCAGTTTCTCCTCTGCAGCTATCTTGAGCATCAGGCCGAATGGCCTCATATTTGATGGTGGGCGAGTAGGTCTCGTGGTAATGCTGTCCTGGTACCTGTGAAAAACCTCTGGCAACCAATCTGGCTTTGTGTCTGACAACCTTGCCATTCTGATCTGTCTTGGCCTTGAAGACCCATTTGCTGCCAACCAGTCTCATTCCTGGGACTACTAGTACCAATTCCCAAGTTTGGTTCCTATTCAAGGAATCAACTTCAGCCTTCATGGCATTTAGCCAAGGCTCAGCATCTTTAGAGGTTAACTCCTGAACCTCTTTGAAGCTTGAAGGTTCCCACACCTTCTCTGAGCTACTAAGAACAGCAGTTGCCGTCTTAGCAAACTCATCAGCAAATCTCTTTGGAGGTCTGCTTTTGGTCGCCCTTTCAGACCTGCGAACTAGACGTAAGTCTTCTGGATTCATCTCCTCCTTCTTAAGAGAAAAGTGACCAATGGTGAACAGCGGTTCTTCCAGTTCATTGTCAGACGCATCAGATGGTCTGACTGAGGCCTTTGCGCTCTTGTAGTCTGCTGTGTCATCACTATCACTGACAGCAGCAGCAGCGCCACCAACTGAACTAGAATCCGAACTCTGATCATCATCATCATCATCACCATCCTCCTCAGCTTCCTCAGCTTGATCTGCTTTCTTCACACCACCTCCATCCTCCTCTGGGTAACTCTGGAAAATTCCCACATTTTCCCCCCACTTTGGATTGTACTCAACACTCTTGGTGAACTTAATGGACTTAGAGTTAGTCATCCATATCCTGTATGCACCTTTCTCGTAACCCATGAACAAACCATGTGCCCCACGCTTCCCAAGCTTGTTGCTTTGTGGGGTGTGTACCCACATGTCAGAACCAAATATTTTCATGTGCTTGACGTTCGGTTTCTTACCAAACATCTTCTCGTACGGAGTGCAACCTATGGGTGATGACAGTCTCCGATTAACGGTATAAACAACCGTTGACAGAGCTTCCCCCCAAAACTTCTCAGGGAGGTTGGCATCATGCAACAAGGTTTTCAGGCCTTGAAGCAAAGTTTGATTTGCTCGCTCCGCAAGTCCATTCATCCATGGCGATCTAGGCGTTGACAAGTCATGCTGGATTCCCTTCTCAGTCAGGAAAGCTTCAAACTGCTGAGAAGTGAACTCCCCGCCCCAATCGGTAAAAAGACAGCCGATACGTTTACCACGAACATTCTCCAACCAAACACAGAATGCCTTGAACTTAGGGAATGCTTGCGATTTCTGCTCAAGCATAAACACATGAATGTACCTGGAAAAAGAATCAATTAGAACCATGAAGTACCTTGCTCCTCCCAAAGATGGCGCAAGTGGACCAACCAGGTCTGCGTGCACTAGCTGGTAGGGTTTGGAAGCCTGCCTGCTAGACTCCTTGCCTTTTGGAGCAACCTTCACCTTGTTCTCTGCACAAAATACACATTTCATGTGATACTTACAAGGTTTGATGTTCAAACCTTCAACCAACTCTGGCATATTGGCTAGCGCTTGCCAAGAGAGGTGACAAAATCTTCGATGTGCATCGTGAATGCATCCTGCATGAAGAACTTTGTTAGTTTGTGCAACACAACAAGAATCAGCATTAGACACAACAGCATTGTCATCATAAGTTATACAGAATAAACCATCCATAAACTTTGCATGCAAAACGTCCTCTTTGCCTTTCCTGATGACACAGACGCTCCTCTTGAAGGAAATCTCAAAACCACGCCCAGTCAGCTGTGGGACACTTAGCAAATTGTCCGCAGCTCCTGGAACATAAAGTACATTACTGATGGTTGTATGCAAACTTGCAAGTTTAACAGTCCCTTCTCCTGCAATTTGCAACGTCCTTCCATCAGCCAGGTGGATCTCTCCGTCTTGCGGTGTGAAGGAGATAAACAGGTGTCTATCCTTTGATAAATGGCGCCTGGCGCCTGAGTCCACAATAAACCTGGCTTTTGGAGCAGTCCTTTCAGCAAGCAAAACCTTGTTTTCCACCGGCGTGGGCTTTTGCAGCTTGCCCCCCTGCTCCTGGCCATCAGACTTGCCTTTAGCCTTTGGTGAAGCAGTGCCAGCAAACAACGCTTTGTTTTCCACTGGCGTGGGCTCTTCACCCCCCCCTCTGCTTCGGGCCATCTGCAGGCATCTGTCTTTGTTTACCTCTGGCCTTCCGGCCTCTGCAAAGACAATGACCTTGGCTCCCACGAGAAACAGAGCTCTCAGCTGCTGACTCCTTGGCTCCCCCTGGAGGATGGAATGCTGCCTGGGCTGACATCACAGTCTGCTCCCTCTGCAGCTTGCAACCGGTGCCCTCTGCATCCCTGCATTCACTCGCATTCTGGGAAACAGCCAGGACCTCTGATGCACTCACACCCTGGGCATTCAGACTCTGAGCTGGGACGATTGGCAAATGGGCAGCTTTCAAAGCATTCCACATCTTAGGTGCCGTCACGTTGCCAGCAAGCGTTTTTATTTCCTCTAGAGAGACGGACAAGACAATTATGTCAATGGCCCTCGAATCACGGGCCCTCCATCTATCTGTCAGAGGAACTGGAGGGGCTTGAGACACAGTATGCCATACTCCATACTGACGCAGCAAACTCTCACACCATTTTGCCCAGTTCTGATAATTTTTTTCATTTAACTTAGGGCATTCAGCAGCTTGGAAAAATTCCATTTCAGGTTTTCCTTGAGCCTGAGCCTCTCTCTTTACCTCAAAGAGTCCTTATCTTGGCAGCTCTGGCTCGGCTCCCAGGCCAATTAAGGTACCGCTCCGGCGGGAAGGTAAACGGCGTTTCTGTGCGCTGCTCTGGTTCACCAGAAGTAGCTTAGTCATGCTGGCCACATGACCCAGAAGCTGTACGCCGGCTCCGTCGGCCAGTTAAGCGAGATGAGCGCCGCAACCCCAGAGTTGTCTACAACTGGACCTAATGGTCAGGGGTCCCTTTACCTTTACCTTTACTTGAAGGACCAAACCAAGAATTACAACAATCTCTTCCACAAACACCTTGCATATGAACTTCGTAAAATAATGAAAGTGTACTACCCCTCACCCCCGCTCGCTCTCCCCACCTCTCAATTCCCCAGCCTTACACTGTATACAACATTAAAGTCTGTCTGTCTCTGAATTTTTATGATATCCAAAGTAACAGAGTAGCTTACAGTTAGGAAGCCAAATAGTTATTCTAGTTGATAGTTCCTTTTTACAGACTATACAGTGGCCAGACTCTTGCTATTCAAAAGAACTTTACTTTCATAATCATATAACTGAGAAGAATAGAAGAGGAGTCTGTAACCTGAAGTGTATGTAACCCGAGGTACCACTGTACAATCTTCTGCTTATTCAAACACGGGCACGTTCTCCCTTGAATTCTCTTATAGTTTCTTATGAAACATTTTTCTTTCACATCAGCAGTATTGTCTCTGTTTCTGCACAGGTTTCTGCTTATTAACATTTAGTGGCCGCCGGGACCACATAACACCGGTCCTGAGAGATCTGCATTGGCTCCCAGTACGTTTCTGAGCACACTTAAAAGTGTTGGTGCTGACATTTAAAGCCTTAAACGGCCTTGGTCCTGTATACCTGAAGGAGCATCTCCACCCCCATCGTTCAGCCCGGATACTGAGATCCAGAGCCGAGGGCCTTCTGGTGGTTCCCTCATTGCGAGAAGTGAGGTTACAGGGAACCAGACAGGGGGCCTTCTCTGTACTGGCGCCCACCCTGTGAAACACCCCCTCCCTTCAGATGTGAAGGAAATAAACAGCTATCCTATGTTTAAAAGACATCTGAAGGCAGCCCTGTTTAGGGAAGTTTTTAATATTTAATGCTGTACTGTTTTTAACACTTGATTGGGAGCTGCCCAGAGTGGCTGGGGAAACTCAGCCAGATGGGCGGGGTATAAATAATAAATTATTATTATTATTATTATTATTATTATATAATGATCTTCCTCTGCTTCACTTCAGATAATTCAGTGGGGCCTCTTCTCATTTCATTCTCTTCTGGATCAGTGCCTTAATCCTTTGTAGATTCTGTATATCACAGAATAACCATTGAGATGTCCCCAGATGTTGTTGTCCAGTTCCCATCAGCTTCAGCCAGCAGGGCAGACAGTCAAGGATGATAGAAACTCTAATCTGGACCTCACCACCTGGACTCTGCTGCCCTATATCCTTCCCATTGAAACAACCGTGAAAATTAATTTTGTACGCTATAGATTTATCCTGGTCTGGTGCATGCAATGTCTTTTGTTTTGCAGCTGTGTGATTTGTGCTCATATTGTATTGTGGTGGCCATTGGCTATAAACAATAAAATGTATAGATACGGTAGATTGAACTGCAAAAATAAGTAATAAAATAATAAAATGATTTTATTTTTTTGGTCCTCACTCCAAAATGGTGTGTGTGTTTTTGGTTATATTGGGGGTGGGGTGGGGGTGGAGAAGTATGAAGGCCAAAACCGTTCCCCTCCTCTGCTAAATGGATGCAGGAGACCAGAGGCAGCGAATGAAAAAGCAGGGAAAGAGAAACCCTCCAAGTGCCACTATTTCCCAGGGATGTCCCTGATTTAGAGAAGCCGTCCTGGTTTCTGATTTGATCCCAGAATATTCCGCTTTTCCTTAGGGTCTCCCTATTTTCATTGAAGAAATGCTGGAGGGAATGGAGTTATCCGACCCCCGGGCCCTCTGAGAAGACAATCCTGTATAGGGACGTTTGAAAATGTTTAATGTTTTATTATGTTTTTTATATATGTTGGAAACTTCCCAGAGTGGCTGGGGCAACGTAATAAGATGTGCGGTATATAAATAGGAAAATTATGTTTATGGAATGGGATGTTCCTATTTTCATCAGAGAAATGTTGGAGGGTTTGGAAAGGTCGGTTGGTGGAGCTAAGTGATTGCATGATCCCAACCAGCAGAGCTGGGAACAGGACTGCCTCCTCCAGCTACCCATTCGGGCTGCAGGCATAGCTGTCAACCTTCCCTTTTTTTTTGGCGGGAAATTCCCTTATTCCAGTGCCATTTCCCGCTGCTATCCCGGATTGTTAGATATCCTGTAGACTGTCCCCGGGACAGGTGAGGCTGCTGATCCCTTATTTTCAAATCTGAAAATTGACAGCTATGGCTGCAGGGTGGCATCGTCCCAGCTTTCTGAAAATATTTGCTGATAAGGAAACCAGTGACTGCACATCGGATCACAAGGAGACTTATTTGTGCAACATTCTGGATATCTTATAAGATGCCATGTAGATTCCAACGATACAATAAATTTTGAGGGACAGCGCAAGGGGGCGCATCCAGCCTGGCAGCCTCCCAGGGCCCAACCCACAGCCAGCGAGCTCCGATGCCCAGAGAGGCAGGAAACGGGGCCAGCCAGGGGGACTCGAGAGCGGCTGCACTTTCCTGTCCCCCGCCGAGGAGAGCGGAGGAGCAGCGGCCCATGGCCTGGCGAGTTTCCCCGGAGAGGAGCCGGATTCCGGTGCAGGGACGGAGCGAGGAGTCCGAGGTGCAGGAGGGAGGAGGAGGAGAGCACGTACGCCTCGCCTGGCAGGATCAGGCCCCGAGTGGAGTCAGAGGCTGCAGGGCGCCCCCCAACCGGGCAGGAAGGGGAAGGGGCGCAGCTGAGGGGCAGGGCATCTGCAGGAGGGCACAGGGGCAAACATCTCTGGCTCAGGCTGGCACGGACCCTGCCGGAGACCCTGGGGAGCTGCTCCCTTCAGTCCTGAGCTCAAGGGGCAGAATGAGGGGTCCAAGGGAAGGGGAGGAAGGGGGGGGGGAGAGCAGTGCAGCACGGGGGGGCTCTTCCTGTGCAGCCCCCTGACACCCTTTGCAGACCACTACTCCTGCCCCCCCTTCCTCTGCCAGTGCCATTGATAAATCTATCGCCCTCATTTGTGAATTGGTCTGATCGCCTTTGAAAGCTCTCTTTGCCACCACCATCACCGCATCTTGTGGCAATGATGTCCGTCAGGTTCATTTAGCAAGGAAATGGCTTCTTTTGCCTGCCCCAAATCAAGGTACACTGTGCCTACACATGGAGGTTCTGTTGATCTGTCACGGCAATTAAAACAGCTGATAGATCTATACTCCAGAGAATGCATCTGATCTTTTCCCAAGCTGTCAAAGCTAGTGACCTCTTGTGTCTGCGTGTAAATAAGTGAGACAGGCTTAAGCCTGGTTTCATTAATTGTTTTATTTCCACCTTCCTCAGTAAGGCAAATGAAGGACGAGTGTTGAAGTGAGTTCCAGATTTGAGAAGGCAGAGGAAAGGAGGATTCTATGTTCAGATTATTCATGTTCAGATTATTACTCATTTCATTTCTATACTGCTTCATATTTTTAAGGGAAAAAATCTCAAAGCAATTAATGGAAAATCTCATTGCAGTTTGTGTCCATAGGATGTTGAGAGCATTAACTCTGTAGATCCAGGAGTTCTCTCCTCCTGATAGTCTCAGATTTGATTGTTCTTTCTGATAGAGAGGAGGAACGAAACATTTATGGGCTTAAAGCTGCATTAATTCTGGAGGCCACATTCCAGTGAGCTTTGTGGCCAATGTATGCGCATGCATGTGCACCCAGAAAAGAGATGCAGACCATAAAGTCACATGCACACATGCCAGAGGTGCTGCCCACACTCACCAGACATGCCATCTAGCATACATACAAGTCTTGCAAACACAATCAGCATGTTTAGACCTTCCAACCCCAGTCTTGGGGGGAGGAGAAATAAGAGCACAAGAAGACCCTGCTGAATTAGCAATGAGTTCTAAGAAAAAAGACCCTAATGATCATTCTTTAGAAATCCTTTAAAGAGCAGCCCGAGGGATCATTTATTTCCAGAGCAGGGCTTTTACCCCATTTCAGCACTGTGCTGGTTTGTGGTGAAATTGGAGTTTAAAAAATCTCTCTAAGGCCCCTTAGGCATCTTTCTCTTCAGGACAGACAGAGATCTTCATCCTATGATCAGATCAGGAGATGGAAACGGCAGGGACTAGCAGGACACACCCTGAGGCTTGGCAAGCCATATGCAGCCAATGGACTGCAAGTTAGAATGTCTTCAGTCAAGAGAGTTTGTGACCATCAAATATAAAATATTTTGGAGTGAGTTCTTTGATTTTGTTGGTCAATATTTGTTTTGTCAGTTTCTTAGACTGTGCAGATACCATACATTTAAAGCACGTGGCTTCCCCAGAGAACCACAGGACCTGTAGTTTATTGCTACAGCTCTCAACACCCCTAACAAACTGTAGCTCACAGGATTTCTCGGGTGAAGTCATGTACTTTCAATGTTAGGTGGGTCTGTTGCAGCCTTAATCACATACAAAGATCTGTTGCTGCCTTTCCAACATGCTAGAAGTTGCAGCCAGGATCAGCATTCCCTGTCCACTGAACATGCTCAGTCCTCTCACTGGGTTGTTTTTGGATTTCCTTCCACTGCCTTGGTTCCCCCACCCCCAAATATTATTTGTACTTCCATAAACCTTGATGTTTCCCCCAGTCTTTGGATAACTTCCCCTCGTCCCTGGGTGGAGTCATTTGGGTGACATAATGATTGTCATTCACATCCTGAACATTAGAAATAGAAAGAGTAATAATATATTTCAAAAACTGGCTAATGCTTAAAAAATGTGCTTTTGTTTTTATTCTTGGGTTTTATTTTACTTTGTGTTTATTTCTGTTCCAGGAGGGTGACGTAAAAATTGCAGAGCAGCGACCCAGGAGACCCATTCAAAGGGAGAGACTGGAGTGTAAAGGAAAGAACCCTCCTGCCGGCCAAGTTGGGACCATCAGGGATCTTCTGCCTCGGGCAGATTTATGTCAAATTAAGCAGGAGGCAGAGGAGGGGCAGTCACAGCAGCAGTCGGAGGCCCAGAAGCAGGATTTCCTGAAGACGATGCAGCCCCCTCGTTCAGGGTGGGAAACCCCACAGGCTCCCAGTTCTCCCCACTCTGGGGATGGTGTCCTCTCCTTCAGGGGAGCTGCAGATGCCAGTCGGTGGCCCAGTGGGAGAGTAGGGGGAGCAGACCAGACCCAGCTCCCAGACACTGAGGGGCTTCTGGGAAAGGTAAGTGCCCTCCTCTCACCTGGGTTTCCAGGACCTGGAGGTCACAGGTCCAGTGCCTCTAGACATGGAGGTTCTGTTTAGCTTTGGTGGTGAATATTCCTCCTCCCTGCACTTTCTCTCTAATCCACTTTTAAAAGGCTTGCTAGACCAAACTTTCTTACACATGGGAGTTTTGCGATCATATCTCCTGATGTTGTTACTTTAATAAAGCAACCACAGGGGACTCTGAATTTCATCAGAGCAGAAGCTACATCAGAAGAGGGGTCCTTCCACCAACCCCCTTTTTCCTCCTCTAAATTGCCTCCATTTCCAAAATGCTCTTTTCTCCCCACTGAGGTAAAAATCTTGGCACGTCTTGCAGCCTCACCACTGCCATCTGCAGTGCAAATAGAATAACACTAGCCTACATTGCAAGATTGTTCCAAGATTTATTAAGATAATGTCCATGTTCAGATGACTGAATCACAGCCTGAAAAGTTGGGTTACAAATAGGAACAATTTTTGGTACATTGCTGTACTAATGTACATTTGGTACATTACGATAAAACCTAAGTTGACCCAAGTTTAAAACAAAAAACTCTAGCCGCCACCACCACAGTCTCCTGAACCCCACAAACAGAATGCATCACTCCAGGAAGGACTCCCCACCCAACCTTTAGTGAGAGAGGGAAAAGAGAAGGACTCTGCATGGGTAGTTGCACAAATTTACCAGCTGTGGTCCTGCACTGGCAGCAAGGCTAACAAACAGGGGAGCTGGGAACGTGCTGGTCCCATATCTCCCTGCATCTGCCTCCTGACCTAATTGTCCCAGCTTACCTCATGATTGGGCCGGCCCTGATGGGGAACTGTGATGAAACCAGACAGTCTCTTATGAGCCATAACTAACAAACTTTCCATTTTGCCCAAACCAGGAAACTATGGCTGCCAGCTTTGGAACAAGCTGGGATATTAAGCTAACTTCAAACTGTGCTTGGTCAAAACAGGAAATTCTGGCTGATCAGTGGCTTCGTGGTTTGACTGATCCCACTGATAGCAGTAAAAATAGGAAGCCCTGTTGCGTTCGAAGGGGTTGTTTGGACAAAGTCTCTGATCAGCATGCCTAGCAGGACAGGCTTAAAAAGGTAAAGGGACCCCTGACCATTAGGTCCAGTCATCACCAACTCTGGAGCTGCAGCGCTCATTTCGCTTTTTTGGCCGAGGGAGCCGGCGTACACCTTCCGGGACATGTGGCCAGCATGACTAAACCGCTTCTTGCGAACCAGAGCAGCGCACGGAAATGCCGTTTACCTTCCTGCCAAAGCGGTACCTATTTATCTACTTGCACTTTGACGTGCTATCGTACTGCTAGGTTGGCAGGAGCAGGGACCGAGCAACGGGAGCTCACCCCATCGCAGGGATGCAAACCGCCGATTATTATTACTTTCATCCTCCCTATCTGACTGGGTTGCCTCTGCCCATCTGGGTAGCTTCCAACAAAATAAAAACCATCAAAAATTTCCTTGTAAAAGGCTGCCTTCGGAAATCTTCCATTTTGTAGAAATGGCCTTCGGTTTTACAGAATTGTCCTCTTTAAGGAATCACGTGGTGTAAACATGCAAGTTGTCCTCTAGGTCCAAACACACACAGACACATACATAGTAGGAGCAAGCAGTGCTTTAAAGTGCTTCTCTTGCAAACTTGCCATCTAAGTTGTTTACTCCTGACCAAAGCTCCTGTTTCCCTAAAGGACAGGAGGGGGAGCAGAGGAGGAAACGAATGGGTTTGAAGGCTCTTTCCACCAGCCGCCTCTCTCCCCTGAGGAACAAGAGCAAAGGGTGTTTTCAGGGCAGGAGGGCAGAGGAGGAGGCAGCGAGGGCAGAGGGAGCAGTGGGCGGATCCCCCGCCTCTCCCAGGGGGTCCAGATGCAAGCAAGGGGCTTCCTTCTTCTCCATGCAAGGGCCACCCATGTATTCAGAGCAGTCCTTTAAAGATTAACACTTAAGTTCCATGGGATCTACTCTCAGGCCACTAATGTGCATACCATGCCAGCCTTAAGAAGGGAGGTGGGACAGGCAGGTGAAAGGAATTGCCAAAGGTGTTTGAAAATGCGTGGGGTCCCTTGGGAAGGGGGTGCCCAGTTGGGGCTTCTTCAGGGGCAGCAGAATGTCTTGGGCAGGAGAATCCCTGCAGGGGCTCTCAGACTCCCTTGGCTTCTTCTTCCCTCCCTCCCAGGAAGCTGCAACTTGCTCTGGATTCTGCGCTCCTCAGGAAGCTGAACCTGCAAACCTAGCTGAGACTGAACCTGCAACCCTGGCCAGGATGGAAGGAGGAAGATGGACGGTTGACCTGGTCAGGCTCTCTCCCGCATCCCTCCCCACAACCTCTGAGCATTCCCTCCCAGGACCCTTGGAGAAATCTGGTGAGTTCCAGAGGAGAGGAGATGGGGACAGGGATAGATGGTGGAGGGAGAAAGAGGAAAAGATGGAGAGGAGACAAATGGAAGGAAGTTCCTGACAGGAAGAAGGAAGGGGTGAGGCCTTCTCCAAAGCAGCTCTTTGTTTCTTGAATCCTTTTCCTAAAGTAGTGGGAGCAGATTTTCTTTCTCCAGGCTTTGAAATCTTAGGTGTTATTTCCACGGCAAGAATAATTGATGATAATGATGTTGCACACCAATCCTGAAAAATGGGTGAAGGGGAATGGAAATGCTTCCCATAATTAGTTATAATTAATGTATTTAAATAGTTTCTGTTACTCTTATTTTTTATAGACAGGGTCAGAATGATACATTCCACCAGCACCAAAACACAATAAATGCATGCACCTTCCCAGTCTGGTGGGGTTCAGGGACAAAGGACCAGTTATCATGATACACGATTCTTGTGGCTGGAGGCTCTGCACTTAGGATTGGGCATATAAAGTCAAAGAGCGGATGGTATTATAAGCAAATTGTGTAAACTTGCCAATCTTACAGACTGGGGTTGTGTGTGAGAGGGAGGGAGGGAGGGAGTGGGATTATAATTTATAGCGCCCCTGTGTAATGGCTTGGTTCTCCCGCACAGACGCGAGACAACTCCAGTAGTAATTATCTCAGGTTTATTGCTCAAACTCACAAATCACTGTGGAGCTCAGTCTTCGGCCTGTTCATCCCAGCTTGCAGTTGCCAAGTCCTCCAACAAAGAAGCCCCCACTTTCACTTTCTTTCCCCCTCTTCTCGCAGATTCTCTTGAGCCTACGATTTTTTGGACAGGCTATTTCCAGGGTCTCTGTGTCAGAGCTCAAACCAGAGATAACAGTCTGTGCCCCCCCCCGGCACCCCCTCTTCCTGCTCTTTCTTCTTTCCTCCTGCTGCAGCTTGGCTGCTCCTCCCCTGCTTCACATTCCAACTGAATCACATCTCTTGCGTTCTCAGGCTCTGTCACCGGAGGCACGAGAGGCTTGAGATTCACAGAGCTGACACCCTGTAATTTTGTCCGTTCCTAAGCTTCCATGGAGATACTGTGGTACAACCTAGGTGCAAATTTCAACATAAGTACACAAAGCCAACAAAGAGACTCAGAGGTTTATAGTGGCACCAGCTTTCCTGGTCAAGAGTCCTCTTTGTCAGACTGCAGCCCACAAAAGCTTAGACCATAATACATTTATCTGCCTTTAAGGGCTGCAAAAGATGAATAAACAGAAGCGTAGTTCATCTATGGAATCTATGCTACAGGAGACAGTGACGGCCAGCAACATGGATAGCTTGAGGAAAAGGATAAGACAGACGTCTCTGCTCTGCCCTCGCGGTCTTAGGCAATAATGCTTCTTAATACTAGTTTCTGGAAAGCACAGGAAGGCAGAGAAGACTCTTGTGCTCCAATCCTGCTTGCCGGTTTCCCACAGGCATCTGGTTGGCCTCTGTGAGAAGAGGATGCTGGACTAGGTGGGCCTTTGCCTGATCCAGCAGGCTCTTCTTAGGTTCCAATCTATTGCAATATTTTTACAGTTACATGTAGCACTTAAGTTTTATTTATTTCACAATGGAGACACTGTTACTTGAGCCTGAGATCATTTCTTCACTTCAGAAAGAAAAAATAGATGTGTCTAATAAGACAATTCCACCATAGATCTGTATTATAAAACGATGGTGCTTTATTAAGTTTGAATGGAGTGATCATGTTTTGCTCTTGCCACTATCTCATCAGCTTTCGTAAAATTTGGAACATAGAGAGGATAGTGGAGAATGAAGGTGTTAAAATGAGAGAAGGTACAGATTGGGATTGACATGTGTTCAGTTCCCTTTTTGTCTTTCTTGAAAGTCTAACAGGATTCTCTTTCCTCCCAGACTCCCAAACAGGTGAGGAAGATGAAAGTCATAATTCTATGGAGCCACATGTGAATTTATGGGGGAAAACAAAGAAATTGAGGATACAACAAAAAAGTCACAAAGGAGAGAAACTATTTGAATGTATTGAATGTGGAAAGAGCTTCAGTCAAAGTGGAGCACTTAGAAGACACCAACGAACTCATACAGGGGAGAAACCATTTGAATGTTTTGAGTGTGGAAAGAGCTTCAGTGAAAGTGGAGCACTTAGAAGACACCAACAAACTCATACAGGGGAGAAACTATTTGAATATTCGGCATGTGGAAAGAGCTTCAGTCAAAGTGTAGCACTCAGAATACACCAAAGAACTCACACAGGAGAGAAACCATTTGAATGTTTTGAGTGTGGAAAGAGCTTCAGTGAAAGTTGAGCACTTAGAAGACACCAACAAACTCATACAGGGGAGAAACTATTTGAATGTATGGCATGTGGAAAGAGCTTCAGTCAAACTGGATATCTTAGAATACACCAAAGAATTCACACAGGGGAGAAACCATTTGAATGTTTTGAGTGTGGAAAGAGCTTCAGTGAAAGTGGAGCACTCAGAAGACACCAACAAACTCACACAGGGGAGAAACCATTTGAATGTTTTGAGTGTGGAAAGAGCTTCAGTGTTAGTGGATCACTTAGACTACACCCACAAACTCACACAGGGGAGAAACCATTTAGATGTTTTGAATGTGGAAAGAGTTTTAGCATAAGCGGAGCACTTATAATGCACCAACGAACTCATACAGGGGAGAAACCATTTAAATGTGTTGAATGTGGAAAGAGCTTCAGTCGAAATGATACACTTAGAAGACACCAACGAACTCATACAGGGGAGAAACCATTTGAATGTTTTGAGTGTGGAAAGAGCTTCAGGGATAGTGGAAAACTTAGAATACACCAAAGAATTCACACAGGGGAGAAACCATTTGAATGTTTTAAATGTAGAAAGAGCTTCAGTGAAAGTGCAAAACTTAGAAGACACCAACGAACTCACAGAGGGGAGAAACCATTTGAATGTTTTGAGTGTAGAAAGAGCTTCAGTGAAAGTGGATCACTTAGAATACACCAACGAACTCACACAGGGGAGAAACCATTTAGATGTATTGAATGTGGAAAGAGTTTTAGCATAAGCGGAGCACTTAGAATGCACCAACGAACTCATACAGGGGAGAAACCATTTAAATGTATTGAATGTGGAAAGAGCTTCAGTCGAAATGATACACTTAGAATACACCAACGAACTCACACAGTGGAGAAACCATTTAAATGTATTGAATGTGGAAAGATCTACAGTCTAAGTGGAGCACTTAGAATACACCAACGAACTCACACAGGGGAGAAACCATTTAAATGTATTGAATGTGGAAAGAGCTTCAGTGAAAGTGGAGCACTTAGAAGACATCAACGAACTCACACAGGGGAAAAATCACAGATACTTTAATAAACCGTATACGTGTTCTTTACCTTTCCTTCTATGCTTCCCTGCAATACTGATAAAATCAAACCACGCCAATGCTTTCAGCCCCAGAAGAGGAGCTCTCCTTGGTGTCAGGGGAGGGGTCCAAGGGAGCATCTGAGGCCCTGCCATTCCTTCTGTCCCTGGCCCCTTCCCCTCCTCTCTCTGCCATCCCAGGGCCACTCTTGACTCCACAGCAGGAGACTGGATTTGTCTGTGATGGTGAGATGTCCTGGGTGGTTGAAGGACCACTTCCTGTTTCCTGGAGCTCCATCCTGCCTTCTCATGCAAGGAGGAGTCATGAAGCAGGTGAAGGCTGAGCACACCTAAGGGTGGCGCAGCGGGTGGGTGGGATTCTGCTTAACCTTTCCCCGTCTGCTCCTTTAATGGATCCACATCCCCACACCAAAAGGGGCAGTGTGAGGGTGCAATCAGTGTTATGGAGCTGCACTGAAAATCATTGCTTTGTGACCGTAAGAGGCCCTTCTCAAAAAAACAAGCATCAAGAGAATTTAAGCTATAGAATTTAAAACAAACAGATAATTACAAAAAAAGAAAGCAATCTGGTGCCACATTGCATAGGAGTTACTTTAGCACACTGTACCTGCGGCTTCCTTTGAAAAGAGCTCAGAAACTTCAATGGCTCAAAGAGCTGCAGACACTTTGCTGACCAGGGCTGGCTATAGGCAGTATAGGACTCCCATATTAGAACAGCTCCATCTGCCTAATTGTGTGTTTCTGGACACAATCAATGTGTCCACAAGAAGAGGAAGATAGATTTGAGGAAGGCCAACCTGCAGAGGCACTACAAGTCGAAGCACATCCAGTACCAGGAGTTCCAAGGGCACCTGCACCAGGAGAAGGTCAAGGCGCTGAAAACGAACCTGTTGGGTAACCTGTGGCCCCTCCAGATGATGTGAAATTGCAACTCACGTCTTCTTTAGCCGTTGGCCACGCTGGCTGGGGCTCATGGGAGCTGGAGTCCAAGGATCTAGGTGCACAAATGCCGGGGACAATTCAAATCCTTCCTCAGTCGTGAAGCCGATTGGGCGACTTAAAGCTGGTCACCATCTTTATGCGAAACCTCCCTCGCAGGGTTGCTGTGTGCGTGAAAGCAATATATCTTTTGGTGGGCTTGATGAGGGGAGTGTGGAACAGAAATGTAATTCATAGGTAAGAAGACAGGAAGTAGTTCTGAATCTGACTGAAAATAAAGGATTCTTTGTCTCCAAATTGCATATAGCAAGCACCTGTGTTGTTGAACTCTAGCTGAAGTTTCAGCATCTGGTTCCTCAGCACTCTGCACTCTCTCTCTCTGGAAACCTCCAGCTGTCAGGTGACAGGAACCAGCCAATGCCTCCCAGTTCAGAAACAGTCTGCCAACTGCTGAGATTGGAAGTGGACAAGGTCAAGAAAACAAGTTAACGAATGATAAGTTATGGGAAGATTCGATGTTTTATTTTTTTAATGAAGAAGAAGAAGAAGAGTTTGGATTTGATATCCCGCCTTTCACTCCCCTTCAGGAGTCTCAAAGCGGCTAACATTCTCCTTTCCCTTCCTCCCCCACAACAAACACTCTGTGAGGTGAGTGGGGCTGAGAGACTTCAGAGAAGTGTGACTGGCCCAAGGTCACCCAGCAGCTGCAAGTGGAGGAGCGGGGAATCGAACCCGGTTCACCAGATTACGAGTCCACCGTTCTTAACCACTATACCACTTTTCTGTTTTTGTATTTTCTGTTTTTTCTTTTCTTATTATGATGTGTTGTTTTTGATGTTGTTTAATATGATGTTATTATTTTTTCTTTTTGTAACCTTTAAAACCTTAATAAATATTATTAAAATAAATAAATAAATGTGACCATTTGCTGCCTCCCAAAATTATGCTTAAGCCTTTCCCCTTTCCCCCCAAAAAAAACAACAACAATTCAAACATGGTAGCTGGTCTTGTCAAACGGGCCAATATAAGGTTCATTTGGCAAGTTTGTTGTTGTTTATTCGTTTATTTGTGTCCGACTCTTCATGACCCCATGGACCAGAGCACGCCAGGCATTCCTGTCTTCTACTGCCTCCCGCAGCTTGGTGAAACTCATGTTCGTAGCTTTGAGGACACTGTCCAACCATCTCGTCCTCTGTTGTCCCCTTCTCCGTGTGCCCTCCATCTTTCCCAACATCAGGGGGGTCTTTTCCAGGGAGCCTTCTCTTCCCATGAGGTGGGCAAAGTATTGAAACCTCAGCTTCAGTATGTGTCTTTCCAGTGAGCACTCAGGGCTGATCTCCTTCAGAATGGATAGGTTTGATCTTCTTGCAGTCCATGGGACTCTCAAGAGTCTCCTCCAGCACCATAATTCTTTTTTTTTATAATAAATAATATTTATTAAAGTTTCAAAGCATTACAAAAAGAAAAAGAAAACAGAAAAAAACAAAGTACAGAAAAATAAAAATAATTAAAAACAAATCAATCTTTACATGTCTTGTCTTTCATTTACTTGTTTCCCTGACCTCCTCACACCTCCCTTTTTTGTATTCTAGTTCAATTAGTTACTTCAGCATATCGTTTCCATTTTTGCTTTTATCTTAATGATTTATCTTAATATATTGTAACTTTACATTCTCACCTATTCATGATCTATTTTTTTTAAATGATATTTTATTAAGGTTTAAGAATAACAACAAACAGAAAAAGGAAAAAAAATATACACAAAAATATAAAATTATAAAATACAAAAAATACAAAAGTTTAACTTATATTCATAGTAAAGTTTAAGTTTAAGAAAAGAAGGGAAAAAACAAAAAAGAAAGAAAAAATCACATTAAAAAAACCCACAAAAATCCCTCTTTTTAATTCCTCATCTTTGATTCACTTATTTTCCTGACTTCCTCACGTCTCCCTTTTTTGTATCCCTTTTGAAAATTAGTTCAGCAAATTCATATCCAATTAATTTATCTATTATCAATCCAATCTTATTTTTACCTTGTTGCTAGAACCCCTTCAGTTCATTTCAATGCCATTAACATTCAAAAAATTTACAATGTTTCTGTAAATAAATTTTAAATTTCCTCCAATCTTCTTCCACCAACTCTTCTCCCTGGTCTCGGATTCTGCCAGTCATTTCCGCCATTTCCATGTAGTCCATTACTTGCATCTGAATTTTACCTAATTCTATAACATTACTGCTAAAACCGCATAACTTCATTCCAGCATCCTTCTAACATTCCTTAATTTTACAATGTTTCACTTCCGTCCAGCATTTTTCATAATTATCTTTGAATAAATTCACATTCTTGGCAGTCATATTAACCCCCAGGTATTTCACTTTGTTAACCAATGTTAAACCTGTCTCCTTCTGAAACCTCTCCCTCTCAGTCACTGTTATTCTCTAAAACCTTAGTTTTTAACTTACTCAACTTGAATCCTGCAACCTGACCGAATTCTTGAATCAGTTCCAATACTCTTTTAGTACTAGATTCTGGCTCCTGTAATGTCAATACTAGATCATCAGCAAATGCTTTCAATTTGCACTGTTTGGCTCCGACTTGTATACCTTTAACCAATTGGTCCCTTCTAATCATATTTAAGAGAACCTCCAGGTCCGATATAAAAAGCAATAGGGAAATTGGGCAACCTTGTCTTGTTCCCTTCAGCACCATAATTCAAAAGCATCCATTCTCCATCGATCAGCCTTCTTTATGGTCCGGCTCTCACTTCCATACATCACTACTAGGAAAACCATAGCTTTAACTATAAGGACCTTTGTTGGCAAGGTGATGTCTCTGCTTTTTAAGATGCTGTCTAGCTTTGTCATTGCTTTTCTCCCAAGAAGCAATTTGGCAGCAGGACTTGAAACAGTGGCCCATATTCCTACCCAAACCTGGGAGGGCTGGGACATGTCATGGCTTGACTGGTTGCCAAACCTAGGATGGGCAAAAGGCCTGTTTTTGCTGCTGCTTGGTCCACTTTTCATTTTGCTAATTTTTTGCTTTTCTGTACCTTGCTTGCTGCAATGCTTGCATACAATGACACGCAATATGATTTCTCGCATGCTTCGCCCCCAGATTATAGCTCTGACCCGAGAATATCAGCCTGTGCCTTCCTGGGACGAGCCTTTTTAAGAAAAAGGCTGTCCAAATTTGAGAGGTATGGAATGAAGGGGTACAGTTAGGGTTACCCCAGAAAGCCCTAAAAAAACTGTTTGTGAATTCCCCCCCCCCAGCCAGGCCTCGGCGTACGCATTTTAAAAACTGCATTTCTAAGACGAAAAGCATGAGCTAAGCAGTCCTCTCTGTAACAAAAACGCTGTAACAAACCCATAGCTGAGAACAGAAAAGCTTTTCGCTTCCCAGATCCAAGATAACCTTGTCCTGGTACATTGATTTGCAACATACTTCCGGGAACAGAGCCAGAGAACGAAAAGCAACATTTCTATGTAAGAATCTGTGAAGGGGGAGAGGAAAAAAGGGGTTTGAAAAAAGGATAAAACCTGCTTGTAAAATGTTTTCGGTGCGGCCTGTCTTTTGTGAACTGAATCACACAGGTGCCTTCTGCCCCCCCCCCCGGATGGCAGAATAAAACGCTCTTTCTCTGGATTAACCCCTTGGTGTTGTTTGGCTCCTTTTGTCTCTGCTCGGGTGCAACAATTATTCCTACCCATGGATTAAAAAGGCTACAGCGTCTTGTGGTCTGGTGCGTCTTATAGAGCAAAAAATACGGTACCTAGCTTTAAAAATAATATAAAATCAACATCTTTGCTAGTTTCCTCCATTCCAAAGCTATTTTCCCCTTGAAAAAGGACTCCAGGAAGTGTCCAGGGGTGACAATTGCTGAGCTGGGCCAAGGAAAGCCTAATCCTATCACCAAACTTGCCAAGGGGCCAGACATGCAAAGGAAGTTCTATTGTACTTTGGGTGATGGGACTTCAGAGGTGTTTGCCTATGCTAATCTAATACCTGAGTCTTGCCCTGACATGGGCATGCTTATGCTAATCTTTTATCAAGGACTTGTCTGGACATGTTTGCCAAGGTTAGACTAGTGTAACCCCTGTCTACCCCTCCGCTATTGTGACATGTCAGTGATGTAACAATTATATAGCAATGATGCTCTACAAACAGTATTCTGGGATATCGTGGGGAAGTTTTAAAAGTGTTTGTCACCCCATGCTTGGGGTCCAAAATTCCTCTTTGAACCTGTTGCGTAATAAACTTTGGTCTACAGCTATTTTCTCCAGTTGGTGGCTGGACTCCTTCCTTTATTCTGCAAGGGACCTGCGGGCACTTCCCAACGAGCTGGTTTGACTGAACAGCCTCACACCTAGATTTTTCCATAATACTCAGGAGACAGATGAGGTGATCTGGCACTCCCATTTCTTTAAGAACTTGCCATAGTTTGCTGTGGTCGACACAGTCAAAGGCTTTTATGTAGTCAGAGAAGCAGAAGTAGATGTCTTTCTGGAACTCCCTAGCTTTCCCCATAATCCAGCATGTTTGCAATTTGGTCTCTGGTTCCTCTGCCCCTTCGAAATCCAGCTTGAACTTCTGGGAGTTCTCAGTCCACATACTGCTTAAGCCTGCCTTGTAGAATTTTAAGCATAACCTTGCTGGCATATTGAGTCTAGCACCTTAACAGCATCATCTTTTAAAATTTTGTTGTTGTTTTTTTTAGAATATTTATTGAAGTTTTACAAAAACATAGGTTTGCAAAATACATAAAAAAAGAAAACAGGAAAAGAAAAAGATAACAAGAGAAAACATACAAAAATACATGAAAAAGAAAAATACAAAATACAAAATACAAAAAACGAATAGATAAAAAAGAGTTAAAAACAAATCCATTTTTTGTAACTTTAAACTCATTAGCTTGTTTCCTTGACCTCCTCACACCTCCCCTTTTTGTATTCCCATTTAAATAACCAAATCAGCAAATCCTTACCCTCTTTCGTTTATCTTAACTCTATATCTTAACATATTATAATTCTCTATTTTCATCCATTATCAATTCATTTTTTCATATTCTCGTTAACTTTGTTGCTAATGTCACTTATTTTCAATCCAACATAGGTTTGCAAAATACATAAAAAAAGAAAACAGGAAAAGAAAAAGATAACAAGAGAAAACATACAAAAATACATGAAAAAGAAAAATACAAAATACAAAATACAAAAAACGAATAGATAAAAAAGAGTTAAAAACAAATCCATTTTTTGTAACTTTAAACTCATTAGCTTGTTTCCTTGACCTCCTCACACCTCCCCTTTTTGTATTCCCATTTAAATAACCAAATCAGCAAATCCTTACCCTCTTTCGTTTATCTTAACTCTATATCTTAACATATTATAATTCTCTATTTTCACCCATTATCAATTCATTTTTTCATATTCTCGTTAACTTTGTTGCTAATGTCACTTATTTTCAATCCAACATCATTTTTAACATTCATTAATTTTACAGTGTTTTCGCAAATAGTCTTTAAATTTTTTCCAATCTTCTTCCACCAACACTTATCCCAGGTCTCGAATTCTGCCAGTCATTTCCGCCATTTCCATGTAGTCCATCACCTTCATCTGCCACTCTTCCAGGGTGGGTAAATCTTGTGTCTTCCAATACTTTGCAATGAGTATTCTTGCTGCTGTTGTTGCATACATGAAGAAAGTTCTATCCTTCTTTGGCACCAATTGGCCGACTATGCCCAGGAGAAAGGCCTCTGGTTTCTTCAGGAAGGTATATTTAAATACCTTTTTCATTTCATTATAGATCATCTCCCAGAAAGCCTTAATCTTTGGGCACGTCCACCAAAGGTGAAAGAATGTACCTTCATTTTCTTTACATTTCCAACATTTGTTATCGGGCAAATGATATATTTTTGCAAGCTTGACTGGTGTCATGTACCACCTGTATATCTTTTTCATAATATTCTCTCTTAAGGCATTACATGCCGTAAACTTCATACCGGTGGTCCACAACTGTTCCCTGTCAGCAAACATAATGTTATGACCAATATCTTGTGCCCATTTAATCATAGCAGATTTAACCGTTTCATCCTGCGCATTCCATTTTAACAGCAAGTTATACATTCTTGAAAGTGTCTTAGTTTTGGGATCTAACAATTCTGTTTCCAATTTTGATTTTTCCACCTGGAAGCCAATTTTTTTGTCCAAATTATAGGCCTCTCTTATTTGATAATAATGAAGCCAGTCTCGCACTTTATCTTTTAATTTCTCAAAATTCTACATTTTCAATTTATCTCCTTCTTGTTCCAATATTTCCCAATATTTCGGCCATTTGGCCTCCATATTGAGCTTTTTCTGAGCCTTCGCTTCCATTGGTGACAACCACCTTGGGGTTTCATTTTCCAGTAAGTCTTTGTATCTTATCCAGACATTAAACAATGCTTTCCTTACAATATGGTTTTTAAATGCTTTATGTGCTTTAACCTTGTCGTACCACAAATATGCATGCCACCCAAAAACATTGTTAAAACCTTCTAAGTCCAAAATGTCCGTGTTCTCAAGAAGCAGCCAGTCTTTCAACCAGCAGAATGCTGCTGATTCATAGTAAAGTTTAAGGTATGGCAGGGCAAATCCGCCTCTTTCCTTTGCATCAGTTAATATTTTAAATTTTATTCTGGGCTTCTTGCCCTGCCAGACAAATCTAGAAATATCTCTCTGCCACTTCTTGAAACAGTCCATCTTGTCCAAAATTTGCAACGATTGAAACAGAAATAACATTTTTGGCAATACATTCATCTTTATAGCTGCAATTCGACCCAACAAGGAAAGCTTCAAATTTGACCATATTTCTAAGTCTTTTTTCACTTCTGTCCAACATTTCTCATAATTATCTTTAAATAAATGTAAGTTCTTAGCCGTCATATTAACCCCCAGATATTTTACTTTCTTAACTAAAGTTAAACCTGTCTCCTTCTGAAACCTTTCTTTCTCAATTGATGTTAAATTTTTCTCAAGAACTTTGGTTTTTGACTTGTTCAGCTTAAATCCTGCCACATGACCAAATTCTTGAATTAGTTCTAATACTCTCTTCATACTAAATTCTGGCTCCTGTAACGTCAAAACTAGGTCATCTGCAAAAGCTTTCAATTTGTATTGTTTGGCTCCGACCTGGATACCTTTAATCAGACGGTCCCTTCTAATCATATTTAACAAAACCTCCAGGACCGAAATAAAAAGCAATGGGGAAATTGGGCAGCCTTGTCGTGTCCCTTTCTCTATCTTAAATTCCTCTGTCATCACATTATTGACTATTAGCTTAGCCTTTTGTTCTGAATAAATTGCACTTATACCATTTTCAAACCCTTGACCCACCCCCATCCCCTGAAGATTTTTCTTCATAAAATTCCAAGAAATATTGTCAAAGGCTTTCTCCGCATCTATAAAAATTAAAACTGCTATAGTATTAATATTCACTTGCAACTTCTCCAAAATGTTAATTATGTTCCTCGTGTTGTCATTATCTTTTAAAATTTTGGTTCTCAAGGAAGAGGCAGCCCAGGAATACAAGGCAGGAATTTACCTGGGATCTTGCTAACAAAATCCTTTCATAGCTTTTTGTGAGGGATTTGCGGCTGCTAATCTTAAAGCCAGGATGAGCACTCAGAATTGGGCATCATTTCCTCTGTTATTAAAAATAAAATACTTGTTCTGCTTCTAAAAAAACCCTTTAGAATGCATTCTTATTCTTTTTTCATAAAAAAATTCAAACAGCTGTGCAAAGGTGCTCCTGTGCAATGCAATGTCAGAATAACAAAATAATGAAACATCTCACAAGAGCCTTCTTTTTTAAATATACAGCTAAAAAACCTTAAAACTCCTACAACACTTACCAAATAGAAATCTAATAGCTGGCCCCCCCAGGCACTAGGAGGCAACCTGATGTTCAAGGCTTCACCCCACCCCCAAACTCTGAGCTTTTGGTTTCTCTTTAGACACTCATCTGTGGTCGCCTGGAGCATTTGAGGGGAAAGAGAGAGAACATTGGGGCATACGAAGCAGACATAGAAAAAGAAAGTGACAACCTGCTTGTAAGTGTCATTGTTACTTGGAAGGGAACAAGTCCTGTAAGTTTAATGTACATATAATGCTGTGCTTGAATGCATTGTAATAAAAATACTATAAAGGGAATCATAGAATCATAGAATCATAGAGTTGGAAGAGACCACAAGGGCCATCGAGTCCAACCCCCTGCCAAGCAGGAAACACCATCAGAGCACTCCTGACATATGGTTGTCAAGCCTCTGCTTAAAGACCTCCAAAGACGGAGACTCCACCACACTCCTTGGCAGCAAATTCCACTGGCGAACAGCTCTTACTGTCAGGAAGTTCTTCCTAATGTTTAGGTGGAATCTTCTTTCCTGCAGTTTGGATCCATTGCTCCGTGTCCGCTTCTCTGGAGCAGCAGAAAACAACCTTTCTCCCTCCTCTATGTGACATCCTTTTATATATTTGAACATGGCTATCATATCACCCCTTAACCTCCTCTTCTCCAGGCTAAACATGCCCAGCTCCCTTAGCCGTTCCTCATAAGGCATCATTTCCAGACCTTTGACCATTTTGGTTGCCCTCCTCTGTACACGTTCCAGTTTCTCAGTGTCCTTCTTGAACTGTGGTGCCCAGAACTGGACACAGTACTCCAGGTGAGGTCTGACCAGAGCAGAATACAGTGGCACTATTACTTCCCTTGATCTAGATGCTATACTCCTATTGATGCAGCCCAGAATTGCATTGGCTTTTTAGCTGCCGCGTCACACTGTTGGCTCATGTCAAGTTTGTGGTCAACCAAGACTCCTAGATCCTTTTCACATGTACTGCTCTCAAGCCAGGTGTCACCCATCTTGTATTTGTGCCTCTCATTTTTTTGCCCAAGTGCAATACTTTACATTTCTCCCTGTTAAAGTTCATCTTGTTTGTTTTGGCCCAGTTCTCTAATCTGTCAAGGTCGTTTTGAAGTGTGATCCTGTCCTCTGGGGTGTTAGCCACCCCTCCCAGTTTGGTGTCATCTGCAAATTTGATCAGGATGCCCTTGAGTCCATCATCCAAGTCGTTGATAAAGATGTTGAATAAGACTGGGCCCAAGACAGATCCCTGTGGCACCCCACTAGTCACTCTTCTCCAGGATGAAGAGGAACCATTGATGAGCACCCTTTGGGTTCGGTCAGTCAGCCAGTTACAAATCCACTGAGTGGTAGCATAGTCAAGACCGCATTTTACCAGCTTCTTTACAAGAATATCATGGGGCACCTTGTCAAATGCCTTGCTGAAATCAAGGTAGGCTACATCCACTGCGTTCCCTTCATCTACCAGGCTTGTAATTCTGTCAAAAAACGAGATCAGGTTAGTCTGACATGACTTATTTTTCAGAAATCCATGCTGACTATTGGTGATCACAGCCTTCCTTTCTAGGTGCTCACAGACTGTTTGCTTAATGATCTGCTCCAGAATCTTCCCTGGTATTGATGTCAGACTGACTGGGCGGTAATTATTTGGGTCCTCTCTTTTCCCCTTTTTGAAAATAGGGACAACATTTGCCCTCCTCCAGTCTACCGGGACTTCGCCTGTTCTCCAGGAATTCTCAAAGATGACTGCCAGTGGTTCTGAGATCACATCTGCCAGTTCTTTTAATACTCTTGGATGCAGTTCATCTGGCCCTGGAGACTTGAATACATCTAAACTAGCCAAGTATTCTTGTACTATCTCCTTAGTTATTCTGGACCGTGTTTCCTCTGCTGAATCATTTGCTCCAAATTCTTCAGGTCGGGCATTGTTTTCCTTATCGGAGAAGACTGAGGCAAAGAAGGCATTGAGGAGTTCAGCCCTTTCTGTGTCCCCTGTTTGCATTTCACCATCTTCTCCTCTGAGTGACCCCACTGTTTCTTTGTTCTTCCTTTTGCTACGAACATACCCATAAAAGCCTTTTTGTTGCTTTTAACCTCTCTAGCAAGCCTGAGTTCATTCTGTGCTTTAGCTTTTCTGACTTTGTGTCTACACGCGCTGGCTATTTGTTTTAATTCCTATTTGGTGGTTTCCCCCTTTTCCATTTTTGTACACATCCTTTTTTAATCTTAACTCAGTTAAAAGTTCTTTAGATAGCCACCCTGGCTTCTTTAGGCACCTTCCATGTTTCCGTCTCAATGGTATTGCCTGAAGTTGTGCTTTTACTATCTCCCTCTTAACAAACTCCCAGCCCTCATGAACTCCCTTTCCTTTTAGTATTACTCTCCATGGGATCTCACCCAGCACTTCCCTAAGTTTTATGAAGTCGGCTTTCTTAAAGTCAAGAAATTGAGTCCTAGTATGCTTGGCTGCTCCTTTCCGCTGTATAGTAAACTTCAGAAGAGCATGATCACTTGCGCCTAATGATCCTTCCACTTCTACCCCACTAACCAGGTCATCGACATTGGTTAGGACCAGATCTAAAATGGCTGCTCCTCTTGTTGCTTCTCCCACTTTCTGGACAATGAAGTTGTCTGCAAGGCCAGTGAGGAATCTGTTTGACCTTATGCTCTTGGCTGAGTTTGACATCCAACAAATATCCGGGTAATTGAAGTCCCCCATTACTACTATCTCCCTTCCTTTTGCATGCTTGGCCATCTGTTCCAGGAAGGCATCATCTATGTCCTCCGTTTGGCTTGGGGATCTATAGTAAACTCCCACAATGAGGTCACTGTTATTCTTCTCTCCCTTAATTTTGACCCAAATGCTCTCACTTTGGCTTTGAGGTTCTAAATCTTGGATCTCTTCACAGGTATACACATCCCTGACATATAACGCCACTACTCCTCCTATCTTGTCTGGTCTGTTTCTCTGAAATAGATTGTATCCCTCCATTATTACATTCCAATCGTGGGACTTATCCCACCAGGTTTCAGTGATGCCTATTATGTCATATTTAGTTTGCTGTACCAAGAGCTCAAGCTCATCTTGTTTATTTCCCATGCTTTGTGCATTAGTGTACAGACATTGAAGTCCATTAATCATTCCCCCGTTTCTCTTATTTAAGGATTTTTTTCCCCCACCACTAGGTCTGCGTGCTGTTTGCTCCATTTGGTCTATGACATTTAGATGATCATCTTCATCAATTGATAGACTCCTACCTTCAGTAGCACTGTCTCCCTCCCCCACATTAGTCAGTTTCTCTTAGACTTAGGCAAGAGGTTCCACTCTGACAAAAGCATCAGAGGAGGCTGGATCTTTCCTCATAACTCATCGCTGGAGGCATAAGCTGCAGAGCTCTCACGGAAGGAAGCTTAAACTTGAGAAGCCAGTGTGTTCTTGCTGGAGATGGCTAGGAGAAGCAGCAGCAGCAGTTGCAAATAAGTCATGCAATGTTGAAGAAGCTTAGGATCTCCCTCTGGGACCAGGGATAGGAAAGCTGACTGAATTACATAAAGGACTGAACATTGTTTGCAATGTGCTACTTTATCATGCTTATCTTATTGTTAGACTGTTTAAGACTGTTCTGCGGTAAAGCTTCAAAACTTATTTTTGTGATGGAGAGAATTCATTCCCACACAAGGTCCAGATCATGAAGACCATGGAACAACTTTAACAGCAAGTACTTGAAGGGTACTTCAACAAGTACTTCAACAAGTACTTGAAGGGACGCGGGTGGTGCTGGTTGTTAAACCACAGAGCCTAGGGCTTGCCGATCAGAAGGTTGGCAGTACCGCTCTGGCGGGAAGGTAAAGGGCGTTTCTGTGTGCTGCTCTGGTTCACCAGAAGTAGCTTAGTCATGCTGGCCACATGACCCGGAAGCTGTACGCCGGCTCCCTCGGCCAGTTAAGCGAGATGAGCGCCGCAACCCCAGAGTTGTCTACAACTGGGTCTAATGGTCAGGGGTACCTTTACTTGAAGGACCAAACCAAGAATTACAACAATCTCTTCCTCAAACTGGTTCAGCCTCCACCACCTTTACTGCAGTCAACTGAAGGCAACCAACTAGGCCCTGGGGCCCCCGATCTTTCTCACTGCCAATGAAAACTAATAAATGAAAAGGAAGAGAAGCTACCCATATCACACTGACACAAACACCTTGCATATGAACTTTGTAAAATAATGAAAGTGTACTACCCCTCCCCCCCTGCTTGCTCTCCCCACCTCTCAATTCCCCATCCTTGCACTGTATACAACATTAAAGTCTGTCTGTCTGTGAATTTTTATGATATCCAAACAGAGTAGCTTATAGTTAGGAAGCCAACACCCTCCCTTCAGATGTGAAGGAAATAAGCAGCTATCCTATCCTAAAAGACATCTGAAGGCATCCCTGTTTAGGGAAGTTTTTAATATTTAATGCTGTACTGTTTTTAACACTTGATTGGAAGCTGCCCAAAGTGGCTGGGGAAACTCAGCCAGATGGGCGGGGTATAAATAATAAATTATTATTATTATTATTATTATTATTATTATTATTATTTAATGATCTTCCTCTGTTTCACTTCAGATAATTCGGTGGGGCCTCTTCTCAGTTCATTCTATTCTGGATCAGTGCCTTAATCCTTTGTCGATTCTGTAAATCACAGAATAACCATTGAGGTGTCCCCAGATGTTGTTGTCCAGTTCCCATCAGCTTCAGCCAGCAGGGCAGACAGTCAAGGATGATAGAAACTCTAATCTGGACCTCACCACCTGGACTCTGCTGCCCTATATCCTTCCCATTGAAAGAAATGTGAAAATTAATTTTGTACGCTATAGATTTATCCTGGTCTGGTGCATGCAATGTCTTTTGTTTTGCAGCTGTGTGATTTGTGCTCATATTGTATTGTGGTGGCCATTGGCTATAAACAATAACATTTATAGATACAGTCGATTGAAATGCAAAAATAAGTAATAAAATATATAAAATGATTTTATTTTTTTGGTCCTCACTCCCAAATGGTGTGTGTGTTTTTGCTTATATTGTGCTTTTGGTTATATTGGGGGTGGGGTGCGGAGTGGAGAAGTATGAAAGCCAAAAATGCTCCCCTCCTCTGCTAAATTGATGCAGGAGACCAGAGGCAGTGAATGAAAAAGCAGGGAAAGAGGAAACCCTCCAAGTGCCACTGTTTAGAATTAGAGAATGGAGTTATCCAACCCCCGGCCCTCTGAAGGCCATCCTGTATAGGAAAGTTTTTTAATGTTTAATGTTTTATTATGTTTTTATATATGTTGGAAACTTCCCAGAGTGGCTGGGGCAGCGTAATAAGATGTGTGGTGTATAAATAGTAAAATAATATTTATGGAATGGGATGTCCCTATTTTCATCAGAGAAATGTTGGAGGGTTTGGAAAGGTCGGTTGCTGGAGCTAAGTGATTGCATGATCCCAACCAGCAGAGCTGGGAACTGGACTGCCTCCTCCAGCTACCCATTCGGGCTGCAGGCATAGCTGTCAACCTTCCCTTTTTTTTGCGGGAAATTCCCTTATTCCAGAGCCATTTCCCGCTACTATCCCGGATTGTTAGATATCCTGTAGACTGACCCCGGGGCAGGTGAGGCTGCTGATCCCTTATTTTCGAGTCTGCTGATCCCTTATTTTCAAATCTGAAAATTGACAGCTATGGCTGCAGGGTGGGATCGTCCCAGCTTTCTGAAAATATTTACTGATGAGGAAACCAGCGACTGCACATCGGATCACAAGGAGACTTATTTGTGCAACATTCTGGATATCCGAGAAGATGCCAGGTAGATTCCAATGATACAATAAATTTTGAGGGACAGCGCAAGGGGCGCATCCAGCCTGGCAGCCTCCCAGGGCCCAACCCACAGCCAGCGAGCTCCGATGCTCAGAGAGGCAGGAAACGGGGCCAGCCAGGGGGACTCGAGAGCGGCTGCACTTTCCTGTCCCCCGCCGAGGAGAGCGGAGGAGCAGCGGCCCGTGGCCTGGCGAGTTTCCCCGGAGAGGAGCCGGATTTCGCTGCAGGGACGGAGCGAGGAGTCCGAGGTGCAGGAGGCGGGAGGGGGAGGAGAGCACGTGCGCCTGGCAGGATCAGGCCCCGAGTGGAGTCAGAGGCTGCAGGGCGCCCCCCAACCGGGCAGGAAGGGGAAGGGGCGCAGCTGAGGGGCAGGGCATCTGCAGGAGGGCACAGGGGCAAACATCTCTGGCTCAGGCTGGCACGGACCCTGCCGGAGACCCTGGGGAGCTGCTCCCTTCAGTCCTGAGCTCAAGGGGCAGAATGAGGGGTCCAAGGCAGCTGCTGCTCCGCGATGGACGATGCATATAGTTGCTCACGGATCAGCGGCGTACCTGGGGCTTTTGCCGCCCCTCTCCCTGTCCCTCAGCAGGGAGCCCCGTCCTCTTCCACGGTCCTCCCCACGGCGGACAGGGAAGGGGAGGCAGGGGGGAATGGAAGAGCAGTGCAACAGGGAGGTGTCCCTCTCACCCTGCAGACCCGTGACACCCTTTGCAGGCCACTACTCCTGCCCCCCCTCCTCTGCCAGTGCCATTGATAAACCTATCGCCCTCATTTGTGAATTGGTCAGATCGCCTTTGAAAGCTCTCTTTGCCACCACCATCACCGCATCTTGTGGCAATGATGTCCATCAGATTCATTTAGCAAGGAAATGGCTTCTTTTGCCTGCCCCAAATCAAGGTACACTGTGCCTTTATTAGTCAGGGCTAATAAAACAGCTGATCGATCCATTCCCTGGAGAACACATCTGAACTTTCCCCCAAGCTATCAAGGCTAGTGTGTCTGCGTGTAGATAAGTGAGAGAGCCTTAAAGCATGTTTTGTTAAAGGTTTTATCTTCCACCTTCCCCAGTAATACGGCTGAGTTTTCAGACAGAGTTGAAGTGGGTGACGGTTTTGAGAATGCAGAGGAAAGGAGGATTCTTAAGTGTGGCATATGGAAATGAATTACTGATAATAAAAACGTTGAAGGCAGTATTGTAAAAGACTGAGGAAGGCGTAATTGAGATTAGCTATTCATTTTCAGATTATTACTCATTTCTATACTGTTTCATATTTTTCAGAAAAATATCTCAAAGCAATTAAAGGAAAATCTCATTGCAGTTTGTGTCCATAGGATGTTGAGAACATTAACTCTGTAGATCCAGGAGTTCTCTCCTCCTGATAGTCTCAGATTTGATTGTTCTTTCCTATAGAGCAGGAGGAACGAAACATTTATGGGCTTAAAGCTGCATTGATTCTGGAGGCCACATTCCAGTGAGCTTTGTGGCCAATGTATGCACATGCATGCGCACACAGAAAAGAGATGCAGACCATAAAGTCACATGCACACACGCCAGAGGTGCTGCACAAACTCACCAGACATGCCATCTAGCATACATACAAGTCTTGCAAACACAATCAGCATGTTTAGACCTTCCAACCCCAGTGCTGGGAGGAGGAGAAATAAGAGCACAAGAAGACCCTGCTGAGATCTGTAAAAAAAACACCCTTCTGATTGTTCTTTAGAAATCCTTTAAAGAGCAGCCCGAGGGATCATTTATTTCCAGAGCAGGGCTTTTACCCCATTTCAGCACTGTGCTGGTTTGTGGTGAAATTGGAGTTTAAAAAATCTCTCTAAGGGCCCCTTAGGCATCTTTCTCTCCAGGACAGACAGAGATCTTCATCCTATGATCAGATCAGGAGATGGAAACAGCAGGGACTAGCAGGACACACCCTGAGGCTTGGCAAATCATATGCAGCCAATGGACTGCAAGTTAGAATGTCTTCAGTCAAGAGAGTTTGTGACCATCAAATATAAAATATTTTGGAGTGAGTTCTTTGATTTTGTTGCTCAATATTCCGTTTGTCAGTTTGTTTCTTAGGCTGTGCAGATACCATACATTTAAAGCACGTGGCTTCCCCCAGAGAACCACAGGACCTGTAGTTTTTTGCTACAGCTCTCAACACCCCTAACAAACTGCAGCTGGCAGGATTTCTTGGGTGAAGCCATGTACTTTCAATGTTAGGTGGGTCTGTCGCAGCCTTAATCATATACAAGGATCTGTTGCTGCCTTTCCAACATGCTAGAAGTTGCAGCCAGGATCAGCATTCCCTGTCCACTGAACATGCTCAGTCCTCTCACTGGGTTGTTTTTGGATTTCCTTCCACTGCCTTGGTTCCCCCACCCCCAAATATTATTTGTACTTCCATAAACCTTGATGTTTTCCCCAGTCTTTGGATAACGTCCCCTCGTCCCTGGGTGGAGTCATTTGAAAATGGAAGAGCAGAGACCCAGGAGACCCATTCAAAGGGAGAGACTGGAGTGCAAAGGAAAGAAACCTCCTGCCGGCCAAGTTGGGATCATCAGGGATCTTCTGCCTCGGGCAGATTTATGTCAAATTAAGCACGAGGCAGAGGAGGGGCAGCCGCAGCAGCAGTCGGAGGCCCAGAAGCAGGATTTCCTGAAGACGATGCAGCCCCCTCGTCCAGGGTGGGAAACCCCACAGGCTCCCAGTTCTCCCCACTCCAGGGATGGTGTCCTCTCTTTCAGGGGAGCTGCGAATGCCAGTCGGTGGCCCAGTGGGAGAGCAGGGGGAGCAGACCAGACCCTGCTCCCAGACACTGAGGGGCTTCTGGGAAAGGTAAGTACCCTCCTCTCACCTGGGTTTCCAGCACCTGGAGGTCACAGGTCCACTGCCTCTCGACATGGAGGTTCTGTCTAGCTATTGTGGTGAATAATCCTCCTCCCTGCACTTTCTCTCTAATCCACTTTAAAAAGGTTTGCTAGACCAAACTTTCTTATACATGGGAGGTTTGCAATCATATCTCCTTCTGTTCTTACTTTACCTAAACAGCTGCAGGTGGCTCTGAATTTCATCAGAGCATGAGCTGTGTGAGAAGAGGTGACCTTCCACCAACCCCCATTTTCCTCCTCTAAATTGCCTCCATTTGCAAAATGCTCTTTTCTCCCCACTGTGGAAAAATCTTGGCACGTCTCGCAGCCTCAGAAATCCAATAAATTCCTCAGAAATCCCATGTGTAGTCGCATTAAAGATGACTGGCCTACATTGCAAGATTGTTGCAAGATTTATTAGGATAATGGCCAGGTTCAGATGACTAAATCACAGCCTGAAAAGCTGCGTTAAAAATAGGCACAGTTTTTAATGCATTGCTGCAGCAAAGTTACGCTGAAGCCTAAGTTGACCCAAGTTTAAAACAAAAAACTCTAGCCCCCACCACCACAGTCTCCTGGCCCCCACAACCAGAATACATCACTCCAGGGAGGACTCCCACCCAACCTTAAGTGAGAGAGGGCAAAAGAAAAGGACTCTAAATGGGTAGTTGCACGAATTTACGAGCTGTGGTCCTGCACTGACAGCAAGGCTTAACAAACAGGGGAGCTGGGAATGTGCTTGTCCCATCTCTCCCTGCATCTGCTCCTGACCTAATTGTCCCAGTTACCTCATGATTGGGCCGGTCCTGAGGGTGAACTGTGATGAAACCAGGCAGTCTCTTATGAGCCATAACTAACAAACTTTCCATTTTGCCCAAACCAGGAAACTACGGCTGCCAGCTTTGGAATAAGCTGGGATATTAAGCTAACTTCAAACTGTACTTGGTAAAAACAGGAAATTCTGGTTGATCAGTGTTTTCGTGATTTGACTGTTCCCACTAATAGCAGTAAAAATAGGAAGCCCTGTTGCATTTGAAGGGGTTGTTTGGACAGAGTCTCTGATCAGCATGCCTAGCAGGACAGGCTTAAAAAGGTAAAGGACCCCTGACCATTAGGTCCAGTCGTGACCGACTCTGGGGTTGCAGCGCTCATCTCACTTTACTGGCGAGGGAGCCAGCGTACACCTTCCGGCCACATGACTAAGCCACTTCTTGCGAAGGAGAGCAGCGCACGGAAACGCCGTTTACCTTCCTACCGGAGCGGTACCTATTTATCTGCTTGCACTTTGACGTGCTTTCGAACTGCTAGGTTGGCAGGAGCAGGGACCGAGCAACGGGAGGTGACCCCGTTGTGGGGAATCGAAGCACCGACCTTCTGATCGGCAAGTCCTAGGCTCTATGGTTTAACCCACAGCACCACCGGCGTCCCGGGACATCCTGTCCCAGGACAGGAAACAATTATTATTATTATTGTTATTATTATTGTTATTATTATTACTTGCATCCTGCCTATCTTACTGGGTTGCCTCTGCCCATCTGGGTAGCTTCCAACAAAATAAAAACCATCAAAAATTTCCTTGTAAAAGGCTGCCTTCGGAAGTCTTCCATTTTGTAGAAATGGCCTTCAGTTTTAAAGAATTGCCCTCTTTAAGGGATCACTTGGTGTAAACAACTCTTGAGATCTACTCTCAGGAAGGGAGGTGGGACAGGCAGGTGAAAGGAATTGCCAAAACTGTTTGAAAATGGGTGGGGGCTCTTGGGAAGTGGGTGCCCAATTGGGGCTTCTTCAGGGGCAGCAGAATGTCTTGGGCAGGAGAATCCCGGCAGGGGCTCTCAGACTCCCTTGCCTTCTTCTTCCCTCCCTCCCAGGAAGCTGCAACTTGCTCTGGATTCTGCGCTCCTCAGGAAGCTGAACCTGCAAACCTAGCTGTGACTGAACCTGCAACCCTGGCCAGGATGGAAGGAGGAAGATGGACGGGTGACCTGGTCAGGCCCTCTCCCGCATCCCTCCCCACAACCTCTGAGCATTCCCTCCCAGGACCCTTGGAGAAATCTGGTGAGTTCCAGGGGAGAGGAGATGGGGACAGGGATAGATGGAAGGTGGAGGGAGAAAGAGGAAAAGATGGAGAGGAGACAAATGGAAGGAAGTTCCTGACAGAAAGAAGGAAGGGGTGAGGCCTTCTCCAAAGCAGCTCTTTGTTTCTTGAATCCTTTTCCTAAAGTAGTGGGGGCAGATTTTCTTCCTCCAGGCTTTGAAATCTTAGATGTTATTTCCACGGCGGGAATAATTGATGATAATGATGTTGAACACCAATCCTGAAAAATGGGTGAAGGGGAATGGAAATGCTTCCCATAACTATTTATAATTAATGTATTTAAATTGTTTCTATTACTCTTATTTTTTATAGACAGCGTAAGAATGATACATTCTACCAGCATTAAAACACAATAGATGCATGCACCTCCCCAGTTTGGTGGGCTTAAGGGACAAAGGACCCATTATCATGATACACAATTCCTGTTGGCTGGAGGCTCTACACTTAGGATTCGGTATATTAAGTCCAAGAGTGTCTGGAATAAACTTGCCAATCTTACAGACTGGGGTTGTTTGTGAGAGTGAGTGAGCGGGATAATAATTTATAGTGCCCCTGTGTAATGGCTTGGTTCTCCCGCACCGACGCGAGAAAACTCCAGTAGTAATTATCTCAGGTTTATTGCTCAAACTTATAAATCACTGTGGAGCTCAGTCTTCGGCCTGTTCATCCCAGCTTGCAGTTACCGAGTACTCCAGCAAAGAAGCCCCCGCTTTTGCTTTCTTTCCCCCTCTTCTCGCAGATTCTCACGAGCCTACGATTTTTGGGACAGGCTATTTCTGGGGTCTCTGTGTTAGAGCTCAAACTGGAGCTAACGGTCTGTGCCCCCACCCCCCCGGCACTCCCTCTTCCTGCTCTTTCTTCTTTCCTCCTGCTGCAGCTTGGCTGCTCCTCTCCTGCTTCACATTCCAACTGAATCACATCTCTTGCGTTCTCAGGCTCTGTCAGCGGAGGCACGAGAGGCTTGAGATTCACAGAGCTGACACCCTGTAATTTTGTCCGTTCCTAAGCTTCCATGGAGACACTGTGGTACAACCTTGGTGCAAATTTCAAAATAAGTACACAAAGTCAACAAAGAGACTCAGAGGTGGCACCAGCTTTCCTGGTCAAGAGTCCACTTTGTCAGACTGCAGCCCACAAAAGCTTAGGCCATAATACATTTATCAGCTTTTAAGGGCTGCAAAGATGAAAAAACAGAGGCATAGTTCATCTATGGAATCCATCCTACAGGAGACAGTGACGGCCAGCAACATGGATAGCTTGTAAGACTGATGTCTCTGCTCTGCCCTAGTGGTCTAGGCAATAATGCTTCTTGATACTAGTTTCTGGAAAGCACACGAAGGCAGAGAAGACTCTTGTGCTCCAATCCTGCTTGACGGTTTCCCACAGGCATCTGGTTGGCCTCTGTGAGAAGAGGATGCTGGACTAGGTGGGCCTTTGCCTGATCTAGAAGGCTCTTCTTAGGTTCCAATGTATTGCAATGTTTTTACAGTTACATGTAGCCCTTAAGTTTTATTTATTTCACAAGGGAGATACTGTTACTTGAGCCTGAGATCATTTCTTCACTTCAGAAAGACAAAATAGATGTGTCTAATAAGCCAATTCCACCATAGATCTGTATTATAAAATGATGCTGATGTATTAAGTTTGAATGGAGTGGTCACGTGTTGCTCTTGCCACTATCTCATCAGCTTTCGGAAAATTTGGAACCTAGAGAGGATAGTGGAGAATGAAGGTGTTACAATGAGAGAAGGTGCAGATTGGGATTGACATGTGTTCAGTTCCCTTTTTGTCTTTATTGAAAGTCTAACAGGATTCTCTTTCCTCCCAGACTCCCAAACAGGTGAGGAAGATGAAGGTCAGAATTCTATGGAGCCACATGTGAATTTATGGGGGAAAACAAAGAAATTGAGGATACAACAAGAAACTCACAAAGGAGAAAAACGATTTGAATGTTTTGAATGTGGAAAGAGCTTCAGTGAAAGTCAAACACTTAGAATACACCAACGAACTCACACAGGGGAGAAACCATTTAGATGTATTGAATGTGGAAAGAGCTTCAGTACAAGTGGGAAACTTAGAGTACACCAACGAACTCACACAGGGGAGAAACCATTTAGATGTATTGAATGTGGAAAGAGCTTCAGTCGAAATGATACACTTAGAATACACCAACGAACTCATACAAGGGAAAAACCATTTAAATGTATTGAATGTGGAAAGAGCTTCAGTACAAGTGGGAAACTTAGAATACACCAACGAACTCACACAGGGGAGAAACTATTTCAATGTATGGAATGTGGAAAGAGCTTCAGTGATAGGGGATCACTTAGAATACACCAACGAACTCACACAGGGGAGAAACCATTTAAATGTACTGTATGTGGAAAGAGCTTCAGTGATAGTGGATCACTTCGAATACACCAACGAACTCACACAGGGGAGAAACCATTTAAATGTATTGAATGTGGAAAGAGCTTCAGTGATAGTGGATCACTTAGAATACACCAACGAACTCACACAGGGGAGAAGCCATTTAAATGTATTGAATGTGGAAAGAGCTTCAGTACAAGTGGGAAACTTAGAAGACACCAACAAAGTCACACGGAGGAGAAACCATTTCAATGTATGGAATGTGAAAAGAGCTTCAGTGATAGGGGATCACTTAGAATACACCAACGAACTCATACAGGGGAGAAACCATTTAAATGTATTGAATGTGGAAAGAACTTCAGTGAAAGTAGAGCACTTAGAAGACATCAACGAACTCACACAGGGGGGAAATCACAGATATTTTAATAAACCGCATAGGTGTTTTTTACCTTTCCTTCTATGCTTCCTTGCAATACTGACAAAATCAAACCACGCCAATGCTTTCAGCCCCAGAAGAGGAGCTCCCCTTGGTGTCAGGGGAGGGGTCCAAGGGAGCATCTGGAGCCCTGCCATTCCTTCTGTCCCTGGCCCCCTCCCCTCCTCTTTCTGCCATCCCAGGGCCACTCTTGACTCCACAGCAGGAGACTGGATTTGTCTGTGATGGTGAGATGTCCTGGGTGGTTGAAGGACCACTTCCTGTTTCCTGGAGCTCCATCCTGCCTTCTCATGCAAGGAGGAGTCATGAAGCAGGTGAAGGCTGAGCACACCTAAGGGTGGGGCAGCGGGTGGGTGGGATTCTGCTTAACCTTTCCCCGTCTGCTCCTTTTCTGGATCCAAATCCCCACACAAAAAGGGGCAGTGTGAGGGTGCAATCAATGTTATGGAGCTGCACTGGAAATCATTGCTTTGTGACCGTAAGAAGCCCTTCTCAAAAAAACAAGCATCAAGAGAATTTAAGCTATAGAATTTAAAACAAACAGATAATTACAAAAAAAGAAAGCAGTCTGGTGCCACATTTCGTAGCAGTTACTTTAACACACTCTACCTGGGGCTGCCTTTGAAAAGAGCTCAGAAACTTCAGTGGCTCAAAGGGATGCAGACACATTACTGACCAGGGCTGGCTATAGGCAGCATAGGACTCTCATATTAGAACAGCTCCATCTGCCTAATTTGTCTGTTTCTGGACACAATCAATGTGTCCACAAGAAGAGGTAGATTTGGAGTGCCGCATTTTCAAAAAAGATGGACACCCGACTATTTCTTTCTGGAGCTGAAAGGCATTCCCTTGAGCCTCATTTGTGGTGAGGCCCTCTCCGTCCTGAAGAAGGCCCACCTGCAGAGGCACCACAGGACGAAGCACATCCAGTACGAGGAGTTCCAAGGGCAGCTGCGCCAGGAGAAGGTCAAGGCACTGAAAACAGACCTTTTGGGCAACCTGTGGCCCCTCCAGATGATGTGATATTGCAACTCACGTCTTCCTTAGCCATTGGCCACACTGGCTGGGGCTTATGGGAGCTGGAGTCCAAGGATCTAGGTGCACAAATGCCGGGGACAATTCAAATCCCTCCTCAGTCGTGAAGCCGATTGGGCGACTTAAAGCTGGTCACCATCTTTATGCGAAACCTCCCTCGCAGGGTTGCTGTGTGCGTGAAAGCAATATATCTTGTGGTGGGCTTGATGATGGGAGTGTGGAACAGAAATGTAATTCATGGGTAAGAGGACATGAAATAGTTCTGAATCTGACTGAAAATAAAGGATTCTTTGTCTCCAAATTGCATATAGCAAGCACCTGTGTTGTTGAACTCTAGCTGAAGTTTCAGCATCTGGTTCCTCAGCACTCTGCACTCTCTCTCTGGAAACCTCCAGTTGTCAGGTGACAGGAACCAGCCAATGCCTCCCAGTTCAGAAACAGTCTGCCAAGAGCTGAGATTGGAAGTGGACAACCAAGGAAACTTAGGGGAGCATTTTCATTTCCATGCTTATGAATATTGATTTGAATCAATTTGTCAGATGTGTTGAAAATAGGGAAATTTTATGGTTGACACCACCTTGGGACAGTTTTGACAGGAATTCGGGGAACTAGGAATATATTGAGCTCCATCAGGGTTGATGGATCAGCAAATAGCTAGAGAGGATTAAGGGGCGGGGGCGGGAATCAGGCCTTGTTTCTCATGTGACAGATAACCGATTCCACAGTTCTTAAAGCTCACCGTTTGCTGCCTCCCAAAATGATGCTTAAGCCTCCCCCCCTAAAAAACAACAACAACTCAAACATGGCAGCTGGTCTTGTCAAACGGGCCAATATAAGGTTCAATTGGCAAGTTTGTTGTTGTTTAGTTATTTAGTTGTGTCCGACTCTTCGTGACCCCATGGACCAGAGCACACCAGGCACTCCTGTCTTCCACTGCCTCCCGCAGCTTGGTCAAACTCATGCTGGTAGCTTTGAGAACACTGTCCAACCATTTTGTCCTCTGTCGTCCCCTTCTCCTTGTGCCCTCCATCTTTCCCAACTTCAGGGTCTTTTCCAGGGAGTCTTCTCTTCTCATGAGGTGAAGTATTGGAGCCTCAGCTTCACGATCTGTCCTTCCCCTGAGCACTCAGGCCTGATTTCCTTCAGAATGGATACGTTTGATCTTCTTGCAGTCCATGGGATTCTCAAGAGTCTCCTCCAGCACCATAATTCAAAAGCATCAATTCTTTGGCGATCAGCCTTCTTTATGGTCCAGCTCTCACTTCCATACATCACTACTGGGAAAACCATAGCTTTTACTATACGTACCTTTGTAGGCAAGGTGATGTCTCTGCTTTTTAAGATGCTGTCTAGGTTTGTCATTGCTTTTCTCCCAAGAAGCAGGCGCTTTTTAATTTCGTGACTGCTGTCACCATCTGCAGTGACCATGGAGCCCAAGAAAGTAAAATCTCTCACTGCCTCCATTTCTTCCCCTTCTATTTGCCAGGAGGTGATGGGACCAGTGGCCATGAACTTCGTTTTTATGATGATGAGCTTCAGACCAAATTTTGCGCTCTCCTTTTTCACTCTCATTAAGAGGTTCTTTAATTCCTCCTCCCTTTCTGCCATCAAGGTTGTGGCATCTGCATAACTGAGGTTGTAGATATTTCTTCCAGCAATCTTAATTCTGGCTTGGGATTTATCCACTCCAGGCTTTCGCATGTTGAATTCCACATATAAATTAAATAAGCGGGGAGACAATATACAGCCTTGTCATACTCTATCCGAATTTTGAACCAATCAGTTATTCTATATCCAGTTCTAACTGTAGCTTCTTGTCCCACATAGAGACTTCTCATGTTATGGAAATTGGGGGGGGGGGAGTGAGCACATCTTTAAAGTTGTTAAATGTTAGAAATATTATGCCTGAATGTATCCTTTCAACTTGACAGCTCAGGGAAGTTACCTAGCTTTAAAAATAATATAAAATCAATTCCTTTGCCAGTTTCCTCCATTCCAAAGCTATTTTCCCCTTGAAAAAGGACTCCAGGAAGTGTCCAGGGGTGACAATTGCTGAGCTGGGCCAAGGAAAGCCTAATCCTATCACCAAACTTGCCAAGGGGCCAGACATGCAAAGGAAGTTCTATTGTACTTTGGGTGATGGGACTTCAGAGGTGTTGGCCTATGCTAATCTTATACGGGAGTCTTGCCCTGACATGTCTGCTTATGCTAATCTTGTACCAAGGACTTGTCTGGACATGTTTGCCAAGGTTAAACTAGTGTAACCCCTGTCTACACCTCCCCTTTTGTGACATGTCAGTGATGTAACAATGATATAGCAATGATGCTCTACAAACAGTATTCTGGGATATCGTGGGGAAGTTTTAAAAGTCTTTGTCACCCCATGCTCGGGGTTCAAAATTCCTCTTTTAGCCTGTTGCGCAATAAACTTTGGTCTACAGCTATTTGCTCCAGTTGGTGCTGGATTGCTTCCTTTATTCCACAAGGGACCTGCGGGCTCTTCCCAACGAGCTGGTTTGACTGAACAGCCTCACACCTAGATTTTTCCCTAAGACACAGGAGACAGATGAGGTGATCAGGCACTCCCATTTCTTTAAGAACTTGCCATAGTTTGCTGTGTCGACACAGTCAGCATGTTTGCAATTTGGTCTCTGGTTCCTCTGCCCCTTCGAAATCCAGCTTGCACTTCTGGGAGTTCTCAGTCCACATACTGCTTAAGCCTGCCTTGTAGAATTTTAAGCATAACCTTGCTAGCGTGTGAAATGAGCGCAATTGTGCGGAAGTTGGAACATTCTTTGGCACTGCCCTTCTTTGGGATTGGGATACAGACTGACTTTCTCCAATCCTCTGGCCACTGCTGAGTTTTACAAAGTTGCTGGCATATTGAGTCTAGCACCTTAACAACATCATCTTTTAAAATTTTGGTTTTCAAGGAAGAAGCAGCCCTGGAAAATAAGGCAGGAATTCACCTTGAATTTTGCTAACAAAATCCTTTCATAGCTTTTTGTGAAGGTGTGACTGCTAATCTTAAAGCCAGGATGAGCACTAAGAATTGGGCATCATTTCCTCTGTTATAAAAAATAAAATAAAATACTTGTTCCGCTTCTAAAGAAACCCTTTAGAATGCATTCTTATTTTTTTCATTAAAAAATTCAAACAGCTGTGCAAAGGTGCTCCTGTGCAATACAATGTCAGAATAAAAAAATAATGAAACATCTCACAAGAGCCTTGTTTTTTAAATATACAGCTAAAAAACCTTAAAAACTCCTACAACACTTACCAAATACAAATCTAATAGCAGGCACTAGGAGGCAACCTGATGTTCAAGGCTTCACCCCCCCCCCCCAACTCTGAGCTTTTGGTTTCTCTTTAGACACTCATCTGTGGTCGCCTGGAGCGTTTGAGGGGAAGGAGAGAGAACATTCTGGCATATGAAGCAAATATAGAAAAAGAAAGTGACAACCTGTTTGTAATGGAGGCTTACAAGTTAGACAGGAAAATTGGCTTCCAGGTGGAAAAATCAAAATTGGAGACAGAATTGTTAGAACCCAAAACTAATAACTTGTCAAACATGTATAACTTGCTGTTGAAATGGAATACACAGGATGAAACGGTTAAATCAGCCATGATCAAGTGGGCACAGGATATTGGTCATAACATTATGTTTGCTGACTGGGAACGGTTGTGGACCACCGGTATGAAATTTACGGCATGTAATGCCTTAAAAGAAAATATTATGAAAATGATTTATAGGTGGTACATGACCCCAGTCAAGCTTGCAAAAATTTACCACTTGCCTGATAATAAATGCTGGAAATGTAAAGAGATTGAAGGTACATTCTTTCACCTTTGGTGGATATGCCCAAGGATTAAGGCTTTCTGGGAAATGATATATAATGAAATGAAAAAGGTACTTAAATATACTTTTTTGAAGAAACCAGAGGCCTTTCCCCTGGGTATGGTTGGCCAATTGGTGTCAAAGAAGGATAGAACATTCTTTATGTATGCTACAACAGCAGCAAGAATACTCATCGCAAAGTATTGGAAGACAGACGATCTACCCACCGTGGAAGAATGGGAGATGAAGGTTATAGACTATATGGGACTGGCAGAAATGGCCGGCAGAATCCGAGACCAGGGAAGAGAGACGGCGGAAGAAGATTGGAAGAAATTTAAGGACTATCTTAAGAAACATTGTAAAATTATTGAATGTTAGAACGATGTTGGTTTAGAAATTAAGTGGTTTCTAGCTGTAATGATTATGCAATCAAGAAAAGAAAGGTTAAAAATTAAATAGAAATTAGGGGAGGGATTTGCTGAATTAAATAATTAGAGATTGGAATACAGAAAGGGGAGGTATGAGGAGGTCGGGAAAGTAAATTATAAGAAAATAAGGGATTAAAATTATACTTGTTGTTTGTGTTTTGTTTGTATTTTTGTTTTTTGTTTTATATAATTTTTTGTTGTTTTTTTAATATCATATTTATTGCAATTTTCAAAAAAATACAGAAAAAAGAAAAAGAAAAAAAGAAAACATTTACCATTTAAACCTTATTTTCAATGATATCTTTTCAAGACTTCCCCACACCTCCCCTTCTTGTATTCCATCTCCACTTATTTAGTTCAACAAGTTCTTATTCATTATTCAATTTTGTTCATTTTGTATAGCCACTTTCACCTTATAATCCACAGTCTTTGTACATTAGAATCTTTTTCTAAGGTCGATCCCAATTCCCTTCCACGAATTCCTCTTTTTTGTACTCGTAGCAAAACAAAATAAAAAAAGAAGAAAAATTCAAAATATAATTATACACCCTTTGGATTCCCAAACTCCAGCCCCCCTTTCCCGGTTTTGATCCCCAATGTCCATCAGTCTATCTGCTATCAGCCTGGAGACCTCACATCCGAGGCTTTTAATTTTCTCACAGTTCCTCTTTGCCGGTTTTTTTGATAGTCCTTTATATCAAACACCAAATCTCGGAGAAGCTCTGTCTCGAAGATGTCCATTTTTCTCCCATCTAGGCCTCTATATTTAAAAGTGGAGCTCAAATCTTGTTTCTTAATCCTTTTGAGTCTGAATGTCCCAAAAGCTCCAACTTCCATCTTGATCAAATTTGTAATCCATAGGTCTTCAGATCTCCACATCAGGAGATCTCTCCGATCTTCATTATCCAGTTCAAACCAAATTTTCATCATCCAATTCTTGTTTTCCTTTATGTCCTTCCTAGCAGGCCTCTGGCCTTCCTTGATCTTCTGTGGCGTTGTAACTCCTCCTTCATTCCCTTCCAAATCATCATGTATCCCTTGTTCCCCTTTCTCAAATTTCTCAGGTTTCTTTTCCTGCTCAGCTGCAAAAACTTTTGATTCCGCTACAAGTTGAGTCAAGTCCCTTCCAGTTTCAGTAAATTTGTTTACTGTTTCATTCAGTGTAGTAGCCCTCGTAGTCAAAATATTGCTTTGTTCTTAAAGCTTTCCCAGGAGATAAAAAGTCCTGTTCAGCTCTATGAGTATTTTTCCACTTACAGCCATTCTTGTAATATCCCAAAACCCCCTCTAGAGGGATTATGGTTACTTAGTATCCTTCCAGTTCCAACCCAAAAGTCAAAATAACTTGTTCTTCCTTGTTTTCAACAATTTATATCCAAATTGTAACAAATCTAACCAGCAAAGTCACAGAAACAAAGTTCTCTTTTTATTCCCCAACTTTGACAGCTACTTTGACAGCTGTCAAAATCTTCTGTATCTCTTCACCAGGCTCTCTCGCGGATCACTCCCGGTTCCCGGGGGGTTGCACTTTAACTCTCAAAATCAACTCTTATCCTCCAGCAAAGTTACTTGTACTTTCCAATCGTGAAATTAATAACTTTTATCCAATAAAGAAAAGGATGTTCTCTCAACCTTAGTTATCTAGTCCTTGCTTTAAATTGTTTACAATGCGGGGAGACGGACTTCCTCTTTGCGCCTTCCCCGATCGTGCCAAATCCAAGAAAAAGAAAAATTTCCCTTTTAAGTCCAATTTCTGTATTACTCACAGGTTGTTGCTTTTAGTCCAAATATTCAGAAGAAGCCAGCGCTCTCCGTCAATGGCATGCGGCTTCACTCAGCAGGGGAAGCAGAGGACTCTCAGCACCGCGCCGCTCCCCGTCCCCCGTTCCGTAGCCTTTAAAAAGGCTCCTTCGTGGGTTGGGGGCGCAAACGGTGCCCGCCGAGTCACCAAGTCCACGGGCTTCCGCGCCCGTGGTTTTTAAGGGTCCCCGCTTCGCCGGCGCGGCAGGACCCGACCCCTGCTGAGCAGATTCCCTCCGGAGCTCGGAGGGAATCCGCCATTCGACGATGGCGCTAACCCTGAAGTCATTTTATATAAATTTTTGAAAACTTCAATAAATATCTTTTTTTTAAAAAGTGTTATAAGTTTAATGTGCATATAATGCTGTGCTTGAATGCATTGTAATAAAAATACTATAAAGGGAAGTTTCTCTTAGACTTAGGCAAGAGGTTCCACTCAGACAGAAATTATTATTATTATTATTATTATTATTATTATTATTATTATGTAATGATCTTCCTCTGTTTCACTTCAGATAATTCAGTGGGGCCTCTTCTCAGTTCATTCTCTTCTGGATCAGTGCCTTAATCCTTTGAAGATTTTGTATATCACATAATAGTCATTGAGGTGTCCCCAGATGTTGTTGTCCAGATCCCATCCGCTTCAGCCAGCAGGGCAGACAGTCAAGGATGATAGAAACTCTAATCTGGACCTCACCACTTGGACTCTGCTGCCCTATATCCTTCATATTGAAACAAATGTGAAAATAAATTTTGGACGCTATAGATTTATCCCGGTCTGGTGCATGCAATGTATTTTGTTTTGCAGCTGTGTGATTTGTGCTCATATTGTATTGTGGTGGCCATTGGCTATAAACAATAAAATTTATAGATACAGTAGATTGAACTGCAAAAATAAGTAATAAAATAATAAAACTATTTTTATATTTTTTTGGTCCTCACTCCCAAATGGTGTGTGTGATTTTGCTTATATTGGGGGTGGGGTGGGGGTGGAGAAGTATGAAGGCCAAAACCGTTCCCCTCCTCTGTTGAATGGATGCAGGAGACCAGAGGCAGTGAATGAAAAAGCAGGGAAAGAGAAACCCTCCAAGTGCCACTATTTTCCAGGGATGTCCCTGATTTAGAGAAGCCGTCCTGGTTTCTGATTTGACCCCAGAATATCCCGCTTTTCCTTAGGGTCTCCCTATTTTCATTGAATAAATGCTGGAGGGAATGGAATTATGTGACCCCCAGGCCCTCTGAGAAGGCAATCCTGTATAGGAAAGTTTTTTAATGTTTAATGTTTTGTTATGTTTTTCATATATGTTGGAAACCTCCCAGAGTGGCTGGGGCAGCGTAATAAGATGTGAGGTGTATAAATAATAAAATTATATTTATGGAATGGGATGTTCCTATTTTCATCAGAGAAATGTTGGAGGGTTTGGAAAGGTCGGTTGCTGGAGCTAAGTGATTGCATGATCCCAACCAGCAGAGCTGGGAACTGGACTGCCTCCTCCAGCTACCCATTCGGGCTGCAGGCATAGCTGTCAACCTTCCCTTTTTTTTTTCTTTTTCTTTTTTGCGGGAAATTCCCTTATTCCAGTGCCATTTCCCGCTGCTATCCCGGATTGTTAGATAGCCTGTAGACTGTCCCCGGGACAGGTGAGGCTGCTGATCCCTTATTTTCAATTCTGAAAATTGACAGCTATGGCTGCAGGGTGGCATCGTCCCAGCTTTCTGAAAAGATTTACTGATGAGGAAACCAGTGACTGCACATCGGATCACAAGGAGACTTATTTGTGCAACATTCTGGATATCCGAGAAGATGCCAGGTAGATTCCAATGATACAATAAATTTTGAGGGACAGCGCAAGGGGGCGCATCCAGCCTGGCAGCCTCCCAGGGCCCAACCCACAGCCAGCGAGCTCCGATGCCCAGAGAGGCAGGAAGCAGGGCCAGCCAGGGGGACTCGGGAGCGGCTGCACTTTCCTGTCCCCCGCCGAGGAGAGCGGAGGAGCAGCGGCCCGTGGCCTGGCGAGTTTCCCCGGAGAGGAGCCGGATTCCGCTGCAGGGACGGAGCGAGGAGTCCGAGGTGCAGGAGGCGGGGGGGGGGGGCAGGAGGGGGAGGAGAGCACGTGCGCCTGGCAGGATCAGGCCCCGACTCCAGCCAGAGGCTGCAGGGCGCCCCCCCCAACCGGGCAGGAAGGGGAAGGGGCGCAGCTGAGGGGCAGGGCATCTGCAGGAGGGCACAGGGGCAAACATCTCTGGCTCAGGCTGGCACGGACCCTGCCGGAGACCCTGGGGAGCTGCTCCCTTCAGTCCTGAGCTCAAGGGGCAGAATGAGGGGTCCAAGGCAGCTGCTGCTCCGCGATGGACGATGCATATAGTCGTCCCATGATCAGCGGCGTCGTTGGGGCTTTTGCCTCCCGGGGCGGTCACTGAGTCTGCCGCCCCTCTCCCTGTCCCTCACCCGTCCTCCCTCCGCCCCGACTGTCCTTCCCTCTCGCCTGCTTCTGCCTCCCTGCGGGGGCTGCAAGGGCGATGAGTGGGTTCCTGGGGCCGCAGCACAGGCACAAGCTCACGCTCTCCCACCGGCGGAGAGGGAAGGGGAGGCAGGGGGGAATGGAAGAGCAGTGCAACAGGGAGGTGTCCCTCTCACCCTGCAGCCCCCTGACACCCTTTGCAGGCCACTACTCCTGCCCCCCCTCCTCTGCCAGTGCCATTGATAAACCTATCGCCCTCCTTGGTGAATTGGTCTGATCGCCTTTGAAAGCTCTCTTTGCCACCACCATCGTCGCATCTTGTGGCAATAATGTCCATCAGATTCATTTAGCAAGGAAATGTTTTCTTTTGCCTGTCCCAAATCAAGGTACGCTGTGCCTACACATGGAGGCTCTGTTGTTCTGTCACGGCTAATAAAACAGCTCATAGATCTTTTCCCTGGAGAATGCATCTGATCTTTCCCCAAACTATCAAAGCTAGTGACCTCTTGTGTCTGCGTGTGAATAAGTGTGACAGGCATAAGCCTGTCTCATTAATTGTTTTATTTCCACCTTCCTCAGTAATACAGCTGAGTTTTCAGATGAAGGCTGAGGGTTGAAGTGGGTGACAGTTTTGAGAATGCAGGGGAAAGGAGGATTCTTAAGAAGTGTGGCATATGGAAATGAATTAATGATAATAAAAACGTTGAAGACAGTATTGTGAAAGACTGAGGAAGGCGAAATTGAAATTAGCTATTCATGTTCAGATTATTACTCCTTTCATTTCTATACTGCTTCATATTTTTAAGAAAAAAATCTAATTAGTAATTAGAGAGAAATCTGATTGCAATTTGTGTCCATTGGATGTTGAGAACATTTACTCTGTAGATCCAGGAGTTCTCTCCTCTTGATAGTCTCAGATTTGATTGTTCTTTCTGATAGAGCAGAAGGAACGAAACATTTATGGGCTTAAAGCTGCATTGATTCTGGAGGCCACATTCCAGTGAGCTTTGTGGCCAACGTATGCACATGCATGCGCACACAGAAAAGAGATGCAGACCATAAAGTCACATGCCCACACGCCAGAGGTGCTGCACAAACTCACCAGACATGCCATCTAGCATACATACAAGTCTTGCAAACACAATCAGCATGTTTAGACCTTCCAACCCCAGTTCTGGGGTGGGGAAAAATAAGAGCACAAGAAGACCCTTCTGAATTAGCAAGGAGATCTGTGGAAAAAAGACCCTTCAGATTGTTCTTTAGAAATCCTCTTTAAAGAGCAGCCAGAGGGATCATTTATTTTCCTTTTGCCCCATTTCAGCACTGTGCTGGTTTGTGCTGAAATTGGAGTTGAAAAGATCTCTCTAAGGGCCCCTTAGGCATCTTTCTCTCCGGGACAGACAGAGATCTTCATCCTATGATCAGATCAGGAGATGGAAATGGCAGGGACTAGCAGGACACACCCTGAGGCTTGGCAAGCCATATGCAGCCAATGGACTGCAAGTTAGAATATCTTCAGTAAAGAGTTTGTGACCATCAAATATAAAATATTTTGGAGTGGGTTGTTTGATTTTGTTGGTCAATATTCCTTTTGCCTCTTTGTTTCTTAGACTGTGCAGATACCATACATTTAAAGCACGTGGCTTCCCCCAGAGAACCACAGGACCTGTAGTTTATTGCTAGAGTTCTCAACACCCCTAACAAACTGCAGCTGGCAGGATTTCTTGGGTGAAGCCATGTACTTTAAATATTAGCTGGGTCTGTTGCAGCCTTATTCATATACAAAGATCTGTTGCTGCCTTTCCAACATGCTAGAAGTTGCAGCCAGGATCAGCATTCCCTGTCCACTTAACAGGCTCAGTCCTCTCACTGGGTTGTTTTTGGATTTCCCTCCCTCTGCCTTGGTTCCCCCCCCCCCCAAATATTATTTGTACTTCCATAAACCTTGATGTTTCCCCCAGTCTTTGGATAACTTCCCCTTCTCCCTGGGAGGAGCCGTTTGGGTGACATAATGATTGTCATTCACAGCCTGAACATTAGAAATAGAAAGAGTAATAATATATTTCAAAAACTGGCAAATGGTTAAAAAATGGACTTTTGTTTTTATTCTTGGGTTTTATTTTACTTTGTGTTTATTTCTTTTCCAGGAGGGTGGCGTAAAAATGGAAGAGCAGGGACCCAGGAGACCCATTCAAAGGGAGAGACTGAAGTACAAAGGAAAGAAACCTCCTACCGGCCAAGTTGGGACCATCAGGGATCTTCTGCCTCGGGCAGATTTATGTCAGATTAAGCAGGAGCCAGAGGAGGGGCAGCCGCAGCAGCACTGGGAGGCCCAGAAGCAGGATTTCCTGAAGACGATGCAGCCCCCTCGTTCAGGGTGGGAAACCCCACAGGCTCCCTGTCCTCCCCACTCCGGGGATGGTGTCCTCTCCTTCAGGGGAGCTGCGGATGCCAGTGGGAAAGCAGGGGGAGCAGACCAGACCCTGCTCCCAGACACTGAGGGGCTTCTGGGAAAGGTAAGTGCCCTCCTCTCACCTGGGTTTCCAGCACCTGGAGGTCACAGGTCCACTGCCTCTCGACAGCTATGGTGGTGGTTATTCCTCCTCCCTGCACTTTCTCTCTAATCCACTTTAAAAAGGCTTGCTAGACCAAACTTTCTTACACATGGGAGGTTTGCGATCATATCTCCTGATGTTCTTACTTTACTTAAACAGCTGCAGGGGACTCTGAATTTTATCAGAGCAGAAGCTACGTCAGAAGAGGTGATCTGCCACCAATCCTCATTTTCCTCCTCTAAATTGCCTTCATTTCCAAAATGCTCTTTTCTCCCCACTGAGGTAAATCTCTTTGCATGTCTTGCAGCCTCAGCGATCCCATGTGTACTTGCATTAAATAACACTGGCCTATTTTGCAAGGTTGTTACAAGATTTATTAGGATAATGGTCAGGTTCAGGTGACTGAATCACAGCCTGAAAATCTGGGTTAAAAATAGGAACAGTTATTAATGCATTGCTGCAGCAAAGATACGATACAACCTAAGTTGACTCAAGATTAAAACCAAAAACTCTAGCCACCACCGCAGTCTCCTGGCCCCCACAACCAGAATGCATCACTCCATGAAGGACCCCCACCCAACCTTTAGTGAGAGAGGGCAAAAGAAAAAGACTCTAAATGGGTAGTTGCACAAATTTACCAGGTGTGGTCCTGCACTGACAGCAAGGCTAACAAACAGGGGAGCTGGGAATGTGCTGGTCCCATCTCTCCCTGCATCTGCCTCCTGACCTAATTGTCCCAGCTTATCTCATGATTGGGCCGGCCCTGATTTGGAACTGTGATGAAACCAGGCAATATCTTATGAGCCATAGGTAACAAACCTTCCATTTTGCCCAAACCAGGAAACTGCAGCTGGCAGCTTTGGAATAAGCTGGGATATTAAGCTAACTTCAAAATCTGCTTGGTCAAAACAGGAATCTCTGGTTGATCAGTGGCTTCGTGGTTTGACTGTTCCCACTGATAGCAGTAAAAATAGGAAGCCCTGTTGCATTCAAAGGGGTTGTTTGGACAGAGTCTCTGATCAGCATGCCAATCAGGACAGGCTTAAAAAGGTAAAGGACCCCTGACCATTAGGTCCAGTCGTGGCCGACTCTGGGGTTGTGGAGCTCATCTCGCTTTACTGGCCGAGGGAGCCGTCGTACACTTTTCGGGTCATGTGGCCAGCATGACTAAGCCGCTTCTTGCGAACCAGAGCAGTGCACGGGAACGCTGCTTACCTTTCTGTCAAAGCGGTACCTATTTATCTACTTGCACTTTGATGTGCTTTCGAACTGCTAGGTTGGCAGGAGCAGGGACCGAGAAACGGGAGCTCACCCCGTCACAGGGATGCAAACCGCCGACCTTCTGATCGGCAAGTCCTAGGCTCTGTGGTTTAACCCACAGTGCCACCCACGTCCCACGATAGGCTTAGGAAGCAATTATTATTATTATTATTATTATTATTACTTTCTTCCTGCCTATCTGACTGGGTTACCTCTGCCCATCTGGGTAGCTTCCAACAATATAAAAACAAGCAAAAATTTCCCTGTAAAAGGCTGCCTTCGGAAGTCTTCCATTTCGTAGAAATGGCCTTCAGTTTTAAAGAATCGCCCTCTTTAAGGAATCACGTGGTGTAAACATGTATGTTGTCCTCTAGATCCAAACACACACAGACACACACATAGTAGGAGCAAGCAGTGCTCCAAAGTGCTTATCTTGCGAACTTGCCGTCTAAGTTGTTTACTCCTGACCAAAGTTCCTGTTTCCCAAAAGGACAGGAGGGGGAGCAGAGGAGGAAACGGATGGGTTTGAAGGCTCTTTCTGCCTCTCTCCCCTGAGAAACAAGAGCAAAGGGTGTTTGCAGGGCAGGAGGACAGAGGAAGAGGCAGCGAGGGCAGAGGGAGCAGTGGGCGGATCCCCCGCCTCTCCCAAGGGGTCCAGATGCAAGCAAGGGGCTTCCTTCTTCTCTCTGCAAGGGCTACCCATGTATTCAGAGCAGTCCTTTGCAGATTAACTTTTAAGTTCCCAGGAATCTACTCTCAGGCCACTAATGTGCATACCATGCCAGCCTTAGGAAGGGAGGTGGGACAGGGAGGTGAAAAGAATTGCCAAAGGTGTTTGAAAATGCACCTTGGGAAGGGGGTGCCCTTGGGAAGGGGGTGCCCAATTGGGGCTTCTCCAGGGGCAGTAGAATGTCTTGGGCAGGAGAATCCCTGCAGGGGCTCTCAGACTCCCTTGGCTTCTTCTTCCCTCCCTCCCAGGAAGCTGCAACTTGCTCTGGATTCTGCACTCCTCAGGAAGCTGAACCTGCAAACCTAGCTGAGACTGAACCTGCAACCCTGGCCAGGATGGAAGGAGGAAGATGGACGGGTGACCTGGTCAGGCTCTCTCCCGCATCCCTCCCCACAAACTCTGAGCATTCCCTCCCAGGACCCTTGGAGAAATCTGGTGAGTTCCAGGGGAGAGGAGATGGGGAGAGGGATAGATGGATGGTGGAGGGAGAAAGAGGAAAAGATGGAGAGGAGACAAATGGAAGGAAGTTCCTGACAGGAAGAAGGAAGGGGTGAGGCCTTCTCCGAAGCAGCTCTTTGTTTCTTGAATCCTTTTCCTAAAGTAGTGGGGGCAGATTTTCTTCCTCCAGGCTTTGAAATCTTAGGTGTTATTTCCACGGTGGGAATAATTGATGATAATGATGTTGCACACCAATCCTAAAAAATGGGTGAAGGGGAACAGAAATGCTTCACATAATTATTTATAATTAATGTATTTAAATTGTTTCTATTACTCTTATTTTTTATAGACAGGGTCAGAATGATAAATTCTACCAGCATCAAAACACAATAAATGCATGCACCTCCCCAGTTTGGTGGGGTTAAGGGACAAAGGACCAGTTATCATAATACAGGATTCCTGTAACTGGAGGCCCTACACTTAGGATTGGGTATATAAAGTACAAGAGCGGATGGTATTATAAGGAAATTGTGTAAATCTTACAGACTGGGGTTGTTTGTGAGAGTGAGTGAGTGGGATAATAATTTTAGCGCCCCTGTGTAATGGCTTGGTTCTCCCGCACAGACGCGAAACAACTCCAGTAGTAATTATCTCAGGCTTAATGCTCAAACTCATAAATCACTGTGGAGCTCAGTCTTCGGCCTGTTCATCCCAGCTTGCAGTTGCCGAGTCCTCCAGCAAAGAAGCCCCCACTTTCGCTTTCTTTTCCCCTCTTCTCGCAGATTCTCTCGAGCCTCCGATTGTTTGGACAGGCTATTTCCGGGGTCTCTGTGTCAGACCTCAAACTGGAGCTGACGGTCTGTGTCCCCCCCCCCACGGCACCCCCTCTTCCTGCTCTTTGTTCTTTGCTCCTGCTGCAGCTTGGCTGCTCCTCCCCTGCTTCACATTCCAACCGAATCACATCTCTTGCGTTCTCAGGCTCTGTCAGCGGAGGCACAAGAGGCTTGAGATTCACAGAGCTGACACCCTGTAATTTTGTCCGTGCCTAAGCCTCCATGGAGATACTGTGGTACAACCTAGGTGCAAATTTCAACATAAGTACACAAAGCCAACAAAGAGACTCAGAGGTTTATAGTGGCACCAGCTTTCCTGGTCAAGAGTCCACTAAGTACCACAGAAGCTTAGGCAATAATACATTTATCAGCCTTTAAGGGCTGCAAAAGATGAATAAACAGAAGCGTAGTTCATCTATGGAATCTATCCTACAGGAGACAGTGATGGCCAGCAACATGGATAGCTTGAAGAAAAGGATAAGACTGACGTCTCTGCTCTGCCCTCGTGGTCCAGGCAATAATGCTTCTTGATACTAGTTTCTGGAAAGCACAGGAAGGCAGAGAAGACTCTTGTGCTCCAATCCTGCTTGCCGGTTTCCCACAGGCATCTGGTTGGCCTCTGTGAGAAGAGGATGCTGGACTAGGTGGGCCTTTGCCTGATCCAGCAGGCTCTTCTTAGGTTCCAATACATTGCAATATTTCTACAGTTACATGTAGCACTTAAGTTTTATTTATTTCACAAGGGAGATACCGTTACTTTACCCTGAGATCATTTCTTCACTTCAGAAAGTAAAAATAGATGTGTCTAAAAAGCCAATTCCACCATAGATCTGTATTATAAAATGATGGTGCTTTGCCAAGTGTGAATGGAGTGATCATGTGTTGCTCTTGCCATTATCTCATATTAATTCCTAAAAATTTGAAACCTAGAGAGGACAGTGGAGAATGGAGACAGTGTTAAAATGAGAGAAGGTGCAGACTGGGATTGACATGTGTGCAGTTCCCTTTTTGTCTTTCTTGAAAGTCTAACAGGATTCTCTTTCCTCCCAGACTCCCAAACAGGTGAGGAAGATGAAAGTCAGAATTCTATGGAGCCACATGTGAATTTATTGGGAAGAAGAAAGAAACTGAGGATACAACAACAAACTCACAAAGGAGAGAAACTATTTGAATGTATGGAATGTGGAAAGGGCTTCAGTGAAAGTGGAAAACTTAGAATATATCAACGAACTAATACGGGGGAGAAAAGATTTGAATGTTTTGAATGTGGAAAGAGCTTCAATGACCGTCAAACACTTAGAATACACCAACGAACTCACATGGGGGAGAAACCATTTAAATGTATTGAATGTGGAAAGACCTTCAGTCAATATGGAGTCCTTAGAATACATCAACGAACTCACACAGGGGAGAAACCATTTAAACGTATTGAATGTGGAAAGAGTTTCAGTCAATATGGAGTCCTTAGAAGACATCAACGAACTCACACTGGGGAGAAACCATTTAAATGTATTGAATGTGGAAAGAGCTTCAGGCAATATGAAGTCCTTAGAAGACATCAACGAACTCACACTGGGGAGAAACCATTTAAATGTATTGAATGTGGAAAAAGCTTCGGTAAGAATGGAGCACTTAGAGTACACCAACGAACTCACACAGGGGAGAAACCATTTAAATGTATTGAATGTGGAAAGAGTTTCAGCGAAAGTGGAGCACTTAGAATACATCAACGAACTCACACAGGTGAGAAACCATTTAAATGTATTGAATGTGGAAAGAGCTTCAGTCAAAGTGGGGCACTTAGAATACATCAACGAACTCACACAGGGGAGAAACCATTTAAATGTATCGAATGTGGAAAGAACTTCAGTCATAGTGGAGCACTTAGAATACATCAACGAACTCACACAGGGGAGAAACCATTTAAATGTATCGAATGTGGAAAAAGCTTCAGTGAAAGTGAGAAACTTAGAATACATCAATGATCTCACACAGGTGAGAAACCATTTAAATGTATTGAATGTGGAAAGTGCTTCAGTGAAAGTGGAGCACTTAGAAGACATCAACGAACACACACAGGGGAGAAACCATTTAAATGTATTGAATGTGGAAAAAGCTTCAGTCAAAGTGGGACACTTAGAATGCATCAACGAACTCACACTGGGGAGAAACCATTTAAATGTATTGAATGTGGAAAGAGCTTCAGTGAAAGTGGGAAACTTAGAATACATCAACTAACTCACACTGGGGAGAAACCATTTAAATGTATTGAATGTGGAAAAAGCTTCAGTAAGAATGGAGCACTTAGAAGACATCAACGAACTCATACCGGGGAGAAACCATTTAAATGTATTGAATGTGGAAAGAGCTTCAGGCAATATGGAGTCCTTAGAATACACCAACGAACTCACACTGGGGAGAAACCATTTAAATGTATTGAATGTGGAAAAAGCTTCAATAAGAATGGAGCACTTAGAAGACATCAATGAACTCACACTGGGGAGAAACCATTTAAATGTATTGAATGTGGAAAGAGCTTCAGTCAAAGTGGGGCACTTAGAATACATCAACGAACTCACACTGGGGAGAAACCATTTAAATGTATCGAATGTGGAAAAAGCTTCAGTGAAAGTGAGAAACTTAGAATACATCAACGAACTCACACAGGTGAGAAACCATTTAAATGTATTGAATGTGGAAAGTGCTTCAGTGAAAGTGGATCACTTAGAAGACATCAACGAACTCACACATCGGAGAAACGATTAAAATGTATGGAATTTGGAAAAAGCTTCAGTCAAAGTGGGACACTTAGAATACATCAACGAACTCACACTGGGAGAAACCATTTAAATGTATTGAATGTGGAAAGAGCTTCAGTGAAAGTGGGAAACTTAGAATGCATCAACGAACTCACACTGGGGAGAAACCATTTAAATGTATTGAATGTGGAAAAAGCTTCAGTAAGAATGGAGCACTTAGAAGACATCAACGAACTCACACGGGGGAGAAACCATTTAAATGTATTGAATGTGGAAAGAGCTTCAGGCAATATGGAGTCCTTAGAATACACCAACGAACTCACACAGGGGAGAAACCATTTAAATGTATTGAATGTGGAAAAAGCTTCAATAAGAATGGAGCACTTAGAAGACATCAACGAACTCACACTGGGGAGAAACCATTTAAATGTATTGAATGTGGAAAAAGCTTCGGTAAGAATGAAGCACTTAGAGTACACCAACGAACTCACACAGGGGAGAAACCATTTAAATGTATTGAATGTGGAAAGAGTTTCAGCGAAAGTGGAGCACTTAGAATACATCAACGAACTCACACAGGTGAGAAACCATTTAAATTATTGAATGTGGAAAGAGCTTCAGTAAGAATGGAGCACTGAGAATACATCAACGAACTCACACAGGGGAGAAACCATTTAAATGTATCGAATGTGGAGAAAGCTTCAGTGAAAGTGAGAAACTTAGAATACATCAACGAACTCACACTGGGGAGAAACCATTTAAATGTATTGAATGTGGAAAGTGCTTCAGTGAAAGTGGAGCACTTAGAAGACATCAACGAACTCACACAGGTGAGAAACCATTTAAATGTATTGAATGTGGAAAAAGCTTCAGTAAGAATGGAGCACTGAGAATACATCAACGAACTCACACTGGGGAGAAACCATTTAAATGTATTGAATGTGGAAAGAGCTTCAGTCAAAGTGGGGCACTTAGAATACATCAACGAACTCACACAGGGGAGAAACCATTTAAATGTATCGAATGTGGAAAAAGCTTCAGTGAAAGTGAGAAACTTAGAATACATCAACGAACTCACACAGGTGAGAAACCATTTAAATGTATTGAATGTGGAAAGTGCTTCAGTGAAAGTGGATCACTTAGAAGACATCAACGAACTCACACAGGGGAGAAACGATTTAAATGTATTGAATGTGGAAAAAGCTTCAGTCAAAGTGGGACACTTAGAATACATCAACGAACTCACACTGGGGAGAAACCATTTAAATGTATTGAATGTGGAAAGAGCTTCAGTGAAAGTGGGAAACTTAGAATACATCAACGAACTCACACTGGGGAGAAACCATTTAAATGTATTGAATGTGGAAAAAGCTTCAGTAAGAATGGAGCACTTAGAAGACATCAACGAACTCACACGGGGGAGAAACCATTTAAATGTATTGAATGTGGAAAGAGCTTCAGTCAAAGTGGGACACTTAGAATACATCAAGGAACTCACACTGGGGAGAAACCATTTAAATGTATTGAATGTGGAAAGAGCTTCAGTGAAAGTGGGAAACTTAGAATACATCAACAAACTCACACTGGGGAGAAACCATTTAAATGTATTGAATGTGAAACGTGCTTCAGTGAAAGTGGGAAACTTAGAATACATCAACGAACTCGCACTGGGGAGAAACCATTTAAATGTATTGAATGTGGAAAAAGCTTCAGTAAGAATGGAGCACTTAGAAGACATCAACGAACTCACACGGGGAGAAACCATTTAAATGTATTGAATGTGGAACGTGCTTCAGTGAAAGTGGGAAACTTAGAATACATCAACAAACTCACACAGGTGAGAAATCATTTAAATGTGTGGATTGTGCAAATAGCTTCAGTAAAAATGAACACCTTAGAAGACATCAGCTAACACACACACAATGAAAACTACGGGTTTATTGAATGGGGAAAGGGCTTCAGAGGGAGTGGAGACCTTAATATTCATTAGTAAATTCACATGGGGAAAACAATATAAATGTATGGAGTTTTTCACTCAGGGTTCACTACTTCCATCAAGAAACTCATAAAGGGGGAAATCAGTTGTAAATGCATGGAATGATGTTTTAGTGTTTCTACTTAAATTCGTATACACATATATACGTATTAAAGTAATGAAGGTCACATATACTAAATGTACAAAGTAAGTGGCAACTTTTTGCTAGATAAACAGGGAGAGAGTGTGAATCTGCAATGCTCAAGGTGTGTGTTGAATCTGTTGAGTTTTCAGGTCCGCCTTTCACTGCCAAAATGATGGGCTGCCCTTGCCTTGTAGATCAGCATTCCAGGCGCTCTTTACTTGAACTTTGCATAATCTATTGAAGAGCTTTTTACTGATAGATAGCATTTTCCAGCTGAATGAAAGGTCCCTGTGTTAAATGTTCATTTGGGATTGCTTTTAAAACTCATCTCCTATTTTCTGTGCTCTTGTGTACCTGTTTTGTGCTGTTTTTATTAAATATTTTATGCATTGGCTTTTGACCCGTGGAAGGTGACCAGTGAGGGTGTTTTTTTGTGTTCCTTAGTTCACAGAAATGTTTTAAAGGAATGTGAAAGAATTAGGGCTAGGGGAGATGAGTGAAAGGGACTGAGGAGTGGGAGACTGATTTGTTGTGAATGTGGGAGGTGGAGTGGGAGAGAAGAGAGAGGTCCGTTATTTGGTCAGGGCTGTGGCTAAAGGCCTTGGTCCAGCTTTTCTGGGAATTGTAGTCTCAGGATGTCTAATTGTAGTTGGCTGAGGAGGCTCAGAAACCTCTGAGAGGTTCCTCCCAGAACTACAGTTCCCAGAGTTCCTAGGAAGTGAAGATGGCTGTGAAGTCTCTGGACAGAGGTCAGCAATCTAAGGGCCACGGGCTGGTTCTGACCCGAATGGGTTCTGGATCCGTCCCACAGAAGGTCCAGAAATTGCCTCATGGTTCTGATTCATATAGTTTGGGCTGCACCATTTCTCTCTCTCTTTTTCTCTTCCTGACGGCGGCACTTCCTCCCTCCCTTCTGGCTTCTCCCCCGCCCTGCAGAGGAAGGGGGCTAGCCTTTGGTTGGTGCCAGCAGCATTGTTTCCCTCTGATTGGTTGCAGAGTTATTTTGTTGTTGGTTATACTTGCGTCTATACAAAGTGCATAGCTTTTGCCCCTCCATAAAGAAATGGGGAGGAGACAAGAGCTGGAATAGCTGACCAGAAGGAAATGTAACCTGGGAACTTCATGTTGCTCCCCCAGCTCCCTGAACCCAAGAAAAGACTCATCCAGGGAGGCAGGTGAGCATCACAACTAAACCCCACATTATGCTCTCCAGTAGCTAATCGCTCAGACAGGGCTATTTTCATTCAGTTCTTTGTGTTAGGGGGGGGGTTACCTTCCCTTCTTCCCTTGCAATCATGACAAAAATGAAACCTCCACAGCAATGCTTTTAGCCCCAGAAGAGGAGCTCCCCTTGGTGTCAAGGAAGGGGTCCAAGGGAGTGAGGAGATTTCACCCTTCCCATATCAAAGAATCTCCTGATGAGTCTGGTGATTTTCCAGAGAGGAGGGGCAATGTTCTGCTCTCTACTTATTCTGCTCCAGCACCACATCAAAGAGTCAGTCAGTCAGTGTGTTGGAGAGAGAGAGAGACTGAGTGTTAGAGATCGTGTGTATAGATAGGGTTGCTGCTAAGAGCAGCTGCAGGCACTCAGTGCGGTTCAGCATTCATTTATGCTTAGACCTCATTAAGCTCTGTACATAGTTGTGTATTATAGCTGTAGATAGAATAAAGAAGATATTCTACAGAGCTGCTCTCCGAGTCGTTTATACTCTGCTATACTCTGCTATACTCTGCTATACTCCGCTGTGCGACGACTGTCTTCTTGTGGAAGTGAATCCGGTGCTCACAACTCTAAGCTGTGAGTCCACAGCACTTTGACCTGTTCCTGTGCAGAAGGTGGTCTCTGGAAGTGCTACCCAGCTCGCCTAGCCCAGTCAGGGCTGAAGTGGATGAGTCCAGTTGGTGGCACTGGCTCAAGGACGATGCTGACATCGGTTATGGGCCCAGTCGTTGTTCCAGTCGTCTGACCAGACATTGTCCCAGTCGTCCCAGTCGCCAGACGTTTCTGTTGCTGATTGCTGGATGGCGGAACGGAGGCTGCATGCTGGACTGATTTGTGGTGCCCAGAAGCAGAGCTGTTTTGGAGCAGAGTGTTCAAGCTGCCGCTGTTGCTGCTGCTTGATTTATGGAGGTGTGTTGCTGACTGCCAAAAGGAAAGAAGATAGCATCCCTGTTTGCCTGTTAATTGCGCTCTGAGTGGGAGAGAGAGTGGCTGAAGGAGTCAAGGCTTTATCTGTGTTGCACGAAGGAAGTGTCTTGCTTTAAGTGATAGCAGACATGGCCTGTGCACATTCTGGCCAGATGACTCTGCCCTTTCCTCTCCTCACGCCCGAGACCTATGCTGTATGGCAGGTCAAGATGAAAGCGCTTTTACAGAGGCAAACAGGGATGCTATCTTCTTCTCTTTGCAGTGTTTAGAACAGATAATTACCCCCCCAAGAGGCAGTCTGGTGCCACATTGTGTAGGGGTCACTGTAACACACTCTACATGGGGCTGCCATGCACTTTCTGCCTGGAACTTTCTGTGCTCAGAAATTTCAACTGGCTCAAAGAGCTTCAGACACATTGCTGACCAGGGCTGGCTATAGGCAGCATAAAGGTAAAGGTAAAGGTACCCCTGCCCGTACGGGCCAGTCTTGACAGACTCTAGGGTTGTGCGCTCATCTCACTCTAGAGGCCGGGAGCCGGCGCCGTCCGCAGACACTTCCGGGTCACGTGGCCAGTGTGACATAGCTGCTCTGGCGAGCCTGCACCAGAGCAGCACACGGAACTCCGTTTACCTTCCCGCTATAAAGCGGTACCTATTTATTTACTTGCACTTTATGGGTGCTTTTGAACTGCTAGGTGGGCAGGAGCTGGGACCGAAAGACGGGAGCTCACTCCGCCGTGGGGATTCGAACCGCCGACCATACGATCGGCAAGTCCTAGGCACTGTGGTTTTACCCACAGCGCCACCCGCGTCCACAGTGAGAACTGTGGTTCTCAAGGAAGAGTCAGCCCAGGAATACAAGGTAGGAATTCACCTTGACATTTGCTAACAAAATCCTTTCATAGCTTTTTGTGAGGGTGTGGCTGCTAATCTTTAACCTGGGATGAGCACTAAGAATTGGGCCTCATCCCTCTGTTATTTAAAATAAAATAAAATGCTTGTTCTGCTTCTAAATAAACCCTTTATCATTCATTTTTATTCTTTTTGCATATTAAAAAAATCACTATTTTAAAAAGCTGTGCAAACAATGCAGTGTCAGAATAACAAAAGAATGAAACATCTCATGAGAGCCTTGTTTTTTAAATATACAGCTAAAAAACCTAAAGGCTCCTACAACACTTACGAGATACAAATCTAATAGCAGGGCCCCCAGGCACTACAAGGCAACCTGATATTCAAGACTCCCCACCCACCCACCCGTCCCACCTCTGAGCTTTTGGTTTCCCTTTAGACACTCATTTGTGGTCGCCTGGAACATTTGAGAAAAAGAGAGAGAACATTGTGGCATATGTAGCAAACATAGAAGAAGAAAGAGTGCAACCTTTTCGGCAAGAGGTTCCACTCAGAGGTTCCACTCTGACAAAAGCAGCAGAGGAGGCTGGTATCTTTCCTAATAACTCATCGCTGGAAACAGAAGCTGCAGAGCTCTAACAGAAGGAAGCTTAAACTTGAGAAGTCAGTGGGTGCTTGTTGGAGATGGCTAGGAGAAGCAGCAGCAGTTGCAAATAAGTTCTGCAATGATGAAGAAGCTTAGGATCTCCCTCTGGGACCAGAGAGAGGAAAGTTCACAGGATTACATAAAGGACTGAACATTGTTTGCAACGTGCTTCTTTATCAAGTTCATCTTATTGTAAGACTGTTTAAGACTCTTGTGCAGTAAAGCTTCAAAAATTATTCTTGTGATGGAGAGAACTCATTTCCCACACAAGGTCCAGATCAGGAATTCCATGGAACAACTTGAACAACAAGTACCTGAAGAACCAAACCACGATGTAGCCGTGCTCTTTCCATCCCTTTCCAAAATTGCAGCAAGCTGTTCCTCCAAATGGTTCTCCCTTCACTGAAGTCATCTGAAGGCACCAACTATGCCCTGTTGGCCCCGATCCTTCTCCGTATGAAGGCTCCCTCCTCTGCTGAATGGAGGCAGGAGACCAGAGACAGCAAAGAAAAAAGCAGGGAAAGACAGACCCTCCAAGTGTCACTGTCTTCCAGGGATGTCCCTGATTTACAGAAGCTGTTGTCAGTTTCTGATTTGATGCCAGAGGGTATGGGGTTATGTGACCCCCAAGTTGTCTGAAGGTAATCCTGTATAGGGAATTTTTAAAATGTTTTCTTATGTTTTTATATATGTTGGTAGCTGCCTGGAGTGGCTTGGGCAACCTAATAAGATGTGTGGGGTATAAATAGTAAAATTATCATTATGGAACAGGACACCCCTATTTTCATCGGAGAGATGTTGGAGGGTATGGAAAGATAACAGAGCCCAGCCCTGGCACCTGTTACTGGAGCTAAGTGATCACATGACCTAGGCCAGCAGAGCTGGGAACTGGACTGCCTCCTCCAGCTGCTAGGCATTCAGGCAGCTGGGTGGCATCGTCCCAGCTTCATGAAATGGTATTTCAGGAATATTTCCTGTAGAGGATTTGGAAACCAGGGACTGCATACTGATCGCAAGGAGACTTATTTGTGCAACATACTGAAGAGCTTATAAAATGCCAGGTACATTCCAATGTTCTAATAAATTTTGAGAGACAGCTTTCCAAACAAAACCCACTTATTACAGAATTATTATTATTATTATTAATACCCCACACTCCCCAGCCAAGGCCGGGCTCAGGGCGGCTAACAAGCAATAATAAAAACAAGTTGAATGATTACAACTTAAAAACAAAATTAAAATACATTAAAATATTGATACATTGAAATATTAAAATGTAGCCTCATCGCAGGAAGAGAAAGGAAAAGAAAAAAGAGAGGGAGGGAGGGAATAAATTTGGCTCCAAGCCAAAGGCCAGGTGGAACAACTCTGTCTTACCGGCCCTGAGGAAAGAAATCAGATCCTGCAGGGCCCTGGTCTCATGAGGTAGAGCGTTCCACCAGGCCGGAGCCAGAGTTGAAAAGGCCCTGGCTCTGGTTGAAGCCAATCTAACTTCCTTAGGGCCCGGGACCACTAGGGTGTTGCTATTTATGGACCTTGAGGCTCTCCGTGGAGCATACCGGGAGAGGCGGTCCCGTAGGTACGAGGGTCCTAGGCTGTGAAAGGCTTTAAAGGTCAAAACCACACCTTAAATCTGACCCTGTACTCCACCGGGAGCCAGTGCAGCTTGAAAAGTACTGGGTGAATATGCTCCCATGGCATAGACCCCGTGAGCAGCCTGGCTGCATTCTGCACCCACTGGAGTTTCTGGGACAGCTTCAAGGGCAGCCCAGCGTAGAGCGAATTACAGTAGTCAAGCCTGGAGGTGACCGTCGCATGGATCACTGTGGCCAGGTCGGGGTGGGAAAGGTAAGGGCCCAACTGCTTGATGACAACGAAAGGGTATAGAAAGGGGAAGTTTTCGGGTTTCTCTAAAAACCATCGGACTATTGTGTACACAATTTCAAGGTAACATTACACTTTATTTCCGCTTTTTCTTACATGGGACTCGAACTCACAACCTTGAGATAAAGCACCTCACGCTCTACTGACTGAGTTAAGACAATAAGACAACTCAGTGATTTGTGTACAGGGGACACAGATGGCGGCGTGTGAACTTCCCTAGAGAAGGGTGCAAAAAGCTTGTTCCCTGCTGCTCCAGAGCTAGGAATGGACCAGATCTCATCGGGCTAATCCATTTGCCCCGACAGCTAAGAGCAGAACCTCCAGGATCAGAAGCAGCGGGCTGCAAATTCGAGGGCAGGTGAAGCAGCAGGGCGGTCTCGCAGCACTCGCCTTGCAAGGGGGCGCATCCAGCCTCGCAGCCTCCCAGGGCCCAACCCACAGCCAGCGAGCTCCGATGCCCAGAGAGGCAGGAAACGGGGCCAGCCAGGGGGACTCGAGAGCGGCTGCGCTCTCCTGTCCCCGCCGAGGAGAGCGGGGGAGCAGCGGCCCGTGGCCTGGCGAGTTTCCCCGGAGAGGAGCCGGATTCCGGTGCAGGGACGGAGCGAGGAGTCCGAGGTGCAGGAGGCGGGGGGGGAGGAGGGGGAGAGCAGGTGGGCCTGGCAGGATCAGGCCCCGAGCCCAGCTAGAGGCTGCAGGGCGCCCCCCACCCGGGCAGGAAGGGGAAGGGGCGCAGCTGAGGGGCAGGGCATCTGCAGGAGGGCACAGGGGCAAACATCTCTGGCTCAGGCTGGCACGGACCCTGCCGGAGACCCTGGGGAGCTGCTCCCTTCAGTCCTGAGCTCAAGGGGCAGAATAAGGGGTCCAAGGCAGCTGCTGCTTCGCGATGGACGATGCATATAGTCGTCCGATGATCAGCGACGTACCTGGGGCTTTTGCCTCCCCTCTCCCTGTCCCTCATCAGGGAGCCCAGCCCATTCGACGGTCCTCCCCACGGCGGAGAGGGAAGGGGAGGCGGGGGGGAATAGAAGAGCAGAAGGGGGGGGGGTCTCTTACTGTGCAGCCCCTGACACCCTTTGCAGGCCACTACTCCTGCCCCCCTTCCTCTGCCAGTGTCATTGATAAACCTACCGCCCTCATTTGTGAATTGGTCTGATCGCCTTTGAAAGCTCTCTTTGCCGCCACCATCACCGCATCTTCTGGCAATGATGTCCATCAGATTCATTTAGCAAGGAAATGGCTTCTTTTGTCTTCCCTCATCAATGTACACTCTGCGTACACATGGAGGTTCTGTTGTTCTGTCAAGGCTAATAAAACATCTAATAGATCTATTTCCTGGGGAACGCATCTGATCTTTTCCCAAGCTATCAAAGTTAGTGACCTCTTGTGTCTGCGTGTAAATCAGTGAGAGAGGCTTAAGCCTGTTTCATTAAAGGTTTTATTTCCACCTTAGTAAGGCAGCAGAGTTTTGAGATGAAGGCTGAGGGTTGAAGTGGGTGACAGTTTTGAGAATGCAGAGGAAAGGAGGATTCTTAAGAAGTGTGGCATATCGAAATGAATTAATGATAATAAATATGTTGAAGACAGTATTGTAAAAGACTGAGGAATGCAAATTTGAAATTAGCTATTAATGTTCAGATTATTACTCATTTCATTCATATACTGCTTCATATTCTTAAGGGAAAAATTCTCAAAGCAATTAAAGGGAAATCTCGTTGCAGTTTGTGTCTCCATAAGATGTTGAGAACATTAACTCTGTAGATCCAGGAGTTCTCTCCTCTTGATAGTCTCAGATTTGATTGTTCTTTCTGATAGAGCAGGAGGAACACTTTTTGGGCTTAAAGCTGCATTGATTCTGGAGGCCACATTCCAGTGAGCTTTGTGGCCAATGTATGCACATGCATGCGCACACAGAAAAGAGATGCAGACCATAAAGTCACATGCACACACGCCAGAGGTGCTGCACAAACTCACCAGACATGCCATCTAGCATACATACAAGTCTTGCAAACACAATCAGCATGTTTAGACCTTCCAATCCCAGTGCTGGGCTGGAGGAGAAATAAGAGCACAAGAAGACCCTGCTGAATTAGCAAGGAGATCTGTGGAAAAAAGACCCTTCAGATTGTTCTTTAGAAATCCTCTTTAAAGAGCAGCCAGAGGGATCATTTATTTCCAGATCAGGGCTCTTACCCCATTTCAGCACTGTGCTTGTTTGTGGTGAAATTGGAGTCTAAAAAATCTCTCCAAGGGCCCTTTAGGCATCTTTCTCTCCAGGACAGACAGAGATCTTCATCCTATGATCAGATCAGGAGATGGAAATGGCAGGGACTAGCAGGACACACCCTGAGGCTTGGCAAGCCATATGCAGCCAATGCACTGCAAGTTAGAGTGTCTTCAGTCAAGAGAGTTTATGACCATCAAATTTAAAATATTTTGGATATTCCTTTTGTTCTTAGGCTGTGCAGATACCATACATTTAAAGCATGTGGCTTCCCCCAGAGAACCACGGGACCTGTAGTTTATTGCTACAGTTCTCAACACCCCTAACAAAATGCAGCTCGCAGGATTTCTTGGGTGAAGCCATGTACTTTAAATGTTAGGTGGGTCTATCACAGCCTTAATCATATACAAGGATCTGTTGCTGCCTTTCCAACATGCTAGAAGTTGCAGCCAGGATCAGCATTCCCTGTCCACTTAACATGCTCAGTCCTCTCTCTGGGTTGTTTTTGGATTTCCCTCCCACTGCCTTGGTCCCCTCCCCCCAAAAAAATATTATTTGTAATTCCATAAACCGTTTCCCCCAGTCTTTGGATAACTTCCCCTCGTCCCTGGGTGGAGTTGTTTGGGTGACATAAAGATTGTCATTCACATCCTGAACATTAGAAATAGAAAGAGTAATAATATATTTCAAAAACTGGCTAATGGTTAAAAAATGTGCTTTTGTTTTTATTCTTGTGTTGTATTTTACTTTGTGTTTATTTCTTTTCCAGCAGGGTGGCAAAAAAATGGAAGAGCAGGGACCCAGGGAGAGACTGGAGTGGAAAGGAAAGAAACCTCCTGCCGGCCAAGTTGGGACCATCAGGGATCTTCTGCCTCGGGCAGATTTATGTCAAATTAAGCAGGAGCCAGAGGAGGGGCAGCCGCAGCAGCACTGGGAGTTCCAGAAGCAGGATTTCCTGAAGACGATGCAGCCCCCTTGTTCAGAGTGGGAAACCCCACAGGCTCCCAGTCCTCCCCACTCCGGGGATGGTGTCCTCTCCTTCAGGGGAGCTGCGGATGCCAGTCGGAGGCCCAGTGGGAGAGCAGGGGGGACAGACCAAACCCTGCTCCCAGACACTGAGGGGCTTCTGGGAAAGGTAAGTGCCCTCCTCTCACCTGGGTTTCCAGCACCTGGAGGTCACAGGTCCACTGCCTCTAGACATGGAGGTTCTGTTTAGCTATGGTGGTGAATATTCCTCCCCCCCTGCACTTTCTCTCTAATCCACTTTAAAAAGGCTTGCTAGACCAAACTTTCTAAATGGGTAGCTGTACAACTTTACCAGCTGTGGTCCTGCACTGGCAGCAAGGCTAACAAACAGGGGAGCTGGGAACGTGCTAGTCTCGTATCTCCCTGCATCTGCCTCCTGACCTAATTGTCCCAGCTTACCTCATGATTGGGCCGTCCCTGAGGGTGAACTGTGATGAAACCAGGTACTCTCTTATGAGGCATAACTAACAAACTTTCCATTTTGCCCAAACCAAGAAACTACGGCTGCCAGCTTTGGAATAAGCTGGGATATTAAGTTAACTTCAAACTGTGCTTGGTCAAAACAGGAAACTCTGGCTGATCAGTGGCTTCGTGGTTTTACTGTTCCCACTGTAAAAATAGTAAAAATAGGAAGCCCTGTTGCATTCAAAGGGGCTGTTTGGACAGAGTCTCTGATCAGCATGCCTAGCAGGACAGGCTTAAAAAGGTAAAGGGACCCCTGACCATTAGGTCCAGTTGTCACCGACTCTGGGGTTGAGGCGCTGATCTTGCTTTATTGGCCAAGGGAGCCGGAGTACACCTTCCGGGTCATGTGGCCAGCATGACTAAGCCGCTTCTTGCGAACCAGAGCAGCGCACAGAAACGCCGTTTACCTTCCCGCTGGAGCGGTACCTATTTATCTACTTGCACTTTGACGTGCTATTGAACTGCTAGGTTGACAGGAGCAGGGACTGAGCAACGGGAGCTCACCCCGTTGCGGGGATTCGAACCGCCAACCTTCTTATCAGCAAGTCCTAGGCTCTGTGGTTTAACCCACAGCGCCACCCGCGTCCTAGGACAGGCTTAGGAAGCAATTATTATTATTATTATTATTATTATTATTTGCATCCTGCCTATCTGACTGGGTTGCCTCAGCCCATCTGGGTAGCTTCTAACAAAATAAAAACTATCAACAATTTCCTTGTAAAAGGCTGCCTTCGGAAGTCTTCCATTTTGTAGAAATGGCCTTCAGTTTTAAAGAATTGCCCTCTTTAAGGAATCACGTGGTGTAAATATGTATGTTGTCCACTAGGTCCAAACGCAGACAGACTCACACATGGTAGGAGCAAGCAATGCTCTAAAGTGCTTATCTTGCGAACATCTAAGTTGTTTACTCCTGACCAAAGCTCCTGTTTCCCAAAAGGACAGGAGGGGGAGCAGTGGAGGAAACAGATGGGTTTGAAGGCTCTTTCCATCAGCCGCCTCTCTCCCCTGAGGAACAGGAGCAAAGGGTGTTTGCAGGGCAGGAGGACAGAGATTGAGGCAGCGAGGACAGAGGGAGCAGTGGGCGGATCCACTGCCTCTCCCAGGGGGTCCAGATGCAAGCAAGAGGCTTCCTTCTTCTCCATGCAAGGGCCACCCATGTATTCAGAGCAGTCCTTTGCAGATTAACTCTTAAGTTCCAAGGGATCTACTCTCAGGCCACTAATGTGCATACCATGCCAGCCTTAGGAAGGGAGGTGGGACAGGCAGGTGAAAGGAATTGCCAAAAGTGTTTGAAAATGGGTGGAGGCTCTTGGGAAGGGGGTCCCCAATTGGGGCTTCTCCAGGGGCAGCAGGATGTCTTGGGCAGGAGAATCCCTGCAGGGGCTCTCAGACTCCCTTGGCTTCTTCTTCTTCCCTCCCTCCCAGGAAGCTGCAACTTGCTCTGGATTCTGCACTCCTCAGGAAGCTGAACCTGCAAACCTAGCTGAGACTGAACCTGCAACCCTGGCCAGGATGGAAGGAGGAAGATGGACGGTTGACTTGGTCAGGCTGTCTCCCGCATCCCTCCCCACAACCTCTGAGCATTCCCTCCCAGGACCCTTGGAGAAATCTGGTGAGTTCCAGGGGAGAGGAGATGGGGAGAGGGATAGATGGATGGTGGAGGGAGAAAGAGGAAAAGATGGAGAGGAGACAAATGGAAGGAAGTTCCTGACAGGAAGAAGGAAGGGGTGAGGCCTTCTCAGAAGCAGCATTTTTTTTCTTGAATCCTTTTCCTAAAGTAGTGGGGAAAGATTTTCTTCCTCCAGGCTTTGAAATCTTAGCTGTTATTTCCACGGTGAGAATAATTGATGATAATGATGTTGCACAACAATCCTGAAAAACAGATGAAGGGGATGTTGGAATTCTGCCTGGGTCAGAGGAATGTGCCACAAGCAGGCACCGGCAGATATTCCTGTCGACCTCCCCGCGTCTCCCAACCTCTGCTGATAAGCAGGCGAGGTCCGGCGATTCTTCTCAGATGTATGAGAGGAACACACCGTTCTTCCTCTCTCCCCTTTGGTGTCCCCAGGGAGGGGAAAGAAGCAGACAGAAAACTATTTACATCATTTATTTCTGCCTCTTACATCAGTACAGAGAATCATGTCTGCACTCAACAACAGCAAGAAGAAAACTCCTCCCAAGTACATCCAGTACGGGTCATGTGACACACACACACTGAGCTAACATCCGGTGCTCAGTACAGAATGGACTGCCCCTTTGTTTCCATGGCAACAGTCACAAACATCCTGTCTGGCTTTCCAGCCACAAGCAGCTGGCTGAGCTGCTAGAGCCTTTGCTTGCTGCAGCATTGGTGCTTTATGGTAACATACTCCCCCTAAAGTATCAATGTGTGCTGCGAGCAAAGCGTCATCCAGAGAAGAAAACAAACAGTTGTTATATTTATAACATTCCCCTGTTGTTTCAGTTCCACCCTTGGAACTACCCGCCACTGGTTTAACCAATGTACCTCTCTGGTTGTGTGACTTCGCATTACCTCGGTTAACAACTCTCTGTTGTGCCTTTGTCTCTGACTCAGACACAGCTTCAATCTGTCCTTGGTCGTTTACAACAGCAACATATGCAAGGTTAGCAAACTCCTTTGAATACCTCTTGGGTGGTACACCCTTCGTTGCTCTCTCAGACCTACGTAAGAGGTTCTGATCCTCTGTGCTCACTGGTTCAACCTTTGAACTCTGTTGAGAACCAGTAGCAATCAGTGGTTCTTCCTTCACCTGTGAAGGTCTATCCATTGTGTGAGATTTCCTCTCAATGACTGTTACAACTGAACTCTCTGAGCTATCGCTGTCATCATCAGTACTACTGAACTCAATAAGATCAAACTCATCATCATCATCATCATCAGAATCGTTTCCTGTGGGAAATGTCTGTTCTACAACCCGCTCTTGCTTTGGAGCACTCTCTAGAAACTTTGTGAGAATCACCTGACCAGATTCAGACAAAATTACTCTGTAGAGACCCTTTTCATAACCCACAAAAATGCCTCTGGCATTCTTTACACCACCTGGAGCTTCTGTTCTCACATGAGACCCGAAAACCCTAAAATAGGCAACAGAAGGTTTTCTATTGAACAGCTTCTCAAAAGGAGAACATCCCAACTCTGTTGAGACCTTTCTCAACCACACATGAAGATAGGACGCTAGCGATTCAGCCCAATATACATGTGGCAAATGTGAACTCAGCAATTGCGCATTTATCCCCTTTTGCAATTCTTTGTTCACTTTTACACAGACACCCCTGTTCCACGCTTCTTGCGAAACTGCCACTTTGTGGTCTATCCCTTTTCCATCCAGGAACTTCTGAAACTTCTGTAACAGAAAAATTTGCTTCTCATCTGTGAAAAGACAATCAATGTTAGCATCATGCATACTTTCAACCTTGTCACAAAACTCCTGAAACTTTTCTAAAGGTTCTTGCGGTTTCTCCATCATATAAACCCAAGAATAATTAGTGAAACAATCCACACACACAAGGTAAAATCGTGCACCGCCTCTAGATGGTTCTAGAGGACCAATCACATCAGCATACACCCGCTGAAATGCTCTGTTGACCTTCTTCGTCTTAGTCACCTTCCTGGCGCTCACACTGGTCACACCTGCGAGAGAGATTTTGTTAGTAACAGAAGAATTACATTTCATGTAATCACTTTGATCAAAAGTCAACAAATACAGTCCATCTTTCTCTTTGGCAGTAAGAAACAGTTCTCCATCTTTGTAGATCTTGCAGCTTTTAGCATCATAGGACAGTTTCAGTCCTTTCTTTGCAATCTGCGATACGCTCAGCAGATTAAATCTCAGTTCTGGAACCAGGTAAACATCATTTATAGTCAAGTTCAGACTCTCAAGATACACAGTCCCAATTCCGGTTGCTTCCAACTCCTGACCGTTGGCCTGTTTCACAGTGAAGCTTTGCTTCTTCAACGTCGAAAACAGTCCTCTGTGCGGGCACATGTGAACCGTTGCGCCCGCGTCAATTATGAACCATCCTCTGCTACCACTGTTGGAATTCTGCCTGGGTCAGAGGAATGTGCCACAAGCAGGCACCGGCAGATATTCCTGTCGACCTCCCCGCGTCTCCCAACCTCTGCTGATAAGCAGGCGAGGTCCGGCGATTCTTCTCAGATGTATGAGAGGAACACACCGTTCTTCCTCTCTCCCCTTTGGTGTCCCCAGGAGGGGAAAGAAGCAGACAGAAAACTATTTACATCATTTATTTCTGCCTCTTACATCAGTACAGAGAATCATGTCTGCACTCAACAACAGCAAGAAGAAAACTCCTCCCAAGTACATCCAGTACGGGTCATGTGACACACACACACTGAGCTAACATCCGGTGCTCAGTACAGAATGGACTGCCCCTTTGTTTCCATGGCAACAGTCACAAACATCCTGTCTGGCTTTCCAGCCACAAGCAGCTGGCTGAGCTGCTAGAGCCTTTGCTTGCTGCAGCATTGGTGCTTTATGGTAACAGGGGAATGGATATGCTTCCCATAATTATTTATGATTAATGTATTTAAATTGTTTCTATTACTCTTATTTTTTATAGACAGGGTCAGAATGATACATTCCACCAGCATCAAAACACAATAAATGCATGCACCTCCCCAGTTTGGTGGGCTTAAGGGACAAAGGACCCGTTATCATGATACAGAATTCCTGCTGCTGGAGGCTCTACACTTAGGATTGGGCATATAAAGTCCAAGCGTGTCTGGTATTATAAGCAAATTGTGTAAATCTTAGAGACTGGGGTTGTTTGTGAGAGTGAGTGAGTGGGATAATAATTTATAGCGCCCCTGTGTAATGGCTTGGTTCTCCCGCACAGATGCGAGACAACTCCAGTAGTAATTATCTCAGGTTTATTGCTCAAACTCATAAATCACTGTGGAGCTCAGTCCTCGGCCTGTTCATCCCAGCTTGCAGTTGCCGAGTCCTCCAGCAAAGAAGCCCCCACTTTCGCTTTCTTTTCCCCTCTCGCAGATTCTCTCGAGCCTACGATTTTTTGGACAGGCTATTTCCGGGATCTCTGTGTCAGACCTCAAACTGGAGATAACAGTCTGTGCCCCCCCCCCCCCGTCGGCACCCCCTCTTCCTGCTCTTTGTTCTTTGCTCCTGCTGCAGCTTGGCTGCTCCTCCCCTGCTTCACATTCCAACCGAATCACATCTCTTGCGTTCTCAGGCTCTGTCAGCGGAGGCACGAGAGGCTTGAGATTCACGGAGCTGACACCCTGTAATTTTGTCCGTTCCTAAGCTTCCATGGAGATACTGTGGTACAACCTTGGTGCAAATTTCAAAATAAGTACACAAAGCCAACAAAGAGACTCAGAGGTTTATACTGGCACCAGCTTTCCTGGTCAAGAGTCCACTTTGTCAGACTGCAGCCCACAAAAGCTTAGGCCATAATACATTTATCTGCCTTTAAGGGCTGCAAAAGATGAATAAACAGAAGCGTAGTTCATCTATGGAATCTATCCTACAGGAGACAGTGATGGCCAGCAACATGGATAGCTTGAAAAAAAGGATAAGACTGACGTCTCTGCTCTGCCCTCGCGGTCCTAGGCAATAACGCTTCTTAATACTAGTTTCTGGAAAGCACACGATGGCAGAGAAGACTCTTATGCTCCAATCCTGCTTGCCGGTTTCCCACAGGCATCTGGTTGGCCTCTGTGAGAAGAGGATGCTGGACTAGGTGGGCCTTTGCCTGATCCAGCAGGCTCTTCTTAGGTTCCAATATATTGCAATATTTTTACAGTTAAATGTAGCACTTAGGTTTTATTTATTTCACAATGGAGATACTGTTACTTGAGCCTGAGATCATTTCTTCACTTCAGAAAGAAAAAAATAGATGTGTCTAATAAGCCAATTCCACCATAGATCTGTATTATAAAATGATGGTGCTTTATTAAGTTTGAATCGAGTGATCATGTGTTGCTCCTGCCACTATCTCATCAGCTTTTCAAAAAATATGGAACCTAGAGAGGATAGTGGAGAATGAAGGTGTTACAATGAGAGAAGGTGCAGATTCGAATTGACATCTGTTCAGTTCCCTTTTTGTCTTTCTTGAAAGTCTAACAGGATTCTCTTTCCTCCCAGACTCCCAAACAGGTGAGGAAGATGAAAGTCAGAATTCTATGGAGCTACCTGTCAATTCATTGGGAAGAACAAAGAAACAGTTTAAATGTATGGAATGTGGGATGTGCTTTTATCACAGTGGAAGTCTGAGGATACATCAACAAACTCACAAAGGAGAGAAACTATTTGAATGTATGAAGTGTGGAACGAGCTTTAGTCATAGTCAAGCACTTAGAATACACCAACGTACTCACACAGGGGAGAAACCATTTGAATGTATTGAATGTGAAAAGAGCTTCAGTACCACTGGGAAACTTAGAATACACCAACAAACTCACACAGGGGGAAAACCATTTAAATGCATAGAATGTGGAAAGAGCTTCAATGATAGTGGATCACTTAGAATACACCAACGAACTCACACAGGGGAGAAACCATTTAAATGTATTGAATGTGGAAAGAGCTACAATCGAAGTGGAGGCCTTAGAATACACCAACGAACTCATACAGGGGAGAAACCATTTGAATGTGTGGATTGTGGAAAGAGCTTCAGTGAAAGTGGATCACTTAGAATACACCAACGAACTCACACAGGGGAGAAACCATTTAAATGTGTGGATTGTGGAAAGAGCTTCAGTGAAAGTGGAAAACTTAGAATACATCAACGAACTCACACAGGGGAGAAACCATTTGAATGTGTGGATTGTGGAAAGAGCTTCAGTCGAAGTGGGACACTTAGAATACACCAACGAACTCACACAGGGGAGAAACCATTTAAATGTATTGAATGTGGAAAGAGCTACAGTGAAAGTGGAACACTTAGAAGACATCAACAAACTCACACAGGGGAAAAACCATTTAAATGTATGGAATGTGGAAAGAGCTTCAGTGAAGGTGGAAAACTTAGAAGACATCAACGAACTCACACAGGGGAGAAACCTTTTGAATGTATTGAATGTGGAAAGAGCTTCAGTGAAAGTGGAACACTTAGAAGACATCAACAAACTCACACAGGGGGAAAACCACAGATGCATTAATAAACTGCATAGGTGTTTTTTACCTTTCCTTCTATGCTTCCTTGCAATACTGACAAAATCAAACCATGCCAATGCTTTCAGCCCCAGAAGAGGACCCTTGGTGTCAAAAGAAAGCAGTCTGGTGCCACATTTCGCAGCAGTTACTTTAACACACTCTACCTGGGGCTGCAACATCAACAACTTTTTCCAGGGAGCCTTCTCTTCTCATGAGGTGGCCAAAATAGTGAAACCTCAGCTTCAGCATGTTTCCTTCCAGTGAGCATTCAGGGCTGATCTCCTTCAGAATGGATAGGTTTGATCTTCTTGCAGTCCATGGGGCTCTCAAGAGTCTCCTCCAGCACCATAATTCAAAAGCATCAATTCTTTGGCGATCAGCCTTCTTTATCGTCCCGCTCTCACTTGCATACCTCACTACTGGGAAAACCATAGCTTTAACTTTACGGACCTTTGTTGGCAAGGTGATGTCTCTGCTTTTTAAGATGCTGTCTAGGTTTGTCATTGCTTTTCTCCCAAGAAGCAGGCACTTTTTAATTTCGTGACTGTTGTCACCATCTGCAGTGATCATGGAGCCCAAGAAAGTAAAATCTCTCACTGCCTCCATTTCTTCCCCTTCTATTTGCCAGGAGGTGATGGGACCAGTGGCCATGATCTTTGGTTTTTTGATGTTGAGCTTCAGACCATATTTTGCGGTCTCCTCTTTCACCCTCATTAAGAGGTTAATTCCTCCTTGCTTTCTGCCATCAAGGTTTGGTCATCTGCATATCTGAGGTTGTTGATATTTCTTCCGGCAATCTTAATTCTGGCTTGGGATTCATCCACTCCAGCCTTTTGCATGTTGAATTCCGCATATAAGTTAAATAAGCGGGGAGCAATATACAGCCTTGTTGTACTCTTTCCCAATTTTGAACCAATCAGTTGTTCCATATCTAGTTCTAACTGTAGCTTCTTGTCCCACATATAGATTTCTTATGTTAAGGAAATTAGGGAGCACATCTTTAAAGTTATTAAATGTTACAGATATTATGCCTGAATGTATCCTTTCAACTTGACAGCTCAGGGAAGTTACCGTATTTTTTGCTCTATAAGACTCACTTTTTCCCTCCTAAAAAGTAAGGGGAAATGTGTGTGGGTCTTATGGAGTGAATGCAGGCTGCACAGCTCTCACAGAAGCCAGAACAGCAAGAGGGATTGCTACTTTCACTGCGCAGGGATCCCTCTTGCTGTTCTGGCTTCTGAGATTCAGAATACTTTTTTTCTTGTTCTCCTCCTCCAAAAACTAGGTGCGTCTTGTGGTCTGGTGCATCTTATAGAGCAAAAAATACGGTACCTAGCTTTAAAAATAATATAAAATCAACTCCTTTGCCAGTTTCCTCCATTCCAAAGCTATTTTCCCCTTGAAAAAGGACTCCAGGAAGTGTCCAGGGGTGACAATTGCTGAGCTGGACCAAGGAAAGCCTAATCCCATCACCAAACTTGCCAAGGGGCCAGACATGCAAAGGAAGTTCTATTGTACTTTGGGTGATGGGACTTCAGAGGTGTTTGCCTATGCTAATCTTATACCTGAGTCTTGCCCTGACATGGGCATGCTTATGCTAATCTTGTACCAAGGACTTGTCTGGACATGTTTGCCAAGGTTAGACTAGTGTAACCCCTGTCTACCCCTCCGCTATTGTGACATGTCACATAGCAATGATGCTCTACGAACTGTATTCTGGGATATGGTGGGAAAGTTTTAAAAGTCTTTGTCACCCCATGCTTGGGGTTCAAAATTCCTCTTTGAACCTGTTGCGCAATAAACTTTGGTCTACAGCTATTTGCTCCATTTGGTGGCTGGATTCCTTCCTTTATTCTGCAAGGGACCCGCGGGCTCTTCCCAATGAGCTGGTTTGACTGAACAGCCTTACACCTAGATTTTTCCATAACACTCAGGAGACAGATGAGGTGATCAGGCACTCCCATTTCTTTAAGAACTTGCCATAGTTTGCTGTGGTCGACACAGTCAAAGGCTTTTATATAGTCAATGAAGCAGAAGTAGATGTTTTTATGGAACTCCCTAGCTTTCTCCATAATCCAGCATGTTTGCAATTTGGTCTCTGGTTCCTCTGCCCCTTCGAAATCCAGCTTGAACTTCTGGGAGTTCTCAGTCTGCATACTGCTTAAGCCTGCCTTGTAGAATTTTAAGCATAACCTTGCTAGCGTGTGAAATGAGCGCAATTGTGTGGTAGTTGGAACATTCTTTTTTTTATAAATTTTTTTATTGGTTTTACAAAAATTTTTAAAACAATACAAACATATAAAAAGACATACAAACACGTATAGTTTCATAACCTTTTTTTCATAAACCATGTTTCTCAGACTCCCCCATACCTCCCCTTTCTGCATCCCAATGTCCAAAAGTTTTTAGCAACTCTAAATATTTCTGTCAGTCCTCTGTCCTCTTAATCTTTCCTTCAGTCTAGTCTTATATCGCTGTAACCCTTTCTTACTCAAAACCTCGACATTCTAGCATTCATCAAGTTTATAATAGTCCTTAAGGTAGATTTTAAATTTCTTCCATTCTTCTTCCGCCGTCTCCTTTCCCTGGTCGCGGATTCTGCCAGTCATCTCGGCTAAAGTCATATAGTCCATCACTTTCATCTGCCATTCTTCCACGGTGGGTAGGTCTTGTGTCTTCCAATACTTTGCGATGAGTATTCTTGCTGCTGTTGTAGCATACATAAAGAAAGTTCTGTCTTTCTTTGACACCAATTGGCCGGCAATGCCCAAGAGAAAGGCCTCTGGTTTCTTAGGAAAAGTACATTTAAGTGCCTTTTTCATTTCATTATATATCATTTCCCAGAAAGCCTTAATCTTCGGGCATGTCCACCAAAGGTGATAGAAAGTACCTTCAGTTTCTTTACATTTCCAACATTTATTATCAGGCAAATGATAAATTTTTGCTAGCTTGACTGGGGTCATGTACCACCTGTAAATCATTTTCATAATATTTTCCTTTAAGGCATTACATGCCGTGAATTTAATACCGGTGTTCCACAACCATTCCCAGTCAGCAAACATAATGTTATGGCCAATGTCCTGTGCCCACTTAATCATAACCGATTTAACTGTCTCATCTTGTGTATTCCATTTCAGCAGCAAATTATACATTCTTGACAAGTTCTTAGTATTGGGTTCTAACAGTTCAGTCTCTAATTTTGATTTTTCCACCTGAAAGCCAATTTTCCTGTCCTGTTTATAAATCTCCATTATTTGGTAATATTGAAGCCAGTCTTGTACTTTAGGTTTCAATTTCTCATGACTCTGTAATTTCAATTTATCTCCCTCCTGTTCCAAAATTTCCCAATACTTTGGCCATCCGACCTCCATATTGAGTTTCTTCAATGCCTTAGCCTCCAAGGGTGACAACCATCTAGGGGTTTTATTTTCCAACAAATCTTTATATCTTATCCAGACATTAAACAATGCTTTTCTAACAATATGGTTTTTAAAGGCCCTATGCACCTTGATTTTATCATACCATAGATATGCATGCCAACCAAATGCATTATTAAAACCTTCCAAGTCCAAAATGTCTGTGTTCTCGAGGAGCATCCACTCTTTCAGCCAGCAAAACGCTGCTGCTTCATAGTACAATTTTAAATCCGGCAGGGCAAATCCCCCTCTTTCTTTGGCATCTGTCAGTATTTTAAATTTAATTCTGGGCTTTTTGCCCTGCCAGACAAATTTCGAAATATCTTTCTGCCACCTCTTGAAACAGTCCATCTTGTCAAGAATCTGCAAGGCTTGAAACAAAAATAACATTCTAGGCAGTACATTCATCTTAATCACTGCAATTCGGCCTAACATTGACAGTTTCAAATTTGACCATATTTCTAGATCTTTTTTAATTTCTAACCAGCATTTTTCATAGTTGTCCTTATACAAGTTCAAATTTTTAGATGTCAAATAAACCCCTAGGTATTTCACCTTTTTGACCACTGTCAAACCTGTCTCTTCTTGAAATTTCTCCTTCTCCATAACTGTTAAATTTTTTTCTAAGACTTTAGTTTTTTGTTTGTTTAGTTTGAATCCAGCTACCTGGCCAAATTGTTGAATTATCTCCAACACCCTTTTCGTACTAGTGTTTGGCTCTTGTAGGGTCAATACTAAGTCGTCTGCAAATGCCCTTAACTTATAATGTTTAGCTCCGACCTGTACACCTTTAACCTGCTGGTCATTTCTAATCATATTCAGCAACACCTCCAGAACAGAAATAAAAAGCAACGGGGAAATTGGGCATCCCTGTCGTGTTCCTTTTTCTATCTTAAGTTCCTCAGTTATCACATTATTAACAATCAGCTTAGCTTTTTGTTCAGAGTATATCGCACCCATACCATTCTCAAATCCTTGGCCTACCCCCATCCCATGAAGATTCTTTTTCATAAAACTCCAAGAAATATTGTTGAAGGCTTTCTCCGCGTCCACAAAGATCAGCACTGCTTTAGTGTTTATTTTCACCTCTAGCAATTCCAAAATGTCTATTATATTCCTTACATTGTCTGATAGGTGCCTTTTTGGGAGAAAGCCTGCTTGGTCCCTATGAATCTTCTCCATCAACACTCTTTTAAATCTTTTTGCCAAAATGTCTGCAAAAATTTTGTAATCCACATTAAGTAATGATATTGGGCGGTAGTTCTTAAGTTGAGTCTTTTCAGTCTCTGTCTTTGGTATGAGTGAAATATACGCTTCTTTCCACGATTCTGGTGCCTTTTCCCCCTCTAAAATCTCGTTACATTAAATCAGCCATGATAAAATGGGCACAAGACATTGGGTACAACATTATGTTTGAAGACTGGGAAAGGTTATGGACCACCGGTATGAAATTCACCGCATGTAGTGCCTTAAAAGAAAACATTATGAAAATGATATACAGGTGGTACATGACCCCAGTCAAACTTGCAAAGATATATCATCTGTCTGACAATAAATGTTGGAAATGTAAGGAGGCTGAAGGAACATTCTTCCACCTCTGGTGGACATGCCCGAGGGTGAAGGCCTTTTGGGAAATGATTTACAATGAGTTGAAAAAGGTATTTAAGTATACCTTCCATAAGAAACCAGAGGCCTTCCTCCTGGGCATTGTAGGCCAGAGAGTGTTAAAGAAAGATAGAACTTTCTTTTTATATGCAACTACAGCAGCAAGAATCCTTATAGCCAAATATTGGAAGGCACAGGAGATACCCACGCTGGAAGAGTGGCATACGCAACTGATAGACTACATGGAACTAGCCGAAATGACTGGCAGAATCCGAGACCTGGGAGAAGAGGCAGTGGAAGAGGATTGGAAAAAATTTAAGGACTATCTACAAAAACATTACAAGTTATATGAATGTTGAGAATTTGCTAAGTGTACGGAAAAACATGCTTCAGTATTGAGATTTGAAGATGACGGAAATTAAGTTATGACTGTGAAAAGTTTAAATTTTTAGAATTTATAATTAGATGAAAGTACAAAAACACATGAAACAAGGTATCAATTTGCTGTTTATTTTTATTGTAAAGAAAGCAGGGGATGGAAGACGTGGGGAAGTCCAGTTGATTATGACAAAAGATCTGGAAAAGTGAATTTTCTTTTATTTAATTTCTTCTTTCTTCTTGTAAAACCGCTTTTGTTGTGTTATTGACGATGAATTCTGATCTTGGAAAAAAAGCAATAAAAAATATTATTAAAAAAAAAAATCTCGTTACAGACTTCTTTTAACGGATGAACCAACCACTCCTTCAAAGATTTATAATATCTGGAAGTCAGTCCATCTGGCCCTGGAGATTTGCCCAATTGCATGTCTTGAATGGCACCCTCTATCTCTTGTTCTGTTATTCTCTGGTTTAAATCCACCTTGCTTTGATGAGAGATTTTTTGTAATCCGTATTTATTAAGGAATTTATCTATGTCCTCTTCGTTTTGTGGTCCTTGAGAATAGAGTTTTTTAAAATAACTCAGAAAGCAATTTCTAATCTCGTTGGGTTTAAATATGTTCTTTCCATCCACTTCTAGACTTGTAACTGTGTTTAGTTTCTGCCTTTTCTTCAATTGCCATGCCAGAAGTTTGCCACATTTGTCTGCCGATTCGAATGTCTTTTGTTTCATTTGCTTTATCTTCCATTCAATCTCTTGATTCATCAGTTCCATATATTGTGTTTGATACAACTTAATCTCTCTCAAAATTTCCTGGGACTTTGGTTTTGATCTTAATTTTTTCTCTCCTTCTTTTATCTTTTCCAAAATCTTTTCCTTCTTTTCATTCTGCTTTCTCTTTTTAATTGAATTTTGTTGAATCAAAAATCCTCGCATCACAGCTTTACTTGCGTCCCAGATCACTCTTTTTTCCACATCGGCCTTTAGGTTTATTTCAAAATAGTCCTTTAAAGTTTTTTGGGCCTTCATGTGGATCTCTTTATCTCGAAACAGGGTGTCATTCATCCTCCATCTGAATTGACCAGTTGTTGTAAGTTTCATTTCCATCTTCAGGGCGTTATGGTCGGAGCAGGTTTTTGGGCAGATTTCTATTTTCTTGATCTTTGGAGCCATCCCACTAGTAATCCAAATTTGATCAATTCTGGTCCAGGTCATCATTGCTTGGGAGAAAAAGGTTCCCTCTCTCTCGAGAGGGTTCCTTGTTCTCCATATGTCTATTAGGTCCATATTTTCCGTCATCTCAGAAAAGGTCTTCGGAAGTCTCCCTTCCTTGGAAATTGTCAGTCTTTGTGCCTTGTCCATATTTGTAGAGACTACACCATTCATGTCTCCCATGATTATCATATTGTAATCCAGATAGTCCATCAAAGTTTCATGGAGTTTCTTGAAAAATTCCGCTTTGCCTTCATTTGGTGCGTAAATTCCAACTATTAAGTATTTTTCTCCTTGTACTTGTATTTCAACTGCCAGATATCTTCCTTGTTCATCTTTAAACATCATTTTTGGGACCCATTTTTCTTTTACATAAATCACAACTCCTCTTTTTTTAACTTTATCCGATGAGATGAATTCTTGTCCTAATCTTTTATTTATAAGTAGTTTCCTGTGTGCTCTGGTTATATGGGTTTCTTGTAAACAAATCAAATCCAGTTGTTCTCTTTTCAAAATGTGGAATACTTGGCGTCTCCTCAAAGGCATGTTCAGCCCATTACAATTCCAGCTAAGGAATTGCAGGGCCATCTTGTTATTTTTCTGTTACTCCTCCAACCGCTCCAAGTTGTTGCTCTTCCTCTGATGGTGCTGGGTTAAGTCCGTACGATAAATTGAGAATGTCTAGTGCTCTCCTTTGTTCTGCAATTGGGTCCACAGTACCCTTCTGTAAATCCTCTTGGTTTCTTTCCAGGAATCTTTCTTTATCTTGTATTGTCTTTATTTTCACCTTCTTTCCCTTGTAGTCAAAAGACAGTCCTTGTGGGTACTCCCACCTGAAAAGGATGGTGTTCTTCTTCAACAGATAAACCAAGTCCTTATAGAAGGTTCTCAGCTCCAAGATGTGTTTAGGGATAGCTTTAAAAATCTGTATAGGTGAATTTTCAATTTGCAAGGCCCTTCCGTAATGTAATTTTAGTATTTTGTCTCTTTCTTCCTTCGATCTAAGGGTAATCAAACAATCCCTCGGGGTCTTTCTGTTCTGTCTTCTGCTCAGTCTAAATGCTGTTGTTATTTTAATTTCTTCGTCCTCCAAGTCTTCCCAGAAATCAGCAAACTCTCGTGTTAAAAACTCCACTAGGTTGTCTCCTTCGCTCTCGGGAATCAGTCTTAATTTCAGATTTCTTTCCTTTCTCTGTAATTCCCACAAAGCCAGAGTTGTATCATGTTCATACACTTTTTTAGCGATCGGTTCCAAGTTCTGTTGAGTCTCTCCAGCAATAGTTCTGGCTTCCTCTGCAATCTTACGTGTTGCGGAATTTTCTTGGACCAGCTTGTTTATAGATTCTGTATTCAAATCCAATCTTGCTGTTAGTTCTGTTAATTTCTGTGTATTTTCTGTACTCTGCTTTGTCAAATTCTCCAAAGACTGATTTATCTTGAGAAGCGCCTGTGTCACTAACTCCATGGAAGCAGCTGTCACTTTTTCTTGTCCTGTTGTTCCTGTAGGAGTTGCGCCAGTGATTGAACCTCTTTTCTTTTGTTGCTGTTGCTGGTATTGTTGTTGCTTAGCCTTAGCTCTTGTGGTTATCTCTTCTGCTGAGCCACTCATGTCCCAAGGTCGTTCCCAGGGAAAACAGTCCCCTGATGGAAAATTCCACTGTCCTGGGCTATTACAGCCGTTACTTTAGCCCTCTAGGGGGAGCAGGCCAAAAAATCCAAGTATAGAGACAAAGAAGTTAAAAAGAAAAAAAAAAACAAGTATGTCAGGAGGCTTGTAAAAGTCTTTTACAACACTTTTTCCAGTAGATACAATTTCAATATGCTCCAGTAAACTGTAACAACAGAGTCCAAGAACTTTGTATCAAAAGAAACTTCAACTATGTAACTTTCCCAGGAGTTAAAAACAGTTCAGTGCTTTAATGTCTTATTTGGCAGTCCGCTTCAGGGCAGTGGGGCAGCAGAAGGGTTTTTCCTTTTTAAATAAATCATGCAGTTCTTAATGTCCTTTTTTCCTCCCCTCTGCCCTGCTTGCTAGAGGGGAGATCTAAGTTCAATGTCAGGTTTAAATAGTCAAAAAATGTCTCATATGGATGCAGCTTTAAAGTTCTGTTGCTTTAGCTGTCATGCAGTCAGGGGGGAGGCAGACTTCCTTAATTTTTGCCTTCCCCGTTTTCAGCCAAATTTTCTTTTAAAGGGTTCCAAATTAGCGTTCAGTCTTACAGGTTTTTTCAGTCCCAGATTTACAGGAAGGAATCGGCGCTCTCCGTCAATGGCGACGCGGCTACACTCTGCGGGCTGGGTAGCGACTCTCAGCACCGCGCTCTCCCGATGCCGTTCCAGAGCCTTTAAAAAGGCTCTTTCTGCAGTAAGGGGGGGCGCTTCTGGTGCCCACCGAGTCTCCTTGTTCACAGGCTTCAGCGCCTGTGATTTTAGGGGTCCCCCGCTTGCCGTAGCGGGTCAGACCCGAACTCGCAGAGCAGTCCTCCTCCGGAGCTCGGAAAGAGGACCGCCATTAACGCTGGCGCCGACCAGAAGTCCCGGTAGTTGGAACATTCTTTGGCACTGCCCTTCTTTGGGATTGGGATGTAGACTGATCTTCTCCAATCCTCTGGCCACTGCCGAGTTTTCCAAAGTTTCTGGCATATTGAGTCTAGCACCTTAACAACATCATCTTTTAAAATTTTGGTTCTCAAGGAAGAGGCAGCCCAGGAATACAAGGCAGGAATTTACCTTGAATCTTGCTATCAAAATCATTTCATAGCTTTTTGTGAGGGTTTTGTGGCTGCTAATCTTAAAGCCAGGATGAGCACTCAGAATTGGGCATCATATCCTATGTTATTAAAAATAAAATACTTGTTCTGCTTCTAAAGAAACCCTTTAGAATACATTCTTATTCTTTTTTCATAAAAAAATTCAAACAGCTGTGCAAAGGTGCTCCTGTGCAATGCAATGTCAGAATAACAAAATAATGAAACATCTCACAAGAGCCTTGTTTTTTAAATATACAGCTAAAAAACCTTAAAACTCCTACAACACTTACCAAATAGAAATCTAATAGCTGGCCCCCCAGGCACTAGGAGGCAACCTGATGTTCAAGGCTTCACCCCACCCCCAAACTCTGAGCTTTTGGTTTCTCTTTAGACACTCATCTGTGGTCGCCTGGAGCATTTGAGGGGAAAGAGAGAGAGCATTGGGGCATACGAAGCAAACATAGAAAAAGAAAGTGACAACCTGCTTGTAAGTGTCATTGTTACTTGGAAGGGAACAAGTGTTATAAGTTTAATGTACATATAATGCTGTGCTTGAATGCATTGCAATAAAAATACTATAAAGGGAAGTTTCTCTTAGACTTAGGCAAGAGGTTCCACTCTGACAGAAGCATCAGAGGAGGCTGGATCTTTCCTCATAACTCATCGCTGGAGGCATAAGCTGCAGAGCTCTCACGGAAGGAAGCTTAAACTTGAGAAGCCAGTGGGTGCTTGTTGGAGATGGCTAGGAGAAGCAGCAGCAGCAGTTGCAAATAAGTCATGCAATGTTGAAGAAGCTTAGGATCTCCCTCTGGGACCAGGGATAGGAAAGCTGACTGAATTACATAAAGGACTGAACATTGTTTGCAACGTGCTACTTTATCATGCTTATCTTATTGTTAGACTGTTTAAGACTGTTCTGCGGTAAAGCTTCAAAACTTTTTTTTGTGATGGAGAGAATTCATTTCCACACAAGGTCCAGATCAGGAAGACCACAGAACAACTTTTAACAGCAAGTACTTGAAGGGTACTTCAACTAGTACTTGAAGGGACGTGGGTGGTGCTGGTTGTTAAACCACAGAGCCTAGGGCTTGCTGATCAGAAGGTCGGCAGTTCAAATCCCCGCGACGGGGTGAGCTCCCGTTGCTCAGTCCCTGCTCCTGCCAACATAGCAATTCGAAAGAACATCAAAGTGCAAGTAGGTAAACGGCGTTTCTGTGCGCTGCTCTGGTTCACCAGAAGTAGCTTAGCCATGCTGGCCACATGACCCGGAAGCTGTACGCCTGCTCCCTCGGCCAGTAAAGCGAGATGAGCGCCACAACCCCAGAGTTGTCTACAACTGGGTCTAATGGTCAGGGGTCCCTTTACTTGAAGGACCAAACCAAGAATTACAACAATCTCTTCCTCAAACTGGTTCAGCCTCCACCACCTTTACTGCAGTCAACTGAAGGCAACCAACTATGCCCTGGGGGCCCCGATCTTTCTCACTGCCAATGAAAACTAATAAATGAAAAGGAAGAGAAGCTACCCATGTCACACTGACACAAACACCTTGCATATGAACTTTGTAAAATAATGAAAGTGTACTACCCCTCCCCCGCTCGCTTTCTGCACCTCTCAATTCCCCAACCTTACACTGTATACAACATTAAAGTCTGTCTGTCTCTGAATTTTTATGATATCCAAACAGAGTAGCTTATAGTTAGGAAGCCAACACCCTCCCTTCAGATGTGAAGGAAATAAGCAGCTATCCTATCCTAAAAGACATCTGAAGGCAGCCCTTTTTAGGGAAGTTTTTGATATTTAATGCTGTACTGTTTTTAACACTTGATTGGAAGCCACCCAGAGTGGCTGGGGAAACTCAGCCAGATGGGCGGGGTATAAATAATAAATTATGATGATGATAATGTAATGATCTTCCTCTGTTTCACTTCAGATAATTCAGTGGGGCCTCTTCTCAGTTCATTCTCTTCTGGATCAGTGCCTTAATCCTTTGTAGATTCTGTATATCACAGAATAGCCATTGAGGTGTCCCCAGATGTTGTTGTCAAGTTCCCATCAGCTTCAGCCAGCAGGGCAGACAGTCAAGGATGATAGAAACTCTAATCTGGACCTCACCACCTGAACTCTGCTGCCCTATATCCTTCCCATTGAAAGAAATGTGAAAATAAATTTTGGACGCTATAGATTTATCCTGGTCTGGTGCATGCAATGTCTTTTGTTTTGCAGCTGTGTGATTTGTGCTCATATTGTATTGTGGTGGCCATTGGCTATAAACAATAAAATTTATAGATACAGTAGATTGAAATGCAAAAATAAGTAATAAAATATATAAAACGATTTTATTTTTTTGGTCCTCACTCCCAAATGGTGTGTGTGTTTTGGGTTATATTGTGCTTTTGGTTATATTGGGGGTGGGGTGGGGAGTGGAGAAGTATTAAAGCCAAAATCGCTCCCCTCCTCTGCTAAATTGATGCAGGAGACCAGAGGCAGTGAATGAAAAAGCAGGGAAAGAGGAAACCCTCCAAGTGCTGTAACCTTATTCCATTTCCCGTGCCGCTGCCAAGGGATCGAAGGAGACAAGAAACACCAGGGTGTGGTTCCACAGAGAAAAGGATTTATTTGAGATCTGCGCAGAGGCAACCAGTGGAATATCTTCCAAAGAGGAGAGGAGCCGGATTCCGCTGCAGGGACGGAGCGAGGAGTCCGAGGTGCAGGAGGCGGGGGGGGGGGGAGGAGGGGGAGAGCAGGTGGGCCTAGCAGGATCAGGCCCCGAGTGGAGCCAGAGGCTGCAGGGAGCCCCCCAACCGGGCAGGAAGGGGAAGGGGCGCAGCTGAGGGGCAGGGCATCTGCAGGAGGGCACAGGGGCAAACATCTCTGGCTCAGGCTGGCACGGACCCTGCCGGAGCCCCTGGGGAGCTGCTCCCTTCAGTCCTGAGCTCAAGGGGCAGAATGAGGGGTCCAAGGGAAGGGGAGGCAGGGGGGGGGGAGAGCAGTGCAGCACGGGGGGGGGGCTCTTCCTGTGCAGCCCCCTGACACCCTTTGCAGACCACTACTCCTGCCCCCCTTCCTCTGCCAGTACCATTGATAAATCTATCGCCCTCCTTCATGAATTGGTCTGATCGCCTTTGAAAGCTCTCTTTGCCACCACCATCACCGCATCTTGTGGCAATGATGTCCGTCAGGTTCATTTAGCAAGGAAATGGATTCTTTTGCCTGCCCCAAATCAAGGTACACTGTGCCTAAACACGGAGGTTCTGTTGATCTGTCACGGCAATTAAAACAGCTGATAGATCTATACTCCAGAGAATGCATCTGATCTTTTCCCAAGCTGTCAAAGTTAGTGACCTCTTGTGTCTGCGTGTAAATAAGTGAGACAGGCTTAAGCCTGGTTTCATTAATTGTTTTATTTCCACCTTCCTCAGTAAGGCAAATGAAGGCTGAGGGTTGAAGTGAGTGCCAGATTTGAGAAGGCAGAGGAAAGGAGGATTCTATGTTCAGATTATTCATGTTCAGATTATTACTCATTTCATTTCACTGCTGCTTCATATTTTTAAGGGGAAAAAATCTCAAAGCAATTAATGGAAAATCTCATTGCAGTTTGTGTCCATAGGATCTTGAGAGCATTAACTCTGTAGATCCAGTTCTCTCCTCCTGATAGTCTCAGATTTGAGACTGTTCTTTCTGATAGAACAGGAGGAACGGAAGATTTATGGGCTTAAAGCTGCATTGATTCTGGAGGCCACATTCCAGTGAGCTTTGTGGTCAATGTATGCACATGCATGCGCACACAGAAAAGAGATGCAGACCATAAAGTCACATGCACACACGCCAGAGGTGCTGCACACACTCACCAGACATGCCATCTAGCATACATACAAGTCTTGCAAACACAATCAGCATGTTTAGACCTTCCAACCCCAGTGCTGGGCTGGAGGAGAAATAAGAGCACAAGAAGACCCTGCTGAATTAGCAAGGAGATCTGTGGAAAAAAGACCCTTCAGATTGTTCTTTAGAAATCCTCTTTAAAGAGCAGCCAGAGGGATCATTTATTTCCAGAGAAGGGCTTTTACCCCATTTCAGCACTGTGCTTGTTTGTGGTGAAATTGGAGTTGAAAATATCTCTCTATGGGCCCCTTAGGCATCTTTCTCTCCAGGAAGACAGAGATCTTCATCCTATGATCAGATAAGGAAATGGAAACCGCAGGGACTAGCAGGACACATGAAGTGGGTTGTTTGATTTTGTTTGCCAATATTCCTTTTGCCTGTTTGTTTCTTAGGCTGTGCAGATCCCATACATTTAAAGCACGTGGCTTCCCCCAGAGAACCACGGGACCTGTAGTTTATTACTACAGTTCTCAACACCCCTAACAAAATGCAGCTCGCAGGATTTCTTGGGTGAAGCCATGTACTTTAAATGTTAGGTGGGTCTGTCGCAGCCTTAATCATATACAAAGATCTGTTGCTGCCTTTCCAACATGCTAGAAGTTGCAGCCAGGATCAGCATTCCCTGTCCACGGAACATGCTCAGCCCTCTCACTGGGTTGTTTTTGGATTTCCCTCCCTCTGCCTTGGTTCCCCCCCCAAAAAAATATTATTTGTACTTCCATAAACCTTGATGTTTCCCCCAGTCTTTGGATAACTTCCCCTCCTCCCTGGGTGGAGCCGTTTGGGTGACATAATGATTGTCATTCATAGCCTGAACATTAGAAATAGAAAGAGTAATAATATATTTCAAAAACTGGCAAATGGTTAAAAATTGTGCTTTTGTTTTTATTCTTGAGTTTTATTTTACTTTGTGTTTATTTCTTTTCCAGGAGGGTGATGTAAAAATGGAAGAGCAGGGACCCAGGAGACCCATTCAAAGGGAGAGACTGGAGTCTCTTCCTGCTGGCCAAGTTGGGGCCATCAGGGATCTTCTGCCTCGGGCAGATTTATGTCAGATTAAGCAGGAGCCAGAGGAGGGGCAGCCGCAGCAGCACTGGGAGGCCCAGAAGCAGGATTTCCTGAAGACGATGCAGCCCCCTCGTTCAGGGTGGGAAACCCCACAGGCTCCCAGTCCTCCCCACTCCGGGGATGGTGTCCTCTCCTTCAGGGGAGCTGCAGATGCCAGTCGGTGGCCCAGTGGGAGAGCAGGGGGGACAGACTAGACCCAGCTCCCAGACACTGAGGGGCTTCTGGGAAAGGTAAGTGCCCTCCTCTCACCTGGGTTTCCAGCACCTGGAGGTCACAGGTCCACTGCCTCTCGACATGGAGGTTCTGTTTAGCTATGGTGGTGAATATTCCTCCTCCCTGCACTTTCTCTCTAATCCACTTTTAAAAGCCTTGCTAGACCAAACTTTCTTACACATGGGAGGTTTGTGATCATATCTCCTGATGTTGTTACTTTAATAAAGCAAGCACAGGGGACTCGGAATTTCATCAGAGCAGAAGCTACGTCAGAAGAGGGGTCCTTCCACCAACCCCCTTTTTCCTCCTCTAAATTGCCTCCATTTGCAAAATGCTCTTTTCTCCCCACTGAGGTAAAAATCTTGGCACGTCTCGCAGCCTCAGAAATCCAATAAATTCCTCAGAAATCCCATGTGTAGTCGCATTAAAGATGACTGGCCTACCTTGCAAGATTGTTCCAAGATTTATTAAGATAATGTCCATTTTCAGATGACTGAATCACAGCCTGAAAAGTTGGGTTACAAATAGGAACAGTTTTTAGTACATTGCTGTACTAATGTACATTTGGTACATTACGATAAAATCTAAGTTGACCCAAGTTCAAAACAAAAAACTCTAGCCACCGCCACCACAGTCTCCTGGCCCCCACAAACAGAATGCATCACTCCAGGAAGGACTCCCACCCAACCTTTAGTGAGAGAGGGCAAAAGAAAAGGACTCTAAATGGGAAGTTGCACAAATATACCAGCTGTGGTCCTGCACTGGCAGCAAGGCTAACAAACAGGGGAGCTGGGAACGTGCTGGTCCCATATCTCCCTGCATCTCCCTCCTGACCTAATTGTCCCAGCTTACCTCATGATTTGGCCGGCCCTGAGGGTGAACTGTGATGAAACCAGACAGTCTCTTATGAGCCATAGCTAACAAACTTTCCATTTTGCCCAAACCAGGAAACTGCAGCTGCCAGCTTTGGAATAAGCTGGGATGTTAAGCTAACTTCAAACTGTGCTTGGTCAAAACAGGAAACTCTGGTTGATCAGTGGCTCCGTGGTTTGACTGATCCCACTGATAGCAGTAAAAATAGGAAGCCCTGTTGCGTTCAAAGGGGTTGTTTGGACAGAGTCTGTGATCAGCATGCCAATCAGGACAGGCTTAAAAACTAAAGGGACCCCTGACCATTAGGTCCAGTCGTGGCCGACTCTTGGGATGAGGCGCTCATCTCGCTTTATTGGCTGAGGGAGCCAGCGTACACCTTCCGGGTCATGTGGCCAGCATGACTAAGCCACTTCTTGCGAACCAGAGCAGCGCACAGAAACGCCGTTTACCTTCCCGCCGGAGCGGTACCTATTTATCTACTTGCACTTTGACATGCTTTCGAATTGCTAGGTTGGCAGGAGCAGGGACCGAGCAACGGGAGCTCACCCTGTTGCAGGGATGCGAACTGCCGACCTTCTGATCGGCAAGTCCTAGGCTCTGTGGTTAACCCACAGTGCCACCCGCGTCCCAGGACAGGCTTAGGAAGCAATTATTATTATTATTATTATTATTACTTGCATCCTGGGTTGCCTCTGCGCATCTGGGTAGCTTCCAACAAAATAAAAACCATCAAAAATTTCCTTGTAAAAGGCTGCCTTCGGAAGTCTTCCATTTTGTAGAAATGGCCTTCATTTTTAAAGAATTGCCCTCTTTAAGGAATCACGTGGTGTAAACATGTAAGTTGTCCTCTAGGTCCAAACACACACAGACACACACACACACACACACACACACACACACACACACAGTAGGAGCAAGTAGTTCTCTGAAGTGCTTATCTTGTGAACTTGCCATCTAAGTAGTTTACTCCTGACCAAAGTTCCTATTTCCCAAAAGGAGAGGAGGGGGAGCAGTGGAGGAAAGGGATGGGTTTGAAGGCTCTTTCTGCCTCTCTCCCCTGAAGAACAAGAGCAAAGGGATTTTGCAGGGCAGGAGGACAGCGGAGGCGGCAGCGAGGGCAGAGGGAGCAGTGGGCGGATTCACGGCTTCTCCCAGGGGGTCCAGATGCAAGCAAGAAGCTTCCTTCTTCTCCATGCAAGGGCCACCCATGTATTCAGAGCAGTCCTTTGCAGATTAACTCTTAAGTTCCATGGGATCTACTCTCAGGCCACTAATGTGCATACCATGCCAGCCTTAGGAAGGGAGGTGGGACAGGCAGGTGAAAGAAATTGCCAAAGGTGTTTGAAAATGGGTGGAGACTCTTGGGAAGGGGGTGCCTGCTTGTGAATGAACTTTATTATTGTCACAGACCAGGATTAAAAAAGCGTATAGATAAAATAGCAGTTAGGATTTTTTTAACCAATAATTGTTAGAGCAAATTAGGACATGGAAACGCATAGGATAAAACATCTAAATAAAATACAACATTAAACACGGATAATGGATGGATAAAAAAACTGATAATTAAAACAGATAAGAACTAAAAACAAACAAAGTCACACAGTTAAAACAACTGTAAGAGCATAAGAACTAAAAGACTCGCAGTTAAAACAACTATAAGAGACTGCAGAGTAGAAGCCTCTTAAATAGAGGACACTCACAACAATAGAAACTGCTGTGCAAATATGGTTAAAACAGACAATTAAAACAATGTTCAAGGCTAAATTTAGAAACAATGTACTAACAATAAACTGTCCCAGGGAGTTGTCTCAGAGTCACCCATGGAACCGTGTTTGGGGCTTTTCATGTCGGACTATCTTGAGTTGGGCGATGGTCTGCGCCTACAAAAATGTACACAGAATCTGGCGACCATCAAGGTCATCTTCTGATCTTTGCCTAACAGCAAAAGGTCAAATTTTTGCTTTTGCTGGAGGTCGGCTAGCCTCACCAGTAGGGGATCCATGCTCTTACTACGTGCCTCTTCATAAAAGGGACATTTAAAGAATAAGTATTCTGGGCTTCCTATCTCTCCCAATGGACAGGTGCAAAGTCTCTGAGCATACGGGACCCTTCTAAAGGCTTCATCCAGGACCGGCGAGGAAGAGCCGAGCTTCTGGCGAGTGTAAAGGCCCTTCTTGCATCCCTAGATACAAGAAAGAAGAGATATGCTGCCGGTGCGGCTATATATCTCTCGATTTCTCCAATTCTATAGTCGGGGCACCTTGCACAGTCCTGCTGTCTCTCGGTGTCTAATATTCTTTGCCTGAACGGAGCTTTTGCCTGGCCCAAGCCCAGACTTAGAAGGGCTTGAGGGGCAAAACCCAGTTTCCGGAGGGTGTTCAGGACTGCAGTTTGCCAGCCCGACTGGAATTGGTCACAGAGGATCAATGGGGCTATCCCTCAGGGGAGCAGGTTCAATGTCAGCCATTTGTAGATTGCTATTACGCAGATGCTAGTCTCCACTCTCATCATCCCCGTTTCCAATCTAACCCATGCGTTTGAGACACATCTGGGGACTTGGAGGAGAGCTCTAAGAAGTCTAGATTGCACTCTCTCAAGGGGGGAGAAAGCAGAGGAAGGTGGGCCCAAAAAGGAACGATAGAGGAGTTGTGCCAAGGTTTTGGCCTTGTATAATTTTAGAGCTGCGGGAATGAAGAAACCCCCTTGTGCTCTGAAGAATTTAAGGATACAATTAGCGGTTTTTTCCGCTAGGGGGTGCCCAATTGGGGCTTCTCCAGGGGCAGCAGAATGTCTTGGGCAGGAGAATCCCTGCAGGGGCTCTCAGACTCCCTTGGCTTCTTCTTCCCTCCCTCCCAGGAAGCTGCAACTGGCTCTGGATTCTGCGCTCCTCAGGAAGCTGAACCTGCAAACCTAGCTGAGACTGAACCTGCAACCCTGGCCAGGATGGAAGGAGGAAGATGGACGGTTGACCTGGTCAGGCTCTCTCCCGCATCCCTCCCCACAACCTCTGAGCATTCCCTCCCAGGACCCTTGGAGAAATCTGGTGAGTTCCAGTTGAGAGGAGATGGGGACAGGGACAGATGGATGGTGGAGGGAGAAAGAGGAAAAGATGGAGAGGAGACAAATGGAAGGAAGTTCCTGACAGGAAGAAGGAAGGGGTGAGGCCTTCTCCGAAGCAGCTCTTTGTTTCTTGAATCCTTTTCCTAAAGTAGTGGGGGCAGATTTTCTTCCTCCAGGCTTTGAAATCTTAGGTGTTATTTCCACAGCAAGAATAATTGATGATAATGATGTTGCACACCAATCCTGAAAAATGGGTGAAGGGGAATGGAAATGCTTCCCATAACTATTTATAATTAATGCATTTAAATTGTTTCTGTTACTCTTATTTTTTATAGACAGGGTCAGAATGATACATTCCACCAGCACCAAAACACAATAAATGCATGCACCTTCCCAGTCTGGTGGGGTTCAGGGACAAAGGACCAGTTATCATGATACACGATTCCTGTGGCTGGAGGCTCTACATTTAGGATTGGGCATATAAAGTCAAAGAGCGGATGGTATTATAAGCAAATTGTGTAAACTTGCCAATCTTACAGACTGGGGTTGTGTGTGAGAGGGAGGGAGGGAGAGAGTGGGATTATAATTTATAGCGCCCCTGTGTAATGGCTTGGTTCTCCCGCACAGACGCGAGACAACTCCAGTAGTAATTATCTCAGGTTTATTCCTCAAACTCACAAATCACTGTGGAGCTCAGTCTTCAGCCTGTTCATCCCAGCTTGCAGTTGCCGAGTCCTCCAGCAAAGAAGCCCCCACTTTCGCTTTCTTTTCCCCTCTTCTCGCAGATTCTCTTGAGCCTACGATTTTTTGGACACGCTATTTCCAGGGTCTCTGTGTCAGAGCTCAAACCGGAGATAACAGTCTGTGCCCCCCCTTGCACCCCCTCTTCCTGCTCTTTGTTCTTTCCTCCTGCTGCAGCTTGGCTGCTCCTCCCCTGCTTCACATTCCAACTGAATCACATCTCTTGCATTCTCAGGCTCTGTCAGCGGAGGCACGAGAGGCTTGAGATTCACAGAGCTGACACCCTGTAATTTTGTCCGTTCCTAAGCTTCCATGGAGATACTGTGGTACAACCTTGGTGCAAATTTCAACATAAGTACACAAAGCCAACAAAGAGACTCAGAAGTTTATAGTGGCACCAGCTTTCCTGGTCAAGAGTCCACTTTGTCAGACTGCAGCCCACACAAGCGTAGGCCATAATACATTTATCTGCCTTTAAGGGCTGCAAAAGATGAAAAAACAGAAGCGTAGTTCATCTATGGAATCTATGCTACAGGAGACAGTGACGGCCAGCAACATGGATAGCTTGAAGAAAAGGATAAGACTGACGTCTCTGCTCTGCCCTCACGGTCCTAGGCAATAATCCTTCTTGATACTAGTTTCTGGAAAGCACAGGAAGGCAGAGAAGACTCTTGTGCTCCAATCCTGCTTGCCGGTTTCCCACCGGCATCTGGTTGGCCTCTGTGAGAAGAGGATGCTGGACTAGGTGGGCCTTTGCCTGATGCAGCAGGCTCTTCTTAGGTTCCAATATATTGCAATATTTTTACAGTTAAATGTAGCACTTAAGTTTTATTTATTTCACAAGGGAAATACTGTTACTTGAGCCTGAGATCATTTCTTCACTTCAGAAAGAAAAATTCCATCATAGATCTGTATTATAAAACGATGGTGCTTTATTAAGTTTGAATGGAGTGATCATGTGTTGCTCTTGCCACTATCTCATCAGCTTTCGTAAAATTTGGAACCTAGAGAGGATAGTGGAGAATGAAGGTGTTAAAATGAGAGAAGGTACAGATTGGGATTGACATGTGTTCAGTTCCCTTTTTGTCTTTCTTGAAAGTCTAACAGGATTCTCTTTCCTCCCAGACTCCCAAACAGGTGAGGAAGATGAAAGTCAGAATTCTATGGAGCCACATGTGAATTTATGGGGGGAAACAAAGAAATTGAGGATACAACAAAAAAGTCACAAAGGAGAGAAACTAATTGAATGTACGGAATGTGGAAAGAGCTTCAGTCAAAATGATACACTTAGAAGACACCAAGGAACTCACACAGGGGAGAAACCATTTAAATGTATTGAATGTGGAAAGAGCTTCAGTCAAAGTGGAGCACTTAGAAGACACCAACAAACTCATACAGGGGAGAAACTATTTGAATGTACGGCATGTGGAAAGAGCTTCAGTCAAAGTGTAGCACTTAGAATACACCAAAGAACTCACACAGGGGAGAAACCATTTGAATGTTTTGAGTGTGGAAAGAGCTTCAGTGAAAGTGGAGCACTTAGAAGACACCAACGAACTCATACAGGGGAGAAACTATTTGAATGTACGGCATGTGGAAAGAGCTTCAGTCAAAGTGGATATCTTAGAATACACCAAAGAATTCACACAGGGGAGAAACCATTTGAATGTTTTGAGTGTGGAAAGAGCTTCAGTGAAAGTGTAGCACTCAGAAGACACCAACAAACTCACACAGGGGAGAAACCATTTGAATGTTTTGAGTGTGGAAAGAGCTTCAGTGTTAGTGGATCACTTAGAATACACCAACGAACTCACACAGGGGAGAAACCATTTAGATGTATTGAATGTGGAAAGAGCTTCAGTGATAGGGGATCACTTAGAATACACCAACGAATTCATACAGGGGAGAAACCATTTAAATGTGTTGAATGTGGAAGGAGCTTCAGTCGAAATGATACACTTAGAAAACACCAACGAACTCATACAGGGGAGAAACAATTTAAATGCATTGAATGTGGAAAGAGCTTCAGTCGATATGAACACCTTAAAATACATCAACGAACTCACACAGGTGAGAAACCATTTAGATGTCCTGAATGTGGAAAGAGCTTCAGTGAAAGTGGAGCACTTAGAAGACACCAACAAACTCACACAGGGGAAAAACCATTTGAATGTTTTGAGTGTAGAAAGAGCTTCAGTGAAAGTGGAGACCTTAGAATACACCAACGAACTCACACAGGGGAGAAACCATTTAGATGTATTGAATGTGGAAAGAGTTTTAGCATAAGCGGAGCACTTAGAATGCACCAACGAACTCATACAGGGGAGAAACCATTTAAATGTGTTGAATGTGGAAAGAGCTTCAGTCGAAATGATACACTTAGAATGCACCAGCGAACTCATACAGGGGAGAAACCATTTAAATGTGTTGAATGTGGAAAGAGCTTCAGTGATAGTGGAAAACTTAGAGTACACCAACGAATTCACACGGGGGAGAAACCATTTAAATGTATTGAATGTGGAAAGAGCTTCAGTGAAAGTGGAGCACTTAGAAGACATCAACGAACTCACACAGAGGAAAAATCACAGATACTTTAATAAACCGTATAGGTGTTCTTTACCTTTCCTTCTATGCTTCCCTGCAATACTGATAAAATCAAACCACGCCAATGCTTTCAGCCCCAGAAGAGGAGCTCTCCTTGGTGTCAGGGGAGGGGTCCAAGAGAGCATCTGAAGCCCTGCCATTCCTTCTGTCCCTGGCCCCTTCCCCTCCTCTCTCTGCCACCCCAGGGCCACTCTTGACTCCACAGCAGGAGACTGGATCTGTCTGTGATGGTGAGATGTCCTGGGTGGTTGAAGGACCACTTCCTGTTTCCTGGAGCTCCATCCTGCCTTCTCATGCAAGGTGGAGTCATGAAGCAGGTGAAGGCTGAGCACACCTAAGGGTGGCGCGGGGGGTGGGTGGGATTCTGCTTAACCTTTCCCTGTCTGCTCCTTCTCTGGATCCAAATCCCCACACAAAAAGGGGCAGTGTGAGGGCACAATCAGTGTTATGAAGCTGCACTGAAAATCATTGCTTTGTGAGCGTAAGAGGCCCTTCTCAAAAAAACAAGCATCAAGAGAATTTAAGCTACAGAATTTGAAACAAACAGATAATTACAAAAAAAGAAAGCAGTCTGGTGCCACATTGCGTAGGAGTTAGTTTAACACACTCTTCCTGGGGCTGCCTTTGAAAAGAGCTCAGAAACTTCAATGGCTCAAAGAGCTGCAGACACATTACTGACCAGGGCTGGCTATAGGCAGCATAGGACTCCCATATTAGAACAGCTCCGTCTGCCTAATTGTCTGTTTCTGGACACAATCAATGTGTCCACAAGAAGAGGAAGATAGATTTGAGGAAGGCCAACCTGCAGAGGCACTACAAGTCGAAGCACATCCAGTACCAGGAGTTCCAAGGGCAGCTGCACCAGGAGAAGGTCAAGGCGCTGAAAACGGACCTGTTGGGTAACCTGTGGCCCCTCCAGATGATGTGAAATTGCAACTCACGTCTTCTTTAGCCATTGGCCACGCTGGCTGGGGCTCATGGGAGCTGGAGTCCAAGGATCTAGGTCCACAAATGCCAGGGACATTTCAAATCCCTCCTCAGTCGTGAAGCCGATTGGGCAACTTAAAGCTGGTCACCATCTTTATGCGAAACCTCCCTCGCAGGGTTGCTGTGTGCGTGAAAGCAATATATCTTGTGGTGGGCTTCATGAGGGCAGTGTGGAACAGAAATGTAATTCATAGGTAAGAAGACAGGAAATAGTTCTGAATCTGACTGAAAATAAAGGATTCTTTGTCTCCAGATTGCATATAGCAAGCACCTGTGTTGTTGAACTCTAGCTGAAGTTTCAGCATCTGGTTCCTCAGCACTCTGCACTCTCTCTCTGGAAACCTCCAGCTGTCAGGTGACAGGAACCAGCCAATGCCTCCCAGTTCAGAAACAGTCTGCCAAGAGCTGAGATTGGAAGTGGACAACCAAGGAAACTTAGGGTAGCATTTTCATTTCCATGCTTATGAATATTGAATTGAATCAATTCATCTGATGTGTTCAAAATAGTAGAGAAAATTTATGGTTGACACCACCTTGGGATAGTTTTGACAGGAATTTGGGGAACTAGGAATATTTTTAGTTCCATCAGGGTTGATGGATCAGCAAATAGCTAGAGAGGATTAAGGGGTGGGGGCGGGAATCAGGCCTTGTTTCTCATGTGACAGATCACCGATTCCACAGTTCTTAAATGTGACCATTTGCGACACAAGATCTACCCACCAGGGAAGAATGGCAGATGAAGGTGATGGACTATATGGAACTGGCGGAAATGACTGGCAGGATCCGAGACCAGGGAGAAGAGTCGGTGGAAGAAGATTGGAAGAAATTTATCAATTTAAAGACTATTTACAGAAACATTGTAAAATTAATGAATGTTAGAAAGATATTGGAATGAACTTATGTGGTTTTAGCAGAAATGTTATAAAGGATTAGGAAAAAATAGACTGTTAATTGGTGAAACGAGGGAAAGTAAAGTTATATCATATTAAGATAAATTACAGGACAAAAATTGTAAAAAGATGGAAAGGATTTGCTGAAATAGTTAACCGAACTAGAATACAAAAAAGGGAGGTGTGAGGAGGTCAAGAAAACAAGCTAACAAATGATAAGTTATGGGAAGATTCAATGTTTTATTTTTTTAATGGACTTTTTTCTGTTTTTGTATTTTCTTTTTTTTCTTTTCCTATTATGATGTGTTGTTTTTGATGTTGTTTAATATGATGTTATTATTTTTTCTTTTTGTAACCTTTAAAACCTTAATAAATATTATTAAAAATAAATAAATAGATGTGACCATTTGCTGCCTCCCAAAATTATGCTTAAGCCTTTCCCCTCCCCCCCAAAAAACAACAACAGCTCAAACATGGTAGCTGGTCTTGTCAAACGGGCCAATATAAGGTTCATTTGGCAAGTTTGTTGTTGTTTAGTCGTTTATTTGTGTCCGACTCTTCATGACCCCATGGACCAGAGCACGCCAGGCACTCTTGTCTTCTACTGCCTCCCGCAGCTTGGTCAAACTCATGTTCGTAGCTTTGAGGACACTGTTGAACCATCTCGTCCTCTGTCATCCCCTTCTCCTTGTACCCTACATCTTTCCCAACATCAGGGTCTTTTCCAGGGAGCCTTCTCTTCTCATGAGGTGGCCAAAATATTGAAACCTCAGCTTCAGCATGTGTCCTTCCAGTGAGCACTCAGGGCTGATCTTCTTCAGAATGGATAGGTTTGATCTTCTTGCAGTCCGTGGGACTCTCAAGAGTCTCCTCCAGCACCATAATTCAAAAGCATCAATTCTCCGTCGATCAGCCGCCTTTATGGTCCGGCTCTCACTTCCATACATCACTACTAGGAAAACCATAGCTTTAACTATACGGACCTTTGTTGGCAAGGTGATGTCTCTGCTTTTTAGGATGCTGTCTAGGTTTGTCATTGCTTTTCTCCCAAGAAGCAGGCACTTTTTAATTTCGTGACTGCTGTCACCATCAGCAGTGATCATGGAGCCCAAGAAAGTAAAATCTCTCACTGCCTCCATTTCTTCCGCTTCTATTTGCCAGGAGGTGATGGGACCAGTGGCCATGTTCTTCGTTTTTTTTGATGTTGAGCTTCAGACCATATTTTGCACTCTCTTCTTTAACCCTCATTAAGAGGTTAATTCCTCCTCGCTTTCTGCCATCAAGGTTGTGTCATCTGCATATCTGAGATTGTTGATATTTCTTCCGGCAATCTTAATTCTGGCTTGGGATTCATCCACTCCAGCCTTTCGCATGTTGAATTCCACATATAAGTTAAATAAGCGGGGAGCAATATACAGCCTTGTTGTACTCTTTCCCAATTTTGAACCAATCAGTTGTTCCATATCCAGTTCTAACTGCAGCTTCTTGTCCCACTGTAGAAATGAAAATTCATGGGAGACGAGAGAGGCAGGTGTAGCTAGGCGTCTGTCAGGGCGGACCCTGAGAGCCTATTTTATTGAATATTGCAAGCATTGCCACAGGTGGGCCTGTGGCTGATTGGTTGATACATACACACAGAAACTTGTAATTGGTTAACATAAGTACTAAGGCGGGAATTACATGTGATCATTTATCATTGATGGAGAGAAGGCTGAGAATCGGAGCTAGAACTAGACAGGCGTGAAGCCTCCTAATTGAATTGTAACTAGGGATTAATTGGCACAAACAATATAACAATCGGGTTCTATAGTTATGGTCAGCTAGGCATGGAGAGCAAGTACAGTTTGTTTTCCATGAGCTTAGGATGTCTGTTACTAATGATTGATCATATCATGTAACAATGTAATCAGGTTTTGTGATCAGCTAGGCGTGAAGAGCAGGTTCGTACAGTGTGTGCAAAAGCAGGGAAAAACCTACAAGCAAGACTTCTCAGAAAGCAAGAGAAAAAGAGGAGCAAGGCTTCCCCAAAATGGAGCAGTTCTGTGCAGAAAGAGACTTCCCTTTATCCCACATATAGATTTCTTATGTTAAGGAAATTAGGGGGGGGCACAAAAGTTATTAAATGTTACAGATATTGTGCCTGAATGTATCCTTTCAACTTGACAGCTCAGGGAAGTTACCGTATTTTTAGCTCTATAAGACTCACTTTTCATTCCTAAAAAGTAAGGGGAAATGTGTGTGGGTCTTATGGAGTGAATGCAGGCTGCACAGCTATCACAGAAGCCAGGACAGCAAGAGGGATTGCTACTTTCACTGCGCAGCAATCCCTCTTGCTGTTCTGGCTTCTGAGATCCAGAATGACAATTTGTGCATTTAATTGCTTCAATTTCCTGCCCAGAGCCACATAGTCTCTTTTGATCTTCTGGAGGCTATTGCTTGCAGTGTCATTGGTTCCCACATGAACCAAGAGGAAGGGGGTATTTGTCAGTGGGTTTTATGATTCCTTGCAGTCGTTCAGTTACATCTTGGATCTTAGCCCCGGGGAGACAGCACACCTCCCGAGACATCTTGTCAGGCCCACAGATCACTGCTTCTGTTCCCCTCAGTAGGGAATCCCCTATCACCACTACACGCCTCCTCTTAGGTTTGGTCGGAGTTCTTCTGTGAGCTGTCTGTTCCAAGGTCGCCTGCACATTCCCTGAGGACTGACTTTGCTGCTCGTCTTCATATACCTGATCGACTGTAATGAGGGAGAGATCCTCAAATGGAGTCTGTTCTTCGTCTTCCATGCTAGGGGAGAGGACTTCAAAGCGATTGTGTATTTCTAAACAATCAGAGCGAACCCTGGGCCTCCTACTTCTTTGAGTCACGTTTCTCCATATATCTGGCACCTGTGTTGGTGAGCTAGCCTCCTTCTCAGGGGTGTCCCCTGTCTCCTCCTCGGTGGAGACGGTGTTCTCTGTTGCTTCCAAGAAGAGCTCCAGCTCTCTAATTCTTTGGAGCGTAGCTACATGTTCCTCCAGTTGCTGGACTTTGTCTTCTAAGAGAGCAATCAACATACAATTGCTGCAGGTAAAGCTGCCTGCAACCTTTGGCAAGATGGCAAACATTGCGCAGGAACTGCAGGCGACTGCAGCTGTTCCCTCACCCTCCATCTCCCTTCACTGCAGTCATCTGAAGGCACCAGCTATGCCCTGTTGGCCCCGATCCTTCTCCTTATGAAGGCTCCCTCCTCTGCTGAATGGAGGCAGGAGACCAGAGGCAGCAAAGGAAAAATCAGGGAAAGACAGACCCTCCAAGTGTCACTGTCTTCCAGGGATGTCCCTGATTTACAGAAGCTGTCCTCAGTTTCTGATTTGATGCCAGAGGGTATGGGGTTATGTGACCCCCAAGTTGTCTGAAGGTAATCCTGTATAGGGATTTTTTAAAATGTTTTCTTATGTTTTTATATATGTTGGTAGCTGCCTGGAGTGGCTGGGGCAACCTAGTAAGATGTGTGGGGTATAAATAGTAAAATTATCATTATGGAACAGGACACCCCTATTTTCATCAGAGAGATGTTGGAGGGTATGGAAAGATAACAGAGCCCAGCCCTGGCACCTGTTACTGGAGCTAAGTGATCACATGACCTAGGCCAGCAGAGCTGGGAACTGGACTGCCTCCTCCAGCTGCTAGGCATTCAGGCAGCTGGGTGGCATCGTCCCAGCTTCATGAAATGGTATTTCAGGAATATTTCCTGTAGAGGATTTGGAAACCAGGGACTGCATACTGATCGCAAGGAGACTTATTTGTGCAACATACTGAAGAGCTTATAAAATGCCAGGTACATTCCAATGTTCGAATAAATTTTGAGAGACAGCTTTCTAAACAAAATCCACTTATTACAGAAGACAACGAAAGGGTATAGCAAGGGGAAGTTTTTGGGTTTCTCTAAAGACCATCGGACTATTGTGTACACAATTTCAAGGTAACATTACACTTTATTTCCACTTTTTCTCACATGGGAATCGAACTCATAACCTTCAGATAAAGCACCTCACGCTCTACCGACTGAGTTAAGGCAGCTCAGGGATTAGTGTACACGGGGACACAGATGGCGGCGTGTGAACATCCCTAGAGAAGGGTGCAAAAAACTTGCTCCCTGCTGCTCCAGAGCTAGGAATGGACTAGATCTCATCCGGCTAATCCATTTGCCCCGACAGCTAAGAGCAGAACCTCCAGGATCAGAAGCAGCGGGCTGCAAATTCGAGGGCAGAGGAAGCAGCAGGGCGGTCTCGCAGCCCTCGCCTTGCAAGGGGGCGCATCCAGCCTCGCAGCCTCCCAGGGCCCAACCCACAGCCAGCGAGCTCCGATGCTCAGAGAGGCAGGAAACGGGGCCAGCCAGGGGGACTCGAGATCGGCTGCACTTTCCTGTCCCCCGCCGAGGAGAGCGGAGGAGCAGCGGCCCGTGGCCTGGCGAGTTTCCCCGGAGAGGAGCCGGATTCCGGTGCAGGGACGGAGCGAGGAGTCCGAGGTGCGGGAGGCGGGGGGGAGGGGGAGGAGAGCACGTACGCCTCGCCTGGCAGGATCAGGCCCCGAGTCCAGCCAGAGGCTGCAGGGCGCCCCCCAACCGGGCAGGAAGGGGAAGGGGCGCAGCTGAGGGGCAGGGCATCTGCAGGAGGGCGCAGGGGCAAACATCTCTGGCTCAGGCTGGCACGGACCCTGCCGGAGACCCTGGGGAGCTGCTCCCTTCAGTCCTGAGCTCAAGGGGCAGAATGAGGGGTCCAAGGCAGCTGCTGCTTCGCGATGGACGATGCATATAGTCGTCCCATGATCAGCGGCGTCGTTGGGGCTTTTGCCTCCCGGGGCGGTCACTGAGTCTGCCGCCCCTCACCAGGGAGCCCCGTCCTCCCTCCGCCCCGACTGTCCTTCCCTCTCGCCTGCTTCTGCCTCCCTGCGGGGGCTGCAAGGGCGATGAGTGGGTTCCAGGGGCCGCAGCACAGGCACAAGCTCACGCTCTCCCACCGGCGGAGAGGGAAGGGGCGGCAGGGGGGAATGGAAGAGCAGTGCAACAGGGAGGTGTCCCTCTCACCCTGCAGCCCCCTGACACCCTTTGCAGGCCACTACTCCTGCCCCCCCCTTCCTCTGCCAGTGCCATTGATAAACCTATCGCCCTCCTTGGTGAATTGGTCTGATCGCCTTTGAAAGCTCTCTTTGCCACCACCATCACCGCATCTTGTGGCAATGATGTCCATCCAATTCATTTAGCAAGGAAATGGTTTCTTTTGTCAGCCCCAAATCAAGGTACACTGTGCCTACACATGGAGGTTCTGTTGATCTGTCAAGGCTAATAAAACAGCTAATAGAGCTATTCCCTGGAGAATGCATAGGATATTTTCCCAAGCTGTCAAAGCTAGTGACCTCTTGTGTCTGCGTGTAAATAAGTGAGAGAGCCTTAACCCTGTTTTGTTAAACGTTTTATCTTCCTCCTTCTTCAGTAACACAGCTGAGTTTTCAGATGAATGCTGAGGGTTGAAGTGAGTGCCAGTTTTGAGAATGCAGGGGAAAGGAGGATTCTTAAGAAGTGTGGCATATGGAAATGAATTAATGATAATAAATACATTGAAGACAGTATTGTAGAAGACTGAGGAAGGCGAGATTGAAATTAGCTATTCATGTTCAGATTATTACTCCTTTCATTTCTATACTGCTTCATATTTTTAAGGGAAAGAATCTCAAAGCAATTAAAGTGAAATCTCATTGCAGTTTGTGTCCATAGGATGTTGAGAACATTAAATCTGTAGATTCAGGAGTTCTCTCCTCCTGATAGTCTCAGATTTGATTGTTCTTTCCTATAGAGCAGGAGGAACGAATCATTTATGGGTTTAAAGCTGCATTGCTTCTGGAGGCCACATTCCAGTGAACTCTGTGGCCAATGTATGCACATGCATGCGCACACAGAAAAGAGATGCAGACCATAAAGTCACATGCACACACGCCAGAGGTGCTGCCCACACTCACCAGACATGCCATCTAGCATACATACAAGTCTTGCAAACACAAACAACATGTTTAGACCTTCCAACCCCAGTGCTGGGCTGGAGGAGAAATAAGAGCACAAGAAGACCCTGCTGAATTAGCAAGGAGATCTGTGGAAAAAAGACCCTTCAGATTGTTCTTTAGAAATCCTCTTTAAAGAGCAGCCAGAGGGATCATGTATTTCCAGATCACGGCTTTTACCCCATTTCAGCACTGTGCTGGTTTGTGCTGAAATTGGAGTTGAAAAGATCTCTCTAAGGGCCCCTTAGGCATCTTTCTCTCCAGGACAGACAGAGATCTTCATCCAGTGATCAGATCAGGAGATGGAAAAGGCAGGGACTAGCAGGACACACCCTGAGGCTTGGCAAGCCATATGCAGCCAATGGACTGCAAGTTAGAGTGTCTTCAGTCAAGAGAGTTTGTGGCCATCAAATTTAAAATATTTTGGAGTGAGTTCTTTGATTTTGTTGGTCAGTATTCCTTTAGTCAGTTTCTTAGGCTGTGCAGATCCCATACATTTAAAGCACGTGGCTTCCCCCAGAGAACCACAGGATCTGTAGTTTATTGCTAAAGTTCTCAACACCCCTAACAAACTGCAGCTCGCAGGATTTCTTGGGTGAAGCCATGTACAGTGGTGCCTCGCAAGATGAAATTAATCCGTTCTGCGAGTCTCTTCGTCTTGCGGTTTTTTCGTCTTGCCAAGCATGGCTATTAGCGGCTTAGCGGCTTTAGGAAAAAGGAAACAAACTCGCAAGAACTCGCAAGACGTTTTCGTCTTGAGAAGCAAGCCCATAGGGAAATTCGTCTTGCGAAGCACCTCAAAAAACGAAAAACTCTTTCGTCTAGCGAGTTTTTCGTCTAGCGAGTTTTTCGTCTTGTGAGGCATTCGTCTTGCGGGGCACCACTGTACTTTCAATGTTAGGTGGGTCTGTTGCAGCCTTAATCATATACAAAGACCTGTTGCTGCCTTTCCAACATGCTAGAAGCTGCAGCCAGGATCAGCATTCCCTGTCCACTGAACATGCTCAGTCCTCTCACTGGGTTGTTTTTGGATTTCCTTCCACTGCCTTGGTTCCCCCCCCCCCCCAAATATTATTTGTACTTCCATAAACCTTGATGTTTTCCCCAGTCTTTGGATAACTTCCCCTCGTCCCTGGGTGGAGCCGTTTGGGTGACATAATGATTGTCATTCACATCCTGAACATCAGAAATAGAAAGAGTAATAATATATTTCAAAAACTGGCTAATGGTTAAAATTCAAAGGGAGAGACTAGAGTGCAAAGGAAAGAAACCTCCTGCCGGCCAAGTTGGGACCATCAGGGATCTTCTGCCTCGGGCAGATTTATGTCAAATTAAGCAGGAGGCAGAGGAGGGGCAGCCGCAGCAGCACTGGGATGCCCAGAAGCAGGATTTCCTGAAGACGATGCAGCCCCCTCGTTCAGGGTGGGAAACCCCACAGGCTCCCAGTTCTCACCACTCTGGGGATGGTGTCCTCTCCTTCAGGGGAGCTGCGGATGCCAGTCGGTGGCCCAGTGGGAGAGCAGGGGGGACAGACCAGACCCTGCTCCCAGACACTGAGGGGCTTCTTGGAAAGGTAAGTGCCCTCCTCTCACCTGGGTTTCCAGCACCTGGAGGTCACAGGTCCAGTGCCTCTAGACATGGAGGTTCTGTTTAGCTATGGTGGTGAATATTCCTCCTCCCTGCACTTTCTCTCTAATCCACTTTAAAAAGGCTTTCTGGACCAAAACTTACATGGGAGGTTTGCGATCATATCTCCTGCTATTCTTACTTTACTTAAACAACTGCAGGGGACTCTGAATTTTATCAGAGCAGAAGCTGTGTCAGAAGAGGGGTCCTTCCACCAAACCCCGTTTTCCTCCTCTAAATTGCCTCCATTTCCAAAATGCTCTTTTCTCCCCACTGAGGTAAAAATCTTGGCACGTCTTGCAGACTCAGCAATCCCATGTTTAGTCGCATTAAATAAGACTGGCCCATCTTGCAAGGTTGTTGCAAGATTTATTAAGATAATGGCCAGATTCAGATGACTGAATCACAGCCTGAAAAGCCGGGTTAAAAATAGGAACAGTTTTTAATGCATTGCTGCAGCAAAGTTACAATAAAACCTAAGTTGACCCAAGTTTAAAACCAAAAACTCTAGCCACCACCGCAGTCTCCTGGCCCCCACAACCAGAATGCATCACTCCAGGAACGACCCCCACCCAACCTTTAGTGAGAGAGGGCAAAAGAAAAGGACTCTGCATGGGTAGTTGCACAAATTTACCAGCTGTGGTCCTGTACTGACAGCAAGGCTAACAAACAGGGGAGCTGGGAATGTGCTGGTCCCGTATCTCCCTGCATCTGCCTCCTGACCTAATTGTCCCAGCTTATCTCATGATTGGGCCAGCCCTGATGGGGAACTGTGATGAAACCAGGCAGTCTCTTATAAGCCATAACTAGCAAACTTTCCATTTTGCCCAAACCAGGAAACTACAGCTGCCAGCTTTGGAACAAGCTGAGAGATTAATCTAACTTCAAACTGTGCTTGCTCAAAACAGGAAACTCTGGTTGATCAGTGGCTTCGTGCTTTGACTGATCCCACTGATAGCAGTAAAAATAGGAAGCCCTGTTGCGTTCAAAGGGGTTGTTTGGACAGAGTCTCTGATCAGCATGCCTAGCAGGACAGGCTTAAAAAGGTAAAGGGACCCCTGACCATTAGGTCCAGTCGTGACCGACTCTTGGGATGAGGCGCTCATCTCGCCTTATTGGCCGAGGGAGCCGGTGTACACCTTCCGGGTCATGTGGCCAGCATGAGTAAGCAGCTTCTTGCGAACCAGAGCAGTGCATGGGAACGCCCTTTATCTTCCTGCCGGAGCTGTACCTATTTATCTATTTGCACTTTGATGTGCTTTCGAACTGCTAGGTTGGCAGGAGCAGGGACCGAGCAACGGGAGCTCACCCTGTCGCGGGGATTCGAACCGCCAACCTTCTGATCGGCAAGTCCTAGGCTCTGTGGTTTAACCCACAGCGCCACCCGAGTCCCAGGACGGGCTTAGGAAGCAATTATTATTATTATTATTATTATTATTTGCATCCTGCCTATCTGACTGGGTTGCCTCTGCCCATCTGGGTAGCTTCCAACAAAATAAAAACCATCAAAAATTTCCTTGTAAAAGGCTGCCTTCGGAAGTCTTCCATTTTGTAGAAATGGCCTTCGGTTTTAAAGAATTGCCGTCTTTAAGGAATCACTTGGTGTAAACATGTATGTCGTCCTCTACGTCCAAACACACACAGACAAACATAGTGGGAGCAAGCAGTGCTCTAAAGTGCTTATCTTGCGAACTTATCTAAAGTGCTTATCTTGCAAACTTGCCATCTAGGTTGTTTACTCCTGACCAAAGTTCCTGTTTCCCAAAAGGAGAGGAGGGGGAGCAGTGGAGGAAACGGATGGGTTTGAAGCCTCTTTCCACCAGCCGCCTCTCTCCCCTGATGAACAAGAGCAAAGGGTGTTTGCAGGGCAGGAGGACAGAGGAGGCGGCAGCGAGGGCAGAGGGAGCAGTGGGCGGATCCACCGCCTCTCCCAGGGGGTCCTGATGCAAGCAAGGGGCTTCTTTCTTCTCCATGCAAGGGCCACCCATGTATTCAGAGCAGTTCTTTGCAGATTAACTCTTAACTTCCAAGGGATCTACTCTCAGGCCGCTAATGTGCATACCGTCCCAGCCTTAGGAAGGGAGGTGGGACAGGCAGGTGAAAGGAATTGCCAAAGGTGTTTCAAAATGGGTGGGGGCTCTTGGGGAAGGGGGTGCCCAATTGGGGCTTCTTCAGGGGGAGCAGAATGTCTTGGGCAGGAGAATCCCTGCAGGGGCTCTGAGACTCCCTTGGCTTCTTCTTCCCTCCCTCCCAGGAAGCTGCAACTGGCTCTGGATTCTGCGCTCCTCAGGAAGCTGAACCTGCAAACCTAGCTGAGACAGAACCTGCAACCCTGGCCAGGATGGAAGGAGGAAGATGGATGGGTGACCTGGTCAGGCTGTCTCCCGCATCCCTCCCCACAACCTCTGAGCATTCCCTCCCAGGACCCTTGGAGAAATCTGGTGAGTTCCAGGGGAGAGGAGATGGGGACAGGGATAGATGGATAGATGGATGGTGCAGGGAGAAAGGTGAAAAGATGGAGAGGAGACAAATGGAAGGAGGTTCCTGAACGTAAGAAGGAAGGGGTGAGCTTTTCTTCCTCCAGGCTTTTAAAGCAGCTTTTCTTCCTCCAGGCTTTTAAATCTTAGATGTTATTTCCCCAGCAGGAATATTGATGATAATGATGTGGCACACCAATCCTGAAAAACGGGTGAAGGGGAATGGAAATGCTTCCCATAATTATTTATAATTAATCTATTACCCTTATTTTTTATAGACAGGGTCAGAGTGATACATTCCACCAGCATCAAAATAAATGCATGCAGCTTCCCAGTTTGGTGGACTTAAGGGACAAAGGACCCGTTATCATGATACATAATTCCTGTGGCTGGAGGCTCTACACTTAGGATTGGACATATAAAGTCCAAGAGCGTCTGGTATTAGAAGCAAATTGTGTAAACTTGCCAATCTTACAGACTGGGGTTGTTTGTGAGAGTGAGTGAGTGGGATAATAATTTCTAGCACCCCTGTAATTTTCTCCGTTCCTAAGCTTCTATGGGTGGGACGCGGGTGGTGGTGGGACGCGGGTGGCGCTGTTGGTAAAACCTCAGCGATTAGGGCTTGCTGATCGCATGGTCGGCGGTTCGAATCCCCGCGGCGGGGTGAGCTCCCGTCTTTCGGTCCCAGCTCCTGCCCACCTAGCAGTTCGAAAGCAGCCCTAAGTGCCAGTAGATAAATAGGTACCGCTTTATAGCGGGAAGGGAAATGGCGTTTCCGTGTGCTGCGCTGGTGCCGGCTCGCCACGGCAGCTTTGTCACGCTGGCCACCTGACCCGGAAGTGTCTCCGGACAGCGCTGGCCCCCGGCCTCTTAAGTGAGATGGGCGCACAACCCTAGAGTCGGACACGACTGGCCCGTACGGGCAGAGTTACCTTTACCTTTACCTTTAAGCTTCTATGGAGATACTGTGGTACAACCTTGGTACAAATTTCAAAATAAGTACACCAAGCCAACAAAGAGACTCAGAGGTTTATAGTGGCACCAGGTAAAGGTAAAGGGACCCCTGACCATTAGGTCCAGTTGTGACTGACTCTGGGGTTGTGGCGCTCATCTCGCTTTACTGCCTGAGGGGGCCGGCGTACAGCTTCCGGGTCATGTGGCCAGCATGACTAAGCCACTTCTGGTGAACCAGAGCAGCGCACAGAAACGCCGTTTACCTTCCCGCCGGAGCGGTACCTATTTATCTACTTGCACTTTGACATGCTTTCAAACTGCTAGGTTGGCAGCAGCAGGGACCGAGCAACGGGAGCTCACCCTGTCACGGGGATTCGAACTGCCAACCTTCTGATCGGCAAGCCGTGGCTCTGGTTTAGACCACAGCGCCACCCGCGTCCCTTTAAGTTCCTTTAGAGAGATCCTTTAACTCCAATCTCAGCAGGAATCAGCACAGTGCTGAGATGGGATAGGAGTCCTGATTTGGAGATAAATGATCCCTCTGGCTGCTCTTTAAAGAGGGTTTCTAAAGAACAATCAGAAGGGTCTTTTTTCATGGATCTCATTGCTAATTCAGCAGGGTCTTCTTGTGCTCTTATTTTTCCCCACCCCAGCACTGGGGATGGAAGGTCTAAACATGCTGGTTCATAGCTGTCAACTTTCAGATTTGAAAATAAGGGACCAGCAGCCTCACCTGTCCCCACGCCCCTGTGGCAAAACGTATCCTACTCAAAATTCCACTTTGTCAGACTGCAGCCCACAAAACATTTATCAGCTTTTAAGGGCTGCAAAGATGAATCAACAGTAGCATAGTTCATCTATGGAATCCATCCTACAGGAGACAGTGACAGCCAGCAACTTGGATAGCTTGAAAAAAAGGATAAGACTGACGTCTCTGCTCTGCCCTCGCGGTCCTAGGCAATAATGCTTCTTGATACTATTTTCTGGAAAGCACAGGAAGGCAGAGAAGACTCTTGTGCTCCAATCCTGCTTGCCGGTTTCCCACAGGCATCTGGTTGGCCTCTGTGAGAAGAGGATGCTGGACTAGGTGGGCCTTTGCCTGATCCAGCAGGCTCTTCTTAGGTTCCAATATATTGCAATATTTTTACAGTTACATGTAGCACTTAACTTATTTCACAATGGAGACACTGTTACTTGAGCCTGAGATCATTTCCTCACTTGAAAAGGAAAAATACAGAGATGTGTCTAATAAGCCAATTCCACCATAGATTTGTATTATAAAATGATGGTGCTTTATTAAGTGTGAATGCAGTGATCATGTGTTGCTCTTGCCATTATCTCATCTGCTTTCCAAAAAATTTGGAACATAGAGAGGACAGTGGAGAATGGAGACTGTGTGAAAATGAGAGAAGATGCAGATTGGGATTGACAGGTGTTCAATTCCCTTTTTGTCTTTCCTGAAAGTCTAACAGGATTCTCTTTCCTCCCAGACTCCCAAACAGGTGAGGAAGATGAAGGTCAGACTTCTATGGAGCCACATGTGAATTTATTGGGAAGACGAAAGAAACTGAGGATACAACAACAAACTCACAAAGGAGAGATACTATTTGAATGTATGAAGTGTGGAACGAGCTTTAGTCATAGTCAAGCACTTAGAATACATCAACGAACTCACACGGGTGAGAAACCATTTAAATGTATGGAGTGCGGTAAGAGCTTCAATCAAAGTGGACATCTTAGAATACATCAACGAACTCACATGGGTGAGAAACCATTTAAATGTATGGAGTGCGGTAAGAGCTTCAATCAAAGTGGACATCTTAGAATACATCAACGAACTCACACGGGTGAGAAACCATTTAAATGTATGGAGTGCGGTAAGAGCTTCAGTCAAAGTGGATATCTTAGAATACATCAACGAACTCACACGGGTGAGAAATCATTTAAATGTATGGAGTGCGGTAAGAGCTTCAGTCAAAGTGAGGAACTTAGAAGACACCAACAAACTCACACAGGGGAGAAACCATTTAATTGTATGGAGTGCGGTAAGAGCTTCAGTCAAAGTGGACATCTTAGAATACATCAACGAACTCACACGGGGGAGAAACCATTTAAATGTATGGAGTGCGGTAAGAGCTTCAGTCAAAGTGGATATCTTAGAATACATCAACGAACTCACACGGGTGAGAAATCGTTTAAATGTATGGAGTGCGGTAAGAGCTTCAGTCAAAGTGAGGAACTTAGAAGACACCAACAAACTCACACAGGGGAGAAACCATTTAATTGTATGGAGTGCGGTAAGAGCTTCAGTGAAAGTGGATATCTTAGAATACATCAACGAACTCACACAGGGGAGAAACCATTTAAATGTATTGAATGTAGAAAGATCTTCAGTGAAAGTGGGAAACTTAGAATACATCAACGAACTCACACGGGGGAGAAACCATTTAAATGTATGGAGTGCGGTAAGAGCTTCAGTATGAATGGAGAACTTACAATACATCAACGAACTCACACGGGTGAGAAACCATTTAAATGTATGGAGTGCGGTAAGAGCTTCAGTCAAAGTGGACATCTTAGAATACATCAACGAACTCACACGGGGGAGAAACCATTTAAATGTATGGAGTGTGGTAAGAGCTTCAGTGAAAGTGGGAAACTTAGAATACATCAACGAACTCACACGGGGGAGAAACCATTTAAATGTATGGAGTGCGGTAAGAGCTTCAGTCAAAGTGGATATCTTAGAATACATCAACGAACTCACACGGGTGAGAAACCATTTAAATGTATGGAGTGCGCTAAGAGCTTCAGTCAAAGTGAGGAACTTAGAAGACACCAACGAACTCACACAGGGGAGAAACCATTTAATTGTATGGAGTGCGGTAAGAGCTTCAGTGAAAGTGGATATCTTAGAATACATCAACGAACTCACACGGGGGAGAAACCATTTAAATGTATTGAATGTAGAAAGATCTTCAGTGAAAGTGGGAAACTTAGAATACATCAACGAACTCACACGGGGGAGAAACCATTTAAATGTATGGAGTGCGGTAAGAGCTTCAGTCAAAGTGGACATCTTAGAATACATCAACGAACTCACACGGGTGAGAAACCATTTAAATGTATGGAGTGCGGTAAGAGCTTCAGTCAAAGTGGACATCTTAGAATACATCAACGAACTCACACGGGGGAGAAACCATTTAAATGTATGGAGTGCGGTAAGAGCTTCAGTGAAAGTGGGAAACTTAGAATACACCAACGAACTCACACAGGGGAGAAACCATTTAATTGTATGGAGTGCGGTAAGAGCTTCAGTACGAATGGAGAACTTACAATACATCAACGAACTCACACGGGTGAGAAACCATTTAAATGTATGGAGTGCGGTAAGAGCTTCAGTCAAAGTGGACATCTTAGAATACATCAATGCCTATACCAGAAAATGTTGGCTGGAATTAATTAGTGTGGCAAAAGCAAAAGATCAGACACTATTCTGGAAACTGGTAGCTTCTGGCACCCATAAATCTTTTCCCCCCTTAACCTCACAAAGATTGGTCTCATTCTTCCAATCTTTATACGAGGACGCTGAACCTCCACTATGGAATTATAATATAGAACAACTGGCTAAATGGCCTCCAGTTTCAATAACTGAAGTGAAATCATATATAAACCAACTGAAAACGGTCAAAGTCCCAGGCTCAGATGGCATTACACCAGAAGTGATAAAAGCACAGGTGGATTGGTGGGCACCTTTCTTAGCCAACCTCTTCACTTACATAGATGACACTGGCCGCATCCCAAGGGAATGGGGAACAGCCATAATAGTCCCAATCTATAAAAAGGGCAACAGAGGGAACCCAGCAAATTATAGGCCGATTAGCTTATTAAGTGTGATTAGTAAACTCTACTCAAAGCACCTCCTTAATAAGTTTACAGAATGGCCAGAGAATGAAGATATTCTGGCAATAGAACAAGCGGGCTTCAGACCCGGAAGGTCCATGATAGATCATTGTCTAACGTTACAACATCTCATCGACAAATACAAATCAGGAGGGCAGGCCTCACTATACGTGGCCTTCGTCGACCTAAAAGCAGCATTTGATACAGTCTCCAGAACCAGACTCTGGGACAGACTACAGGGTACCAATATAGATAGAAGGCTCCTGCTCCTAATTCAGGCACTGCACGCAAACATGGCTCTTAGAGTCAGGTGCTGCCGCCTAGGACACCTAACGGACCCAATAAAAACCTTCAAAGGAGTCAGGCAAGGGCGCCTATTGGCCCCTCTACTATTTGATTTCTATCTAAATAACTTAGTATCTGCACTCAATGACTCAGAACTCCACCCCCCCCCCCCGAAGCTTGCAAATCGGCATATTTCGGTCCTGCTATATGCCGATGATGCGGTAATTCTATCTAGAACCCCATTGGACTCAAAAGAGCACTAAGAAAGCTCGCAGCATACTGCGAATCTGAACGTCTCAAAATCAACTATCAAAAGACCAAGATACTCGCTTTTGGGGGAAAACCAAAGCTTAGAAGCTGGGAACTCCAAGGCCATAAATTAGAACAAGTCACAAACTACAAGTATCTAGGAATGGTGGTACAGGCCTCAGGAACCAACAAATTACACATAAACTCCACCGGGAGTTCAGTGGAAAAAAACGCAAATTGTATCCTTAAATTCTTCAGAGCACAAGGGGGCTTCTTTGTCCCTGCAGCTCTAAAATTATACAAGGCCAAAACTTTGGCACAACTCCTCTATGGTTCCTTTTTGGACCCGCCTTCCTCTGCTTTCTCCCCACTTGAGAGAGTTCAATCCAGACTTCTTAGAGCTCTCTTCCAGGTCCCCAGATGTGTCTCAAACACATGGGTTAGATTGGAAACGGGGATGATGAGAGTGGAGGCTAGCATCTGCCTAACATCAATTTACAAATGGCTGACATTGAACCTGGATGGTCGCCAGATTCTGTCTACAGATCTGTAGGCGCAGACCATCGCCCAACTCAAAATAGTCCAGCATGAAAAGCCCCAAACACGGTTCCATGGGTGATTCTGAGTCAACTCCCTGGGACAGTTTATTGTTGTACATTGTTTCTAGATTTCGTGTTGTATATTGTTTTAACTGTCTGTTTTAACCATATTTGCACAGCAGTTTTTAACGTTGTGAGTGTCCTCTATTTAAGAGGCTTCTACTCTGTAGCCTCTTATAGTTGTCTTATCTGCAAGTCTTTGTCGGTTTTTAGCTCTCATCTGTTTTAATTATTACTTTTTAATCCATCCATTATCTGTGTTTAATCTTGTATTTTATTCGGATGTTTTATGCCTGTTTCCTTGTCCTCATTTGCCCTAACAATTACACTGGGCAACAATTTTTTACTTTTTATAATGTTGTCTAGATTTCTACAACTGATTTAGGGTGTTTTTGCACTGCTGAATCAGGAAATGGCATCCGTTTCCCTCCATCAGGTCAGGTTTTTGTGCTATGTTGATTTGAAAAAAATCAGATCTTGTGACAAAATCAATTACATTTTTGTGGCATTATCAGCTGATTTTTGTCAACACATATCATCCTAAATATGTTTTTAAGAGATAAAAATGTTTTTCCAACAACATATATTGATTACCTGATAGAAACATCGATTGCTGTAAACTGAATGGTGGGCATTGATAAAGGTAAAAAGGTAAAGGTACCCCTGCCCGTACGGGCCAGTCTTGACAGACTCTAGGGTTGTGTGCTCATCTCACTCTATAGGCTGGGAGCCAGCGCTGTCCACAGACACTTCCGGGTCACGTGGCCAGCGTGACGAAGCTGCTCTGGCGAGCCAGAGCCGCACACGGAAACGCTGTTTACCTTCCCGCTAGTAAGCGGTCCCTATTTATCTACTTGCACTTGGGGGTGCTTTCGAACTGCTAGGTTGGCAGTACACGTAAATTGCATGTTGCTTCACCATTTTTCAAACTTCGGGGCTTGAACTTCTTTTTCTTGGAACTCCTGGGATGCTCAGCGGCAGGGAGGTATCTCTTCAGAGTCCAACAGTAGTCAGCCATCATGACTGCGTCCCAGCGTCCCTGATACCTGGTCTCCATCTCTTTCATCTCCTGATGGAATCTCTCCCCCTGCTCGTCACTCATTGAACCCAGGTTATCAGGAAACCGGTCCATATGTGAAAATAGGTAGTGCATCTTGACGCTCATGTTGCAGCCCAGGTTTCTGAAAGCAGTCAGCATGTTGTTGACAAGTTCTGCGCAGTTTCTGGCCTTATTGTTGCCAAAAAAGTTCTTCACTACCAGAACAAATGCCTTCCACGCTTCCAGTTCCACTTGAGTTCCAGTTGAGTTTTCAGGTCTTCCACTGCCAAAATGATGGGCTGCCCTTATCTTGTAGATCAGCATTCCAGGCACTCATTACGTGAACTTTGCATAATCTATTGAAGACCTTTTTACTGATAGCATTTTCCAGCTGAATGAAAGGTCCATGTGGTTTTGCTTTTAAAACTCATCTCCTATTTTCTGTGCTCTTGTGTTCCTGTTTTGAGCTGTTTTTATTAAATATTTTCTGCATTGGCTTTTGATCTGTGGAAGGTGACCAGTGAGGGTGTTTTTTTTGTGTTTCTTAGTTCACAGAAATGTTTTAAAGGAATGTGTGAAAGAATTACGGCTAGGGGAGATTAATGAAAGGGACTGAGGAGTGAAGTGAAGATGGCTGTCAAGTCTCTGAACAGAGATCCACAACCTAAGGGCCGCGGGCTAGTTCCGGTCCAAATGGGGTTCGGATCCGGCCCGCAGATGGCCCAGAAATCGCCTCATGGTTCTGATTCATATAGTTTGGGCTGGACCATTTTTTCCTCTCTTCCTGACCGCGGCACCCCTCCCTCCCTTCTTCTGGCTTCTCCCCCACCCTTCGGAGGAAGGGGGCTAGCCTATGATTGGTGCCAGCTGCATTGTTTCCCTCTGATTGGTTGCAAAGTTCTTTCCTCCCTCCTCCCTCCCTCCTCCTAGAGCCTAGGGCCTGGGCTTTGTTTGTGCCAGCGTGATTACTCGATGGCTGCCATTTAAGGCAGCCCCTCTCCGGCCCTCAACTGGCTCACTGCTCCTGCCGCTGCAGCCAGCAAGTGGTTCTGTTCTGAGACACCCTCCCAGGGTTCTGGGGTGTATGAAGCCTTGTTTACCTGTTTTTAACTCTGCTTCCGAAAGCGTCTCCCCTCCAATACAGGAGAGCGGAGAACATGCATAAGGAGCGGCATAAGGAACCGCTCGCTGCAGAAGGATGCGTGTTCTCCGCATTCCCATCTTGGAGGGGGAGACGCTTTTGGTAATGGAGTTAAAAACAGGGAAACAAGGCTTCGCATACCCCAGAACCCTGGGAGGGTGTCTCAGAACGGAACAGATATACTGCAGTGCAGAACTGGGACCTCTGGAACTTTATTATTGTTTTTTGGTGCAATCTTTGGAGTATGGAGTATAAGGAGTATAAGGAGTATGAAAAAAACGGGGTATTAACAGTCAAAAGTTAATGTAACACATTATTTCAAGATTAAAGATTAGGATAAACAAAGAGGGGAAGGATTTGCTGAACTAACAAATTGAACTGGAATACAAAAAGGGAGGTGCGAGGACGTCCGGGAAATAAGCAAATGAAAGAAAGTGATGGAAAGATGGAATTGTTCTCTATCTATTTTTATTTTGTATTTTTATTTTTTATTTTTTCATTTTGCAAAATTCTAATAAATATCTGTTAAAAAAAAGAAAAGATATTTCATTCAATATAATGATGTCCTAAATAAACAATCGGATTTATTTGCCTTCTGGAGGGTGGGGAAAGGATGCGGATGGAATCTGTATTATATCTGAAGGAGAGAAGGCCGGGGGGGGGGGGAGGAGCTCAGTGCACCCAGAAGACACCAGTTGTTGGTTATAGTTGCATCTATACAAAGTGCATAGCCTTTGCCCCTCCATAAAGAAATGGGGAGCAGACAAGAGCTTGAATAGCTGACCAGAAGGAAATGTAACCTGGGAACTTCATGTTGCTCCCCAGCTCCCTGACACCAAGAAAAGACTCATCCAGGGAGGCAGGTGAGCATCACAGCTAAACCCCCCATTATGCTCTACAGTAGCTAATCGCTCAGACAGGGCTATTTTCATTCAGTTCTTTGTGTTTGTGTGTGGTTGGTGGTGGTTTTACCTTCCCTTCTTTCCTTGCAAGCATGACAAAAATGAAACCTCCACGGCAATGCTTTTAGCCCCAGAAGAGGAGCTCCCCTTGGTGTCAAGGGAGGGGGGGGTTCAAGGGAGCATCTAGAGCCTACCATCCTTTTGTCCCTGGCCCCTTCCCCTCCTCTCTCTGCCATCCCAGGGCCACTCCTGACTCCCCAGCAGGAGACTAGATCTGTCTGTGATGATGAGATGTCCTGGCCAGTGGAAGGACCACTTCCTGTTTCCTGCAGCTCCATCCTGCCTTCTCATGCAAGGTGGAGTCATGAAGCAGGTGAAGGCTGAGCACACCTAAGGGTGACCCGGGGGGGGGGGGTTCTGCTTAACCTTTCCCCATCTGCTTCTTTTCTGGATCAAAATCCCCGCACCAGAAGGAGCAGTGTGAGGGCGCAATCAATGTTATGCAGCTGAGTTGAAAGGCATTGCTTCATGACCCAAAGAGCCCCTTCTCAAAAAACAAGCATTCAGAGAATTTAAACTACACACAGAGAGAGAGAAAGAAAGAAAGAAAGAAACACACACACACACACACACACACACATGTTTAGAACAGATAATACCCCCCCCCCCAAAGAGGCAGTCTGGTGCCACATTGTGTAGGGGTCAGTGTAACACGCTCTACATGGGGCTGCCTTTGAAAAGTGCTCAGAAAGTTCAACTGCCTCAAAGAGCTGCAGACACATTGCTGACCAGGGCTGACTCTAGGCAGCATAGGACTTCCTTATTAGTGAGAACTGTGGTTCTCAAGGAAGAGGCAGCCCAGGAATACAAGGTAGGAATTCACCTTGACACTTGCTAACAAAATCCTTTTTGTGAGGGTGTGGCTGCTAATCCTTAACCTAGGATGAGCACTAAGAATTGGGCCTCATTTCTCTGTTATTTAAAATAAAATAAAATGCTTGTTCTGCTTCTAAAGAAACCCTTTAGAATGCATTTTTCTTTTTTCATATTAAAAAATCACTATTTTTAACAGCTGTGCAAATGTGCTCCTGTACAATGCAATGTCAGAATAACAAAAGAATGAAATATCTTATGAGAGCCTTGTTTTTTAAATATACAGCTAAAAAAACAAAAAGCTCCTACAACACTTACGAGATACAAATCTAATAGCAGGGCCCCCAGGCACTACAAGGCAACCTGATATTCACGCCCCCCCCCCCCCATCCCAACTCTGAGCTTTTGGTTTCTCTTTAGACACTCATTTGTGGTCACCTGGAGCATTTGAGAAAAAGAGAGAGAACATTGTGGCATATGAAGCAAACATAGAAGAAGAAAGAGTGCAACCTTTTCGGCAAGAGGTTCCACTCAGAGGTTCCACTCTGACAAAAGCAGCAGAGGAGGCTGGTATCTTTCCTAATAACTCATCGCTGGAAACAGAAGCTGCAGAGCTCTAACAGAAGGAAGCTTAAACTTGAGAAGTCAATGGGTGCTTGTTGGAGATGGCTAGGAGAAGCAGCAGCAGTTGCAAATAAGTTCTGCAATGATGAAGAAGCTTAGGATCTCCCTCTGGGACCAGAGAGAGGAAAGTTCACAGGATTACATAAAGGACTGAACATTGTTTGCAACGTGCTTCTTTATCATGTACATCTTATTGTAAGACTGCTTAAGACTGTTGTGCAGTAAAGGTTCAATTTTTTTTTCTTGTGATGGAGAGAACTCATTTCCCACACAAGGTCCAGATCAGGAATTCCATGGAACAACTTGAACAACAAGTACCTGAAGAACCAAACCACGATGTAGCTGTGCTCTTTCCATCCCTTTCCAAAATTGCAACAATCTGTTCCCCCAAATGGTTCTCCCTTCACTGCAGTCATCTGAAGGCACCAGCTATGCCCTGTTGGCCCCGATCCTTCTCCGTATGAAGGCTCCCTCCTCTGCTGAATGGAGGCAGCAAAGGAAAAATCAGGGAAAGACAGACCCTCCAAGTGTCACTATCTTCCAGGGATGTCGCTTGTTATGTAGTGTAGTTTCACCCTGGGCCAACAGGGGGATACTGTATATAGTTTTCACTCAGGTCTGTAGATAGTTTTCACTCAGGTCCGCGGCAGTTATTTTAGGCGGGAACTCTGGGCTGTTGTGGTTACAATGTTGACAGCCGGCTGCCTATAAATACAGGCCGGCTGAGCTGTTCGCAGTCAGTTCTATTCCAGCTTACCATAATAAAGAGCTACTTGAAGAAATCGCTGTGCCGGCTGCTATGTCAACCCACGACTTAACATCGCTGATTTACAGAAGCTGTCGTCAGTTTCTGACTTGATGCCAGAGGGTATGGGGCTATCCAACCCCCAAGTTGTCTGAATATAATCCTGTATAGGAAATTTTTTAAATGTTTTCTTATGTTTTTATATGTGTTGGTTGCTGCCTGGAGTGGCTGGGGCAACCTAATAAGATGTGTGGGGTATAAATAGTAAAATTATCATTATGGAACAGGACACCCCTATTTTCATCAGAGAGATGTTGGAGGGTATGGAAAGATAACAGAGCCCAGCCCTGGAATCTGTTACTGGAGCTAAGTGATCACATGACCTAGGCCAGCAGAGCTGGGAACTGGACTGCCTCCTCCAGCTGCTAGGCATTCAGGCAGCTGGGTGGCATCGTCCCAGCTTCATGAAATGGTATTTCAGGAATATTTCCTCTGGAGGATTTGGAAACCAGGGACTGCATACTGATCGCAAGGAGACTTATTTGTGCAACATACTGAAGAGATTATAAAATGCCAGGTACATTCCAATGTTCTAATAAATTTTGAGAGACAGCTTTCCAAACAAAACCCACTTATTACAGAATAATAATAATAATAATAATAATAATAATAATAATAATAATTTATACCCCGCCCTCCCCAGCCAAGGCCGGGCTCAGGGCGGCTTACAAGCAATAATAAAAACAAGTTGAATGATTACAACTTAAAAACAAAATTAAAATACATTAGAATATTGAAACATTAAAATATTAAAATGTAGCCTCATCGCAGGAAGAGAAAGGAAAAGAAAAAGAAAGAGGGGGAGGGAATCAATTTGGCACCAAGCCAAAGGCTAGGCGGAACAACTCTGTCTTACCGGCCCTGAGGAAAGAAATCAGATCCTGCAGGGCCCTGGTCTAATGAGGCAGAGCATTCCACCAGGCCGGAGCCAGAGTTGAAAAGGCCCTGGGCTCTGGTTGAAGCCAATCTAACTTCCTTAGGGCCCGGGACCACCTTAGGGCCCGGGACCCAGGGTGTTGCTATTTATGGACCTTGAGGCTCTCCGTGGAGCATACCGGGAGAGGCGGTCCCGTAGGTACGAGGGTCCTAGGCTGTGAAAGGCTTTAAAGGTCAAAAGCAGCACCTTAGATCTGACCCTGTTCTCCACCAGGAGCCAGTGCAGCTTGAAAAGTACTGGGTGAATATGCTCCCATGACAGAGACCCCGTGAGCAGCCTGGCTGCAGCATTCTGCACCCGCTGGAGTTTCTGGGACAGCTTCAAGGGAAGCCCTGCGTAGAGCGAATTACAGTAGTCAAGCCTGGAGGTGACCGTCGCATGGATCACTGTGGCCAGGTTGGGGCGGGAAAGGTAAGGGACCAACTGCTTGATGACAACAAAAGAGTATAGAAAGGGGAAGTTTTTGGGTTTCTCTAAAAACCATCGGACTATTGTGTACACAATTTCAAGGTAACATTACACTTTCTTTCCGCTTTTCCTTACATGGGACTCGAACTCACAACCTTGAGATAAAACACCTCACGCTCTACTGACTGAGTTAAGACAATAAGACAACTCAGTGATTTGTGTACAGGGGACACAGATGGCGGCGTGTGACCATCCCTAGAGAAGGGTGCAAAAAGCTTGTTCCCTGCTGCTCCAGAGCTAGGAATGGACCAGATCTCATAGGGCTAATCCATTTGCCCCGACAGCTAAGAGCAGAACCTCCAGGATCAGAAGCAGCGGGCTGCAAATTCGAGGGCAGGGGAAGCAGCAGGGCGGTCTCGCAGCCCTCGCCTTGCAAGGGGGCGCATCCAGCCTCGCAGCCTCCCAGGGCCCAACCCACAGCCAGCGAGCTCCGATGCCCAGAGAGGCAGGAAACGGGGCCAGCCAGGGGGACTCCAGAGTGGCTGCACTTTCCTGTCCCCCGCCGAGGAGAGCGGAGGAGCAGCGGCCCGTGGCCTGGCGAGTTTCCCCGGAGAGGAGCCGGATTTCTGTGCGGGGACGGAGGTGCGGGAGGCGGGGGGGGGGGGCGAGGAGGAGAGCACGTGCGCCTGGCAGGATCAGGCCCCGAGTAGAGTCAGAGGCTGCAGGGCGCCCCCCAACCGGGCAGGAAGGGGAAGGGGCGCAGCTGAGGGGCAGGGCATCTGCAGGAGGGCACAGGGGCAAACATCTCTGGCTCTGGCTGGCACGGACCCTGCCGGAGACCCTGGGGAGCTGCTCCCTTCAGTCCTGAGCTCAAGGGGCAGAATGAGGGGTCCAAGGCAGCTGCTGCTTCGCGATGGACGATGCATATAGTCGTCCGATGATCAGCGACGTACCTGGGGCTTTTGCCTCCCCTCTCCCTGTCCCTCATCAGGGAGCCCCGTACTCTTCCATGGTCCTCCCCACGGCGGACAGGGAAGGGGAGGCAGGGGGGAATGGAAGAGCAGTGCAGCAAGGAGGTGTCCCTCTCACCCTGCAGACCCGTGACACCCTTTGCAGGCCACTACTCCTGCCCCCCCACCTCTGCCAGTGCCATTGATAAACCTATCGCCCTCCTTGGTGAATTAGTCTGATCGCCTTTGAAAGCTCTCTTTGCCGCCACCAGCACCGCATCTTGTGGCAATGATGTCCATCACATTCATTTAGCAAGGAAATGGCTTCTTTTGCCTTCCTCCCATCAAGGTACACTCTGCCTACACATGGAGGTTCTGTTGTTCTGTCAAGGCTAATAAAACATCTAATAGATCTATTTCCTGGAGAACGCATCTGATCTTTTCCCAGGCTATCAAAGTTAGTGACCTCTTGTGTCTGCGTGTAAATAAGTGACACAGGCTTAAGCCTGTTTCATTAAAGGTTTTATTTCCAACTTAGTAAGGCAGCAGAGTTTTGAGATGAAGGCTGAGGGTTGAAGTGGGTTACAGTTTTGAGAATGCAGAGGAAAGGAGGATTCTTAAGAAGTGTGGCATATGGAAATGAATTAATGATAATAAATACGTTGAAGACAGTATTGTAAAAGACTGAGGAAGGCAAAATTGAAATTAGCTATTCATGTTCAGATTATTACTCATTTCATTTATATACTGCTTCATATTTTTAAGGGAAAAAATCTCAAAGCAATTAAAGGGAAATCTCATTGCAGTTTGTGTCCATAGGGTGTTGAGAACATTAACTCTGTAGATCCAGGAGTTCTCTCCTCTTGATAGTCTCAGATTTGATTGTTCTTTCTGATAGAGCAGGAGGAACATTTATGGGCTTAAAGATGCATTGATTCTGGAGGCCACATTCCAGTGAGCTTTGTGGCCAATGTATGCACATGCATGCGCACCCATAAAAGAGATGCAGACTATAAAGTCACATCCACACACGCCAGAGGTGCTGCCCACACTCACCAGACATGCCATCTAGCATACATGCAAGTCTTGCAAACACAATCAGCATGTTTAGACCTTCCAACCCCAGTTCTGGGGTGGAGGAGAAATAAGAGCACAAGAAGACCCTTCTGAATTAGCAATGAGATCTGTGGAAAAAAGACCCTTCTGATTGTTCTTTAGAAATCGTCTTTAAAGAGCAGCCAGAGGGATCATTTATTTCCAGAGCAGGGCTTTTACCCCATTTCAGCACTGTGCTGGTTTGTGGTGAAATTGGAGTTTAAAAGATCTCTGTAAGGGCCCCTTAGGCATCTTTCTCTCCAGGACAGACAGAGATCTTCATCCATAGGCGCCGACTCCATGGGGCTTGAGGGGGCCCGAGCCCCCTCAAAAATTCGTTTGGGGGGGCTCAGCCCCCCCAATAATCTCCGGCGCCCCTCCCCCAGCCCAAAATGCACAGGGTCGGGCTGCATGCCTCCTGCCCTCCCTCCCGAGCAAAAGCTCCACCCAATTTCCGCTCCGGAGCTGATTAATAGGCGCAGCACGCTCTCCCCTGTTGGCTCACGAGGAGGCGGCGCCACTTTATTTGCATATTCATGAGCTTATTTATTATTCATGAGCTTTCCCGGGCCCCCCCAATATTTTTTATAAGTCCGCGTCCCTGTCTTCATCCTATGATCAGATCAGGAGATGGAAACGGCAGGGACTAGCAGGACACACCATGAGGCTTGGCAAACCATATGCAGCCAATGGACTGCAAGTTAGAATGTCTTCAGTCAAGAGAGTTTGTGACCATCAAATATAAAATATTTTGGAGTGGGTTGTTTGATTTTTTGGTCAATATTCATTTTGTCAGTTTGTTTCTTAGGCTGTGCGGATACAATACATTTAAAGCACGTGGCTTCCCCCAGAGAACCACAGGACCTGTAGTTTATTGCTACAGCCTAACAAACCGCAGCTCGCAGGATTTCTTGGGTGAAGCCATGTACTTTAAATGTTAGGTGGGTCTGTTGCAGCCTTAATCATATACAAAGATCTGTTGTTTCTTTTCCAACATGCTAGAAGTTGCAGCCAGGATCAGCATTCCCTGTCCACTGAACATGCTCAGTCCTCTCACTGGGTTGCTTTTAAATTTCCTTCCACTGACTTGGTTCCCGCCCCCCCCCCCAATATTATTTGTACTTCCATAAACCTTGATGTTTCCCCCAGTCTTTGGATAGCTTCACCTCGTCCCTGGGTGGAGTCATTTGGGTGACATAATGATTGTTATTCACAGCCTGAACATCAGAAATAGAAAGAGTAATAATATATTTCAAAAACTGGCCAGTGGTTAAAAAATGTGCTTTTGTTTTTATTCTTGAGTTTCATTTTACTTTGTGTTTATTTCTTTTCCAGGAGGGTGGTGTAAAAATGGAAGAGCAGAGACCCAGGAGACCCATTGAAAGGGAGAGACTGAAGTACAAAGGAAAGAAACCTCCTGCCGGCCAAGTTGGGACCATCAGGGATCTTCTGCCTCGGGCAGATTTATGTCAAATTAAGCAGGAGGCAGAGGAGGGGCAGCTGGAGCAGCACTGGGATGCCCAGAAGCAGGATTTCCTGAAGACGATGCAGCCCCCTCGTTCAGGGTGGGAAACCCCACAGGCTCCCAATTTTCCCCACTCCAGGGATGGTGTCCTCTCCTTCAGGGGAGCTGCGGATGCCAGTCGGAGGCCCAGTGGGAGAGCAGGGGGGACAGACCAGACCCTGCTCCCAGACACTGAGGGGCTTCTTGGAAAGGTAAGTGCCCTCCTCTCACCTGGGTTTCCAGCACCTGGAGGTCACAGGTCCACTGCCTCTAGACATGGAGGTTCTGTTTAGCTATGGTGGTGAATATTCTTCCTTCTCCATGCAAGGGCCACCCATGTATTCAGAGCAGTCCTTTGCAGATTAACTCTTAAGTTCTATGGGGTCTACTCTCAGGCCACTAATGTGCATACCATGCCAGCCTTAGGAAGGGAGGTGGGACAGGCAGGTGAAAGAAATTGCCAAAGGTGTTTGAAAATGGGTGGGGGATCTTGGGAAGGGGGTGCCCAATTGGGGCTTCTCCAGGGGCAGCAGAATGTCTTGGGCAGGAGAATCCCTGCAGGGGCTCTCAGACTCCCTTGGCTTCTTCTTCTTCCCTCCCTCCCAGGAAGCTGCAGCTTGCTCTGGATTCTGCGCTCCTCAGGAAGCTGAACCTGCAAACCTAGCTGAGACTGAACCTGCAACCCTGGGCAGGATGGAAGGAGGAAGATGGACGGTTGACCTGGTCAGGCTGTCTCCCGCATCTCTCCCCGCAACGTCTGAGCATTCCCTCCCAGGACCCTTGGAGAAATCTGGTGAGTTCCAGGGAAGAGGAGATGGGGACAGGGATAGACGGATGGTGGAGGGAGAAAGAGGAAAAGATGAAGAGGAGACAAATGGAAGGAAGTTCCTGACAGGAAGAAGGAAGGGGTGAGGCCTTCTCCGAAGCAACTCTTTGTTTCTTGAATCCTTTTCCTAAAGTAGTGGGGGCAGATTTTCTTCCTCCAGGCTTTGAAATCTTAGGTGTTATTTCCACGGCAGGAATAATTGATGGTAATGATGTTGCACACCAATCCTGAAAAATGGGTGAAGTGGGATGGAAATGTTTCCCATAATTATTTATAATTAATGTACATAAATTGTTTCTATTACTCTTATTTTTTATAGGCAGGGTCAGAATCATACATTCCACCAGCATCAAAACACAATAGATGCATGCACCTCCCCAGTTTGGTGGGGTTAAGGGACAAAGGACCCGTTATCATGATACACAATTCCTGGGGCTGGAGGCTCTACACTTAGGATTGGGCATATAAAGTCCAAGAGCGTCTGGTATTATAAGCAAATTGTGCAAAATTGCCAATCTTACAGACTGGGGTTGTTTGTGAGAGTGAGTGGGATAATAATTTTAGCGCCCCTGTGTAAAGGCTTGGTTCTCCCGCACAGACATGAGACAACTCCAGTAGTAATTATCTCAAACTCATAAATCACTGTGGAGCTCAGTCTTCGGCCTGTTCATCCCAGCTTGCAGTTGCCGAGTCCTCCAGCAAAGAAGCCCCCACTTTCGCTCTCTTTTCCCCTCTTCTCGCAGATTCTCTCGAGCCTAAGAGTTTTTGGACAGGCTATTTCTGGGGTCCCTGTGTCAGAGCTCAAACTGGAGCTAACAGTCTATGCCCCGCCCCGGCACCCCCCTTCCTGTTCTTTGTTCTTTGCTCCTGCTGCAGCTTGGCTGCTCCTCCCCTGCTTCACTTTCCAACCGAATCACATCTCTTGCGTTCTCAGGCTCTGTCAGCGGAGGCACGAGAGGCTTGAGATTCACAGAGCTGACACCCTGTAATTTTGTCCGTCCCTAAGCTTCCATGGAGATACTGTGGTACAACCTTGGTGCAAATTTCAACATAAGTACACAAAGCCAACAAAGAGACTCAGAGGTTTATAGTGGCACCAGCTTTCCTGGTCAAAAGTCCACTGACGTCTCTGCTCTGCCCTCGCGGTCCTAGGCAATAATGCTTCTTGATACTAGTTTCTGGAAAGCACAGGAAGGCAGAGAAGACTCTTGTGCTCCAGTCCTGTTTGCCGGTTTCCCACAGGCATCTGGTTGGCCTCTGTGAGAAGAGGATGCTGGACTAGGTGGGCCTTTGCCTGATCCAGAAGGCTCTTCTTAGGTTCCAATATATTGCAATATTTCTACAGTTAAATGTAGCACTTAAGTTTCACTTATTTCACATGGGAGACACTGTTACTCGAGCCTGAGATCATTCACTTGAGAAATAAAAATAGAGATGTGTCTAACAAACCAGTTTCAGCATAGATCTGTATTATAAAATGATGCTGCCTTATTAAGTTTGAATAGAGTGATCATGTTTTGCTCTTGCCACTGTCTCATCAGCTTTGCAAAAAATTTGGAACCTAGAGAGGACAGTGGAGAATGAAGGTGTTACAACGAGAGAAGGTGCAGATTGGGATGGACAGGTGTTCAGTTCCCTTTTTGTCTTTCTTGAAAGTCTAACAGGATTCTCTTTCCTCCCAGACTCCCAAACAGGTGAGGAAGATGAAAGTCAGAATTCTATGGAGCCACCTGTGAAATTATGGGGGAAAACAAAAAAATTGAGGATACAACAACAAACTCACAAAGGAGATAAACGATTTGAATGTTTTGAATGTGGAAAGAGCTTCAGTGAAAGTGGAAAACTTAGAAGACACCAACGAACTCACACGGGGGAGAAACCATTTAAATGTACTGTATGTGAAAAGAGCTTCAGTCTTAGTGAAACACTTAGAAGACATCAACGAACTCACACAGGGGAGAAACCATATAAATGTATTGAATGTGGAAATAGCTACAGTCAAAATGGATACCTTAGAATACATCAACGAACTCACACAGGGGAGAAACCATTTAAATGTATTGAATGTGGAAAGAGCTTCAGTGATAGTGGATCACTTAGAATACACCAACGAACTCACACGGGGGAGAAACCATTTAAATGTATGGAATGTGGCAAGAGTTTCAGTGATAGTGGATCACTTAGAATACACCAACGAACTCACACAGGGGAAAAACCATATAATTGTATTGAATGTGGAAAGAGCTTCAGTCAATATGGACACCTTAGAATACATCAACGAACTCACACGGGGGAGAAACCATTTAAATGTATTGAATGTGGAAAGAGCTACAGTACAAGTGGAACCCTTAGAATACACCAACGAACTCATACAGGGGAAAAACCATATAAATGTATTGAATGTGGAAAGAGCTACAGTGAAAATGGATACCTTAGAATACATCAACAAACTCACACAGGGGAGAAACCAATTAAATGTATTGAATGTGGAAAGAGTTTCAGCAAAAGTGGAGCACTTAGAGTACACCGACGAATTCATACAGGGGAGAAACCATTTAAATGTATTGAATGTGGAAAGAGTTTCATTGATAGTGGATCACTTAGAATACACCAACGAACTCACACAGGGGAAAACCATATAATTGTATTGAATGTGGAAAGAGCTACAGTCAAAATGAAACACTTAGAAGACACCAACGAACTCACACGGGGGAGAAACCATTTGAATGTTTGGATTGTGGAAAGAACTTCAGTAGAAGTGAAAATCTTAGAAGACATCAACGAACTCACACGGGGGAGAAAGCATTTAAATGTATTGAATGTGGAAAGAGTTTCAGTGATAGTGGATCACTTAGAATACACCAACGAACTCATACAGGGGAGAAACCATTTAAATGTATGGAATGTGGCAAGAGTTTCATTGATAGTGGATCACTTAGAATACACCAACGAACTCACACAGGGGAAAAACCATATAATTGTATTGAATGTGGAAAGAGCTACAGTCAAAATGGATCACTTAGAAAACACCAACGAATTCACACGGGAGAGAAACCATTTAAATGTATTGAATGTGGAAAGAGCTACAGTCAAAATGGATACCTTAGAATACATCAACGAACTCACACAGGGGAAAAACCTCAGATACTTTAATAAACCGCATAGGTGTTTTTTACCTTTCCTTCTATGCTTCCTTGCAATACTGATAAAATCAAACCACCCCAATGCTTTCAGCCCCAGAAGAGGAGCTCCCCTTGATGTCAGGGGAGGGGTCCAAGGGAGCATCTGTAGCCCTGCCATTCTTTCTGTCCCTGGCCCCTTCCCCTCCTCTCTCCACCATCCCTGGGCCACTCTTGACTCCACAGCAGGAGACTGGATCTGTCTGTGATGGTGAGATGTCCTGGCCGGTTGAAGGACCACTTCCTGTTTTCTGCAGCTCTATCCTGCCTTCTCGTGGAAGCTGGAGTCATGAAGCAGGCGAAGACTGAGCACACCTAAGGGTGGCGCAGGGGGTGGGTGGGATTCTGCTTAACCTTTCCCTGTCTGCTCCTTTTCTGGATCCAAATCCCCACACAAAAAGGGGCAGTGTGAAGGCACAATCAGTGTTATGGAGCTGCACTGAAAATCATTGCTTTGTGACCGTAAGAGGCCCTTCTCAAAAAAAGAAGCATCAAGAGAATTTAAGCTACAGAATTTAAAACAAACAGATAATTTAAAAAAAAAGAAAGCAGTCTGGTGCCACATTGCGTAGGAGTTACTTTAACACACTCTACCTGGGGCTGCCTTTGAAAAGAGCTCAGAAACTTCAATGGCTCAAGGAGCTGCAGACACATTACTGACCAGGGCTGGCTATAGGCAGCATAGGACTCCCATATTAGAACAGCTCCATCTGCCTAATTGTCTGTTTCTGGACACAATCAATGTGTCCACAAGAAGAGGAAGATAGATTTGGAGTGCCACATTTTCAAAAAAGATGGACACACGACTATTTCTTTGTGGAGCAGAAAGGCATGCCCGTGTGCCTCATTTGTGGTGAGGCCCTCTCTGTCCTGAAGAAGGCCCACCTGCAGAGGCACTACAGGACAAAAGCACATCCAGTACGAGGAGTTCCAAGGGCAGCTGCGCAAGGAGAAGGTCAAGGCGCTGAAAACGGACCTGTTGGGTAACCTGTGGCCCCTCCAGATGATGTCAAATTGCAACTCACGTCTTCTTCAAATTGCAACTCACGTCCTCAAAATGGTTCAGCCTCCGCCACCTTTACTGCAGTCAACTGAAGGCAACCAACTGTGCCCTGCCCCCCCGATCTTTCTCACTGCCAATGCAAACTAATAAATGAATAGGAAGAGAAGCTACCCATGTCACACTGACATAAACACCTTGCGTATAAACTTTGTAAAATAATGAAAGTGTATTACCCCTCCCTCCCGCTTGCTCTCCCCACCTCTCAATTCCCCAGCCTTACACTGTATACAACATTAAAGTCTGTCTGTCTCTGAATTTTTATGATATCCAAAGTAACAGAGTAGCTTACAGTTAGGAAGCCAAATAGCTATTCTAGTTGATAGTTCCTTTTTACAAACTATACAGTGGCCAGACTCTTGCTATTCAAAAGAACTTTACTTTCATAATCATATAACTGAGAAGAAGAGGAGTCTGTAACCTGAAGTGTATGTAACCTGAGTTACCACTGTAGAATCTTCTGCTTATTCAAACACGGGCACGTTTTCCCTTGAATTCTCTTATAGTTTGTTATGAAACATTTTTCTTTCACATCAGCAGTATTGTCCCTGTTTCTGCACAGGTTTCTGCTTATTAACATTTAGTGGCCACTGGGACCACATAACACCGGTCCTGAGAGATCTGCATTGGCTCCCAGTACGTTTCCGAGCACACTTCAAAGTGTTGGTGCTGACATTTAAAGCCTTAAACGGCCTTGGTCCTGTATACCTGAAGGAGCATCTCCACCCCCATCGTTCAGCCCGGACACTGAGATCCAGCGCCGAGGGCCTTCTGGTGGTTCCCTCATTGCGAGAAGTGAGGTTACAGGTGTTAGGTGGTGGGTTGACATAGCAGCCGGCACAGCGATTTCTTCAAGTAGCTCTTTATTATGGTAAGCTGGAATAGAACTAACTGCGAACAGCTCAGCCGGCCTGTATTTATAGGCAGCCGGCTGTCAACATTGTAACCACAACAGCCCAGAGTTCCCGCCTAAAATAACTGCCGCGGACCTGAGTGAAAACTATCTACAGACCTGAGTGAAAACTATATACAGTATCCCCTGTTGGCCCAGGGTGAAACTACACTACATAACACCCTCCCCACCGAGATAAGGCGTTAGTTACAATCGTAATGGTTTCCTTATATACAGCACTACGCGTAATGGTTCAATTAAGCACAAAAGCATATCGGTTACATTTCCCATACTTAGACCAACAGTGATACCTGTCCAACAACATAGTCCTTTAAATAAGTTGGGCGCTTGGAAACTCTGCCAGACCGCCGGGGACTGGTAGCCAAGTCCGGAGGGCCACACAGTTCTCGCTGAGGCTGTGGTGCGACCCTAGGTGGCATTGGAACCAACTCCCCTGGATCCGCTGCTGTGGGTGGAGCCTCCGCAAGTGGAGTGGTCTGAGTCTGTTCTGAAACGGCTTGGTTCGGCTCCACGCTGGCAGTTTGTGAGGGAGGTGTAGGTGGGGCCTCGCCATCTGTACGTGTCTCTTCTGGAGCCGCAAGCGCAGTTGGGGGCACCTCGGTAGTGTCCAAGTCCCCAACCCTGCGCCTAAGCTGGTCTATGTGCCGTCGCCACAAGCGTCCGTCTTCGAGTGCCACCTGGTACGAGCGAGGTCCAGTGACTCCCACTACTGTGGCTGGCACCCAAGGGATGTCCCCCACATAGTTCCGGGCAAAGACCTGGTTTCCTGGGACAAATGACCGTGGTGCGTTGGCACAGCCTGGGGGTTCAGCCACGGCAAAGTCTGGGTGTAGCCGGTCGAGCGGTGACCTGAGGCGGCGGCCCATAAGCAGTTCAGCAGGACTCCTCCCTGTGGCCGCATGAGGGGTGATGTGTTGCACGAACAAGTATTCGGCGACCCGCTCATGCCAGTCTCCCCGGTCCAGGCGCGCCAGTGCCTCTTTTGTCGAGCGCACCATTCTTTCCGCTTGCCCGTTGCTGGATGGATGAAAAGGTGCCGTTAGGGCATGGCGGATGCCCAGTCCCAAAAGATACCGCTCAAACGTGCCTGACGTGAACTGCGGTCCGTTGTCAGAGACAAGGACATCAGGACACCCATGCGTTGCAAACAGGCCTCGCAGCACCCGGATGACAGCTTCGGTAGTGGTGGAGGGCATCAGGGCGACCTCCAGCCATTTGGAATAGGCGTCCACCACTACCATAAAGGTCCGGCCGTGAAAGGGGCCAGCCAGATCGATGTGCACCCTCGACCAGGGTGTCTTTGGCGTCTCCCAGGTGTGTCCCTTAGCTGCCGGTGGTGCAGGCCTCGACTCCTGGCACGCTTGACAGGCGGACACCCAGGCAGTGATGGCATCGTCCATATTAGGCCACCAGACGTAACACCGAGCCAACGCCTTCATTTTGACAATTCCCGGGTGGCCAACGTGCAGAGCCTCCAGGACGCGCTGACGGAGTCCCTGGGGAATCACGACGCGGTCTCCCCAAAGCAGGCAGCCACGATGAGCTGAGAGTTCATGTTGTCTGGTTGCGAAGGGCTGGAACTCCGATGCAAAAGGCCCTTGTGGCCACCCCCTCCACACCCAGTTGAGCACCCGGCTGATGGTGCGATCCTGGGCAGATGCGGAGGCCACAGTGGCAGCCGATACAGGCGCTGCCGGAAGATCCTCAATCAGAAGGAGCGATGAAGCTGGAGCCGGGTCTTCCACAAATGCTGGAAGAGGGCAACGGCTGAGGGCGTCGGCATGGCCCATCGATTTCCCCGGGCGATGGATGAGCCGGTAGTGGTAGGCAGCCAGGAAAACAGTCCATCGCAGCATGCGTGGTGAGAGGACCGGTGGAGTTGGACGATCACCGGCGAGGAGGCCCAGGAGTGGCTTGTGGTCAGTGATGAGGTCAAAAGTCCTGCCATAGAGGTATTCATGGAACCTCTTCACTCCAGCCACAAGTGCCAATGCCTCCTTGTCGAGCTGGCTGTAATTCCGTTCCGTCGGAGATAGTGTCCTGGAAAAGTAGGCGAGCGGTGCTTCTCTTCCATCTGGAAAACGGTGACTAAGGACAGCACCGATGCCAAAAGGTGAGGCGTCGCAGGCAAGGACCAGCGGCCTGGATTCACTGTACTGTACCAGCACACTGTCTGAAGAAAGGAGAGCCTTGACCGCGTTGAAAGCCGCCGTCTCCCGATGACCCCAGGCCCAAGGCGTCTTAGTGCTAAGGAGTCGGTGAAGAGGCTCAGCCACTGTGGCTTTGTGGGGCAGGAACATGTTATAAAAGTTCAGCAGCCCCAGGAATGCCTGCAACTCCGTTTTGTTCTTTGGGGTGGGGGCCTGCTGGATAGCGCGGATCTTGGATGTGGTTGGATGAAGACCGGAGGCATCGATAAGATAGCCCAGGAACTCTACCTGTGGAACGGCGATCTGGCACTTCTCCCTCTTTACCTTGAGCCCGGCCTCCTGGAACCTGGTCAGCACGGCACGGAGGCGCTCGAACAGCTGCTGGTGTGAGTCTGCAGACACCAAGACGTCATCAAAATATGGTACCACGCCCGGAAGCCCTTGCAGGAGACGCTCCATAAGGCTTTGGAAGATGCCAGGAGCCACACTCACCCCGAACTGCAACCGGCGGCAACGGAAAGCCCCCCGGTGGGTGACGATCGTCTGGGCTTCAGCAGTGGCATCATCGACTGGCAGTTGTTGATAGGCTTGGGCAAGGTCCAGCTTAGCGAAGACCTTACCCTCACCCAGGGAATGCAGCAGGTGTTGGACAACAGGAACCGGATAAGCGTGCTGCTGAAGTGCCTTGTTGATCGTGCACTTGTAGTCAGCGCAGATTCTCACCGACCCATCTGGCTTGACAGGCGTGACGATGGGGGTTTCCCACTTTGCGTGGTCAACCGGCTCCAAAACTCCTTGGGCGATCAGTTTGTCCAGTTGTTCATCCACCTTAGCCTTGAGAGCAAAGGGAACCCGGCGTGGCTTTAGCTTGATGGGGGCGACTTGTGGATCAAGGCTAAAGGAGATGGGCGTACCTGTATATTGGCCCAAGGTGCCGTCAAAAACCTCGGCAAAGTCTTTGACCAGACCCTCAGTCTCTGCGTTAGAGATGCAGTTGATGCCGGTGACTTCCAGGCCGAGGGCATCAAACCAGTCTAGCCCTAGGAGGCTTGGCCGCTGACCTTCGACCACCACCAACCGGAGCAGGCCCGAAAAATCCTTGAAGGCGATCCGGAACCGGCCAACGCCTACCACGGGAATGTCGTTTCCCTGGTAGTCTCTCAGGTGTACGCGGTGAGAGTCGAGTTGCCTTTTGGACACTCTGGGTACCAGTCTTTTGATGGTGCTCCATGACACGATGGACAGGGCAGACCCGGTGTCGATCTCCATGTCACATGGAGCTCCTTCAATGAGCACCGTGACGTTCAGCTTGCGTCGCGTAGGCGAGTCGGTTTGGCCAATCGTGGTTCCAGACGGGCAGCGGCAGTTGGTGAGAGCGAAACAACTTTCCTTGGCAGACTGGAGTGAAGACTTGGACTTGCGAGTCGATGAAGGGGGTGTCAGACGGAGCCGATCGGCAGACCTTAGCGATGTGGCCCCTTCTGGAACACTTCCTACAGATGGCGTCTCTGAATCGACACTTGGCACGGGAATGGTTGCCTCCGCAGCCAGCACATTCCGGTTGGCCCTTGGACTTCTGTTGGAACTTCCTGCGCTCCCGCTTTGTCTGGTGCACGTCATCGTCTTCACTGGAGGATGCCTCCTCACTGCTGGCCTTTTCATGATGCACCGGAACTGGCTCCCTAGCAAGACGCGGGCTGCTGGACTTGCGGATCTCCTGGGCGGAGCGTTCAGCAGCTTCTGAGGCCACAGCCTCCTCAATGGCTTTCTGTAGCATGAGGTCTGGCTTGGCTAGGAGGCGCCGTTGCAGATGGATGTCCCGGACCCCGCAGACGATTCGATCCATCAGGGCATCGTCTAAGTCTCGGAACTCACAGTGCATTGCAGCCTGTCGCAGGGCGGTGGTGTAGTTGTTGATTGACTCCCCCTCTGCCTGGTTCCGGTGGTAGAACGCATGGCGGGCAGCAATCTTGGACGGCTTTGGTGCGTAGTGGTTGCGGAGCTTCTCTTGGATCGTGTCCCATGGTGTTGCCTGGACTGCTTCAGGCGCAACCAACGCTCGGGCCGTCTCAAACACCTCAGGCCCACAGAGGCTGAGGAATAGGCCCCGCTTCCGCTCCTGTGATACTTCTGTCAGCTCGTTGGCTTGGAGGTAGCAGTCGAACCGAGCGAGGTAGGAGTCCCATGATTCAGAGGCTGGCGCAAACGGCGGTAGAGGCACAAGTGAAGCCATGATTCCGATGCCGGCGTTGAAGGGCGATGGATGGAACACAGTGCTCTAGCCAGAACAGTCAGCTCTGAATTGGTTCTGCCCAGTGATTTCGCTCAGTGATTTCGCTCTGTGATTCAGCTCAGTGATTCAGCTCAGTTCAGAGGCTGGCCGCATCTGGCTGTGCTCTGATGTCCATCAATCCCATCCTCGTCGCCAGTGTTAGGTGGTGGGTTGACATAGCAGCCGGCACAGCGATTTCTTCAAGTAGCTCTTTATTATGGTAAGCTGGAATAGAACTAACTGCGAACAGCTCAGCCGGCCTGTATTTATAGGCAGCCGGCTGTCAACATTGTAACCACAACAGCCCAGAGTTCCCGCCTAAAATAACTGCCGCGGACCTGAGTGAAAACTATCTACAGACCTGAGTGAAAACTATATACAGTATCCCCCTGTTGGCCCAGGGTGAAACTACACTACATAACAACAGGGAACCAGGCCTTCTCTGTAGTGGCGCCCACCCTGTGAAACACCCTCCCTTCAGATGTGAAGGAAATAAGCAGCTATCCTATGTTTAAAAGACATCTGAAGGCAGCCCTGTTTAGGGAAGTTTTTAATATTTAATGCTGTACTGTTTTTAACACTTGATTGGAAGCTGCCCAGAGTGGCTGGGGAAACTCAGCCAGATGGGTGGGGTATAAATAATAAATTATTTTTATTATTATATAATGATCTTCCTCTGCTTCACTTCAGATAATTCAGTGGGGCCTCTTCTCAGTTCATTCTCTTCTGGATCAGTGCCTTAATCCTTTGTAGATTCTGTATATCACAGAATAACCATTGAGATGTCCCCAGATGTTGTTGTCCAGTTCCCATCAGCTTCAGCCAGCAGGGCAGACAGTCAAGGATGATAGAAACTCTAATCTGGACCTCACCACCTGGACTCTGCTGCCCTATATCCTTCCCATTGAAACAACCGTGAAAATAAATTTTGGACGCTATAGATTTATCCTGGTCTGGTGCATGCAATGTCTTTTGTTTTGCAGCTGTGTGATTTGTGCTCATATTGTATTGTGGTGGCCATTGGCTATAAACAATAAAATGTATAGATACGGTAGATTGAACTGCAAAAATAAGTAATAAAATAATAAAATGATTTTATTTTTTTGGTCCTCACTCCAAAATGGTGTGTGTGTTTTTGGTTATATTGGGGTGGGGGTGGGGGTGGAGAAGTATGAAGGCCAAAACCGTTCCCCTCCTCTGCTAAATGGATGCAGGAGACCAGAGGCAGCGAATGAAAAAGCAGGGAAAGAGAAACCCTCCAAATGCCACTATTTCCCAGGGATGTCCCTGATTTAGAGAAGCTGTCCTGGTTTCTGATTTGATCCCAGAATATTCCGCTTTTCCTTAGGGTCTCCCTATTTTCATTGAAGAAATGCTGGAGGGAATGGAGTTATCCAACCCCCGGGCCCTCTGAGAAGACAATCCTGTATAGGAAAGTTTTTTAATGTTTAATGTTTTATTATGTTTTTTATATATGTTGGAAACTTCCCAGAGTGGCTGGGGCAGCGTAATAAGATGTGCGGTGTATAAATAGGAAAATTATATTTATGGAAAGGGATGTTCCTATTTTCATCAGAAAAATGTTGGAGGGTTTGGAAAGGTCGGTTGCTGGAGCTAAGTGATTGCATGATCCCAACCAGCAGAGCTGGGAACTGGACTGCCTCCTCCAGCTACCCATTCGGGCTGCAGGCATAGCTGTCAACCTTCCCTTTTTTCTTTTTCTTTTGTGGAAATTCCCTTATTCCAGTGCAATTTCCCACTGCTATCCCGGATTGTTAGATATCCTGTAGACTGTCCCCGGGACAGGTGAGGCTGCTGATCCCTTATTTTCAAATCTGAAAATTGACAGCTATGGCTGCAAGGTGGCATCGTCCCAGCTTTCTGAAAATATTTAGTGATGAGGAAACCAGTGACTGCACATCGGATCACAAGGAGACTTATTTGTGCAACATTCTGGATATCCGAGAAGATGCCAGGTAGATTCCAATGATACAATAAATTTTGAGGGACAGCGCAAGGGGGCGCATCCAGCCTCGCAGCCTCCCAGGGCCCAACCCACAGCCAGCGAGCTCCGATGCTCAGAGAGGCAGGAAACGGGGCCAGCCAGGGGGACTCGAGAGCGGCTGCACTTTCCTGTCCCCCGCCGAGGAGAGCGGAGGAGCAGCGGCCCCGTGGCCTGGCGAGTTTCCCCGGAGAGGAGCCGGATTCCGGTGCAGGGACGGAGCGAGGAGTCCGAGGTGCAGGAGGCGGGAGGGGGAGGAGAGCACGTGCGCCTCGCCTGGCAGGATCAGGCCCCGAGTGGAGTCAGAGGCTGCAGGGCGCCCCCCACCCGGGCAGGAAGGGGAAGGGGCGCAGCTGAGGGGCAGGGCATCTGCAGGAGGGCACAGGGGCAAACATCTCTGGCTCAGGCTGGCACGGACCCTGCCGGAGACCCTGGGGAGCTGCTCCCTTCAGTCCTGAGCTCAAGGGGCAGAATGAGGGGTCGAAGGCAGCTGCTGCTTCGCGGTGGACGATGCATATAGTCGCTCACGGATCAGCGGCGTACCTGGGGCTTTTGCCTCCCCTGTCCCTGTCCCTCAGCAGGGAGCCCCGTCCTCTTTCACGGTCCTCCCCACGGCGGAGAGGGAAGGGGAGGCAGGGGGGAAATGGAAGAGCAGTGCAGCACGGGGGGGGGGGCTCTTACTGTGCAGCCCCCTGACACCCTTTGCAGGCCACTACTCCTGCACCCCTTCCTCTGCCAGTACCATTGATGAACCTATCGCCCTCCTTCATGAATTGGTCGCCTTCTAAAGCACTCTTAGCCGCCACCACCATCACTGCATCTTGTGGCAATGATGTGCATCAGATTCATTTAGCAAGGAAATGGTTTCTTTTGCCTGCCCCAAATCAAGGTACACTGTGCCTACACATGGAGGCTCTGTTGTTCTGTCACGGCTAATAAAACGGCTAATAGATCTTTTCCCCGGAGAACGCATCTGATCTTTTCCCAAGCTGTCAAAGCTAGTGACCTCTTGTGTCTGCGTGTAAATCAGTGAGACAGGCTTAAGCCTGGTTTCATTAATTGTTTTATTTCCACCTTCCTCAGTAAGGCAGCAGGGTTGAAGTGGGTGACAGTTTTGAGAATGCAGAGGAAAGGAGGATTCTTAAGAAGTGTGGCATATGGAAATGAATTAATGATAATAAAAACGTTGAAGACAGTATTGTAAAAGACCGAGGAAGGCGAAATTGAAATTAGCTATTCATTTTCAGATTATTACTCATTTCATTTCTATACTGCTTCATATTTTTAAGGGAAAAAATCTCAAAGCAATTAAAGGGAAATCTCATTGCAGTTTGTGTCCATAGGATATTGAGAACATTGTAGATCCAGGAGTTCTCTCCTCCTGATAGTCTCAGATTTGATTGTTCTTTCTGATAGAGCAGGAGGAACGAAACGTTTATGGGCTTAAAGCTGCATTGATTCTGGAGGTCACATTCCAGTGAGCTTTGTGGCCAATGTATGCATACCATAAAGTCACATGCACACACGCCAGAGGTGCTGCACACACTCACCAGACATGCCATCTAGCATACATACAAGTCTTGCAAACACAATCAGCATGTTTAGACCTTCCAACCCCAGTGCTGGGGTGGAGGAGAAATAAGAGCACAAGAAGACCCTGCTGAATTAGCAATGAGATCTGTGGAAAAAAGACCCTTCTGATTGGTCTTTATAAATCCGCTTTTAAGAGCAGCCAGAGGGATCATTTATTTCCAGAGCAGGGCTTTTACCCCATTTCAGCACTGTGCTAGTTTGTGGTGAAATTGGAGTTGAAAAGATCTCTCTAAGGGCCCCTTAGGCATCTTTCTCTCCAGGACAGACAGATCTTCATCCTATGATCAGATCAGGAGATGGAAACGGCAGGGACTAGCAGGACACACCCTGAGGCTTGGCAAGCCATATGCAGCCAATGGACTGCAAGTTAGAGTGTCTTCAGTCAAGAGAGTTTGTGACCATCAAATTTAAAATATTTTGGAGTGAGTTCTTTGATTTTGTTGGTCAATATTCCTTTTGTCAGTTTCTTGGGCTGTGCAGATCCCATACATTTAAAGCACGTGGCTTCGCCCAGAGAACCATGGGACCTGTAGTTTATTGCTACAGTTCTCAACACCCCTAACAAACCGCAGCTGGCAGGATTTCTTGGGTGAAGCCATGTACTTTAAATGTTAGCTGGGTCTGTTGCAGCCTTAATCATATACAAAGATCTGTTGCTGCCTTTCCAACATGCTAGAAGTTGCAGCCAGGATCAGCATTCCCTGTCCACTGAACATGCTCAGCCCTCTCACTGGGTTGTTTTTGGATTTCCCTCCCTCTGCCTTGGTTCCCCCCCCCCAAAAATATTATTTGTACTTCCATAAACCTTGATGTTTCCCCCAGTCTTTGGATAACTTCCCCTTCTCCCTGGGAGGAGCCGTTTGGGTGACATAATGATTGTCATTCACAGCCTGAACATCAGAAATAGAAAGAGTAATAATATATTTCAAAAATTGGCAAATGGTTAAAAAATGTGCTTTTGTTTTTATTCTTGAGTTTTATTTTACTTTGTGTTTATTTCTTTTCCAGCAGGGTGGCGTAAAAATGGAAGAGCAGGGACCCAGGAGACCCATTCAAAGGGAGAGACTGGAGTGCAAAGGAAAGAAACCTCCTGCCGGCCAAGTTGGGACCATCAGGGATCTTCTGCCTCGGGCAGATTTATGTCAGATTAAGCAGGAGCAAGAGGAGGGGCAGCCGCAGCAGCACTGGGAGGCCCAGAAGCAGGATTTCCTGAAGACGATGCAGCCCCCTCGTTCAGGGTGGGAAACCCCACAGGCTCCCAGTCCTCCCCAATCTGGGGATGGTGTCCTCTCCTTCAGGGGAGCTGCGGATGCCAGTCGGTGGCCCAGTGGGAGAGCAGGGGGGACAGACCAGACCCTGCTCCCAGACACTGAGGGGCTTCTGGGAAAGGTAAGTGCCCTCCTCTCACCTGGGTTTCCAGCACCTGGAGGTCACAGGTCCACTGCCTCTAGACATGGAGGTTCAAAAAAATCAAATCAAATTTTATTAAACGGTCACAGACCAGATTAACTCGTACAGCTAGTCAGCGAAGCATAACACCGGAAAAAACAAAGGACAATTTCGATACATAACTGCAATTTAAAATTAGGCAGCATAAATAAAATTAAGTATTTGCCTTCGCCTGCATATTGACATTGGAAAGCTCTTGTTTCCTGCGCCTAATAGCGGCTACACAAAATTTGGCCACATTGATCGTAATTTCAGGAACCTTATCTTCTACCAAGGCTCTCATACGTTGGAGTTCTGGTTCATTTTTAAGCTTTTGTAGAATTGGGGCAATAAAGGTCAAACGTAGATCCTCGTAGTAACTACAGTGCAGCAATACATGCAGACTTGTTTCCACTTCCGATGAGCCACATGGGCAAACACGTGACTCATATGGTTTGCCCTCATATCTGCCTAGCAGCAGGGCAGAGGGCAGAACGTTAAATCTGGCCAGGGTAAAGGAGTGTCTGTACTTAGGTATTTGTAAATCAGCCAAATAATTTGCGGGTGAGAACCCTCTCCCAAAGTCTCTAATTATGGCATGTTTATCCATTTTGCCCATATGACATTGCAGCTCTATGTCCCTAATGCGTTGGAGCACTTGACTTCTGGCTCTCTCATATCCTGCCGCTATCAGTATCTGCTGGGAGAATCCCATGCTTCTTATCTTTTCAAAGTTTGAAGATTTCCATGTTTAATGATAGGTGTCTAAGAGTGTTAAAGGAGCCAAACCGCCAGGAAAAAATAAGTTTTAACCAGTAGTGTATCTTTAGAATCCACAGCCGCGCATTAACGGGTGGTTGTCCAACTTCTAAGCGGACAGCTATATTAGATACACAGGGGGGGACCCCAATAAACACCGATAGAATTTTGTTTGAAATGCCTCCATAGGCGCAAAATTTTTAAAACTGCAAACCTGGGATCCATAAGTGAGTTGTGGGAGTATTTTTGCAGCAAAAACCTGGGAGGCCGCCGGAACGTATTTACCCCCTTTCCCGTGAAAAAATCTTGTAAGGGCTTTATTGGCCCTTCCTGCGTTGGCAATGGCGTTTTTCATCTGTTGGTGCCACGAGACCCTTTCCTGAAAAGTTATTCCCAGGTATTTGAAAGTTGCTACCTGGTCAATAGGTTGACCATTAATTCTCCATTTGTGTTTCCTTCTTTTTTTTGAAAACACCATAATTTTAGATTTGCTGTAATTTATTGATAGTTGTTCCGCTTGACAATAGTCAGCAAGTGATCTCAAAAGCTTCCTCAGGCCAACGCAGGAAAAGGAGAGTAGGACTGCGTCGTCCGCATACAGAAGCACCGGGATGGGAATACCTGCCAGTTTGGGAGGGTGGGCATTTTCTTTCGCCATATTTACTGCTAGAGAGTTGATATAGAAATTAAATAGCGTTGGCGCGAGGACACATCCTTGTTTAACCCCATAGTGTGTTTGAATTTCTTTAGTTAGATGGCCTGACCGATCGCATCTTACCCTCACCCTGGTGTTTTCGTATAGACCACGGATAAGGCATAATAAGCGTTTATCTATGTTTGTAGCGCCAAGCTTTTCCCAGAGTCTATCCCTTGGTATTAGATCAAACGCCGATTTAAAATCCACGAATGCTGCATATAAAGACCCCCCTTTTCTAGAGTATTTTTCTGCCAGGTGTTGAAGGGTAAGGGCCTGGTCTATAGTTGAACGCTTTGCTCTAAAACCAGCTTGAGCTTCTGATAGAATATGCTCTCTTTCCATCCACTCCACTAATTTATCACATAAATGAGCAGCATACAGTTTGCTAATAATACTTAATAGACTGATTGGTCTATAGTTAGCTGGCTCAGTTCTGTTTCCTTTCTTAAATATTGGAATGATGATGGCTAAACCCCAGTCCTCGGGGATAATAGCCGCTTGATTTATACTAGTGAACAAGGCGGCTAGCACAGGGGCCCACCATTCGACATTTGCCTTAAGAATTTCTGGTGGGATATTGTCAGCACCCGGGGCTTTCCCTGATTTAAGAGCTTGAATACGGCCAGTAATTTCTTCTGTGGTTACAGGGGGCCATTCCTTACCAAATTCACTTGAAGCAGGAAGCAGAACTGGGGCCAGTTGATTTGATGAATATAATGAGAGGAAATAAGCCTCCCATGCTCCAGCGGGTATAGAGTATTCGATTTCAGTCGGGGAGTCTCTCCAGCTTTTTGCAATTATTTTCCAAAACGTGGCAGAATCTTTCCTTTGGGAGGCCTCCACTAGGCACTGCCATTCCTCCCTTTGTGCCTGGAGCTTTTTCTTGCTAATCAAAGCTTTATAACTGCGTTTTGACTCAAACCAGTCTAATGGAAGCGAAGGTAAGTTCGCTGTTCTATAGTTCCTGTACTTATCCAGCAGGAGGCGTTTCATAGCCATGCATTCTTGGTCAAACCAAGGTTTGGATTTATTAAAGTGTAGAGATCGCCGTGGCGTTTTTTTGTTGGTCAGATAAGGTTGTAGCGACGAAATCAGTTCCCGGAACATGTCTAATCTAGCCTCAGGAGTTGGGGAATTAACGAGGTTCTCCTTTCTAGCAAGAAAAATATCTGAGTGAAGTCTTTCCGATATTTCATCACTCAATTTGCTGGACCATTTAATACGTGAGTATCTTAGCTCCATGTTTTCGAAGCATGGGGCTACAAGTTTATCAGAGCAAAATAAATCTTTTCTTACATCCAGTAATAAACAGAGCGGTAGATGGTCGCTATCAACCCTCTCCACCACTTTACATTCCCGTGCTCTGCTCAAAAGGTTAGATGACACCAGGACGTAATCGATAGTGGAGGCTCCCATGTTGGATATAAATGTAAATTCCCCACTGGGTTCTCTGTCGACACGACCATTTAATACAGTCAAATCCAGATTGTTGGAAAAACGTAGAAGGCATAGGCCTGCGTAATTGCAGCCCTTGTCTTTTGAGAGCCTTGGGGGAATAGAATGGGCTTCTTCAGAAATGGGAGGTACGTCGTGAAAATGAGCGTATAACGCTCGTCTGATTGGCCAATTCTGGCATTTAAATCCCCAGCCAGCAGCACTGCCGCAGCAGGAGTTTGATTCATTAGCTCATCGACATAAGATTCTATCCTATGCCAGAGATTTTTGATAAGCTGCTTGCCTCTTTGGGGAGGGGCATATATATTAATCAATAGAAGTGTGCAATATCTGCATTTCATTAATAATGCCATGGCCACACTGCTCAGAGGCTCCAGCTCGACGAAAGATGCTCTCAGCCTTGTGGATATTAGAATGCCTAGCCCACCCTTAACTCGTCCCCCTTTGTTGCTTGGTGAACCTGCGAGCGAAAATGAGGCAAAACCATTTACATCTAAATCCCCTGTTAGCCATGTCTCTTGCAAGAAGACTATATCATGATCTTGGATAAAATTGACAAATGATTGGTCAGTCGCCTTGTTGAGCCAACCAGCAATGTTCCATGATAGAAATTTAAGATTGGCTTTATCACAATCGAATCTTTGTCAATTATTAGCTAACGTACTTTTAGGGTTTGTCGCTTTATGTATCGGACGCCTATCGTCTTTGTATGGTGGGCTATCCAGCCGCTCTATGATTTCAATAGGTGGATGCAAAGTGCTCACGTTTGTGAACACCAGATCTTTATTATGCATAAGTTCCTTCTGTGGATAGTCTGTTTTGGCCTGATTTTGGCCCAATTCTGTTTCGTCTAGGTATCTCATTTTGTCCCATACGTCTTGTGGGGTCACCTTGGGGATATTTCTCCTTCGGGGGGGTGATGGAGTACTCTCCTTGAAGGGTGGCACATTCTCTCTTGGTGGAAAGTTAATCTCCGCTTTGATCTGAAGGTTACGTGTTGTGGACTTTTTTGGGTCCCCCTTGATAACCTCGTTGCCTGAAGCTCTCTCGGCCAGCTTATCTCTTAGCTTATCTAGTCTTCCCAAGATGTCAGTTTGTATTAATGCTGGGAACATCCAGAATTGGTCAATTAGGATATTTTCTTCCATAGTAAAGAAATCCTCACCTTTGCTTGCAAGGCATTGCGGGTTCTGTTTGTCAGGCCAGAATTTTGAGAGTTGTTTCCCCTTTCTAAGATTTGCCTGCTTAGTTTTCAAAAGGGGGCTCAAAGGAGCCTTATTTTCAAAGAGCCTAAGTATTGTTGTCCGTGCTTTTAAAAAGGCAGGTCTTGACCTAAAAATATACTTGGTCAGGTTCTGATCCCTAAAAGTGGTCAGTGCTCTCACTGAGTGACCATCATAATGTAAATATTCCACCGAGGTGATATCATTAGCATTAATCATTCCTGGCAGTATGTCATTTAGACTAGATACAAAATTCATTATTCGCTGTTTCCCTGTAAGGAAGCCCTTAGGCTTTGGGAAGTTCGTGAATACCAGTTTTTGGGGATTTAGGATCAAATTCCAATCTCTTTCCTGACTGGAGGCTTGCCAGGTCTGAAGGGGGGTATCATCTCTACTAAACGCTTCCTCTTCCCCGCTGTTCGATTTGCTAAGTGTTTTATTGCCTTCATAGGAAGAGGCCTCTACTTCCGCAGCATCAGGTTTATTAAAAAGTTGGTTATCCAAGGACTGAGTTGTTACTTCTGCCTTCTCACTTGCTACTGGAGTCAGCCTTGGCGAGTTCTCCTTAGCCGGTTGCTGTGTTGTTTCTCTCTTTTTACCCTTCTTTTTGCTGCCCCGTGTGGTCAATTTATTTGGGGCTGAGGGAAGAAGTTTAAACAATTTCTGCCAATGTATGTTTCGATTACTGCGGGTATACTTGGCTTTCCTTGTTGTTTTAATATTTTTACTTTTCTTCACTTTTACCCTTGAGTTATGTCTTTGTAGATTCTTATTTATTACTGGTTTGTTCGTCGACGCTAGCTCAACTGTTTTATGTTCTTGTGGCATATCATTTAATTCTAACTCTTTTAATTGAGATGTGAAATTTTCTACTAACGTCAGCAGTAGCCCGTTTGTTATTGTTAGATAATTTTTTATGTTGGCTAAATCAGAACTTATTGCTAGGGAATAATCCAAAGGGCGACCGTCACTCAATTCTGTTTGAGAGTATTTTGGAGTAGGTATCTGGTTTTGATGGGTTGATGTAATTTATTCCGTGGGCAGCTGTTCCTTAGTAATAGAGGTATTTCCCTCCTGAAGTTCCTCGGCTAAAGCTAGTTCTTGCGCTAGGCTGCATGGGGAGTTAATATTTCCAGTATCTTGGTATATCTCTTTAAAATTAGACGTCCAATCAAGAACAGTAAGAGAGGGGGGTATTACTTCATCAAGAATTAACTCTTTGTGTGGACTCTTACCCTCCTCCATCTTAGGAAAGTAATTTGTGATTTTGCTTTGTCTTTTACCAGGGCCCGAGGGGCTGATTGCCGAGTCAGGCAGTATACCCAACTCCTTGTATTTTCTTCTAGTAAAAACCATGGTAAAAGTGGTCTTGATATAGAGAGAGGGCAGTTTACCCCAGGTGCGACTGCCTTAGATTGGGGGGCAAGTGGGGGTATCAATCTATATTCTCACCTGCTCTCTGCAACAGCTTCCTGATGTGCTCATCAACAGCCTCAATATATTTCTCTATTTTGAGTTCTCTGCTATTAGATCTTGGCAATTGTCCTAAGCCTGTAGTTTTCACCTCAATCATGCGACCAGCGCTGTTTCACAAATGCTGCAACCTAGTCAGAATATAATAATAAAACAATGCTGCCAAAGAGACAGCAGTAATAAAACGGCTAAAAACTACATTAAAATTAAAATTGCCTTATTTAGGCAATTTATGTGCAGCTGGAAAAGGATAATAGTGGAGTTTGGCTATAGCGCATGTACAGCTATGATAACCTTGTATTTCGGGTCCTAGCTTAGTCTTTAGAGGCCTAGCTTAGTCTTTAGAGGCCATCTTCTACCGCCCTATACTGAACGAAGGATATCCAAGAGCCCCAGAAGGGAAACTTTCTGTGGGCTGGTTCGCTGATTCCTTCTAGGTAGTCTTTCAAAGGCCTACCACATAAGGCAGGGCACGGAACGATATCTTGCTGAAGCCAGTTTTCCAAACCTCCAGAGGGTCCTATCCGATACACTGTTGTGAAGTTATTGTGTAGATTAAAAACTTCCTGTAAAAAACTCAGGGTGCCTTCACCAGGAGTTTCTGAGAATATAAAAGCTGGTCTCCTCGAAAGAGTTTATTAAAATGAAGAGCCTTTCCAGCTACAGCACTTCCTCTTCAACTAAGTAGGAATGTTGTCCCCAGCTAGTTCACACAGCCCCCCAGCTGGGCGGGGGTCAGTCAGTTCAGTTAACCCCCGAATCTCCAAGCTTTATCTTTCTCTGTGTTCAGCAGAGCTGGGTGTCTATGGGCCAATCTCAAAGCAAAGCTCACAGTCGTATCTCTCCTTACCCTCCTTCTCCAGGCACCGTTGGTCAGGTAAGCAGTTCACAGTTCTGTCTTTAGACCTCTTCTGTCTCTCTGCTCTCAGTTCAGGCAGCAGCATTCTCTCCTCTCTGGCAACCTTGACCGGGCAGCTGATAAGGAGGAAGGGAGCAGGCTGGGACAAGCTGAAGCTCGCAGAGCCGACAGGAGTTATAAAAATGTTCAGAGTCTTTAAAATGTTTTCCGTTTGTTAAAAATTGGCATCCGGAGGGCAATTAAGATAAGGTTTTTTAAAAAATAAAAGTGAGCGCCGGAGAGCGTGACTTGCCTCGGCGCCATCTTGGTCCCATTCCTCTCATGGAGGTTCTGTTTAGCTTTGGTGGTGAATATTCCTCCTCCCTGCACTTTCTCTCTAATCCACTTCTAAAAGGCTTGCTAGACCAAACTTTCTTATACATGGGAGTTTTGTGATCATATCTCCTGATGTTGTTACTTTAGTAAAGCAACCACAGGGGACTCGGAATTTCATCAGAGCAGAAGCTACGTCAGAAGAGGTGATCTTCCACCAATCCTCATTTTCCTCCTCTAAATTGCCTTCATTTCCAAAATGCTCTTTTCTCCCCACTGAGGTAAATCTCTTGGTATGTCTTGCAGCCTCAGCAATCCCATGTGTACTTGCATTAAATAACACTGGCCTATTTTGCAAGGTTGTTGCAAGATTTATTAGGATAATGGTCAGGTTCAGGTGACTGAATCACAGCCTGAAAATCTGGGTTAAAAATAGGAACAGTTTTTAATGCATTGCTGCAGCAAAGTTACGATAAAACCTAAGTTGACTCAAGATTAAAACCAAAAACTCTAGCCACCACCGCAGTCTCCTGGCCCCCACAACCAGAATGCATCACTCCATAAAGGACCCCCACCCAACCTTTAGTGAGAGAGGGCAAAAGAAAAAGACTCTAAATGGGTAGTTGCACAAATTTACCAGGTGTGGTCCTGCACTGACAGCAAGGCTTACAAACAGGGGAGCTGGGAACGTGTTGGTCCCGTATCTCCCTGCATCTGCCTCCTGACCTAATTGTCCCACCTTACCTCATGATTGGGCCGGCCCTGATTTGGAACTGTGATGAAACCAGGCAATATCTTATGAGCCATAGGTAACAAACCTTCCATTTTGCCCAAACCAGGAAACTGCAGCTGGCAGCTTTGGAATAAGCTGGGATATTAAGCTAACTTCAAACTTTGCTTGGTCAAAACAGGAAACTCTGGTTGATCAGTGGCTTCGTGGTTTGACTGTTCCCACTGATAGCAGTAAAAATAGGAAGCCCTGTTGCATTCAAAGGGGTTGTTTGGACAGAGTCTGTGATCAGCATGCCAATCAGGACAGGCTTAAAAAGGTAAAGGACCCCTGACCATTAGGTCCAGTCGTGGCCGACTCTGGGGTTGCGGAGCTCATCTCGCTTTACTGGCCGAGGGAGCCGTCGTACACTTTTCGGGTCATGTTGCCAGCATGACTAAGCCGCTTCTTGCGAACCAGAGCAGTGCACGGGAACGCTGCTTACCTTTCTGTCAAAGCGCTACCTATTTATCTACTTGCACTTTGATGTGCTTTCGAACTGCTTGGTTGGCAGGAGCAGGGACCGAGCAACGGGAGCTCACCCTGTCGCGGGGATTCGAACCGCCAACCTTCTGATCGGCAAGTCCTAGGCTCTGTGGTTTAACCCACAGTGCCACCCACGTCCCAGGATAGGCTTAGGAAGCAATTATTATTATTATTATTATTATTATTATTATTTTCATCCTGCCTATCTGACTGGGTTACCTCTGCCCATCTGGGTAGCTTCCAACAATACAAAAACAAGCAAAACTTTCCCTGTAAAAGGCTGCCTTCGGAAGTCTTCCATTTCGTAGAAATGGCCTTCGGTTTTAAAGAATTGCCCTCTTTAAGGAATCACTTGGTGTAAACATGTATGTTGTCCTCTAGGTCCAAACACACACAGACACACACATGGTAGGAGCAAGCAGTGCTCCAAAGTGCTTATCTTGCGAACTTGCCGTCTAAGTTGTTTACTCCTGACCAAAGTTCCTGTTTCCCAAAAGGACAGGAGGGGGAGCAGAGGAGGAAACGGATGGGTTTGAAGGCTCTTTCTGCCTCTCTCCCCTGAGAAACAAGAGCAAAGGGTGTTTGCAGGCCAGGAGGACAGAGGAAGAGGCAGCGAGGGCAGAGGGAGCAGTGGGCGGATCCCCCGCCTCTCCCAAGGGGTCCAGATGCAAGCAAGGGGCTTCCTTCTTCTCCCTGCAAGGGCCACCCATGTATTCAGAGCAGTCCTTTGCAGATTAACTTTTAAGTTCCCAAGAATCTACTCTCAGGCCACTAATGTGCATACCATGCCAGCCTTAGGAAGGGAGGTGGGACAGGCAGGTGAAAAGAATTGCCAAAGGTGTTTGAAAATGCACCTTGGGAAGTGGGTGCCCTTGGGAAGGGGGTGCCCAATTGCGGCTTCTCCAGGGGTAGTAGAATGTCTTGGGCAGGAGAATCGCTGCAGGGGCTCTCAGACTCCCTTGGCTTCTTCTTCCCTTCCTCCCAGGAAGCTGCAACTTGCTCTGGATTCTGCACTCCTCAGGAAGCTGAACCTGCAAACCTAGCTGAGACTGAACCTGCAACCCTGGCCAGGATGGAAGGAGGAAGATGGACGGTTGACCTGGTCAGGCTCTCTCCCGCATCCCTCCCCACAACCTCTGAGCATTCCCTCCCAGGACCCTTGGAGAAATCTGGTGAGTTCCAGGGGAGAGGAGATGGGGACAGGGACAGATGGATGGTGGAGGGAGAAAGAGGAAAAGATGGAGAGGAGACAAATGGAAGGAAGTTCCTGACAGGAAGAAGGAAGAGGTGAAGCCTTCTGCAAAGCAGCTCTTTGTTTCTTGAATCCTTTTCCTAAAGTAGTGGGGTCAGATTTTCTTCCTCCAGGCTTTGAAATCTTAGGTGTTATTTCCATGGCAGGAATAATTGATGATAATGATGTTGCACACCAATCCTGAAAAATGGGTGAAGGGGAATGGAAATGCTTCCCATAATTATTTATAATTAATGTATTTAAATTGTTTCTATTACTCTTATTTTTTATAGACAGGGTCAGAATGATACATTCCACCAGCATCAAAACACAATAAATGCATGCACCTTCCCAGTTTGGTGGGCTTAAGGGACAAAGGACCAGTTATCATGATACACAATTCCTGTGGCTGGAGGCTGTACACATAGGATTGGGCATATAAAGTCCAAGAGCAGGTGGTATTATAAGCAAACTGTGTAAACTTGCCAATCTCACAGACTGGGGTTGTTTGTGTGAGTGAGTGAGTGAGTGAGTGAGTGGGATAATAATTTTAGCACCCCTGTGTAATGGCTTGGTTCTCCCGCACAGACATGAGACAACTCCAGTAGTAATTATCTCAAACTCATAAATCACTGTGGAGCTCAGTCTTCGGCCTGTTCATCCCAGCTTGCAGTTGCCGAGTCCTCCAGCAAAGAAGGCCCCGCTTTCACTTTCTTTTCCCCTCTTCTTGCAGATTCTCTAGAGCCTACGATTTTTTGGACAGGCTATTTCGGGGGCTCTGTGTCAGAGCTCAAACTGGAGATAACAGTCTGTGCCCCCCCCCGTCACCCCCTCTTCCTGCTCTTTGTTCTTTGCTCCTGCTGCAGCTTGGCTGCTCCTCCTCTGCTTCACATTCCAACTGAATCACATCTCTTGCCTTCTCAGGCTCTGTCAGCGGAGGCACGAGAGGCTTGAGATTCACAGAGCTGACACCCTGTAATTTTGTCCGTTCCTAAGCTTCCATGGAGATACTGTGGTACAACCTTGGTGCAAATTTCAAAATAAATATACAAAGCCAACAAAGAGACTCAGAAGTTTATAGTGGCACCAGCTTTCCTGCTCAAAATTCCACTTTGTGAGACTGCAGCCCACAAAAGCTTAGGCCATAATACATTTATCAGCCTTTAAGGGCTGCAAAAGATGAATAAGCAGAAGCGTAGTTCATCTATGGAATCTATCCTACAGGAGACAGTGACGGCCAGCAACATGGATAGCTTGAAAAAAAGGATAAGACTGACGTCTCTGCTCTGCCCTCGCAATCCTAGGCAATAACGCTTCTTAATACTAGTTTCTGGAAAGCACAGGAAGTCAGAGAAGACTCTTGTGCTCCAATCCTGCTTGCCGGTTTCCCACAGGCATCTGGTTGGCCTCTGTGAGAAGAGGATGCTGGACTAGGTGGGCCTTTGCCTGATCCAGCAGGCTCTTCTTAGGTTCCAATATATTGCAATATTTTTACAGTTACATGTAGCACTTAAGTTTTATTTATTTCACAAGGGAAATGCTGTTACTTGAGCCTGAGATCATTTCTTCACTTCAGAAAGAAAAAATAGATGTGTCTAATAAGCCAATTCCACCATAGATCTGGATTATAAAACGATGCTGCTTTATTAAGTGTGATTGGAGTGATCATGTGTTGCTCTTGCCACTATCTCATCAGCTTTTCAAAAAATATGGAACCTAGAGAGGACAGTGGAGAATGGAGACTGTGTGAAAATGAGAGAAGGTGCAGATTGGGATTGACAGGTGTTCAGTTCCTTTTTTGTCTTTCTTGAAAGTCTAACAGGATTCTCTTTCCTCCCAGACTCCCAAACAGGTGAGGAAGATGAAAGTCAGAATTCTATGAAGCCACAGGTGAATTTATGGGGGAAAACAAAGACACTGAGGATACAACAAAAAAGTCAAAAAGGAGAGAAACTATTTGAATGTATGGCATGTGGAAAGAGCTTCAGTGAAAGTGGAAAACTTAGAATACACCAACGAACTCACACAGGGGAGAAACCTTTTAAATGTACTGTATGTGGAAAGAGCTTCAGTGATAGTGGATCACTTAGAATACACCAACGAACTCACACAGGGGAAAAACCATATAAATGTATTGAATGTGGAAAGAGCTACAGTCAAAATGGATACCTTAGAATACATCAACGAATTCACACGGGGGAGAAACCATTTAAATGTATTGAATGTGGAAAGAGTTTCAGCAAAAGTGGAGTACTTAGAGTACACCAACAAACTCACACAGGGGAGAAAACATATAAATGTATTGAATGTGGAAAGAGCTACAGTGAAAATGGATACCTTAGAATACACCAACGAACTCACACAGGGGAGAAACCATTTGAATGTTTTGAGTGTGGAAAGAGCTTCAGTACAAGTGGAGACCTTAGAATACACCAACGAACTCACACAGGGGAGAAACCATTTAAATGTATTGAATGTGGAAAGAGTTTTAGCATGAGCGGAGCACTTAGAGTACACCAACGAACTCACACAGGGGAGAAACCATTTAGATGTATTGAATGTGGAAAGAGCTTCAGTACAAGCAGAGCACTTAGAATACACCAACGAACTCACACAGGGGAGAAACCATTTGAATGTTTTGAGTGTGGAAAGAGCTTCAGTACAAGTGGAGACCTTAGAATACACCAACGAACTCACACAGGGGAGAAACCATTTAAATGTATTGAATGTGGAAAGAGTTTTAGCATAACCGGAGCACTTAGAGTACACCAACGAACTCACACAGGGGAGAAACCATTTAGATGTTTTGAATGTGGAAAGAGTTTTAGCATAAGCGGAGCACTTAGAGTACACCAACGAACTCACACAGGGGAGAAACCATTTAAATGTATTGAATGTGGAAATAGCTTCAGTACAAGTGGGAAACTTAGAATTCACCAACGAACTCATACAGGGGAGAAATCATTTAAATGTATTGAATGTGGAAAGAGTTTTAGCATAAGCGGAGCACTTAGAATACACCAAAGAACTCACACAGGGGAGAAACCGTTTCAGTGTATGGAATGTGGAAAGAGCTTCAGTCAAAATTATACACTTAGAAGACACCAACGAACTCACACAGGGGAGAAACCATTTGAATGTTTTGAGTGTGGAAAGAGCTTCAGTACAAGTGGAGACCTTAGAATACACCAACAAATTCACACAGGGGAGAAACCATTTAAATGTATTGAATGTGGAAAGAGCTTCAGTACAAGTTCGAAACTTAGAAGACACCAACGAAGTCACACGAGGGAGAAACCATTTCAATGTATGGAATGTGGAAAGAGCTTCAGTGAAAGTGGACATTTTAGAATACACCAACGAACTCACACAGGGGAAAAACCATTTAAATGTATTGAATGTGGAAAGAGCTTCATTGATAGTGGATCATTTAGAAGACACCAACGAACGCACACAGGGGAGAAACCATTTAAATGTATTGAATGTGGAAAGAGCTTCAGTACAAGTTCGAAACTTAGAAGACACCAACAAAGTCACACGAGCGAGAAACCATTTCAATGTATGGAATGTGGAAAGAGCTTCAGTGATAGGGGATCACTTAGAATACACCAACGAACTCACACAGGGGAAAAACCATTTAAATGTATTGAATGTGGAAAGAGCTACAGTCAAAGTGGAGCACTTAGAAGACATCAACGAACTCACACAGGGGAAAAATCACAGATACTTTAATAAACCGTATCGGTGTTCTTTACCTTTCCTTCTATGCTTCCTTGCAATACTGATAAAATCAAACCACACCAATGCTTTCAGCCCCAGAAGAGGAGCTCCCCTTGGTGTCAGGGGAGGGGTCCAAGGCAGCATCTGGAGCCCTGCCATTCCTTCTGTCCCTGGCCCCTTCCCCTCCTCTCTCTGCCATCCCAGAGCCACTCTTGACTCCACAGCAGGAGACTGGATCTGTCTGTGATGATGAGATGTCCTGGCTGGTTGAAGGACCACTTCCTGTTTCTTGCAGCTCCATCCTTTCTCATGCAAGGTGGAGTCATGAAGCAGGTGAAGGCTGAGCACACCTAAGGGTGGCGCAGCGGGTGGGTGGGATTCTGCTTAATCTTTCCCCGTCTTCTCCTTTTCTGGTTCCAAATCCCCACACAAAAAGGGGTAGTGTGAGGGCGCAATCAGTGTTATGGAGCTGCACTGAAAATCATTGCTTTGTGAGCGTAAGAGGCCCTTCTCAAAAAAACAAGCATCAAGAGAATTTAAGCTACAGAATTTAAAACAAACAGATAATTACTAAAAAAGAAAGCAGTCTGGTGCCACATTGCGTAGGAGTTACTTTAACACACTCTTCCTGGGGCTGCCTTTGAAAAGAGCTCAGAAACTTCAATGGCTCAAAGAGCTGCAGACACATTACTGACCAGGGCTGGCTATAGGCAGAATAGGACTCCCATATTAGAACAGCTCCATCTGCCTAATTGTCTGTTTCTGGGCACAATCAATGTTTCCACAAGAAGAGGAAGATAGATTTGGAGTGCCGCATTTTCAAAAAAGATGGACACACGACTGTTTCTTGGAGCTGAAAGGCATGCCCGTGTGCCTCATTTGTGGTGAGGCCCTCTCCGTCCTGAAGAAGGCCAACCTGCAGAGGCACCACAGGACGAAGCACATTCAGTACAAGGGAGTTCCACGGGCAGCTGCGCCAGGAGAAGGTCAAGGCGCTGAAAACGGACCTGTTGGGTAACCTGTGGCCCATCCAGATGATGTGATATTGCAACTCACGTCTTCTTTAGCCGTTGGCCATGCTGGCTGGGGCTCATGGGAGCTTGAGTCCAAGGATCGAGGTCACAAATGCCGGGGACAATTCAAATCCCTCCTCAGTCATGAAGCCGATTGGGCGACTTAAAGCTGGTCACCATCTTTATGTGAAACCTCCCTCGCAGGGTTGCTGTGTGCGTGAAAGCAATATATCTTGTGGTGGGCTTGATGAGGGGAGTGTGGAACAGAAATGTAATTCATGGGTAAGAGGACAGGAAATAGTTCTGAATCTGACTGAAAATAAAGGATTCTTTGTCTCCAAATTGCATATAGCAAGCACATGTGTTGTTGAACTCTAGCTGAAGTCTCAGCATCTGGTTCCTCAGCACTCTGCACTCTCTCTCTGGAAACCTCCGGCTGTCAGGTGACAGGAACCAGCCAATGCCTCCCAGTTCAGAAACAGTCTGCCAAGAGCTGAGATTGGAAGTGGACAACCAAGGAAACTTAGGGGAGCATTTTCATTTCCATGCTTATGAATATTGAATTGAATCAATTCATCTGATGTGTTCAAAATAGTAGAGAAAATTTATGGTTGACACCACCTTGGGATAGTTTTGACAGGAATTCGGGGAACTAGGAATATTTTTAGTTCCATCAGAGTTGATGGATCAGCAAATAGCTAGAGAGGATTAAGGGGTGGGGGCGGGAATCAGGCCTTGTTTCTCATGTGACAGATAACCGATTCCACAGTTCTTAAATGTGACCATTTGCGACACAAGATCTACCCACCAGGGAAGAATGGCAGATGAAGGTGATGGACTATATGGAACTGGCGGAAATGACTGGCAGGATCCGAGACCAGGGAGAAGAGTCGGTGGAAGAAGATTGGAAGAAATTTAAAGACTATTTACAGAAACATTGTAAAATTAATGAATGTTAGAAAGATATTGGAATGAACTTATGTGGTTTTAGCAGAAATGTTATAAAGGATTAGGAAAAAATAGACTGTTAATTGGTGAAACGAGGGAAAGTAAAGTTATATCATATTAAGATAAATTACAGGACAAAAATTGTAAAAAGATGGAAAGGATTTGCTGAAATAGTTAACCGAACTAGAATACAAAAAAGGGAGGTGTGAGGAGGTCAAGAAAACAAGCTAACAAATGATAAGTTATGGGAAGATTCGATGTTTTATTTTTTTAATGGACTTTTTTCTGTTTTTGTATTTTCTTTTTTTTCTTTTCCTATTATGATGTGTTGTTTTTGATGTTGTTTAATATGATATTATTTTTTTCTTTTTGTAACCTTTAAAACCTTAATAAATATTATTAAAAATAAATAAATAAATGTGACCATTTGCTGCCTCCCAAAATTATGCTTAAGCCTTTCCCCTCCCCCCCCCCCAAAAACAACAACAACTCAAACATGGTAGCTGGTCTTGTCAAACGGGCCAATATAAGGTTCATTTGGCAAGTTTATTATTGTTTAGTCGTTTATTTGTGTCCGACTCTTCATGACCCCATGGACCAGAGCACGCCAGGCACTCCTGTCTTCTACTGCCTCCTGCAGCTTGGTCAAACTCATGTTCGTAGCTTTGAGGACACTGTCCAACCATCTCATCCTCTGTCGTCCCCTTCTCCGTGTGCCCTCCATCTTTCCCAACATCAGGGGGGTCTTTTCCAGGAGCCTTCTCTTCTCATGAGGTGGGCAAAGTATTGAAACCTCAGCTTCAGTATGTGTCTTTCCAGTGAGCACTCAGGGCTGATCTCCTTCAGAATGGATAGGTTTGATCTTCTTGCAGTCCATGGGACTCTCAAGAGTCTCCTCCAGCACCATAATTCTTTTAAAAAAATAAAAATAAATAACATTTATTAAAGTTTCAAAGAATTACAAAAATAAAAAGAAAACAGAAAAAAACAAAGTACAGAAAAATAAAAATAATTAAAAACAAATCAATCTTTACATGTCTTGTCTTTCATTTACTTGTTTCCCTGACCTCCTCACACCTCCCTTTTTTGTATTCTAGTTCAATTAGTTACTTCAGCAAATCCTTTCCATTTTTGCTTTTATCTTAATGATTTATCTTAATATATTGTAACTTTACATTCTCACCTATTCATGATCTGTTGTCTTTTAAATGATATTTTATTAAGTTTTGAGAATAACAACAAACAGAAAAAGGAAAAAACACATACACAAAAATATAAAATTATAAAATACAAAAAATACAAAAGTTTAACTTAGAAAAGAAAGAAAAAAGAAAAAGAAAGAAAAAAGCACATTAAAAAAACACCACAAAAATCCCTCTTTTTAATTCCTCATCTTTGATTCACTTATTTTCCTGACTTCCTCACGTCTCCCTTTTTTGTATCCCTTTTGAAAATTAGTTCAGCATATTCATATCCAATTAATTTATCTATTATCAATCCAATCTTATTTTTTACCTTGTTGCTAGAACCCCTTCAGTTCATTTCAATGCCATTAACATTCAAAAATTTTACAATGTTTCTGTAAATAAATTTTAATTTTCCTCCAACTCTTCTCCCTGGTCTCGGATTCTGCCAGTCATTTCCGCCATTTCCATGTAGTCCATTACTTGCATCTGAATTTTACCTAATTCTATAACATTACTGCTAAAACCGCATAACTTCATTCCAGCATCCTTCTAACATTCCTTAATTTTACAATGTTTCTGTAGATAGTCTTTAAATTTCTTTCAATCTTCTGCCGACTCTTCTCCCTGGTCTCGGATTCTGCCAGTCATTTCCACCAGTTCCATGTACTCCCATCACCTTCATCTGCCATTCTTCCCGGGTGGGTAGATCTTGTGTCTTCCAATACTTTGCGATAAGTATTCTTGCTGCTGTTGTAGCATACATTAAAAAATTTCTATCCTTCTTTAACACCAACTGGCCAACCATGCCCAGGAGAAAGGCCTCTGGTTTCTTCAGAAAGGTATATTTAAATACCTTTTTCATTTCATTATAGATCATCTCCCAGAAAGCCTTAATCCTTGGGCACGTCCACCAAAGGTGAAAGAATGTACCTTCAGTCTCTTTACATTTCCAACATTTATTGTCAGGCAAATGATATATTTTTGCGTGCCTAACTGGTGTCATGTACCACCTGTATATCATTTTCATAATATTCTCTCTTAAGGCATTAATAGAGCAACTATTACACGTGGATTTGGAGAAACCACTGAGGTTGGAGACAGACGCATCAGACAGAGCCATCGGGGTTGTTCTTTTGCAGTCAGGATTGGGCAAGCAAGAATGGAAACCGTGTGCCTTTTTCTCGAGGAAGCTGAGCAAGTCGGAACAAAACTACACCGTGTACGACCGAGAACTGCTCGCAATCTACGCTGCCTTTCGCCGGTGGCGCCATCTGCTGATAGGGCCCAGCGGAAGATCCAGGTTTGTACAGATCACAAAAACTTGGAATACTGGAGGACAGCACGAGTGCTCAACCAGAGACAGATTCGCTGGGCGCAGGAATTCTCCAAGTTTTCTTTTGAAATCCGGTATGTGCTAGGAGAGCAAAACGTGAGAGCAGACGCTCTTTTGTGAAAACCAGAGTACTTCGAAGGAGAGGGGCCGCCGGAGACACGACACGTCATACCTGAGGACCAATGGGTGTGTGGGGGAACTCTAGTGGGCACGAGGGAACTGGCAGGGCTCACTAGGAACGATGAATTCGCCCGAACAAAAATCAGGGAACTCCAAAATGGGAGGGGAGCACCAGAGGGGTTTGAAGAGAAGGAAGGGGTGTTGTACTATAGGGGGGCGATGTATGTACCGGGGGAAGTTCTAAGAAGAAGGGTACTCAAACAACTACATGACACCCCCACAGCGGGACACTTTGGACAACACAAAACTATGATGTTGGTGACCAGACAATTCTGGTGGCCAAGGGTGAGGGAAGATGTACGAGAATATGTACGAGGGTGCGACCGCTGCCAAAGGGCCAAAGGGGAACGCACGGTACCAGCGGGTTTACTGGAACCCTTACCCACACCAAACAAACCCTGGGAGGTGGTGTCTATTGATTTTATGACGGATTTGCCCAAATCAAGGGGAAAAACAGCAGTAATGGTGGTAGTCGACTTGCTAACCAAAATGTGCCTTTTCATAGCCTGCTCACACGCAGTGACAGCAGAAGAAACGGCACGGTTGTTTGTAGTGCACATTTTTAGGTTGCATGGTGCCCCCTTGAGGGTTCTCTCCGACCGCGGAAAAAAATTTACTTCCCGGTTCTGGAGGAAGCTCATGAGTCTGCTGGAAGTCGAGGTGAGTTTCTCGACAGTGAGACACCCAGAAACCAATGGGCAAGCGGAAAGGGCAAACAGCATACTCCAGCAATACGTGCGCTGCTACGTAAGCGAGAGGCAGAATGATTGGGTAGAGAAACTAGCGTTAGCGGAATTTGTGTACAATAACGCTGAACATGTGTCCACGGGAATGAGTCCGTTTATGGCCAACTATGGGTGTCATCCCAAGGCATTTCCGGGTAGCGAGGAACAAAGCTGGAGTGTGCCCGCTGCTGAACAGTTTGTGGAAGAAATGGAAGCTCTACACCAACAACTTAAGATGAACCTAGAGAGGGCCAAGGCGAATTACAAGAAGCAAGCAGATAAGCACCGCAGGGAAGGGGAAACCATACGGGTGGGGGATCGAGTGTGGCTATCCACTCAAGGGTTACCCTTTAAAGGAGGGTACAAGAAGTTGCAGCCTAGATGGCTGGGGCCATTTGAAGTTACACAACAGATAAACCCCGTGGCATTCAAGCTCAGGTTGCCCGACAGTATGAAAATACATCCTGTGTTCCACAGATCCTTGCTCTCACCACACAGAGAGGGGCGGGAGTTCGTGGGGCGGGAAGTAGAAGTCATGCCACAACCACAGGTAGAAGAAAGGGAACACCAAAGCTCGGCCGCGGAAATAGTTGATTCAAGGTGGAGAGGTCGGCAAGTGGAGTACTTGGTGGCGTGGGAAGGAGAGCCCTTGTCGGAAAACACGTGGGTGCCAGCGGAAGCAGTTGGTGACGAGCATATGGTGGAAGTGTTCCACCGCCGGTTCCCGGATAAGCCCCAGCCCTTAGAGAGATTCTGGGAGGAACAATTTGGCACCACAGATGACAAAGAGAGTTTCGAAGGGTTTTCAGAATCCGAGGAAGAATCGGACTGGGAGGGTCACCCCATGGGTGGGAACCTTGGCAGGTGGGAAGAGGTTTCCGCACCCACGGAGGAGAAGGACAGCTCCTTCCGGGGTTTTCCTGTCTCACCGACCAGAGAAGAGGAAGAGATAGAGCCCACAGGTCGATCGGGGAGTGAAGGGGGCCCTGGGGGGGGAGGTGGATGTCAGGGAACTGACATCAGAGACACGGGAGAAGGAGAGGGTCTCCGATTCTGCAGGTGAAGGTCCTAGCACTAGGGGGAGACTCAGCTTGGTGGAAGGGGAAGGAAATACGCATAACACCAAGAGTCCAGGAGAGCAATGGGAAGAGGAGGTGGAAGGGCTCCAGGATTCTTCCCTGGAAGTCAGTGAAGAGAGTCCAGGCACTCCGCTACCCACGCCCACCCTGCGCAGGAGACTCCCGCGCAATGAGAGGCGGAGACGATTGGGTGTCAAACAGCTTTTATGCTGGCAGAGGTTTAAGAAACGCCCACAGACAGATTCTGCCAGTGACTGAGGCAGCCACGCGGAGATGGGCTGTGCAGTCCGAAGGGTTTAACCAGGCAACCAAGGCCCAAACGGGGTCGGCTTACGCACGAGTAACTCCAAACCATTACATTATCATACCACAAATATGCATGCCACCCAAATACATTATTGAAACCTTCTAAATCCAAAATGTCTGAGTTTTCAAGAGGAAGCCATTCTTTCAGCCAGCAAAAAGCAGCTGATTCATAGTAAATTTTAAGGTCTGGCAGGGCAAATCCACCTCTTTCTTTTGCATCAGTTAGTATTTTAAATTTTATTCTGGGCTTCTTGCCCTGCCAGACAAATCTTGAAACAAAACAACATTTGTTTGAAACAAAAACAACATTCTTGGCAATACATTCATTTTTATCACAGCAATATGGCCTAGCAATGAAAGCTTCAGATTTGACCATATTTCTAAATCCTTTTTCACTTCCGTCCAGCATTTTTCATAATTATCTTTGAATAAATTCACATTCTTGGCAGTCATATTAACCCCCAGGTATTTCACTTTCTTAACCAATGTTAAACCTGTCTCCTTCTGAAACCTCCCCCTCTCAGTCACTGTTATTCTCTAAAACCTTAGTTTTTAACTTACTCAACTTGAATCCTGCAACCTGACCAAATTCTTGAATCAGTTCCAATACTCTTTTAGTGCTAGATTCTGGCTCCTGTAATGTCAATACTAGATCACCAGCAAATGCTTTCAATTTGTACTGTTTGGCTCCGACTTGTATACCTTTAACCAATTGGTCCCTTCTAATCATATTTAAGAGAACCTCCAGGTCCGATATAAAAAGCAATAGGGAAATTGGGCAACCTTGTCGCGCTTTTTAATTTCGTGACTGCTGTCACCATCTGCAGTAATCATGGAGCCATCTGCAGTGATCATGGAGCCCAAGAAAGTAAAATCTCTCATTGCCTCCGTTTCTTCCCCTTCTATTTGCCAGGAGGTGATGGGACCAGTGGCCATCATCTTCGGTTTTTTGATGTTGAGCTTCAGACCATATTTTGTGGTCTCCTCTTTCACCCTCATTAAGAGGTTAATTCCTCCTCGCTTTCTGCCATCAAGGTTGTGTCATCTGCATATCTGAGGTTGTTGATATTTCTTCCGGCAATCTTAATTCTGGCTTGGGATTCATCCACTCCAGCCTTTCGGATGTTGAATTCCGCATAGAAGTTAAATAAGCGGGGAGCAATATACAGCCTTGTTGTACTCTTTCCCAATTTTGAACCAATCAGTTGTTCCATGTCCAGTTCTAACTGTAGCTTCTTGTCCCACATATAGATTTCTTATGTTAAGGAAATTAGGGGGGGGCACATCTTTAAAGTTATTAAATGTTACAGATATTATGCCTGAATGTATCCGTTCAACTTGACAGCTCAGGGAAGTTACCATATTTTTTGCTCTATAAGACTCACTTTTTCCCTCCTAAAAGTAAGGGAAATGTGTGTGGGTCTTATGGAGTGAATGCAGGCTGCACAGCTATCACAGAAGCAAGAACAGCAAGAGGGATTGCTACTTTCACTGCGCAGCGATCCCTCTTGCTGTTCTGGCTTCTGAGATTCAGAATACTTTTTTTCTTGTTTTCCTCCTCCAAAAACTAGATGCGTCTTGTGGTCTGGTGCATCTTATAGAGCGAAAAATACGGTACCTAGCTTTAAAAATAATATAAAATCAACACCTTTGCCAGTTTCCTCCATTCCAAAGCTATTTTCCCCTTGAAAAAGGACTCCAGGAAGTGTCCAGGGGTGACAATTGCTGAGCTGGACCAAGGAAAGCCTAATCCTATCACCAAACGTGCCAAGGGGCCAGACATGCAAAGGAAGTTCTATTGTACTTTGGGTGATGGGACTTCAGAGGTGTTTGCCTATGCTAATCTTATGCCTGAGTCTTGCCCTGACATGGGCATGCTTATGCTAATCTTTTATCAAGGACTTGTCTGGACATGTTTGCCAAGGTTAGACTAGTGTAACCCCTGTCTACCCCTCCACTATTGTGACATGTCAGTGATGTAACAATCATATAGCAATGATGCTCTACGAACTGTATTCTGGGATATGGTGGGAAAGTTTTAAAAGTCTTTGTCACCCCATGCTTGGGGTCCAAAATTCTTCTTTGAACCTGTTGCGCAATAAACTTTGGTCTACAGCTATTTGCTCCAGTTGGTGACTGGATTCCTTCCTTTATTACGCAAGGAACCCGCGGGCTCTTCCCAATGAGCTGGTTTGACTGAACAGCCTCACACCTAGATTTTTCCATAACACTCAGGAGACCGATGAGGTGATCAGGCACTCCCATTTCTTTAAGAACTTGTCATAGTTTGCTGTGGTCGACACAGTCAAAGGCTTTTATGTAGTCAGAGAGGCAGAAGTAGATGTCTTTCTGGAACTCCCTAGCTTTCTCCATAATCCAGCATGTTTGCAATTTGGTCTCTGGTTCCTCTGCCCCTTCGAAATCCAGCTTGAACTTCTGGGAGTTCTCAGTCCACATACTGCTTAAGCCTGCCTTGTAGAATTTTAAGCATAACCTTGCTAGCGTGTGAAATGAGTGCAATTGTGCGGTAGTTGGAACATTCTTTGGCACTGCCCTTCTTTGGGATTGGGATGTAGACTCACCTTCTCCAGTCCTCTGGCCACTACTGAGTTTTCCAGAGTTGCTGGCATATTGAGTGTAGCACCTTAACAGCATCATCTTTTAAAATTTTGGTTCTCAAGGAAGAGGCAGCCCAGGAATACAAGGCAGGAATTTGCCTTGAATCTTGCTAACAAAATCCTTTCATAGCTTTTTGTGAGGGTTTTGTGGCTGCTAACCTTAAAGCCAGGATGAGCACTCAGAATTGGGCATCATTTCCTCTGTTATTAAAAATAAAATACTTGTTCTGCTTCTAAAGAAACCCTTTAGAATGCATTCTTATTCTTTTTTCATAAAAAAATTCAAACAGCTGTGCAAAGGTGCTCCTGTGCAATGCAATGTCAGAATAACAAAATAATGAAACATCTCACAAGAGCCTTCTTTTTTAAATATACAGCTAAAAATCCTTAAAACTCCTACAACACTTACCAAATAGAAATCTAATAGCAGGGACTAGGAGGCAACCTGATATTCAAGGCTTCACCCCACCCCCAAACTCTGAGCTTTTGGTTTCTCTTTAGACACTCATCTGTGGTCGCCTGGAGCATTTGAGGGGAAAGAGAGAGAACATTGGGGCATACGAAGCAGACATAGAAAAAGAAAGTGACAAGCTGCTTGTAAGTGTCATTGTTACTTGGAAGGGAACAAGTCCTGTAAGTTTAATGTACATATAATGCTGTGCTTGAATGCATTGTAATAAAAATACTATAAAGGGAAGTTTCTCTTAGACTTAGGCAAGAGGTTCCACTCTGACAAAAGCATCAGAGGAGGCTGGATCTTTCCTCATAATTCATCACTGGAGGCATAAACTGCAGAGCTCTCACGGAAGGAAGCTTAAACTTGAGAAGCCAGTGTGTTCTTGCTGGAGATGGCTAGGAGAAGCAGCAGCAGCAGTTGCAAATAAGTCATGCAATGTTGAAGAAGCTTAGGATCTCCCTCTGGGACGAGGGATAGGAAAGCTGACTGAATTACATAAAGGACTGAACATTGTTTGCAGTGTGCTACTTTATCATGCTTATCTTATTGTTAGACTGTTTAAGACTGTTCTGCGGTAAAGCTTCAAAACTTATTTTTGTGATGGAGAGAATTCATTTCCACACAAGGTCCAGATCAGGAATTCCTCGGAAATACTTTAACAACAAGTACTTGAAGGGTACTTCAACAAGTACTTGAAGGGACGCGGGTGGTGCTGGTTGTTAAACCACAGAGCCTAGGGCTTGCCGATCAGAAGGTCAGCAGTTCAAATCCCCGCAACGGGGTGAGCTCCCGTTGCTCGGTCCCTGCTCCTGCCAACCTAGCAGTTCGAAAGAACATCAAAGTGCAAGTAGATAAATAGATACTGCTCTGGCGGGAAGGTAAGCGGCGTTTCTGTGCGCTGCTCTGGTTCACCAGAAGTAGCTTAGTCATGCTGGCCACATGACCCGGAAGCTGTACGCCGGCTCCCTCGGCCAGTAAAGCGAGATGAGCGCCACAACCCCAGAGTTGTCTACAACTGGGTTTAATGGTCAGGGGTCCCTTCACCTTTACCTTTACTTGAAGGACCAAACCAAGAATTGTTGTGTATTGAGTCAAAGGATTTTATATCTGTATTATGATTGTCTGTATTTGCATTAGGGTAAAGTAACTGCCTTTTGGTTCCAGAGGGTACAGCTACTATTGGTTCATTTAAGCTGCTGTATTTGGATCCTCTGTCTTATTGGTTCCCTCCAAAAGGCAGGACTGTGATTGCCTGATATTGTTCCCTCCAAAATGTATCCTTTCTTGCTAGTTCCCTGTCCCTATAAATGTAGCTTTCCTCTCCCCAGTCTTTAGTCTTGTTGCTTTAATAAAGAAGTGTTACTAGAGAACTGTCTCCAGCATGTTATATCAAGAGAGCTGAAATCACAAACCCCATGTTACAACAACTGGCGACGAAGGTGGGATCCGGAATGCTGAGGAGCGGTTAAACGCAGCCCTGCCTCAGAGTCCGGATTGCAGCTAAGAACAAGACTCACTGGCCAGCTGAGAAGACGACCCTGCCCACAGGACAATGGAGAGTCCGAGGGTATTGGAGCCCTTCCAGCCATCAGAGCCCCACACGTGGGAAGACTACGTCGAACGCTTTGAGTTCTTCGCAGAGGCTCAAGGGATCACCGATGCCAGCAAAAGAAGGGCCACATTCCTGAGCTACTGTGGGCCTGAGACCTTCAAGCTGGCCAAGGCATTGCTTGCTCCAGCGAAGCTAAGTGAGACATCTCTCAAAGATATTCTTGCCTGCCTAACAAGCCACTTGGCGCCTACTGAGACCAAGATGGCCCGGTGAATGGAGTTTCATAAGAGGCAGCAGCGTACTGGGGAGTCTGTATCTGCATTTCTAGCTGAACTGCGGAAGCTCGCTCAGCACTGCGACTTCCAAAATCTGGAAGAGACTCTCCTGGATCGGTTTGTCGGTGGTCTGAACAGCAAGAAAGCCAGAAGACGCATCGTGGCTAAAGAAGAGGTTACCCTTGCTTCAGCCTTGAAGGAGGCCACCGCCACGGAGAATTATGAAAGAGAGGAGCTTGATGCCAGTCGCAAGGCCCCTAAGCCACAGATAGAAGTTGCGCATGCCATGGACGAGCTAGAGGCTACTCCGAGCCAGAGCCCAGTCTGTGGGGTCGAGTCAGTGTGTCAGGCCTGCACAGTGCACAAAGATCACCGAGGCAGGTGTCCAGGTTGTGGCGGAAACCATGAGCGGAAGAGTTGTCATTTCCGGGATGCTATGTGCTGGACGTGCGGGAAGACAGGTCACATTGTCAGGGTCTGTAGATCGGCAGCGTTGGGAGCGACAGGAGCACCTCGACTGGAGCATCGCAGACCGCCCACAGCAACCCATTTTCTAAAGGACTGCCACTATGTAACAGAGATCAACGGGAGGGTCGTGCAGTTCCCAGCGCAAGGCAAGGCACACGTCAAGGTGAAGATTGAGGGTCAGCAGTGCGACATGGAGGTGGACTCCGGATCTGGATTCACTATCGTGTCAGACCAGACCGCGAGGACATTCTTCCCCAGGGGTAAGTTGCCCCCTCTGGAGCCCTTCCCGGCAACCTTGCAGTCATACTCAGCGGGCCGCATCCATGTTATGGGAATGTGTGCCGTGAGAGTACAGTTCCGGGACAAACAGGCTGTACTCAAACTGGTGATTGCGAAGGGCAGTCGCCCCAGTCTCCTGGGCACTGACTGGTTCCCCGCCCTGGGACTGAGTATATCAGGGCTTAATTCAATCCAAACTTGCCCCGAGATGAGCGAGGCATTATGCAAAGAATTTGCTGGTCTCTTTAATGGAAAACTGGGTTGTTATAAAGGGCCCCCAGTTGACTTCGAGTTGGACCCTGGGGTGGCCCCAATCCGACTCAAACCAAGGCGAGTGCCATTTGCACTGCAACCCAAGATCGAAGCAGAGCTGGATAAATTGGTCAAGCAGGGAGTTCTCTCACCCGTGGACTCTGCTAAGTGGGAGACTCCAATCGTCACGCCCCTTAAAGCAAATGGGGAAGTCAGGATCTGTGCAGATTACAAATGCACTATCAATAAGGCACTCAGGGGAAACTCATACCCCATTCCAGTCGTATCACATCTGTTGGCTAAACTGGCTGGGGGCAAGGTGTTCGCCAAAATTGACCTGGCACAAGCTTACCAACAGCTGCCAGTAACCCCACAATCAGTGGAAGCACAGACTATTGTCACACATAAAGGGGCGTTCAGAGTTAACAGATTACAATTTGGAGTTTGTGTGGCCCCAGGGATTTTTCAAGGGCTCATGGAACGCCTGTTAAGAGGTCTGCCGGGGGTCTTGCCATTTTTTGATGACGTTTTGATTGCTGGAAAAGACCCACAGGAACTGGTTACGCGTGTTCGTGCAGTGTTGCTCAAGTTCAAGGAGGTGGGGTTGCAACTGAAAAAGGAAAAATGCAGTTTTGGGGTGCCAACTGTGGATTTCTTGGGGTTTAAAATTGATGCATCAGGCATCTACCCCACAGATGCTAAGATTAAGGCCATCATCGAGGCACCACGACCACAGAACAAGACGGAGTTGCAGTCATTCCTGGGACTTATTAACTTTTATCATTCGTTCTTACCCCAGAAAGCTTCGGTAGCTGAACCATTACATAGACTGTTGCAGAAAAAGAATGTGTGGTGATGGGGGCAGGGGCAGCAGAAGGCTTTTGACTCCTTACGAGGAATGTTGAGTAGCAGGAGCGTCCTTGCTCATTATGATGAGTCAAAGCCGCTGGTCCTGGCATGTGATGCCTCTCAATACGGCCTGGGGGCGGTGCTGAGTCATAGGGAACCGGATGGGTCGGAAAAGCCCATCTCTTTCTATTCTCGTACATTGTCGCCCACGGAGCGCAACTATGCTCAAATTGACAAAGAGGCGCTTGCAATTGTGGCAGGAATCAAAAAGTTCCATGATTATGTGTACGGTCGCCATTTCTACATTGAAACGGACCACAAGCCACTGTTAGGGTTGTTCAACCCAAACAAACAAACGCCACAAATTCTCTCCCCCAGAATGTTACGTTGGTCTATATTCCTGAACGGGTTCCAGTACACCTTGAACCATGTGCCGGGGAAACGGTTGTGCCATGCTGATGCGCTGAGTCGATTGCCGCTCCCTGGCGGGAGCAATGAGGATCCCGCTCCAGCGGAGCACATAATGATGCTGGAAACACTTCCGGGGGCTCCTGTAACGGCTACTGATATAGCTGAGAAAACGAGGAAAGATGCTGTTCTCTCCCGTGTGCTCACTTGGGTGGGGAGGGGGTGGCCAGGTGGTCCGCATGAAGACAAATTCAGGCCTTATGCGACTAGGCAGCACGAGTTGTCCATGCATAAGGGTTGTCTCTTGTGGGGAGATAGGGTGATCATCCCAGGACCGCTGAGAAACAGGGTTCTTGAGACGCTTCACATGGGACACCCGGGAATGGTCAGGATGAAGTCACTAGCCCGATGTTATGTGTGGTGGCCTGGAATGGACCAGAACATAGAACAATGGGTACGAACATGCAAGGCATGCCAAGAGGTGCGGCCAGAAGTGGCCAGAGCACCAGTCCACTGGTGGGAGCAGTCCAGATCTCCCTGGAGCCGGCTGCACTTAGATTTTGCTGGGCCATTCTAAGGAAAGGTCTTTTTGGTTATCGTTGATGCATATTCCAAATGGTTAGAAGTGGCGATGGTCCCTAGCATGGCATCAGCTGCCGTAATCAAGGTGTTGAGGCAGCTGTTTGCAACCCACGGGTTACCTGAGACCATTGTATCAGATAATGGGGCAGCTTTTGTATCCCAAGAATTCAGGGCATTCTTGGCTGATAACTTCATAAGAGGGGTCACATCCGCGCCCTTTCACCCATCCTCCAATGGGCAGGCAGAGCGCATGGTAAGAACAGCCAAAGAATCCATTGCGCGCTTAATGGAGGGTAACTGGTCAGCTCGCATCGCACGAATGTTATTTTTGCAGCATGCGACGCCGTGTACCGCGACGGGCAAGTCGCCAGCTGAGCTGCTGTTGGGTAGGAGACTGGTAACGGTGCTGGATTATGTCCACCCGGATAAAATGCCAAACCGTAATTCAAGAGCAACACCCCAGGCTGAGACTGACACAACAAGGTATCTCGCCCCTGAAGATCTGGTCTGGGTGAGGAACTATTCACGAGGTTCGCGGTGGCTGGCTGGTGTGGTCACCCGGGCTAGTGGACCTGTGTCCTATTATGTGACCTTGGAAAACGGGCAAGTGTGGAAGAGACATATAGATCAGCTGAGGCGCCGGGCGCTCAGCAGGGAGGAGCCAGATAATTCATCCCTGGCTAACGATGCAGAGCTGCAAGACCAGAGTGAAAATGGCCTAGAGGTGCAGTCACCAGGGGCTTTAACAAATGAACCAGGGTCTGCTAGTCCTCACGATGACGAGGTACAGATAGGGGACCCTGAGATGTCTGGGACTCCATCTGTTCCTGACGAAACCCCTAGAGCAGCCCCTCTACCACAGGTAACACCCAATCCAGAACCTGCAACACCTGTTGTCAGGAGATCAAGTAGAAGTTGTAGGCCCCCACAGTACCTGAGAGATTACGTCTGCTGTGCTCACTAGGGGGGAAGGGGTGTTGTGTATTGAGTCAAAGGATTTTATATCTGTATTATGATTGTCTGTATTTGCATTAGGGTAAAGTAACTGCCTTTTGGTTCCAGAGGGTACAGCTACTATTGGTTCATTTAAGCTGCTGTATTTGGATCCTCTGTCTTATTGGTTCCCTCCAAAAGGCAGGACTGTGATTGCCTGATATTGTTCCCTCCAAAATGTATCCTTTCTTGCTAGTTCCCTGTCCCTATAAATGTAGCTTTCCTCTCCCCAGTCTTTAGTCTTGTTGCTTTAATAAAGAAGTGTTACTAGAGAACTGTCTCCAGCATGTTATATCAAGAGAGCTGAAATCACAAACCCCACGTCACAACAAGAATTACAACAATCTCTTCCTCAAAATGGTTCAGCCTCCACCACCTTTACTGCAGTCAACTGAAGGCAACCAACTATGCCCTGCCCCCCCCCGATCTTTCTCACTGCCAATGAAAACTAATAAATGAAAAGGAAGAGAAGCTACCCATGTCACACTGACACAAACACCTTGCATATGAACTTTGAAAATAATGAAAGTGTACTACCCCTCCCCCTGGCTTGCTCTCCCCACCTCTCAATTCCCCAACCTTACATTGTATACAACATTAAAGTCTGTCTGTCTGCGGGGTATAAATAATAAATTATTATTATTATTATTATTATTATTATTATTAAATGATCTTCCTCTGTTTCACTTCAGATAATTCAGTGGGGCCTCTTCTCAGTTCATTCTCTTCTGGATCAGTGCCTTAATCCTTTGTAGATTCTGTATATCACAGAATAGCCATTGAGGTGTCCCCAGATGTTGTTGTCAAGTTCCCATCAGCTTCAGCCAGCAGGGCAGACAGTCAAGGATGATAGAAACTCTAATCTGGACCCCACCGCCTTGGCTCGGCTGCCCTATATCCTTCCCATTGAAAGAAATTGTGAAAATTAATTTTGTACGCTATAGATTTATCCTGGTCTGGTGCATGCAATGTCTTTTGTTTTGCAGCTGTGTGATTTGTGCTCATATTGTATTGTGGTGGCCATTGGCTATAAACAATAAAATTTATAGATACAGTCGATTGAACTGCAAAAATAAGTAATAAAATAATAAAACGATTTTTATATTTTTTTGGTCCTCCCTCCCAAATGGTGTGTGTGTTTTTGGTTATACTGGGGGTGGGGTGGGGGGTGGAGAAGTATGAAGGCCAAAACCGTTCCCCTCCTCTGCTAAATGGATGCAGGAGACCAGAGGCAGCGAAAGAAAAAGCAGGGAAATAGAAACCCTCCAAATTCCACTATTTTCCAGGGATGTCCCTGATTTAGAGAAGCTGTCCTGGTTTCTGATTTGATCCCAGAATATTCCGATTCTCCTTAGGGTCTCCCTATTTTCATTGAAGAAATGCTGGAGGGAATGGAGTTATCCGACCCCCGGGCCCTCTGAGAAGGCAATCCTGTATAGGGACGTTTCAAAATGTTTAATGTTTTATTATGTTTTTATATATGTTGGAAACTTCCCAGAGTGGCTGGGGCAACGTAATAAGATGTGTGGTGTATAAATAGGAAAATTATATTTATGGAATGGGATGTTCCTATTTTCATCAGAGAAATGTTGGAGGGTTTGGAAAGGTCGGTTGCTGGAGCTAAGTGATTGCATGATCCCAACCAGCAGAGCTGGGAACTGGACTGCCTCCTCCAGCTACCCATTCGGGCTGCAGGCATAGCTGTCAACCTTCCCTTTTTTTTGCGGGAAATTCCCTTATTCCAGAGCCATTTCCCGCTGCTATCCCGGATTGTTAGGTATCCTGTAGACTGTCCCCAGGACAGGTGAGGCTGCTGATCCTTTTTTTCCGAGTCTGCTGATCCCTTTTTTTCAAATCTGAAAATTGACAGCTATGGCTGCAGGGTGGGATCGTCCCAGCTTTCTGAAAAGATTTGCTGATAAGGAAACCAGTGACTGCACATCGGATCACAAGGAGACTTATTTGTGCAACATTCTGGATATCTTATAAGATGCCAGGTAGATTCCAATGATACAATAAATTTTGAGGGACAGCGCAAGGGGGCGAATCCAGCCTCGCAGCCTCCCAGGGCCCAACCCACAGCCAGCGAGCTCCGATGCCCAGAGAGGCAGGAAACGGGGCCAGCCAGGGGGACTCGAGAGCGGCTGCACTTTCCTGTCCCCCGCCGAGGAGAGCGGAGGAGCAGCGGCCTGTGGCCTGGCGAGTTTCCCCGGAGAGGAGCCGGATTCCGCTGCAGGGACGGAGCGAGGAGTCCGAGGTGCAGGAGGGGGAGAGCACGTGTACCTGGCAGGATCAGGCCCCGAGTCCAGCCAGAGGCTGCAGGGCGCCCCCCACCCGGGCAGGAAGGGGAAGGGGCGCAGCTGAGGGGCAGGGCATCTGCAGGAGGGCACAGGGGCAAACATCTCTGGCTCAGGCTGGCACGGACCCTGCCGGAGACCCTGGGGAGCTGCTCCCTTCAGTCCTGAGCTCAAGGGGCAGAATGAGGGGTCCAAGGCAGCTGCTGCTTCGCGGTGGACGATGCATATAGTCGTCCGATGATCAGCGGCGTCGTTGGGGCTGTTGCCTCCCGGGGCGGTCACTGAGTCTGCCGCCCCTCTCCCTGTCCCTCAGCAGGGAGCCCAGCCCATTTCGACGGTCCTCCCCACGGCGGAGAGGGAAGGGGAGGCGGGGAGGAGAAGGAAGAGCAGTGCAGCAGGGAGGTGCCCCTCTCACTCTGCAGCCCCCCGACACCCTTTGCAAGCCTCCACTACTGCCCCCCTTCCTCTGCCAGTGCCATTGATAAATCTATCGCCCTTATTTGTGAATTGGTCTGATCGCCTTTGAAAGCTCTCTTTGCCACCACCATCACCGCATCTTGTGGCAATGATGTCCATCAGATTCATTTAGCAAGGAAATTGCTTCTTTTGTCTTCCCCAAATCAAGGTACACTGTGCCTACACATGGAGGTTCTGTTGTTCTGTCACGGCTAATAAAACGGCTAATAGATCTTTTCCCCGGAGAATGCATCTGATCTTTCCCCAAACTATCAAAGCTAGTGACCTCTTGTGTCTGCGTGTGAATAAGTGTGACAGGCTTAAACCTGTCTCATTAATTGTTTTATTTCCACCTTCCTCAGTAATACAGCTGAGTTTTCAGATGAAGGCTGAGGGTTGAAGTGGGTGACAGTTTTGAGAATGCAGAGGAAAGGAGGATTCTTAAGAAGTGTGGCATATGGAAATGAATTAATGATAATAAAAACGTTGAAGACAGTATTGTTAAAGACTGAGGAAGGCGAAATTGAAATTAGCTATTCATGTTCAGATTATTACTCCTTTCATTTCTATACTGCTTCATATTTTTAAGAAAAAAATCTAATTAGTAATTAGAGAGAAATCTCATTGCAATTTGTGTCCATAGGATGTTGAGAACATTAACTCTGTAGATCCAGTTCTCTCCTCCTGATAGATTTGATTGTTCTTTCTGATAGAGCAGGAGGAACGAAACATTTATGGTCTTAAAGCTGCATTGATTCTGGAGGCCACATTCAAGTGAACTTTGTGGCCAATGTATGCACATGCATGTACACACTGAAAAGAGATGCAGACCATAAAGTCACATGCACACATGCCATAGATGCTGCCCACACTCACCAGACATGCCATCTAGCATACATACAAGTCTTGCAAACACAAACAACGTGTTTAGACCTTCCAACCCCAGTGCTGGGCTGGAGGAGAAATAAGAGCACAAGAAGACCCTGCTGAATTAGCAGTGAGATCTGTGGAAAAAAGACCCTTCAGATTGTTCTTTAGAAATCCTCTTTAAAGAGCAGCCAGAGGGATCATTTATTTTCCTTTTGCCCCATTTCAGCACTGTGCTGGTTTGTGCTGAAATTGGAGTTGAAAAGATCTCTCTAAGGGCCCCTTAGGCATCTTTCTCTCCAGGACAGACAGAGATCTTCATCCTATGATCAGATCAGGAGATGGAAACCGCAGGGACTAGCAGGACACACCCTGAGGCTTGGCAAGCCATATGCAGCCAATGGACTGTAAGTTAGAATGTCTTCAGTCAAGAGAGTTTGTGGCCACAGGAGGACTCTCCTGTGTGGGTGTCTGAGGGCCCTGCTCCTTCCTGCCACTCACCACCTGGCCCAGGGCGGGGCCTGAAGGACTCACAGGGACTGCTGCGCTCTGCTGCCCAGGAGGACTCTCCTGTGTGAGTGTTTGAGGGCCCTGCTCCTTCCTGCCACTCACCATCTGGCCCGGGGCGGGGCCTGAAGGACTCACAGGGACTGCTGCGCTCTGCTGCCCAGGAGGACTCTCCTGTGTGAGTGTTTGAGGGCCCTGCTCCTTCCTGCCACACACCACCTGGCCCAGGGCGGGGCCTGAAGGACTCACAGGGACTGCTGCGCTTTGCTGCCCAGGAGGACTCTCCTGTCTTAAGAGGCCTCATGAGGCACCGGGACACCACTGCTGCGGCTTCACCGTGGGGGTTGAGGAAGGCCGCTCCCTCCTGTAGGCACACTCCTCCAGGCCTAGGGGGCGGGGCCCACACTCGCCACCGCTACTGTTTTAAGGACACTGGTGTTGCCGCGGCAAATGTTTAAAATGTTTTTATATATTTTAAAATGTTTTATAGGGGTTTTTACTTTTTACTTTGTTGTACCACCATGAACGGTGGTTTTTATTGATATATTTCTATTTTGTTCCGTTTTATTTTGGTTTGGGGTTAGCTATTGAGTGGGGTGGGGATTTGTTGTGTTGGTACAATTGTTTTTGATTTGATTTGTTTTCTATTCTGTAAATGGAGGTTGGTTTGAGGCTTGGGATTGCTACCATAGTGGGGCGAGGGAGGTATGGCGGTGGGGGCAGATGTCATAGGCGAAGGGGATCGAGATATGGATATGCTCGTACCCCTTCCAATCTGCGCCCCATCCCGAGGGACGAAGGTAGGGTGAGCAAGGATTACTCACCTCCGTCACTGGTGTTGTGCAATGCCAGGTCTATAGGCAAAAAAACCGCCACCCTGCGAGACTTCTTCACCTCGCAGGGGGTTGACCTGGCTTGTGTGACGGAGACCTGGGTGCGCGAAGGGGAAACTGTTACCTTACGAGAGATGGCGCCCCCGGGTTTCTCCGTCCTCCACCAGTCGCGGACTGTGGGCCGGGGGGGAGGGGTGGCATTATTAATCCGAGAAGACTGTTCTTTCAGGGCTCTACCATCGCCATCGATCCCCGGCATTGAATGTGTTGGCCTAGTGTGGGGCTCCGAGGAGAGCTTGGCTGTCTGGCTGGTGTACTGGCCACCTAGCGCACCAGCAGCCACCCTGTCAGGCCTGCTGGAGGCGGTGGCCGGCTGGGCCTTGGAGTTCCCCAACCTATTGGTACTGGGGGACTTCAACATCCACGCTGATGCCACTCCCTCCTCACAGGCTCTGGACCTGGTGTCTTCCATGGCGACACTAGGGCTCTCCCAGTTTGTTTCGGGCCCCACACATCAAGCAGGCCACACGCTGGATTTGATCTTTGGCGCCGGTATAGATGTGATCATGTCTCCCTCGATGAAGGTGCCATGGTCTGATCACTACGCACTGAAAGCCAGGATTGATTTTCCACCCCCACCCTGCTTAGGTGGCGAGCCGATTTGGGCTCGCCCGCGGAGGCTGATGGACCCTGATAGATTCCGTCAGGCCTTGCGGGACCTTGCTCCCCCTGGCGACTCATTGACTGAGCTTGTTGAGGGCTGGAATATCCAGCTCCTGGCAGCCATCGATGAGATCGCACCTAGGCGCCCTCTGCGACCCCGCAGAAACCGGGCTCCCTGGTTTACCGAGGAGCTTCGGAAAATGAAGCGGGGCCTCAGACGGCTAGAGCGAGTATGGCGGGGTGCCCGTGACGGAGCTTCAAGAACATCTTATAGGGTTTTTATGAAAACCTACGAGATGGCAGTGAAGGCCGCTAAGAATTCCTACTTCTCGGCCTCCATTGCCTCCGCTAGCTCTCGCCCGGCGCAATTATTTAGTATAATTAGGTCTTTAACATCCCTCGAAGGACAGCCAAATTTAAATAACAATTCGACACACAGCTGCGAGGCATTTGCGAGCTCTTTTGCGGAGAAGGTCCTGTTGCTCCGCCATGACCTCCCTGCCAATTTGGATACAATGAAGGAACTGGAGGCCCCTCGACTGTCCTCGGGTCCAGTATTGGACCACTTTGACCGGATATCCCCAGCCGATGTGGACAGACTCCTCCAAGCTGGAAAGCCCACCACTTGTCCTCTTGACCCGTGCCCGTCCTGGCTGATTAGAGCGTGTCCAGACGAGGTGCAGGCCCCCCTGGGTGATATCATCAATTTGTCCCTTGGCACTGGGATATTCCCAGGGGAACTGAAGGAGGCAGTGGTGCGTCCGCTCTTAAAGAAAACATCATTAGATCCTTTAGATCTATCCAATTACCGCCCGGTTTCGAATCTTCCATTCCTGGGTAAGATGATTGAGAGAGCGGTTGCTGAACAGCTTGGTAGGTTTCTGGATGAAACATCTGCTCTCGACCCATTCCAGTCCGGCTTCCGCGCTGGTCATGGGACCGAGACGGCTCTGGTTGCCCTAACAGATGATCTCTGCAGGCAGCTGGATCGAGGCGGGTCGGGGCTGCTGATTCTTCTAGACCTGTCAGCAGCCTTCGACATGGTCGATCACGAACTCCTGGACCACCGCCTTGCCGACGTGGGGATCCAGGGCACAGTCCTTCAATGGCTGCTCTCGTTTCTCTCCGGTCGGGGACAGAGGGTGGCGCTTGGGGGGGAATTGTCATCGCGCCACTCCTTGGTGTGTGGAGTGCCTCAGGGTGCGATTCTCTCCCCGATGCTTTTTAACATCTTTATGCGCCCCCTCGCCCAGCTTGTCCGGAGTTTTGGGCTGGGTTGCCATCAGTATGCCGATGACACCCAACTCTATCTGTTGATGGATGGCCATCCTGACTCGGCCCCAGATACACTGACCAGATGTCTGGAAGCTGTGGCTGGATGGTTACGTGGGAGCCGGTTGAAGTTAAATCCTTCGAAGACAGAGGTCCTCTGGCTGGGACGGAGCGATATGGGATTGAGGGGGCAACTCCCGTCTCTTGCGGGGGTGCAATTAGTGCCAGCATCATCCGTGAAGAGTTTGGGTGTAATCTTCGATACCTCCCTCTCTATGGAGGCGCAGATTACAGCTATAACAAAGGCGGCATTTTTTCATCTCTGCCAAGCTAAGCAGTTGGCTCCTTATCTCTCTCGCCCTGACCTAGCCACTGTGATCCATGCGACGGTCACCTCCAGACTGGATTATTGTAACTCGCTCTATGTGGGGCTGCCCTTGAGACTGACCCAGAAACTCCAGCGGGTGCAGAATGCCGCGGCGAGACTCCTTACGGGGTCTCCGCTGCGAGATCATATCCATCCGGTGCTGTACCAGCTGCACTGGCTCCCGGTGGAGTACAGGATCAGGTTTAAGGTGCTGGTTTTAACCTTTAAAGCCCTATACGGCCTAGGACCCTCGTACCTACGGGACCGCCTCTCCTGGTATGTCCCACAGAGAAATTTACGGTCTGCAAATAAAAACACCCTAAAGATCCCAGGCCTCAGAGAAGTTAGGCTGGCCTCAACTAGAGCCAGGGCCTTCTCGGCCGCGGCTCCAATCTGGTGGAACGCTCTGTCACAAGAGACTAGGGCCCTGCAGGACCTGACATCCTTCCGCAGGGCCTGCAAGACAGAGCTGTTCCACCAGGCCTTTTGTCAGGGCGCAGCCTGACCCCCTCCTCTGGCAATCTGCACAAAATTTTGCTTGATGGTTGCCATTAATTTGATTTCAATTTGATTTAATTAATTTTATAATGAATGTTTTAGAATGTTGAACTATTTTGATTGTTGTTAGCCGCCCTGAGCCCAGCTTCGGCTGGGGAGGGCGGGATATAAATAAAATTTATTATTATTATTATTATTATTATTATTATTATAGAATATTTTGGAGTGAGTTCTTTGATTTTGTTGGTCAATATTCCTTTTGTTAGTTTCTTAGGCTGTGCAGATACCATACATTTAAAGCATGTGGCTTCCCCCAGAGAACCACGGGACCTGTAGTTTATTGCTACAGCTCTCAACACCCCTAACAAACGGTAGCTCACAGGATTTCTTGGGTGAAGCCATGTACTTTCAATGTTAGGTGGGTCTGTCACAGCCTTAATCATATACAAAGATCTGTTGTTTCTTTTCCAACATGCTAGAAGTTGCAGCCAGGATCAGCATTCCCTGTCCACTGAGCATGCTCAGTCCTCTCACTGGGTTGTTTTTGGATTTCCTTCCACTGCCTTGGTCCCCCCCCCCCCAAATATTATTTGTACTTCCATAAACCTTGATGTTTCCCCCAGTCTTTGGATAACTTCCCCTCGTCCCTGGGTGGAGTCATTTGGGTGACATAATGATTGTCATTCACAGCCTGAACATTAGAAATAGAAAGAGTAATAATATATTTCAAAAACTGGCAAATGGTTAAAAAATGTGCTTTTGTTTTTATTCTTGGATTTCATTTTACTTTGTGTTTATTTCTTTTCCAGCAGGGTGGCGTAAAAATTGAAGAGCCGGGACCCAGGAGACCCATTCAAAGGGAGAGACTGGAGTGCAAAGGAAAGAAACCTCCTGCCGGCCAAGTTGGGACCATCAGGGATCTTCTGCCTCGGGCAGATTTATGTCAAATTAAGCAGGAGCAAGAGGAGGGGCAGCCGCAGCAGCACTGGGAGGCCCAGAAGCAGGATTTCCTGAAGACGATGCAGCCCCCTCGTTCAGGGTGGGAAACCCCACAGGCTCCCAGTTCTCCCCACTCTGGGGATGGTGTCCTCTCCTTCAGGGGAGCTGCAGATGCCAGTCGGTGGCCCAGTGGGAGAGCAGGGGGGACAGACCAGACCCTGCTCCCAGACACTGAGGGGCTTCTGGGAAAGGTAAGTGCCCTCCTCTCACCTGGGTTTCCAGCACCTGGAGGTCACAGGTCCACTGCTTCTAGACATGGAGGTTCTGTTTAGCTTTGGTGGTGAATATTCCTCCTCCCTGCACTTCCACTCTAATCCACTTTAAAAAGCCTTGCTAGACCAAACTTTCTTACACATGGGAGGTTTGCGATCATATCTCCTGCTATTCTTACTTTACTTAAACAACTGCAGGGGACTCTGAATTTTATCAGAGCAGAAGCTGTGTCAGAAGAGGGGTCCTTCCACCAACCCCCGTTTTCCTCCTCTAAATTGCCTCCATTTCCAAAATGCTCTTTTCTCCCCACTGAGGTAAAAATCTTGGCACGTCTTGCAGCCTCAGCAATCCCATGTGTAGTCGCATTAAATAAGACTGGCCCATCTTGCAAGGTTGTTGCAAGATTTATTAAGATAATGGCCAGATTCAGATGACTGAATCACAGCCTGAAAAGCTGGGTTAAAAATAGGAACAGTTTTTAATGCATTGCTGCAGCAAAGTTACAATAAAACCTAAGTTGACCCAAGTTGAAAACCAAAAACTCTAGCCGCCACCGCAGTCTCCTGGCCCCCACAACCAGAATGCATCACTCCAGGAAGGACCCCCACCCAACCTTTAGTGAGAGAGGGCAAAAGAAAAGGACTCTACATTGGTAGTTGCACAAATTTACCAGCTGTGGTCCTGCACTGACAGTAAGGCTAACAAACAGGGGAGCTGGGAACGTGCTGGTCCCATATCTCCCTGCATCTGCCTCCTGACCTAATTGTCCCAGCTTACCTCATGATTGGGCCGGCCCTGAGGGTGAACTGTGATGAAACCAGGCACTCTCTTATGAGCCATAACTAACAAACTTTCCATTTTGCCCAAACCAGGAAACTACAGCTGCCAGCTTTGGAACAAGCTGAGAGATTAATCTAACTTCAAACTGTGCTTGCTCAAAACAGGAAACTCTGGTTGATCAGTGGCTTCGTGCTTTGACTGATCCCACTGATAGCAGTAAAAATAGGAAGCCCTGTTGCATTTGAAGGGGTTGTTTGGACAGAGTCTCTGATCAGCATGCCTAGCAGGACAGGCTTAAAAAGGTAAAGGGACCCCTGACCATTAGGTCCAGTCGTGACCGACTCTGGGGTTGTGGCGCTCATCTCGCTTTATTGGCTGAGGGAGCCAGCGTACAGCTTCCTGTTCATGTGGCCAGCGTGTCTAAGCCGCTTCTTGTGAACCAGAGCAGTGCATGGGAACGCCCTTTATCTTCCTGCCGGAGCTGTACCTATTTATCTATTTGCACTTTGATGTGCTTTCGAACTGCTAGGTTGGCAGGAGCAGGGACCGAGCAACGGGAGCTCACCCTGTCACAGGGATTCGAACCGCCAACCTTCTGATCGGCAAGTCCTAGGCTCTGTGGTTTAACCCACAGCACCACCCGAGTCCCAAGACAGGCTTAGGAAGCAATTATTATTATTATTATTATTATTATTATTATTATTTGCATCCTGCCTATCTGACTGGGTTGCCTCAGCCCATCTGGGTAGCTTCCAACAAAATAGAAACCATCAAAAATTTCCTTGTAAAAGGCTGCCTTCGGAAGTCTTCCATTTTGTAGAAATGGCCTTCGGTTTTAAAGAATTGCCCTCTTTAAGGAATCACTTGGTGTAAACATGTATGTCGTCCTCTACGTCCAAACACACACAGACAAACATAGTGGGAGCAAGCAGTGCTCTAAAGTGCTTATCTTGCAAACTTGCCATCTAAGTTGTTTACTCCTGACCAAAGTTCCTGTTTCCCAAAAGGACAGGAGGGGGAGCAGTGGAGGAAACGGATGGGTTTGAAGGCTCTTTCCACCAGCCGCCTCTCTCCCCTGAGGAACAAGAGCAAAAGGTGTTAGCAGGGCAGAAGAACAGAGGAGTCAGGGAGGACAGAGGGAGCAGTGGGCGGATCGCCCGCCTCTCCCAGGGGGTCCTGATGCAAGCAAGGGGCTTCCTTCTTCTCCATGCAAGGGCCACTCATGTATTCAGAGCAGTTCTTTGCAGATGAACTCTTAAATTCCAAGGGACCTACTCTCAGGCCGCTAATGTACATACCATGCCAGCCTTAGGAAGGGAGGTGGGACAGGGAGGTGAAAGGAATTGCCAAAGGTGTTTCAAAATGGGTGGGGGATCTTGGGGAAGGGGTGCCCAATTGGGGCTTCTTCAGGGGGAGCAGAATGTCTTGGGCAGGGGAATCCCTGCAGGGGCTCTCAGACTCCCTTGGCTTCTTCTTCCCTCCCTCCCAGGAAGCTGCAACTGGCTCTGGATTCTGCGCTCCTCAGGAAGCTGAACCTGCAAACCTAGCTGAGACTGAACCTGCAACCCTGGCCAGGATGGAAGGAGGAAGATGGACGGGTGACCTGGTCAGGCTGTCTCCCGGATCCCTCCCCACAACCTCTGAGCATTCCCTCCCAGGACCCTTGGAGAAATCTGGTGAGTTCCAGGGGAGAGGAGATGGGGACAGGGATGGATGGATGGATGGATGGATAGATGGATGGTGGAGGGAGAAAGGGGAAAAGATGGAGTTGAGACAAATGGAAGGAGGTTCCTGAACGTAAGAAGGAAGGGGTGAGGCCTTCTCCAAAGCAGCTTTTCTTCCTCCAGGCTTTTAAATCTTAGATGTTATTTCCCCAGCAGGAATATTGATGATAATGATGTGGCACACCAATCCTGAAAAAAGGGTGAAGGGGAATGGAAATGCTTCCCATAATTATTTATAATTAATCTATTACCCTTATTTTTTATAGACAGGGTCAGATACATTCCACCAGCATCAAAATAAATGCATGCAGCTCCCCAGTTTGGTGGACTTAAGGGACAAAGGACCCGTTATCATGATACATAATTCCTGTGGCTGGAGGCTCTACACTTAGGATTGGACATATAAAGTCCAAGAGCGTCTGGTATTAGAAGCAAATTGTGTTAACTTGCCAATCTTACAGACTGGGGTTGTTTGTGAGAGTGAGTGAGTGGGATAATAATTTCTAGCACCCCTGTAATTTTCTCCGTTCCTAAGCTTCTATGGGTGGGACGCGGGTGGCGGTGGGACGCGGGTGGCGCTGTTGGTAAAACCTCAGCGATTAGGGCTTGCCGATCGCATGGTCGGCGGTTCGAATCCCCGCGGCAGGGTGAGCTCCCATCTTTCGGTCCCAGCTCCTGCCCACCTAGCAGTTCGAAAGCAGCCCTAAGTGCCAGTAGATAAATAGGTACCGCTTTATAGCAGGAAGTTAAATGGTGTTTCCGTGTGTTGCGCTGGTGCCGGCTCGCCACGGCAGCTTTGTCACGCTGGCCACCTGACCCGGAAGTGTCTCCGGACAGCGCTGGCCCCCGGCCTCTTAAGTGAGATGGGCGCACAACCCTAGAGTCGGACACGACTGGCCCGTACGGGCAGAGTTACCTTTACCTTTACCTTTAAGCTTCTATGGAGATACTGTGGTACAACCTTGGTACAAATTTCAAAATAAGTACACCAAGCCAACAAAGAGACTCAGAGATTTATAGTGGCACCAGGTAAAGGTAAAGGGACCCCTGACCATTAGGTCCAGTCGTGACTGACTCTGGGGTTGTGGCGCTCATCTCGCTTTACTGGCTGAGGGGGCCGGTGTACAGCTTCCGGGTCATGTGGCCAGCATGACTAAGCCACTTCTGGTGAACCAGAGCAGCGCACAGAAACGCCGTTTACCTTCCCGCTGGAGCGGTACCTATTTATCTACTTGCACTTTGACATGCTTTCAAGCTGCTAGGTTGGCAGCAGCAGGGACCGAGCAACGGGAGCTCACCCTGTCACGGGGATTCGCACCGTCAACCTTCTGATCGGCAAGCCGTGGCTCTGTGGTTTAGACCACAGCGCCACCCGCGTCCCTTAAAGTTCCCTTAGAGAGATCCTTTAACTCCAATCTCAGCAGGAATCAGCACAGTGCTGAAATGGGATAGAAGCCCTGATCTGGAGATAAATGATCCCACTGGCTGCTCTTTAAAGAGGGTTTCTAAAGAACAATCAGAAGGGTCTTTTTTCATGGATCTCATTGCTAATTCAGCAGGGTCTTCTTGTGCTCTTATTTTCCCCCACCCCAGCACTGGGGTTGGAAGGTCTAAACATGCTGGTTCATAGATGTCAACTTTCAGATTTGAAAATAAGGGATCAGCAGCCTCACCTGTCCCCACGTCCCTGTGGCATCACGTATCCTGCTCAAAATTCCACTTTGTCAGACTGCAGCCCACAAAAGCTTAGGCCATAATACATTTATCAGCCTTTAAGGGCTGCAAAAGATGAATAAACAGAAGCGTAGTTCATCTATGGAATCCATCCTACAGGAGACCGTGAGAGCCAGCAACTTGGATAGCTTGAAAGAAAAGATAAGACTGACGTCTCTGCTCTGCCCTCGCAATCCTAGGCAATAATCCTTCTTGATACTAGTTTCTGAAAAGCACAGGAAGGCAGAGAAGACTCTTGTGCTCCAATCCTGCTTGCCGGTTTCCCACAGGCATCTGGTTAGCCTCTGTGAGAAGAGGATGCTGGACTAGGTGGGCCTTTGCCTGATCCAGCAGGCTCTTCTTAGGTTCCAATATATTGCAATATTTTTTCAGTTACATGTAGCACTTAAGTTTTACTTATTTCACAAGGGAAATACTGTTACTTGAGCCTGAGATAATTTCCTCACTTGAAAAAGAAAAATACAGAGATGTGTTTAATAAGCCAATTCCCCCATAGATCTGTATTATAAAATGATGGTGCTTTATTAAGTGTGAATGGAGTGATCATGTGTTGCTCTTGCCATTATCTCATCTGCTTTGCAAAAAAATTGGAACCTAGAGAGGACAGTGGAGAATGAAGGTGTTAAAATGAGAGAAGGTACAGATTGGGATTGACATGTGTTCAGTTCCTTTTTTGTCTTTCTTGAAAGTCTAACAGGATTCTCTTTCCTCCCAGACTCCCAAACAGGTGAGGAAGATGAAAGTCAGAATTCTATGGAGCCACAGGTGAATTCATTGGGAAGAACAAAGAAACTGAGGATACAACAAGAAACTCACAAAGGAGAGAAACTATTTGAATGTATTGAATGTGAAAAGAGCTTCAGTACCACTGGGAAACTTCGAATACATCAGCGAACTCACACAGGGGAGAAACCATTTGAATGTATTGAATGTGGAAAGAGCTTCAGTCGAAATGATGCACTAAGAATACACCAACGAACTCACACAGGGGAAAAACCATTTAAATGTATGGAATGTGGAAAGAGCTACAGGGATAGTGGATCACTTAGAATACACCAACGAACTCACACAGGGGAGAAACCATTTAAATGTATGGAGTGCGGTAAGGGCTTCAGTCGAAGTGGAACCCTTAGAAGTCATCTACGAATACACACGGAGGATAAACCATTGAAATGTATTGAATGTGGAAAGAGCTTCAGTGAAAGTGGAGCACTTAGAATACACCAACGAATTCACACAGGTGAGAAACCATTTAAATGTATGGAGTGCGGTAAGAGCTTCAATGATAGTGGATCACTTAGAATACACCAACGTACTCACACGGGAGAGAAACCATTTAAATGTATTGAATGTGGAAAGAGCTTCAGTGAAAGTGGACATCTTAGAAGACACCAACGAACTCACACAGGGGAGAAACCATTTAAATGTACTGAATGTGGAAAGAGCTACAGTCAAAGTGAAGGCCTTAGAATACACCAACGAACTCACACAGGGGACAAACCATTTAAATGTATGCAGTGTGGAAAGAGCTTCCATGAAAGTGGAGCACTTAGAAGACATCAACAAACTCACACAGGGGAGAAACCATTTGAATGTATTGAATGTGGAAAAAGCTATAGTCGAAGCGGAGAACTTAGAATACACCAACGAATTCACACAGGGGAAAAACCATTTAAATGTATGGAATGTGGAAAGAGCTACAGTGATAGTGGATCACTTAGAATACACCAACGAACTCACACAGGGGAGAAACCATTTAAATGTATGCAGTGTGGAAAGAGCTTCCATGAAAGTGGAGCACTTAGAAGACATCAACAAACTCACACAGGGGAGAAACCATTTGAATGTATTGAATGTGGAAAAAGCTACAGTCGAAGTGGAGAACTTAGAATACACCAACGAACTCACACAGGGGAAAAACCATTTAAATGTATGGAATGTGGAAAGAGCTACAGGGATAGTGGATCACTTAGAATACACCAACGAACTCACACAGGGGAGAAACCATTTAAATGTATGCAGTGTGGAAAGAGCTTCCATGAAAGTGGAGCACTTAGAAGACATCAACAAACTCACACAGGGGAGAAACCATTTGAATGTGTGGATTGTGGAAAGAGCTTCAGTCGAAGTGGGACACTTAGAAGACATCAACGAACTCACACAGGGGAGAAACCATTTAAATGTATTGAATGTGGAAAGAGCTACAGTCGAAGTGGAGAACTTAGAATACACCAACAAACTCACACAGGGGAAAAACCATTTAAATGTATGGAATGTGGAAAGAGCTACAGGGATAGTGGATCACTTAGAATACACCAACGAACTCACACAGGGGAGAAACCATTTCAATGTATGCAGTGTGGAAAGAGCTTCAGTCGAAGTGGGACACTTAGAAGACATCAACGAACTCACACGGGGGAGAAATCAATTAAATGTATTGAATATGGAAAGAGCTACAGCCAATATGGAGCACTTAGAAGACATCAACGAACTCATACAGGGCAAAAACCACGGATACTTTAATAAACTGCATAGGTGTTTTTTACCTTTCCTTCTATGCTTCCTTGCAATACTGACAAAATCAAACCATGCCAATGCTTTCAGCCCCAGAAGAGGAGCTCCCCTTGGTGTCAAAAGAAAGCAGTCCTGTGCCACATTTCGTAGCAGTTACTTTAACACACTCTACCTGGGGCTGCCTTTGAAAAGAGTTCAGAAGCTTCAATGGCTCAAAGAGCAGTATAGGACTCCCATATTCGAACAGCTTCGTCTGCCTAATTGTCTGTTTCTGAACACAATCAATGTTTCCACAAGAAGAGGAAGATAGATTTGGAGTGCAGCATTTTTAATAAGAAATGGACCCATGACTATTTCTTTGTGGAGCTGAGCCTCATTTGTGGTGAGGCCCTCTCCGTCCTGAAGAAGGCCCACCTGTAGACACACTGCAGGACGAAGCACATTCAGTACGAGGAGTTCCAAGGGCAGCTGCGCCAGGAGAAGGTCAAGGCGCTGAAAACGGACCTGTTGGGTACCTGTGGCCCCTCCAGATGATGTCAAATTGCAACTCACGTCTTCTTTAGCCGCTGGCCACGCTGGCTGGGGCTCATGGGAGCTGGAGTTCAAGGATCTAGGTCCACAAATGCCGGGGACAATTCAAATCCCTCCTCAGTCGTGAAGCCGATTGGGCAACTTAAAGCTGGTCACCATCTTTATGCGAAACCTCCCTCGCAGGGTTGCTGTGTGCGTGAAAGCACAGAAGTTTTTAGGGAAGTTTTTAATATTTAATGCTGTACTGTTTTTAACACTTGATTGGAAGCTGCCCAGAGTGGCTGTGGAAACTCAGCCAGATGGGCGGGGTATAAATAATAAATTATTATTATTATATAATGATCTTCCTCTGCTTCACTTCAGATAATTCAGTGGGGCCTCTTCTCAGTTCATTCTATTCTGGATCAGTGCCTTAATCCTTTGAAGATTTTGTATATCACAGAATAGTCATTGAGGTGTCCCCAGATGTTGTTGTCCAGTTCCCATCAGCTTCAGCCAGCAGGGCAGACAGTCAAGGATGATAGAAACTCTAATCTGGACCCCAGCACCTTGGCTCTGCTGCCCTATATCCTTCCCATTGAAAGAAATGTGAAAATTAATTTTGTACGCTATAGATTTATCCTGGTCTGGTGCATGCAATGTCTTTTGTTTTGCAGCTGTGTGATTTGTGCTCATATTGTATTGTGGTGGCCATTGGCTATAAACAATAAAATTTATAGATACAGTCGATTGAACTGCAAAAATAAGTAATAAAATAATAAAACGATTTTTATATTTTTTTGGTCCTCACTCCCAAATGGTGTGTGTGTTTTGGGTTATATTGGGGATGGGGTGGGGGGTGGAGAAGTATGAAAGCCAAAAACGCTCCCCTCCTCTGCTAAATGGATGCAGGAGACCAGAGGCAGCGAAAGAAAAAGCAGGGAAATAGAAACCCTCCAAGTGCCACTATTTTCCAGGGATGTCCCTGATTTAGAGAAGCTGTCCTGGTTGCTGATTTGATCCCAGAATGTCCCGCTTCTCCTTAGGGTCTCCCTATTTTCATTGAAGAAATGCTGGAGGGAATGGAGTTATCCGACCCCCGGGCCCTCTGACAAGGCAATCCTGTATAGGGACGTTTCAAAATGTTTAATGTTTTATTATGTTTTTTATATATGTTGGAAACTTCCCAGAGTGGCTTGGACAGCGTAATAAGATGTGCGGTGTATAAATAGGAAAATTATATTTATGGAAAGGGATGTCCCTATTTTCATCAGAGAAATGTTAGAGGGTTTGGAAAGGTCGGTTGCTGGAGCTAAGTGATTGCATGATCCCAACCAGCAGAGCTGGGAACTGGACTGCCGCCTCCAGCTACCCATTCAGGCTGCAGGCATAGCTGTCAACCTTCCCTTTTTTTGCTGGAATTTCCCTTATTCCAGTGCCATTTCCCGCTGGTATCCCGGATTGTTAGATATCCTGTAGACTGTCCCCGGGACAGGTGAGGCTGCTGATCCCTTTTTTTCAAATCTGAAAATTGACAGCTATGGCTGCAGGGTGGCATCGTCCCAGCTTTCTTAAAAGATTTACTGATGAGGAAACCAGTGACTGCACATCGGATCACAAGGAGACTTATTTGTGCAACATTCTCGATATCTTATGCAAGGTAGATTCCAATGATACAATAAATTTTGAGGGACAGCGCAAGGGGGCGAATCCAGCCTCGCAGCCTCCCAGGGCCCAACCCACAGCCAGCGAGCTCCGATGCTCAGAGAGGCAGGAAACGGGGCCAGCCAGGGGGACTCGAGAGCGGCTGCACTTTCCTGTCCCCCGCCGAGGAGAGCGGAGGAGCAGCGGCTCGTGGCTTGGCGAGTTTCCCCGGAGAGGAGCCGGATTCCGCAGCAGGGACGGAGCGAGGAGTCCGAGGTGCAGGAGGCGGGGGGGGGGGAGGAGGAGGAGAGCACGTGCGCCTGGCAGGATCAGGCCCCGAGCCCAGCCAGAGGCTGCAGGGCGTCCCCCAACCGGGCAGGAAGGGGAAGGGGCGCAGCTGAGGGGCAGGGCATCTGCAGGAGGGCACAGGGGCAAACATCTCTGGCTCAGGCTGGCACGGACCCTGCCGGAGACCCTGGGGAGCTGCTCCCTTCAGTCCTGAGCTCAAAGGGCAGAATGAGGGGTCCAAGGCAGCTGCTGCTTCGCGATGGACGATGCATATAGTCGCTCACGGATCAGCGGCGTACCTGGGGCTTTTGCCGCCCCTCTCCCTGTCCCTCAGCAGGGAGCCCAGCCCATTTCGACGGTCCTCCCCACGGGGGAGAGGGAAGGGGAGGCAGGGGGAAAGGAAGAGCAGTGCAGCTCGGAAGGGGGCTCTTACTGTGCAGCCCCCTGACACCCTTTGCAGGCCACTACTCCTGCCCTCCTTCCTCTGCCAGTGCCATTGATGAACCTATCGCCCTCCTTCATGAATTGGTCGCCTTCTAAAGCACTCTTAGCCGCCACCACCATCACCGCATCTTGTGGCAATGATGTCCATCCAATTCATTTAGCAAGGAAATTGCTTCTTTTGCCTGCCCCAAATCAAGGTACACTGTGCCTACACATGGAGGCTCTGTTGATCTGTCACAGCTAATAAAACGGCTAATAGATCTTTTCCCCGGAGAATGCATCTGATCTTTCCCCAAACTATCAAAGCTAGTGACCTCTTGTGTCTGCGTGTGAATAAGTGTGACAGGCTTAAACCTGTCTCATTAATTGTTTTATTTCCACCTTCCTCAGTAAGGCAGCAGAGTTTACAGATGAAGGCTGAGGGTTGAAGTAGGTGACGGTTTTGAGAATGCAGAGGAAAGGACGATTCTTATGAAGTGTGGCATATGGAAATGAATTAATGATAATAAAAACATTGAAGACAGTATTGTTAAAGACTGAGGAAGGCGAAATTGAAATTAGCTATTCATGTTCAGATTATTACTCCTTTCATTTCTATACTGCTTCATATTTTTAAGGAAAAAAATCTCAAAGTAATTAGAGAGAAATCTCATTGCAATTTGTGTCCATAGGTTGTTGAGAACATTAACTCTGTAGATCCAGGAGTTCTCTCCTCCTGATAGTCTCAGATTTGATTGTTCTTTCTGATAGAGCAGGAGGAGCGAAACATTTATGGGCTTAAAGCTGCATTGATTCTGGAGGCCACATTCCAGTGAGCTTTGTGGCCAATGTATGCACATGCATGCGCACACAGAAAAGAGATGCAGACCATAAAGTCACATGCACACACGCCAGAGGTGCTGCACACACTCACCAGACATGCCATCTAGCATACATACAAGTCTTGCAAACACAATCAGCATGTTTAGACCTTCCAACCCCAGTTCTGGGGTGGGGGAAAATAAGAGCACCAGAAGACCCTGCTGAATTAGCAAGGAGATCTGTGGAAAAAAGACCCTTCTGATCGTTCTTTAGAAATCCTCTTTAAAGAGCAGCCAGAGGGATCATTTCTGGAGCAGGGCCTTTACCCCATTTCAGCACTGTGCTGGTTTGTGGTGAAATTGGAGTTTAAAAGATCTCTCTAAGGGCCCTTAGGCATCTTTCTCTTCAGGACAGACAGAGATCTTCATCCTAGGTGAAATCTTCTTTCTTGTAGTTTGGATCCATTGCTCCGTGTCCGCTTCTCTGGAGCAGCAGAAAACAACCTTTCTCCCTCCTCTATGTGACATCCTTTTATATATTTGAACATGGCTATCATATCACCCCTTAACCTCCTCTTCTCCAGGCTAAACATGCCCAGCTCCCTTAGCCATTCCTCATAAGGCATCATTTCCAGGCGTTTGACCATTTTGGTTGCCCTCCTCTGGACACGTTCCACTTTGTCAGTGTCCTCCTTGAACTGTGGTGCCCAGAACTGGACACAGTACTCCAGGTGAGGTCTGACCAGAGCAGAATACAGTGGCACTATTACTTCCCTTGGTCTAGATGCTATACTCCTATTGATGCAGCCCAGAATTGCATTGGCTTTTTAGCTGCCGCGTCACACTGTTGGCTCATGTCAAGTTTGTGGTCAACCAAGACTCCTAGATCCTTTTCACATGTACTGCTCTCAAGCCGGGTGTCACCCATCTTGTATTTGTGCCTCTCAATTTTTTTTGCCCAAGTGCAATACTTTACATTTCTCCCTGTTAAAATTCATCTTGTTTGTTTTGGCCCAGTTCTCTAATCTGTCAAAGTCGTTTTGAAGTGTGATCCTGTCCTCTGGGGTGTTAGCCACCCCTCCCAGTTTGGTGTCATCTGCAAATTTGATCAGGATGCCCTTGAATCCATCATCCAAGTCGTTGATAAAGATGTTGAATAAGACCGGGCCCAAGACAGAACCCTGTGGCACCCCACTAGTCACTCTTCTCCAGGATGAAGAGGAACCATTGATGAGCAGCCTTTGGGTTCGGTCAGTCAGCCAGTTACAAATCCACTGAGTGGTAGCATAGTCAAGACCGCATTTTACCAGCTTCTTTACAAGAATATCATGGGGCACCTTGTTGAATGCCTTGCTGAAATCAAGGTAGGCTACATCCACTGCGTTCCCTTCATCTACCAGGCTTGTAATTCTGTCAAAAACACGCGCTCAGGTTAGTCTGACATGACTTATTGTTCAGAAATCCATGCTGACTATTGGTGATCACAGCATTCCTTTCTAGGTGCTCACAGACTGTTTGCTTAATGATCTGCTCCAGAATCTTCCCTGGTATTGATGTCAGACTGACTGGGCAGTAATTATTTGGGTCCTCTCTTTTCCCCTTTTTGAAAATAGGGACAACATTTGCCCTCCTCCAGTCTGCTGGGACTTCGCCTGTTCTCCAGGAATTCTCAAAGATGACTGCCAATGGTTCTGAGATCACATCTGCCAGTTCTTTTAATACTCTTGGATGCAGTTCATCTGGCCCTGGAGACTTGAATACATCTAAACTAGCCAAGTATTCTTGTACTATCTCCTTAGTTATTCTGGGCTGTGTTTCCTCTGCTGAATCATTTGCTCCAAATTCTTCAGGTCGGGCATTGTTTTCTTTATCGGAGAAGACTGAGGCAAAGAAGGCATTGAGGAGTTCAGCCCTTTCTGTGTCCCCTGTTTGCATTTCACCATCTTCTCCTCTGAGTGACCCCACTGTTTCTTTGTTCTTCCTTTTGCTACGGACATACCCATAAAAGCCTTTTTTGTTGCTTTTAACCTCTCTAGCAAGCCTGAGTTCATTCTGTGCTTTAGCTTTTCTGACTTTGTGTCTACATGTGCTGGCTATTTGTTTGAATTCCTCTTTGGTGGTTTCCCCCCTTTTCCATTTTTTGTACACATCCTTTTTTAATCTTAATTCAGTTGTAAAAGTTCTTTAGATAGCCACCATGGCTTCCTTAGGCACCTTCCATGTTTCCGTCTCATTGGTATTGCCTGAAGTTGTGCTTTTACTATCTCCCTCTTAACAAACTCCCAGCCATCATGAACTCCCTTTCCTTTTAGTATTACTGTCCATGGAATCTCACCCAGCACTTCCCTAAGTTTTATGAAGTCGGCTTTCTTAAAGTCAAGAAATTGAGTCCTAGTATACTTGGCTGCTCCTTTCTGCTGTATAGTAAACTTCAGAAGAGCATGATCACTCGCGCCTAATGATCCTTCCACTTCTACCCCACTAACCAGGTCATCAACATTGGTTAGGACCAGATCTAAAATGGCTGTTCCTCTTGTTGCTTCTCCCACTTTCTGGACAATGAAGTTGTCTGCAAGGCCAGTGAGGAATCTGTTTGACCTTATGCTCTTGGCTGAGTTTGACATCCAACAAATATCCTGGTAATTGAAGTCCCCCATTACTACTATCTCCCTTCCTTTTGCATGCTTGGCCATCTGTTCCAGGAAGGCATCATCTATGTCCTCCGTTTGGCTTGGGGATGTCAGTATCTCAGCTCACAGTCAGAGGTAACTGGCCTCCCCCGGGGCAAACTGAGTGAGATACTTGTTTACCTTCCGTCTGCGTCTTCCCGGCAGACAAGGTCGTAACTCGGCGATTCTCCTCAGATGTGAGAAGAACACACCCTCTGCTTCACTCTCCCAGCTTTCCCCCCCAGGGAGGGGAAATGAGACAGACAGGAGTCCTATTTACATGTCTTTTATTCCTGTCATTCAGCAGTACATAGAAACGTGGCTGCACCCTTCAGACTCCATCAGAAGAGTCACAACTCTACCCCTGTACTTCCAGTACAGGTCAGATGACACTCTGAGCTAACATCCGGTGCTCAGTACAGAGAATAGACTTCCCCTTTTCCCAACAGTACAGTTGGAGACAACAACATCCTGTTTTGCTTTCCAGCCACTTGCAGCTGGCTTTTGCATTGGTGCTTTTTCCCAACAACCTCCCCCAAAAGCATCAATAGGCAAAACATGATCCAGAGAAGAAAACAAACAGTTGTTATACATATAACAGTCCCCTGTTGTTTCAGTTCCACCCTTGGAACTCCCCACCACTGGTTTCACCAGTGTACCTCTCTGGTTGTCTGGCTTCCAAGGAATGAGTGCTTCTGCATTACTTTAGCTAGCTACTCTCTGTTGTGTCTTTGTCTCTGACTTAGACACTGCTTTAACCTGTTTTGAGTTGTTAACAATAGCAACACATGCAACAGCTAAGTTAGCAAACTCTTTTGAGTACCTCTTTGGTGGTACACCCATCGTAACTCTCTCAGACCTGCGTATGAGGTGCTGATCCTCTGTGCTCACTGGTTCAACCTCTGGACTTTGTTGAGAACCAGTAGCAATGGCAAACAGTGGTTCTTCCTTCACCTGTGAAGGTCTATCCATTGTGTGAGATTTTCTCTCAATGACTGTTACAACTGAACTCTCTGAGCTATCACTGTCATCATCAGTTCTACTGTAATCTGTGTAATCAGAAAAATCATCATCATCTGAATTGTCACCTGTGGGAAATGTGTGTACTACTACCCGCTCTTGTTCTGGAGCACTCTCTAGAAACTTTGTGAGAATCACCTGACCAGATTCAGACAAAATTACTCTGTAGAGACCCTTTTCATAACCCACAAAAATGCCTCTGGCATTCTTCACTCCACCTGGAGCTTCTGTTCTCACATGAGACCCGAAAACCTTAAAATAGGCAACAGAAGGTTTTCTATGGAACAGCTTCTCAAAAGGAGAACATCCCAACTCTGTTGAGACCTTTCTCACCCACACGTGAAGATAGGACGCTAGTGACTCGGCCCAATATTCATGTGGCAAATGTGAACTAAGCAATTGCGCATGCATCCCCTTTTGCAATTCCTTGTTCACCCTCACACAGACCCCCCTGTTCCATGCTTCGGTTGAAACAGCAACTTTGTGGTCTATCCCTTTTCCATCCAGGAACTTCTGAAACTTCTGTAACAGAAAAATTGGCTTCTCATCTGTGAAGAGACAGTCAATGTTAGCATCATGCATATTTTTAACCTTGTCACAAAACTCCTGAAACCTTTCTAAGGTCTCTTGTGGTTTCTGCATCACAAAAACCCAAGAATAATTTGTGAAACAATCCACACACACAAGGTAAAATTTCGCACCGCCTCTAGATGGTTCTAGAGGACCAATCACATCAGCATACACCTGCTGAAATGCCCTGTCGACCTTCTTGGTCACCTTCCTGGTGCTCACACTGGTCACACCTGCAAGAGAGATTTCGTTAGAATCAGAAGAATTACATTTCATGTAATCACTTTGATCAAAAGTCAACAAATACAGTCCATCTTTCTCTCTGGCAGTAAGATACAGTTCTCCATCTTTGTAGATCTTGCAGCTCTTAGCATCATAGGACAGTTTCAGTCCTTTCTTTGCAATCTGCGACACACTCAGCAGATTAAATTTCAGTTCTGGAACCAGGTAAACATTGTTTATAGTCAAGTTCAGACTCTCAAGATACACAGTCCCAATCCCGGTCGCTTCCAGCTCCTGGCCGTTGGCCTGTTTCACAGCGAAGCTTTGCTTCTTCAACGTTGAAAACAGTTCTCTGTGCGGACACATATGAACCGTGGCTCCAGTGTCGATTACAAACGAGTTCCCAACATCTGGCGTGGTTCCTTTCGCCATCATAGCCTTTGCAGGTTTCACCTGGCACTTGGTACGGCTTTTGCCTGACGCCTCAGGCTTCATAGAGCTGCTCTTTGCTCCTCTTGACTGGCGCGGCTTCCTACAGTTTCTTTGTAGATGCCCAGTCTGTCCACAATTGTAACATCGGACAGCGCTCAAAGCTACAGCACGCTTCTCAGTAGCTTTAGCAGTGGGGGAGTCAGAACTTTGTTCCTCCCTCCCCCTGTCAGCAACATCCATTGCATCTTGAACAGTTCCTTCGCTCCCCCATCTAGGGTCAAAGCTCTCCTCAGCTTTCGATGAGCTCTTAGGAACTTGGCCAGCATCATCCTTGCTCACCCCTTCTGGGGTAGTCGTCTTTCCAGACCATGATGAATAACTGCCACTGGTCAGGGGAGATGAATAAGGCAGGGCTCCCTCCTTCTTGGCATCCATCTTGAAGCCAAGCCTCTCTCTCACTTTCCAGCCTTGCTAAAACTCCAATAGCCTCTGCTGGATTGTTTACTGCCTTTCCAGGCAAACTGCAAGCTGTTTCTCAGACCTTGCACAGCATCGAAAACATAGTCAAAACAAACTTTCGCTTCCCAGGCACTCTCTCAGAGCCATCTGCGCAGCCAGTAAATTTCCACGTCTCTGACGGGCGTCGCTTAGCAACTGTGCATACAGGAAAGCTTATCTCAACCACAAGAATTTGTGGAATGCAGGCTGAGCCTCTGAGCTGCAGGCCTCTCCTCTCAGAGCTGTTGTTTTTCCGAAACGCAGCTCCCGTGAACCAGAGAATAAATCAATCTGCGTTCACACTTTTAGCCCGAAATGCAGCATACCTTGAGCTCCGTTGCTTGGAAAACACTTTCCTCTGGGTCCAGCCGTCTGTCCAGCTTCTGGCTGCTCTCAGACGTTTATCTTCTCCCTTGGAGCAGAGGAGGACAATCCACCAGCCTCTCATGCAGATGTTCGATGAATCGCAACCACCGAATGCTACCATATGTCAGTATCTCAGCTCACAGTCAGAGGTAACTGGCCTCCCCCGGGGCAAACTGAGTGAGATACTTGTTTACCTTCCGTCTGCGTCTTCCCGGCAGACAAGGTCGTAACTCGGCGATTCTCCTCAGATGTGAGAAGAACACACCCTCTGCTTCACTCTCCCAGCTTTCCCCCCCAGGGAGGGGAAATGAGACAGACAGGAGTCCTATTTACATGTCTTTTATTCCTGTCATTCAGCAGTACATAGAAACGTGACTGCACCCTTCAGACTCCATCAGAAGAGTCACAACTCTACCCCTGTACTTCCAGTACAGGTCAGATGACACTCTGAGCTAACATCCGGTGCTCAGTACAGAGAATAGACTTCCCCTTTTCCCAACAGTACAGTTGGAGACAACAACATCCAATCGTGGGACTTATTCCACCAGGCTTGCTAGACCAAACTTTCTTATACATGGGAGTTTTGTGATCATATCTCCTTCTTTTCTTACTTTACCTAAACAGCTGCAGGGAACTCTGAATTTCATCAGAGCAGAAGCTACGTCAGAAGAGATGTCCTTCCACCAACCCCCTTTTTCCTCCTCTAAATTGCGTGCATTTCCAAAATGCTCTTTTCTCCCCACTGAGATAAAAATCTTGGCACGTCTTGCAGCCTCACCACTGCCATGTGCAGTGCAAATAGAATAACACTGGCCTACCTTGCAAGATTGTTCCAAGATTTATTAAGATAATGTCCATGTTCAGATGACTGAATCACAGCCTGAAAAGCTGGGTTACAAATAGGAACAGTTTTTAGTACATTGCTGTACTAATGTACATTTGGTACATTACGATAAAACCTAAGTTGACCCAAGTTCAAAACAAAAAACTAGCCGCCGCCACCACAGTCTCCTGGCCCCCACAAACAGAATGCATCACTCCAGGAAGGACCCCCACCCAACCTTTAGTGAGAGAGGGCAAAAGAAAAGGACTCTGCATGGGTAGTTGCACGAATCTACCAGCTGTGGTCCTGCACTGGCAGCAAGGCTAACAAACAGGGGAGCTGGGAACGTGCTGGTCCCATATCTCCCTGCATCTGCCTCCTGACCTAATTGTCCCAGCCTACCTCATGATTTGGCTGGCCCTGAGGGTGAACCGTGATGAAACCAGGCAGTCTCTTATGAGCCATAACGAACAAACTTTCCATTTTGCCCAAACCAGGAAACTACAGCTGCCAGCATTGGAACAAGCTGGGATATTAAGCTAACTTCAAACTGAACTTGGTAAAAACAGGAAATTCTGGTTGATCAGTGGCTTCGTGGTTTGACTGATCCCACTGATAGCAGTAAAAATAGGATGCCCTGTTGCGTTCGAAGGGGTTGTTTGGACAGAGTCTCTGATCAGCATGCCTAGCAGGACAGGCTTAAAAAGGTAAAGGGACCCCTGATCATTAGGTCCAATCGTGACCGACTCTGGGGTTGTGGCGCTCATCTCGCTTTATTGGCTGAGGGAGCAGGCGTACAGCTTCCAGGTCATGTGGCCAGCATGACTAAGCCACTTCTTGCAAAGGAGAGCAGCGCACGGAAACGCCGTTTACCTTCCTGCCGGAGTGGTACCTATTTATCTACTTGCACTTTGACGTGCTTTCGAACTGCTAGGTTGGCAGGAGCAGGGACCGAGCAATGGGAACTGACCCCGTCGTGGGGAATCGAACCGCCGACCTTTTTTTTTTTTATAAATCTTTTATTAAGTTTCCACAATAAAAGACAAAGAAAGTACAAAATCACAAAAAAACAATACAATACAAAAACACAAACATTAAACACATCAAAAGAAAAAGGAAAAAAAAGATAAAAACACATATAATAACAAAAAACAAAAATTCCCTCTTTCTTAATTTCTCATCTTCAATTAGCTTATTTTCCGGACTTCCTCACATCTCCCGTTCTTGTATCCCTTTTTTAAAAATTAATTCAGCAAATTAATATCCTATTAATTTATCTGTTGTTAATCCAATCTTACATTTTACTTTGTTGCTAAAGTCCCTGCGATTCATTTCAATGTCCTTAACATTCATAAATTTTACAGTATTTCTGCAAATAAATTTTGAATTTCTTCCAATCTTCCTCCACCGTCTCCTCTCCCTAGTCTCGGATTCTGCCAGTCATTTCCGCCATCTCCATGTAGTCCATTAGTTGCATCTGCCAATCTTCCAAGGTAGGTAGATCTTGTGTCTTCCAATGCTTTGCGATGAGAATTCTTGCTGCTGCTGTAGCATACATAAAAAAAAATCTATCCTTCTTTAGCACCGATTGGTCCACTATGCCCAGGAGGAAGGCCTCTGGTTTCTTCGGGAAAGTATATTTAAATACCTTTTTCAGTTCATTATATATCATTTCCCAGAAGGCCTTGATCCTTGGGCACGTCCACCAAAGGTGAAAGAATGTACCTTCAATCTCTTTGCATTTCCAACATTTGTTATCGGGCAAATGATATACTTTTGCAAGCTTGACTGGGGTCATGTACCTTCTTATCGGCAAGTCCTAGGCTCTATGGTTTAACCCACAGCGCCACCAGCGTCCCAGGACAGGAAGCAATTATTATTATTATTATTATTATTATTATTACTTGCATCCTGCCTATCTGACTGGGTTGCCTCTGCCCATCTGGGTAGCTTCCAACAAAATAAAAACCATCAAAACTTTCCTTGTAAAAGGCTGTTTTTGGAAGTCTTCCATTTTATAGAAATGGCCTTCAGTTTTAAAGAATTGTCCTCTTTAAGGGATCACGTGGTGTAAACAACTCTTGAGATCTACTCACAGGAAGGGAGGTGGGACAGGCAGCTGAAAGGAATTGCCAAAGGTGTTTGAAAATGGGTGGGGGCTCTTGGGAAGGGGGTGCCCAATTGGCACTTCTCCAGGGGCAGCAGAATGCCTTGGGCAGGAGAATCCCTGCAGGGGCTCTGAGACTCCCTTGGCTTCTTCTTCCCTCCCTCCCAGGAAGCTGCAACTTGCTCTGGATTCTGCGCTCCTCAGGAAGCTGAACCTGCAAACCTAGCTGAGACTGAACCTGCAACCCTGGCCAGGATGGAAGGAGGAAGATGGACGGTTGACCTGGTCAGGCTGTCTCCCGCATCCCTCCCCACAACCTCTGAGCATTCCCTCCCAGGACCCTTGGAGAAATCTGGTGAGTTCCAGGGGAGAGGAGATGGGGAGAGGGATAGATGGAAGGTGGCGGGAGAAAGAGGAAAAGATGGAGAGGAGACAAATGGAAGGAAGTTCCTGACAGGAAGAAGGAAGGGGTGAGGCCTTCTCCGAAGCAGCTCTTTGTTTCTTGAATCCTTTTCCTAAAGTAGTGGGGGCAGATTTTCTTCCTCCAGGCTTTGAAATCTTAGGTGTTATTTCCACGGCAGGAATAATTGATGATAATGATGTTGCACACCAATCCTGAAGAATGGGTGAAGGGGAATGGAAATGTTTCCCATAATTATTTATAATTAATGTACATAAATTGTTTCTATTACTCTTATTGTTTATAAACAGGGTCATAATGATACATTCCACCAGCACCAAAACACAATAAATGCACGCACCTTCCCAGTCTGGTGGGGTTCAGGGACAAAGGACCAGTTATCATGATACACGATTCCTGTGGCTGGAGGCTCTACACTTAGGATTGGGCATATATAGTCAAAGAGCGTCTGGTATTATAAGCAAATTGTGTAAATCTTACAGACTGGGGTTGTTTGTGAGAGTCAGTGAGTGGGATAATAATTTATAGCGCCACTGTGTAATGGCTTGGTTCTCCCGCACACACGTGAGACAACTCCAGTAGTAATTATCTCAAACTCATAAATCACTGTGGAGCTCAGTCTTCGGACTGTTCAACCCAGCTTGCAGTTGCCGAGTCCTCCAGCAAAGAAGCCCCCACTTTCGCTCTCTTTTCCCCTCTTCTCGCAGATTCTCTCGAGCCTAAGAGTTTTTGGACAGGCTATTTCTGGGGTCCCTGTGTCAGAGCTCAAACTGGAGCTAACAGTCTGTGCCCCGCCCCGGCACCCCCCTTCCTGTTCTTTGTTCTTTGCTCCTGCTGCAGCTTGGCTGCTCCTCCCCTGCTTCACATTCCAACCGAATCACATCTCTTGCCTTCTCAGGCTCTGTCAGCGGAGGCACAAGAGGCTTGAGATTCACAGAGCTGACACCCTGTAATTTTGTCCTTGCCTAAGCCTCCATGGAGATATTGTGGTACAAGCTTGGTGCAAATTTCAAAATAAGTACACAAAGCCAACAAAGAGACTCAGAAGTTTATAGTGGCACCAGCTTTCCTGGTCAAGAGTCCACTTTGTCAGACTGCAGCCCACAAAAGCTTAGGCCATAATACATTTATCAGCTTTTAAGGGCTGCAAAGATGAATAAACAGAAGCGTAGTTCATCTATGGACTTCCATCCTACAGGAGACAGTGACACACAGCAACTTGGATAGCTTGAAGAAAAGGATAAGACTGACATCTCTGCTCTGCCCTCATGGTCCAGGCAATAATCCTTCTTGATACAAGTTTCTGGAAAGCACAGGAAGGCAGAGAAGACTCTTGTGCTCCAATCCTGCTTGCCGGTTTCCCACAGGCATCCGGTTGGCCTCTGTGCGAAGAGGATGCTGGACTAGGTGGGCCTTTGCCTGATCCAGCAGGCTCTTCTTAGGTTCCAATATATTGCAATATTTCTACAGTTACATGTAGCACTTCAGTTTTATTTATTTCACAAGGGAAATACTGTTACTTGAGCCTGAGATCATTTCCTCACTTGAAAAAGAAAAATACAGAGATGTGTCTAATAAGCCAGTTCCACCATAGATCTGTATTATAAAATGATGGTGCTTTATTAAGTTTGAATGGAGTGATCATGTGTTGCTCTTGCCACTATCTCATCAGCTTTCGTAAAATTTGGAACCTAGAGAGGATAGTGGAGAATGAAGGTGTTACAATGAGAGAAGGTGCAGATAGGAATTGACATGTGTTCAATTCCTTTTTTGTCTTTCCTGAAAGTCTAACAGGATTCTCTTTCCTCCCAGACTCCCAAACAGGTGAGGAAGATGAAAGTCAGAATTCTATGGAGCCACCTGTCAATTCATTGGGAAGAACAAAGAAACTGAGGATACAACAACAAACTCACAAAGGAGAGAAACTATTTGAATGTTTTGAATGTGGAAAGAGCTTCAGTGAAATTGGAAAACTTAGAAGACACCAACGAACTCACATGGGGGAGAAACCATTTAAATGTACTGTATGTGGAAAGAGCTTCAGTGATAGTGGATCACTTAGAATACACCAACGAACTCACACAGGGGAAAAACCATATAAATGTATTGAACGTGGAAAGAGCTACAGTCAAAATGGATACCTTAGAATACATCAACGAATTCACACGGGGGAGAAACCATTTAAATGTATTGAATGTGGAAAGAGTTTCAGCAAAAGTGGAGTACTTAGAGTACACCAACAAACTCACACAGGGGAGAAACCATATAAATGTATTGAATGTGGAAAGAGTTTCAGTGAAAGTGGATCACTTAGAATACACCAACGAACTCACACAGGGGAGAAACCATTTAAATGTATTGAATGTGGAAAGAGCTTTAGTTATAGTGGATCACTTAGAATACACCAACGAACTCACACGGGGGAGAAACCATTTAAATGTATGGAATGTGGAAAGTGTTTCAGTGAAAGTGGATCACTTAGAATACACCAACGAACTCATACAGGGGAGAAACCATTTAAATGTATGGAATGTGGAAACAGCTACCGTCAATCTGGAGCACTTAGAATGCATCAACGAACTCACACAGGGGAAAAACCACAGATACTTTAATAAACTTTAATAAACCGCATAGGTGTTTTTTACCTTTCCTTCTATGCTTCCTTGCAATACTGATAAAATCAAAACACCCTAATGCTTTCAGCCCCAGAAGAGGAGCTCCCCTTGGTGTCAGGGGAAGGGTCCAAGGGAGCATCTGGAGCCCTGCCATTCCTTCTGTCCCTGGCCCCTTCTCCCTCCTCTCTCTGCCATCCCTGGGCCACTCCTTACTCCATAGCAGGAGACTGGATCTGTCTGTGATGGTGAGATGTCCTGGCTGGTTGAAGGACCACTTCCTGTTTTCTGCAGCTCTGTCCTGCCTTCTCGTGGAAGCTGGAGTCATGAAGCAGGCGAAGACTGAGCACACCTAAGGGTGGCGCAGGGGGTGGGTGGGATTCTGCTTAACCTTTCCCCGTCTGCTCCTTTTCTGGATCCAAATCCCCACACAAAAAGGGGCAGTGTGAGGGCACAATCAATGTTATGGAGCTGCACTGAAAATCATTGCTTTGTGACTGTAAGAGGCCCTTCTCAAAAAAAGAAGCATCAAGAGAATTTAAGCTACAGAATTTAAAACAAACAGATAATTACAAAAAAAAGAAAGCAGTCTGGTGCCACATTGCGTAGGAGTTACTTTAACACACTCTACCTGGGGCTGCCTTTGAAAAGAGCTCAGAAACTTCAATGGCTCAAAGAGCTGCAGACACATTACTGACCAGGGCTGGCTATAGGCAGCATAGGACTCATATATTTGAACAACTCCGTCTGCCTAATTGTCTGTTTCAATCAATGTTTCCACAAGAAGAGGAAGATAGATTTGGAGTGCCGCATTTTCAAAAAAGGTGGACACACGACAAATTCTTTGTGGAGCTGAAAGGCATGCCTGTGTGCCTCATTTGTGGTGAGGCCCTCTCTGTCCTGAAGAAGGCCCACCTGCAGAGGCACCACAGGACAAAAGCACATCCAGTACGAAGAGTTCCAAGGGCAGCTGCGCCAGGAGAAGGTGAAGGCGCTGAAAACGGACCTGTTGGGTAGCCTGTGGCCCCTCCAGATGATGTCAAATTGCGACTCATGTCTTCTTCAAATTGCAACTCACGTCCTCAAAATGGTTCAGCCTCCGCCACCTTTACTGCAGTCAACTGAAGGCAACCAACTGTGCCCTGGGCCCCTCGATCTTTCTCACTTCCAATGAAAACTAATAAATGAATAGGAAGAGAAGCTACCCATGTCACACTGACACAAACACCTTGCATATGAACTTCGTAAAATAATGAAAGTGTATTCTACCCGCCCCCGCCCCCCGCTTGCTCTCCCCACCTCTCAATTCCCCAGCCTTACACTGTATACAACATTAAAGTCTGTCTGTCTCTGAATTTTTATGATATCCAAAGTAACAGAGTAGCTTATAGTTAGGAAGCCAAATAGCTATTCTAGTTGATAGTTCCTTTTTACAGACTATACAGTGGCCAGACTCTTGCTATTCAAAAGAACTTTACTTTCATAATCATATAACTGAGAAGAATAGAAGAGGAGTCTGTAACCTGAAGTGTATGTAACACGAGGTACCACTGTACAATCTTCTGCTTATTCAAACACGCAGCCCTGTTTAGAGAAGTTTTTAATATTTAATGCTGTGCTGTTTTTAACACTTGATTGGGAGCCGCCCAGAGTGGCTGGATAAACTCAGCCAGATGGGTGGGGTATAAATAATAAATTATTATTATTATATAGTGATCTGTTTCACTTCAGACAGATCACACTAACAAACTACAGTTACAGTTGCTCCAAGATAATTCAGTGGGGCCTCTTCTCAGTTCATTGTCTTCTGGATCAGTGCCTTAATCCTTTGTCGATTCTGTAAATCACAGAATAACCATTGAGGTGTCCCCAGATGTTGTTGTCCAGTTCCCATCAGCTTCAGCCAGCAGGGCAGACAGTCAAGGATGATGGAAATTGTAATCTGGACCTCACCACCTTGACTCTGCTGCCCTATATCCTTCCCATTGAAAGAAATGTGAGAATAAATTTTGGACACTATAGATTTATCCTGATCTGGTGCATGCAATGTCTTTTGTTTTGCAGCTGTGTGATTTGTACTCATATTGTATTGTGGTGGCCATTGGCTATAAACTATAAAATTTATAGAAACGGTAGATTGAACTGCAAAAATAAGTAATAAAATAATAAAAGGATTTTATTTTTTTGGTCCTCACTCCAAAATGGTGTGTGTGTGTCTCCTGGTGTTTTTGGTTATATTGGGGGTGGGGTGGGGGTGGAGAAGTATAAGGCCAAAACCATGCCCCTCCTCTGCTAAATGGATGCAGGAGACCAGAGGCAGCGAATGAAAAAGCAGGGAAAGAGAAACCCTCCAAGTGCCACTGTTTAGAATTAGAGAAGCCGTCCTGGTTTCTGATTTGATCCCAGAATGTCACGCTTTTCCTTAGGGTGTCCCTGTTTTCATTGAAGAAATGTTGGAGGGAATGGAGTTATCCAACCCCCGGCTCTCTGAAGGCCATCCTGTATAGGAACGTTTTTTAATGTTTAATGTTTTATTATGTTTTTTATATATGTTGGAAACTTCCCAGAGTGGCTGGGGCAGCGTAATAAGATGTGTGGTGTATAAATAGGAAAATTATATTTATGGAATGGGATGTCCCTATTTTCATCAGAGAAATGTTGGAGGGTTTGGAAAGGTCGGTTGCTGGAGCTAAGTGATTGCATGATCCCAACCAGCAGAGCTGGGAACTGGACTGCCTCCTCCAGCTACCCATTCGGGCTGCAGGCATAGCTGTCAACCTTCCCTTTTTTTGCCGTAAATTCCCTTATTCCAGAGCCATTTCCCGCTGCTATTCCGGATTGTTAGATATCCTGTAGACTGTCCCCGGGACAGGTGAGGCTGCTGATCCCTTATTTTCGAGTCCGCTGCTGATCCCTTATTTTCAAATCTGAAAATTGACAGCTATGGCTGCAGGGTGGCATCGTCCCAGCATTCTGAAAAGATTTACTGATGAGGAAACCAGTGACTGCACATCGGATCACAAGGAGACTTATTTGTGCAACATTCTGGATATCTTATAAGATGCCAGGTAGATTCCAATGATACAATAAATTTTGAGGGACAGCGCAAGGGGGCGTATCCAGCCTCGCAGCCTCCCAGGGCCCAACCCACAGCCAGCGAGCTCCGATGCCCAGAGAGGCAGGAAACGGGGCCAGCCAGGGGGACTCGAGAGCGGCTGCACTTTCCTGTCCCCCGCCGAGGAGAGCGGAGGAGCAGCGGCCCGTGGCCTGGCGAGTTTCCCCGGAGAGGAGCCGGATTCTGCTGCAGGGACGGAGCGAGGAGTCCGAGGTGCAAGAGGGCGGAGCAAGCGGGGGAGGAGGAGGAGGAGAGCACGTGCGCCTGGCAGGATGAGGCCCCGAGCCCAGCCAGAGGCTGCAGGGCGCCCCCCAACCGGGCAGGAAGGGGAAGGGGCGCAGCTGAGGGGCAGGGCATCTGCAGGAGGGCGCAGGGGCAAACATCTCTGGCTCAGGCTGGCACGGACCCTGCCGGAGACCCTGGGGAGCTGCTCCCTTCAGTCCTGAGCTCAAGGGGCAGAATGAGGGGTCCAAGGCAGCTGCTGCTTCGCGGTGGACGATGCATATAGTCGCTCACGGATCAGCGGCGTACCTGGGGCTTTTGCCGCCCCTCTCCCTGTCCCTCATCAGGGAGCCCAGCCCATTTCTACAGTCCTCCCCACGGCGGAGAGGGAAGGGGAGGCGGGGGGGGGGGGGAGGAAGAGCAGTGCAGCGGGGGGGGGCTCTTACTGTGACACCCTTTGCAGACCACTACTGCCCCCCTTCCTCTGCCAGTGCCATTGATAAACCTATCACCCTCCTTCATGAATTGGTCAGATCGCCTTGTAAAGCTCTCTTTGCCACCACCATCGTCGCATCTTGTGGCAATGATGTCCATCCGATTCATTTAGCAAGGAAATTGCTTCTTTTGCCTGCCCCAAATCAAGGTACACTGTGCCTTTATTAGTCAGGGCTAATAAAACAGCTGATAGATCCATTCCCTGGAGAACACGTCTGAACTTTCCCCCAAGCTATCAAAGCTAGTGTGTCTGCGTGTAGATAAGTGAGAGAGCCTTAAAGCATGTTTTGTTAAAGGTTTTATCTTCCACCTTCCCCAGTAATACGGCTGAGTTTTCAGACAAAGAGTTGAAGTGGGTGACAGTTTTGAGAATGCAGAGGAAAGGAGGATTCTTAAGAAGTGTGGCACATGTAAATGAATTAATGATAATAAAAACGTTGAAGACAGTATTGTAAAAGACTGAGGAAGGCAAAATTGAAATTAGCTATTCATGTTCAGATTATTACTCATTTCTATACTGTTTCATATTTTTCAGAAAAATATCTCAAAGCAATTAAAGGGAAATCTCATTGCAGTTTGTGTCCATAGGATCTTGAGAACATTAACTCTGTAGATCCAGGAGTTCTCTCCTCCTGATACTGTCAAATTTGATTGTTCTTTCCTAAAGAGCAGGAGGAACGAAACATTTATGGGCTTAAAGCTGCATTGATTCTGGAGGCCACATTCCAGTGAGCTCTGTGGCCAATGTATGCACATGCATGCACACACATAAAATAGATGCAGACCATAAAGTCACATGCACACACGCCAGAGGTGCTGCACACACTCACCAGACATGCCATCTAGCATACATACAAGTCTTGCAAACACAATCAGCATGTTTAGACCTTCCAACCCCAGTTCTGGGGTGGGGGAAAATAAGAGCACATGAAGACCCTGCTCTTTTTTCTAAGAAAAAAGACCCTGCTGATTGTTCTTTAGAAATCCTCTTTAAAGAGCAGCCAGCAGGATCATTTATCTCCAGATCAGGGCTTCTATCCCATTTCAGCACTGTGCTGATTCCTGCTGAGATTGGAGTTTAAAGGATCTCTCTAAGGGCTCTTTAAGGGACGCGGGTGGTGCTGTGGTCAAAACCACAGAGCCTAGAGCTTACCGATCAGATGGTTGGCAGTTTGAATCCCCGCGACGTGGTGAGCTCCCATTGCTCAGTCCCTGCTCCTGCCAACCTAGCAGTTCGAAAGCACATCAACGTGCAAGTAGATAAATAGGTACTGCTCCAGCGGGAAGGTAAATGGTGTTTCTGTGTGCTGCTGTGGTTCTCCAGAAGTGGCTTAGTCATGCTGGCCACATGACTGTACACCGGCTCCCTCAGCCATAAAGCGAGATAAGCGCCGCAACCCCAGAGTCATCCGCAACTGGACCTAATGGTCAGGGGTCCCTTTACCTTTAAGGGCTCTTTAGACATCTCTCTCTCTCTCTGGGACAGACAGAGAGGTTCATCACATGATGAGACCAAGAGATGGAAACCACAGGGACTAGCAGGCCACATGAAGTGGGTTATTTGATTTTGTTGGTCAATATTCCTTCTCTTTGTTTGTTTCTTAGGCTGTGCAGACACCATACATTTAAAGCACGTGTCTTCCCCCAGAAAATCACGGGAACTATAGTTTATTGCTACAGTTCTCAGCACCCTTAAGAACTTGGGTTTCTTGGGTGAAGTCATATACTTTAAATGTTAGGTGGGTCTGTCACAGCCTTAACCCTATAGAAAGATCTGTTGCTGCCTTTCCAACATGCTAGAAGTTGCAGCCAGGATCAGCATGCCCTGTCCCCTGAACATGCTCAGTCCTCTCACTGGGTTATTTTTGGATTTCCCTCCCACTGCCTTGGTTCTCCTACCCCCAAATATTATTTGTACTTCCATAAACCTTGGGGTTTTCCCAGGTCTGGATAACTTCCTCTTGTGCATGGGTGGGGTCATTTGGGTGACATTGTCATTCACAGCCTGAACATAAGAATTAGGAGTAATAATATATTTCAAAAACTGACTACAGTGGAACCTCGGGTTGCAGACATAATCCATTCCGGAGGCTCATCTGCAACCCGAATGTATGCATGCGGCTGTGTGGTTTAGCGCTTCTGTGTATGTGCGAGCGTCAAAACCAGGAAGTAACCCAAAGGTAAGCAGAAGGTTACGTAGTCCGAAGGCAATGTAACCTGAGGCACTACTGTAATGGTTAAAAAATATGCTTTTGTTTTTATTCTTGAGTTTTATTCTATACTGTTGCTTTAGTGTGTGTTGATTTCCTTTCTAGCAGGGCAGCGTACAAATGGAAGAGAAGGGGCCGAGGAGACCCATTCAAAGGGCGAGACTGGAATCCAAAGGGAAAAAATCTCCTGTGGGCCAAGTTGGGACCGTCAGGGACCTTCTATCTCAAGCAGATTTACATCAAATTAAGCAGGAGTCAGAGGAGGAGGAGCCGCAGCAGCACTGGGATGCCCAGTGGCAGGATTTCCTGAAGACGATGCACCCCCCTCGTTCACGGTGGGAAACCCCACAGGCTCCCAGTCCTCCCCTCTCTAGCCATGGTGTCCTTCCAGCCTCCTTCAGGGGAGCTGCGGGTGCCAGTCGATGGCCCAACCGGAGAGCAGGGGGGACAGACCAGACCCTGCCAGAACTGAGTGGGGAGGCACACGAGGAAGGAGGGGAGCAGATTTCCTCTGTGAAAGTGAAGGAGGAGATCCTGGACGAGGAGGAAGAAGACGCCAACATGAGGTCGGAGATGGAGCGGCAGAGCTTCCAGCGGTTCTGCTACCAGAAGGCCGAGGGGCCCCGAGAGGCCTCGCCTCGGCTCCAGGAACTTGTGAGGAGTCCCAGAGCTCACAGGCTTGATAGCTCAAGGGTGGCTGAAGTCCAGGAAAGCTACTGTGTTCCTTTTGAGAGGCTCAATGGAAAAAATTGGGAAGAATGGTCCCGAAGAGTTAAGGCCTGGCTTACAGCCAAGGGTCTTTGGGAATGTACCCTAGCCCCTCCAGCCCAAGCTCCTCCCGGTGCTGCTGCAGCCGAAGTTGCTGTGGCTGCTGCTGCTCTGAGGAAGGATCAGAGGGCAATGGGAGTTCTAGTGCTGAGCATTGACTCCTCACTGTTGCCACTTGTGGAGGGTCAGGAATGTGCTCATGATGTCTGGCAGGCGCTGCAGCGTGTCCATCACCGGATGAGAGCAGGAGGCAAGATTCACGTCACTAGAAGTCTGTTTGACCTGAAGCTGAAGCCTGGTGATAGCATCAAAGAGCATGTAACTAAGATGCTGGCTGTTTTCAACAAGCTGAGACAGTTAAATGTCAATTTCCCAGAAGCGTTGAAAG